TAGAGATACAGAGTCCAGGGGAGCATCACGGCCACGTCGCCCCACCCCGTGGAAGACTTCGTTAGTCGGAGGCAGTTTCGTGCACGCCCGGGGGCGTCTTCGGCGGGGATGACGGGCGGGACGCGACCGTCATCGTATTGCTCCGCAGCGAGATTGCGCAGGTACCTGCGCAGGTACGCGTCCGCGTCGACGAGCTGGACAGCGGTTGGTCCGAAGATCTGGATGTCTCCGGTCCAGCCGCTGCGTTCTCTGGTGGGACAGTCGGTCGGAGTATCGGTGAAGTTGGATCGCAGTGACCACATCACGTTGGTCCAGAGCCGCTCGAGGCGCGGGTCGGAGGCATGGAACTCGCTGATCTGTTCGAGGTCGGAGGACAGCACAATCGCTTTGACGTCCTGACTCGTTAGCGGCTGTACGGCGCCTTGGACTGCGACATAGCGGAATCCTCGGATAGTGAACCAGGGGGTGTAGGTGACCGGTTGACCGGGGAGGATGACCTCGTCTCGTTGGAACCAGTCGTTCTTCTTGCCAGGTATCCCGAGATAGTCAATGGCGAGCTCTCCGTTGTCGTCAAGCGCTTCGCTGTAGAGGATTTTAACCGTTTCACCAGGTGGGCCGGACAAGCGGATGCGCGCAATCCCCGAGACGTTCTGACCGAAATCGATCAGCTGTGCGCCTGAAGGGGCGGCGATGACCTCTCCGGACAGCCTCGCGATCTCGGTGACGCGATTCACTTCTTCGGCAATCAACCGTGATCGTTGCTGCCTCACGACGGCGTGTACTGTTCGGGGTTCCCGTTGTTCGTCATTGGCCCATGGGAGCTCGGGGATGCGGAGATCCGCCCGTTCTCCGTACATGGGATCGGAGGTACGGATCCGGCCGTGGCTAACCTCCCAGGAGCCGTCAGTGTGCAGGGTCAGGGAAGAGCCGTCCGCAAGCTCGAGGTCGACCTCGATGAACGCCGCCAGGTGGTCACCGTACCGGGCGGCTTTCGCGAACGCGCCGTTGTTGCCGCGGTACCGTCCCTCGGCGACAACGACGCCGACAGTGTTGCGCCCTTCACGAAAAGCGTTCGTCACGTCGTAGACCTGGTACTCGGTGTACACGTAGAAGGGGGTCCACCTAGGAACCAGAGCGGGCCCGGTCATGTCGGTATCATTGACGAACAGGCGATACCAGCCCAACGCGGTGGCGTATGCCCGGCCATGCACAACCGGCGCCGGTAGATCGTACATCTTGTAGAAGTACAGTGTCCTAGGATCTCGTTTATTGTCCGTAGGGTGACCGATCCACTCAGCGCGCCACTCCGAAGGAATGAGTGTCCCGGTCTCGAATGAGCCGGCTGCCCATGCGGTTTTAGTTCCATCGGCAAGCAGGACGCGAACCCTCCAGTGATACTCCCTGCGGGAGCGGAGCGGGTCACCTGCGTAACGGATACCGAACGAGTCGGACTGGGACACGGGGCCGGAACACCATACGACGGCTCCGTCGGTGAAATTAGAGTCAGTAGCGACGTCGAGTTCGTACGCGGTCTGGCTGGAGGCGCCGTCGATCCTCCACGCGAACTCCGGGTACGCGGTGTCGATGCCCAGAGGGTTCGTGCGGTGGCCGACGGTCAGGTCGTAGAGAGTAGGCATGATCGATTCCCGTCGAATGGTTGGGTTAGAAGGACGCTGTTGTCGTAGTCGTGAATCTCAGATCCCGGCCTGGATGATCCTCGCTAGCAGACTCGTCATGGCGATTCCTGTTTCGGAATATTATAAATTTTCCGAGCTTGTGTACATGACTGAACCCCTTATCGGAAGCCAAACGTGGCTAGACCAAACCCCTGCCTCCGCTTATTTCCTTTTAAAGCCACCCTCAGCGCACTGACCTCGCGGAGCAGCTCCATCAACCACCAGCTGTTGTTGGAATATTATGACCTTTTTAAGTCCGGAAGGAACGATCATGATTGCATTGATTATGGAAGAATTAGTTCGGAAAAACGTTTCTACTTATGCCCACTGTCTCCTTTCCAGTTCCATTTCCAAAAGGACGTGCCGTACGAGTTTCTTCTTCTCAAACACACTAGGAAAGGCAAAAAGGTGCCATTTCTTCCATCCGATCATTCCGCCACACCCGATGTCGGCAAAAGCCTCTTTTACTATGGCGTTTTGCTCGTTTCTAGGACACCGAAAACGTCATGTCGATCGATGTGGCGTTTTCCTTTTTGGGAATCGTCAGTTTAACGGAAAGTCGTCCGAATCGGCTGGGCCAGACCCTTCCTCGTTCCACTGCTGGGCCTGGCTCCACACCACTTCTTCCAACAGCTGTCACGACATGGCCGCGACCAGGTCACGAGGAGGAGCTTTATGTAATGGAGTATGCGGAGGGCGATGGAATAGGTGACTGGCGGGCGAAAACAGCCGGGCTCGTTGGGACAGTCAGACGAAATCGATGGAGGAGACGTCGCGGCGTGGCCGTGGCTGGTGGTCCTCCCAAGCATACTGAACACCCTTCTCTCCGCCGCGGACGCGCAGTCATGTGTCGGTTTGTGGGAGTTCTTGGAAGTTTGGCTCGAATTCGGGGTCCCTCCGCCGCAGGATATCATCTTGTCTGACGCTGATGGGCATGAAGGCGAGTTTGGGGAACACATTGTCAAATTTAGAGTCCGCATAGACTCTCCGTACAGGAGCGGAATACGGACCGTTGATTGTTGGTTTCGACTGAATCCAGCAAGAAACGATGTGGCAATTAGTGTCGGGTTGACGAAGCCAACGAGCCTCACAGAGTTGGTGAAATCGTTCAACCCTCCCAAGGCCTCGACGCTTTTAAAATACATCGAGCGGAACTCGAAATCAGGTATTGCTGAGCTCCCAATGAAGGTGAAGAACTGAGGGACTTGAACAAAGGACGGGAACTATTGTTGTCACTCTTCTCCCTAGGCTGTCCTTTGCTATTCCATTTCTATCTTCAATAAATCATCATGGTCTTTAGAGGGACGATCAAAAAAGAGAATCGGTTCAGAAATTTGCTAGTTAAAGACGACTGTTTTATGCGAGTAGAACTACACTAGAACTGCAGGCACTCAGGCAAGCCGCCGAAGAGTCGCAATATCATATGCCCCAATATCACTGAGACACATTTAAGAGGAAGATAGTTCCCACGGCGTAGAAGACGAAAGGGTAAGATGGACAAGCCAGACAAGGGAAACGAATTCGACTTCAGGTGATAAGTCGTTTTCTTCAGTTGGCTTAGGATCATTCATCAGTTACTACAATATACGCGTATCCTTCTTTTCTAATTCCTTCCCCTTCCTGTCGCCTGTGATGCCTCGTGATGCAGAATCCCATTGGTCTCTGTGTTCCCGACGGCTCCTCGATCAAGCGTGTTATTCCTATGTATGTAGTACAGCTGGGAGCCGTGGCGACAAGAGTCCTCGCGGATTTAACCCTAATAACCCTGGGTTGGCCACGCGCTGAAATGTAGAAATATGTTCCAATCATCGTCTTCGCCGAAGGGAGCCCACCGCATCTCTTCCTTCTCGAAAGCTAGGTGATTCTCTTTCTCCGAAATCCAGAGTAGTCCTGCATCCGCGTGCCCGCGCAAGACTTGAACTGGAAAAAAGGATCCGGTGTGGCGCAGCAGCCTTCTCCCACTCGAAGCGGGGAGCCCAAGCCGAAGGACTGACCGCACCGCACTTCCAAGGACAAGTAAAATTCACTCAGAACGAAAAGGCCAGGACAAAGCCATTCATCGATAAAATGACTCGAGAAAGCTATTCTTACTTTTTTATTTCTTAAAACCTTCGAATATCGCCTCTCCAGTTAAGCAGTTAATCCATTATTCCTGCAGACGCAGCAAATGACAATGGTGTCTCGCTCTCGCTCTCAGCAACCCGACGACATCGAGTCAGAGAACCAAGAGTTGTGTAGCGCGGACGGATTCTATGTCGTGCAATCTACCCTGCGGCGCTTGTATCTCTCGCATTTCCTCTCTGCCTGGAACTCTCGATTCTTCGAATTCGGGTCTGCCCTCTTCCTCGCCGCGATCTATCCACGCACGCTTGTCCCGACCTCTGTGTATGCCTTGGCGAGGGCAGCGGCGGCGATACTCTTCTCCCCCGCTGTTGGGCGATGGATAGACAGAGGGGACCGGTTAGTCGTCGTCAGGGTATCTATCGTCGGGCAGCGTGCGGCCGTGGCTGCATCCTGCGTAATTCTTTATGTGCTTGCTCGTTTATCAGACCGGGATGATCACTTGACGGGTGGGTTGTTTGCTATCATCGTCATCTTAGCAGGAGTGGAAAAGTTGTGTTCGGTGATGAATTCGGTATCCGTAACTCGGGATTGGGTAAGGAAAAGCACATCGAATGCATTTTGTTTCATCGATTTGGTCTAATACTAAGTATCTTAGGTCGTGGTTATGACTCAAAATAACGAGCATTCAAGAAGAAGTATGTCTCATATAATTATCTCCTTGGGGCCGTTAACTCTCCCGTGGGTGTGTCTTTGCTAATCAACTAGGATAGTTCTGAACGCTCGAATCCGTCGCATGGACCTGGCGTGCAAGTTACTTGGGCCGTTTGTCGTCGCTTCGATAGACGACATTTCTACCATTGTTGCTATCTGGACCACACTGGCTATGACTCTTCTCTCTGTTGCCCCCGAGTACTTATGTATAGCCAAGGTATGCTGATCAAGTTGAAGGCTTTGGTTCGATAATAATATTAGACATTAACTCCCTCATAGACATACCATTCGGTCCCTGAACTAAATCGGGCCTCAGGTGGTCACCTTGGGGAGGAAGGTGAATCGGAGGCGACGCCATTCCTCAACGACGACAGAATCCCGCCCACGAAAACATTTAAAAAGGGGTCCTTCACATATCTTTGGATTCGCTCACTACTTCGGTCTATCTTGCCAGGCGCGTCGATCAAGTTTTACGTCCAGCACTCCGCATTCCTACCGTCAGTCTCCTATGTATTTCTCCATCTCACCGTCTTATCGTTTTCCGGACGTATGATTGTCTTCCTCCTGAGCCTCGGCTACTCAGCCGTCGCCGTCGGCATCGCGCGGACGATCTGCACCTTATTCGAGCTCAGTGCCACTTGGACGACTCCGCGACTCATCCAACAATTCGGCAATGTCATGGCGGGCTTCTACAGCATCACCTGGCAGGCTCTCTGGCTTACCTTTGGCGTGGTTTGCTTCATAATAAATTGGGAGGACCTAATTTCTGGAACTCGATACGGGGACCTCATTAAAGCCAGCGGGCTTGTGGGCGGTGTCATCTTGAGCCGCATAGGTCTGTGGGGTGTTGACCTGACGACGCAGATCATCGTCCAAGATGAAGTTGAAGAAGACAGTCGGGGCGCGTTTTCGACGGCAGAAACATCTGCGCAAAATCTATTTGAGATGCTGTCGTATGTTTCAACCATCGTTTGGTATAGACCCGAGCAGTTCCAATGGCCCATGTTTATTACCTTGGGGTCGGTCTATGCTGGCTGCCTGACGTATGCAATCTATGTGGACAAGATGAAAGGGAAAGATTCATGATGCTGGTATCTTGGTATCTTACTGGGTATCTATGGCATTGCATCTGTGTAGCTGGGAAAAACGAGGGCAAGTTAGAAGATTACATCGACCAGATAAACGACAAGTAGGATAGGCGGGATGACACTTTTACAGGATTTGCGTATTTGAATTGTTTGAGCAAAGGGGCAAATGTGAGCAAAATTCGGCGAAGGTTATGGATTTAGCTTGTTACCCTGTCGACAGGGAAAAGTGTAGAAACCAATGGGCTCTAAACGCTTGGTGAAATATTGATGGGGCTAATTTTCCAGCTGTTCTTGGTGGCGCTTGAGCTTGTATCGAGATCTTCGGGACCTTGCACATCGCCGCCAGGATCATCCAAAGAGCAGTCCCCGACTTCCGCACGGCGGAATTCTGGCTCTACAAGTCTAAGTCCCCAACTTCGACTCCACCAGACGCTGTCGAGAGCTTCGAAGGATTAAGATCAGCAAAGGGGAAAGGGTCCCCAGTCTTCTCCTGATTCAAGCCAGGCTCTATTTGCTCAATTGCAATGCTGAACCGGTTTACTGAAGCCCCACGGTGATAAGGGCTAAGGCAAATGAACAAGTAATGACACCTGAGTCGCCTTTTTGGGGTTGGCGTTGCATCACCTGTGGCTTAGCTGCCGCCTGAGCAGAGAGGCACGCGAATAGGGCGGCTCGAGTGACAGCCTTTTTCTGCCTACGACTTCCACTTTGCAGAAGAGATGCGGGTGGTGTGCACAGGGCCGGGGCAGGAGCAAATAGGGCTTCGTGGGGTGCGGGCCAGCGAGAACGAGGGATATTCGCCCTAGTGTAGGGATAATCAAGTGCGCATGTGTGCATGAGTTATCACAGCCTCCGTCAAAAGCGAGCGCCCGTTGGAGGCGTCTTCCATGCGTGCTAAGATTGTAACCTCCTCTCCTGTACAACGATGAAATCTATATATTTACCCATAGACTCCACGCGAAGGGAGAGAAAACAAGTAACGACCCGTAGTTTGCTCCCAGAATGCTCGATTTTCATCACTTTTTCTCAAATGCGATAATGGTAATGGCCTCCGTGATATTAAGTCACCCCGACTAGCCATGACCCGAGACCACGTTTTTGTTTACAGCAGTCGGCTCGATGACAAGTCGCTCCGGCTGGCGAAGATCATTGATTCACCTGGTAACCCGTTGGCGAGATTAGACATTGAACTCGTCGAATCGACGTTGCAATTAGCGCCGCCGTACCTTGCTCTGTCCTATACGTGGGGGCCTTTCAGCTCCAGCTTAGCGGCATATACAGAGAACGATATCAGATTTGTATGGATCGATGGGCAGCCTCATGCGATATTTCCGAATCTTTTCGATGCGCTCGTGCAGCTGCGCAGAACATACAGTGGTCGGTATTTCTGGATAGATTCGCTCTGCATTAACCAAAATGATTTGGATGAGCGCCAAGCCCAAGTCCAGGTGATGGACCAAATATACAGAACAGCAGAAGAGGTAATCATATGGCTCGGCCCGTCGAACGATCAGAGCGAGGAAGTGGTTGAACTAGTCCACAAGATATCACGTCTCGACTCTTCCGTTGTCCAGCGGTTTGGCTATCAGCTACACCCTACGAGCCTGTCCGCACACAACCTTCCCCATCCGCACTCCAATATCTGGAAGAGATACCTAGAACTTTACGATCTAAGGTGGTTTTACCGGAGTTGGGTCATTCAGGAAGTTGTCCTTGCAAAGAGCGCGACCGCCCATTGGGGACTGTGGAGAATTCCCTGGCTCGAATTGCTCGGCGGGTGCCAGATATTCGTCGCCGATCGACTCCGCAAATTCCTCTTTTGCGACATCACGTCCTCATATTTCGATCATCTTCCCATGGGAAGGAACCTCTACCGACTCGGCTTAATATATAGGACATGTACACATGGCTTCGACGAGGCAACAGTCATTTCTGATCTTTCCACAGGTCTCAAGGGTTTGAAGGCTTCGGAGCATATCTTACTCCATCTGCTGCGGATGGCGGCGCGAGATTTCGACTGCTCGGACCCGCGTGATCGGGTCTATTCCCTGCTAGGACTTGTCAGTCATGTTTGCAAAGAGCGCGGTTTGGCGACACTTTCAGTCCTGCCCAATTACGACCCCAGCTGCACCGCCGCATCCGTCTTGACTTCTGTGGCAGAAGCCGTCATATCTGGAAGTCAGTGCCTAGGCATTATGTCTCACGTCAGTGACTTGATGTACCGCCAAACGCCGGGATTGCCATCCTGGGTTCCTGACTTTATTCGGGCACCTAATTACTCAATGGGGAAAGATGCCGTATTCGATGCATCAAGGTTTGCTTCAGATGGACAAAGAGGCTTCCAGATTAATGGAAACGTTCTTAGCGTCCGCGCAACCTGCATTGGGCATGTGAGGTGGATAGCCCCGTCCCGAATTGACAATCAGGTTGAGAACCTATTTTCTATGCTACGAGTGGTTTTCAACACCCATCTCCCAAGGGGGGTGGATCGACTCGAAGTGCTCTGGAGGACCATGATATGGGACATTTATGGCCACGCACAGGTTATCGATGAACACCCTGCACCGGATTACCTCGAAGATGCTTTCTTCGCCTCCCTACTGCCAGTGGTTGCGCGAAGCTATCAGACTCCGGAATTCTACGCGCAGGCTTCTGAAGTTGTGGATGATCTTCGACGTGTGTTGAGCAAGGAGCAAAAGGACCAGCCACTGTCGCTGACAGCGAGGTTGATCGAGATGCTCAGTTTCTACTCCGCTGGATCTGTCGCTGAGGACGACGATGGCGATTTCTCCCCTAATCAAAGAAGAGCGGACCCCGCAATATATTCGAGCCACTCCAGCGGTGTTACTTGGAGTCAGTGTTTGTTTGGGTTAGACTCGGGTTTCTTTGCCATGGGGCCTCAGTCTGTAGATGTTGGGGATAGCGCGTGGATTATATCGGGTTGCCCGTTCCCGATGATCCTCCGCCCACGAGGAAATCAGAGTACCGGGTTTGAAGTTTTGGGTAGAGCATACATTCACGGAATTATGCACGGGGAAGGAGTGACGAGGGAGACGGTTTGGGAGAGCATTTCTTTAACTTAGACAGGGTCGTTGCCATGCGAGTCCGAAGACAAACGAACGTTATTGCCCTATAAACTACAAGTTCAATGACTATGGTAGTTCCAAGTGAAGAAAAACTGCCGAAGTACTGGCTGTATTCCTCGGTACCTCCAGACACCCAAGACTAAATAGAATCATAATTTACTTCCGATGCCCTAGCCCCATTATTTTGATCTAGATCGCGAGAAAAGCCGACGAACCCGAGGTGCCCAGTGCCCCCCCAAAATGCGGGGGTAGGATCGGGCCTGTGCTATATCAAGTTAAACTTCACCGCGTTCTGTCATATTCAATCCGACAATAATCAGCCAGCAACCTGAGGTCTTGGACATGAAGGAGGTGGTATTTTGGCGTTGTGTTCGGCTTCATCGCGCCGATCGTCTGGGGCTGAACGACACCGTCTCGGCAGTGCTCGACATGGTGGATATGAACTACCACGATCGTACTGCCTAGGGCTGCCGCGCCTAAGGTTGCCATTTTGGCCAATCTCTGCACCATATAAGAGGCAGCCCAGTCCTATAACTTCAAGTAAGTGCACTATCTGTTAGGGGTGGATGATACCACGACTGCCTACGTAGCTTCCAAGCACGTCCGATCTATTCCACCATGGCTCTCGCAGAGGCCTGCAATTCCACAACCTTCGCCCCTTCTCTGTTCGGGGCTGAAATTCTATCTCTTCAAACCTCCCTTGTGACTGACTATAATGTTTTTGTGAATGCCAGGGATAGACGCACGCAGCCCTCAATCGACGTCAAGGATGCCACTTTCTGCAATATCACCGTCACGTATACTCATCCTGGACTGGGTGACAACGTTATTGTAGAAGCATGGCTTCCAGCGGACAATTGGAATGGTATGTTCCAGGCTGTGGGTGGCGGCGGCTGGAGCACGGGCCGGAATGCGGGCGCGTACTCCGCTATGGCAGGCGCTATAGCTGATGGATACGCCACGGTTACGACCGACGCGGGATTGGGAACTGCTGGTGATCCCAGTCCATGGGTTCTGCTGAGTCCTGGAAATGTGAATATGTATTACCTTCAAAACTTTGCTACCGCTAGCTTGAATGATGAGGTACGCTTGTTAGGAAGATTGAAAGCCAAATATTTCTAGAACTGACCATCATGCTCCCAGGCTATTCTCGGAAAGTCCTTCATTCGAAGCTTTTACGGCCGGGATCCTAGCTACTCGTACTGGAACGGCTGCTCGACGGGAGGTCGGCAGGGCCTCACATTGGCTCAGCGATATCCAGACGCCTATGACGGCATTGCAGCTGGAGCTCCAGTAATATACTGGACGAGAGTGGGCATGACCGGGATGTGGCCGCAGCTGTACATGAATATGGAGAAGGCCTACCCCTTCGGATGCGAGCTCAAAGCCATCACCAGCGCCGCTGTTTTGGCATGCGACGGTCTTGATGGGGTGGTTGATGGCTTGATTTCCGATCCTGACGCGTGCCTGGCCAGCTTCGACCCTTTTCAGTTAATTGGCACCACGATTTCGAACTGCTCTCAGACAGGTGGTGAGGTACAGATAAGCGAAGGTGCGGCGAAATTGGCCAACGCAACCTGGCATGGTGCAAGGTCGTCTGATGGGCATCAACTCTGGTACGGCCTGAACGTAGGGTCAACCTTTGACGTGATTGCTGGGACCAACTGCACCGGCGGCGTGTGTGTTGCAGATCCCGGTAGGTACGGCTGGGACCTCTTCAAGTGGTTTGTCGCCAAAGACCCCGACTTTGACCCTAGCACCGTCACCCACGAGATTTATGACGCCATGGGTCATTCCGCTTTCCAGCAATACCAGTCTGCTATGGACTTCGACGACCCGGATCTGACCGAGTTCCGTAAAGCCGGCGGTAAACTCCTCACTTACCACGGCTTGGTGAGTGCTCTCATCCCACAAGGTTTTTGTCAGTGGCAATGGCTGTGCGCCGCCCGTACTAACGAATTCGCCCTGTAAAGGCCGATAACCTCATCCCGGCGAAGGGCACAGAGCATTATTATAAACTTGTTTCGCATTTGTTCCCAGATATCGACAGCTTTTACCGTCACTTTCCTATTCCGGGGCTCGCTCACTGCTCGGGAGGGGCTGGAGGTCAACCCCTCGGGCTGTTTGGACAACTGCGGGCGTGGGTAGAAAACGGCACCGCTCCCGAGTACACGACCATGGACTTCGTGGCACCCGATGGGACGAACCAGACCCGTATAATATGCCCCTTCCCTCAGAAGGCCTTCTATAATGCCCACTGCGGGGAGTCTAGCAAGTTTGAGTGTTGGTCTTGCGTGGATGGCCCCTCGACAGAGTCATGTTCCGTCGCATCTAGGAATGTATGGCATTTGTAGTCGATTTCCTAGCTCCAACCCATCTTCCGTCTTTCCTTTTCTGGTTTCTCATAAATAGAGAATCAATGTCATTCAGCGTCCTCCACCGGTAAGTGTCCTTACCGTCGTGGCGGTTCGCCCTTAGACGATTGGGTGACGCCGAACTGGCGCCGCATTTCAATTCCATTGCTTCGTTAATACTTCCCAGTTCGATCGCATAATAGCGCTTGGATGAAAAGATTTTTAGTCGGGGTTGCGGGTGCGAAACAAAACTTAACTTAGCATACTTCGTACGAAGCAATTGCCTACTCAGAGTGTACCATACTGCGGGTCTACAGATTATCTAAAAAGTATCTTCAATAGTCGGACTTAACAGGCTCAAAGATCCTTTCGCCGCCCTAAGAGGAGGCTGAGTCGGTTTGGATGTAAGGTAGTTTAGCATCTGAATATGCGATAGTCATGTGGATAGTTAATATATAGCTATACCCTTCTTCACAACGTAACGCGGGTTAGTGCTCTCACAGGCTGTCTTATTTACTTATACTAGTACCATGCTCAGTCAACAAATAAGAAAGGTTTTCCTTTTTCCACCAGCCTCCCACATCTTCCTATTGTCCCACCATTCCATGCGGCCAGCAACAAAGCATGATCCTATAATCTCCCACATATGCCCAACCGGCCTCAATATCATAGGTAACCGCAGCCCATGGATAACGACGACAACATCGCCAGTCCGGAGTGCCGAGTCCCCAGCGCCTAGATGCCCATCGTCCGTTCTGAACAACACACCATTTTCACATCGAATATCACCCCATGCAGCGCTCCCACTCCCGGGAAGACAAGACGCACCCATCCCCGCGATTAAATCGAAATACGGCCAGGCGGTCTCTCCCACCCCGGTTGATAATATGCCGTCCATGGCAGCTACCGTCGATGTCCCGCTAACGTATGGAACATCTTTCTTCTCGGGGAAAGCGAATCTAGCCACGCCCTCCATCCACACAGCTGCCTGCTCCACATTGATGCCGCCCTGACCGATCCAGTCATACGAGGTCAATGGCGGCCCGTAAGTATCCGCGATGCTGGCGATCTCCCCCCCCTCCACGATCAGCCGCAGCCCCTCATCCACCAGGTGGATTTCAGGGCGAACTAGATCCCAATACCCGGCACCCCATTTCCCAAGGTACCGCCGGTCCTCGAACCTCGGCGTCATGGTTGGGGGCTTCGAGAAATCGACCACCCAGCTCTGTGCTCCCACACGGCTTCTAGCGGAGCAGAACATCAAGAGATGTTGATCCCGCTCGGGGTTGATGGCCCAAGCCATCGCGCGGCGGAACACTTCGCCCGCTGACACAGCGTAGTCCACTTCCACCGGGCGCCGGTGGGACTTCTCAAGATCCTCATAAATGGGGATCAGCGCGTACACCCTATCCCGCATGTCCGTGGCCTCGAGATGCATGTACTTGACGAGGAGGTTGCCAAATTGTGCTGCGGCTTCTGTACGGTAGATCCGGGTGTAGGTATTGGACCTGTTATATGCGACTCGCGTGTCCCTGGTGCTCCGCAGTTCCTTTGTGCTATCGATTTTGCCCAGCACCTCGTGTGGTAGAGTCTTCCCTACATCTATTGTTCGCGATCCGTGGATGCCGCGGCGGTGCAATGTGTTGACGATGTCACTCATTCGGCGAAATTCTTCGTAGGTGACTCCCTTCGTCCCGCACCAGACCTCGCAGGGGACTTCCGGAGTGGTGGCCTCCTGCTGCGTCCACGCCCTAGTCCAATACGGCCGCTGCATCAAAGCCGTTAGGGCAGGTACTGCACCCGGCATATCTTTCCTTTCGCCGCTTCCGAGCATGTCCATGGCGCAATCGCTGTCGTCGGCTGCCGAACCCAACCAAATGATTATTCTAACCACAGAGGGTCAATGACCACCGTCATAAAAGCCCCGGGAGGTTGAGCGAATTACAGACCTACTGGATTTAGCGTAGATGTCGCGCATCATGGCAACCTGCGCGTTCCGTTCAGGAATGTTGTTTTGATCGATGCACAGAGCGTCAATCCAGATGTATCTGACCGGTGTATTTTTCGGTTGGTGCGAGTCAACGGTAGTCGACCCAGGCCGGCCAACGAGCGGCTCGGAGCTGCCCGGACCCAGATTCGGCGGGGGGTTACTCGCGTTGGCACGGCGTGCGTCCAAAGCGACGTCCAAGTCATTTGCTCCTAGGAGATCTTGCCGACGACGGGCCTCGTCCAGGAAACTCGCTAGGTTAGGCCGAATCTTCATAACAGCCCCGTTCAGAGTGATTGGCACGACAGCCTCATCATTGCCCCACACATAGGAGAGAGCAGCAAACTCGAGGCCTTCATAGAGATTATGGTGCGTAATGGCGCATTCGACGAATTCCTTATGTCTTTCTGCGTTTTGACTCTGGCGTAGTCTTAGCAGTCTGATCTCACCCTTTCCGAGTGGTTGATACGGGAATGCCCGAAAGCCCTCGGGCGGTGGTGCGCCTGTCATTGCTGGGGTATGGGGCTAGCCTGGCATTAAAATGCGAAATGGAAGAAAAAGAAAAAGAAAAAGGAAAAAACACAGCGAGCGGCCTCGTCCTCACCGAAGGGGCCATTGAATAAATCTGCAAAATGAAGCCGGATATCCGTCCGTCCTGTCCGGGGGGTTGGTGGGCGGGGAGGGGGACTGATCTGTCTGCTGCCCAATTTGAGCCCAATACGGTGGTAGAACAAGACTGCCTAGCACCGCCATGAATGTTTGCGGACGTAAGACTCCATGAAACCCCTCGGTATGTGGATTCTAGTATCATTCCTGATACAACACTTCCGCCTGGATCTTGGCCGGGTCTATTGCGGACGCATCGTTGATAGCTGTCACTCTTGATAAGAGAAGACAATTAGGTGGAGTAGAGAAAAATGCCCGCGTGTCACAGTTAGATTTCGAGCTAGATGAATCTTAGAATTAGTTGAACAAGTTTCGGTCAAACGACCCCACAAGCGTCGAAAGCCTGGCCGCCAAGATAGGCGACATTGACAGCGAGACGCAGTAGTCAAAGGAAATTGTTGGAAGGACGCGAATCCCTACAGCAATCGCTAGCCAGAGGAGTAAATGGGCAGTTAGTGTCCCCTTAATCGGCACAAGGTGACCAGCATGGTACTATACAAAGCCCTCTTCTTCATTCCCTGTATTCCTCACATCTTTCAAGTACCTTCACCAGCTCTGTGTCATCTCCTTAGCCTCCTCGGTGGTGCTCCTCTTGATATGTATACTGAGCTGCCGGGCCGGCCGTGGCACAGGGCCTCCGATAGAGAAGCACGTAGCAGCGGGTTGTCCCCAGAGCTAGGGGTACTCAGTGAGGGAAGGACGAGCTTGATTGGCCCTATTTTTCCGGTTCTCTCAACGCTTGGTTGCTTTGGGTTTTAAGTTCGCGCACTAGGGTCAAAAGTGCGGGGAGGCGCATGGACATGGCATCGAGCTGGTGTCCTATCGGCCAATTTTCCGTGACTGCTTGTGATAGCGAACCTCTTGAGACCGATTATAAAAGGACCGACCGGCCGGGTCCCACGCACAACCACTGTAAATGCCATCAAGGATCCCTCCCAAGAACGAAGTGAGCTTGTCGGTGTCCACTCTTCCAAAAGAAAAAGAAAATGGCCCTTTCATCTTCTATACTCGGCCTCGTGTCGGCGTACTGGCCATATGCCGTACCATTTCTCCTGTTCCTGTATTTCTTTTCGAATTGGTATCAGAAAGGCTTTCACAGAGTCCCAGGCCCATGGATCAATTCCATATCTACACTGCCCCGGATCTGGTCCGTGTACAGCGGCCAGCATCACCTCGATGATCTCCGAATGCATGCCAAGTACGGAAAAGTCGTGCGAGTCGCGCCAAATCTAATTTCCATTGCCGATACCAACGAGATCAACCAACTGTACGGAATTATGACAAAATTCATCAAGTCTCCTTTTTATGACCTGGCAGCCACTTACGACGATGAAGGCTTTGTCCCCGACCCCTTCGTGATCCGCAAGGACAAGGCCTTGCATTCCCGCATGAAGCGCAACGCGGCAAACGCGTACAGTCTCAACGGTCTCATTCAATTTGAGCCCTGGGTCGATCCTATTCTAACCAACCTGGTGCATAAGCTTGACGAGTACGCTTATGAGAATAGAACTTGTGATATTGGTGACCTCTTGAAGAATTTGCCATGGATGCAGTTTGCAATCTTACCTTTGGAAGCGACTTCGGTTATATCAACAAGGGCGACGAGCTAGGCTTTTTCAACACCATGGATCTGGTAAACAATTACATGTCCCTTGTAAGTTACCCCTATTATACCACGTTCTTGACGCTGAGTTGATGCTGATCGGCCACTTCAAAGCTCGGCAATGTGGCTTGGCTTCATCCTGTTCTCCTGGGAAACCCCTGGGTAGTTCGGCTCATGACCCGCGGCGATACTTCTTCCGCGGCAATGATCAAGATTACCGCACAAGAATTGCAGAGGTTCCGCCAGTCACCACCCGCAGAGGGTGATGCCATGACCTTTCTCAGCCGCCTCGCGTTAAACCAGAGAGCCAACCCCAAGTCAATCAACGACAGGGAACTCATCACACACGCATTCAACAACGTGGCGGCCGGCGCAGACACAACGGCCATTGCTATGAGGGCGGCCATCTACTATCTTCTCAAAGACAAAGACGCGTACGCAAGACTGTGTTCCGAAGTCCGCGGCCGGCTGGAGCTGCCCGTCCGTTTCCAAACTGCCTCCCAACTGCCGTATCTTAAGGCCGTGATACAAGAAGCGATGCGCTTGCATCCATCGGTTGGGCAGATCCTTGGGCGAACGGTACCTGCAGGGGGCGCAGCCATTAGCGGTTACCGCATCGGCGCAGGTGCTGAAGTTGGCATGTCTCCCTGGGTTCTCCACCGCAATCCCGAGGTCTTTCCCGACCAGGATAGGTTCAAGCCTGAAAGGTGGATTCTGGGCGAGGGATGTCAGGATGAAGAGCACTTGAAGCAGATGCACCGGTCGTTCTTCGCATTTGGCCACGGCGCTCACACGTGCAGTGGAAGGCATATTAGCGTCATGGAAGTTACCAAACTTATCCCCACGCTGCTTCTGAGATACGACCTGGAGTTAGCGAGTGATGCGGATTACAAATTCAGGAATTGGTGGTTTACGCCGCAGTCTGGGTTGAGGGTTAAGTTAACAAGACGATCAAATAGTTAAACAGGCGATCTGATTGAAGCATCTTATGCGATCGTAGCTTATAATATCCCATCCTGCAGTCAGTTTCTGCTTACTTGGACTGCGGCATCGACCTGCATAATCGACTGACGGGGTAAATGAAATTCATAGAGTTCAATGCCAAAGTCCTCTGAACGTTGCGATCGCCTTGTCTCGACCGGGAAGTAACGCAAGTTGAGGGTACTCATGGGGAAATATCGACTTTGGAGGAGCCATTATAGCAGCGGCTTCGGGTTCTTTCGACGGCGCAATTCTATCCTCCCCTGCCCGTAGGAGACTCTCGATTGTGCTTTAAAGCTGCCGATTCTAAAGGCGAGCCGGGGCGATGCGAACAGGGTAGCTCATCGTCAGAGGTACCCTCTTACGCTTTTTTCCATGCCCATGGGCCTGACGGGTCACTCAACCCACGGATTACCCAAGGGATTTCCAAGCCGCTACTCATTCCCAATGATCCTCTGCCTACGAGGAAATCAAAGTAGCAGTAGTACCCAGTTTACAGTTGTGGGTAGAGCATACATTCACGCAGAGAAGGGGTGACGGAGGACACGGTTTGAGAGAGTATTTGTTTAACTTAGTAAAATACGTATTTACTTAATTTATCTTTGCTATTGCTCATATTTACCGGGATTAGAGCGGGAGTTTCTGGGTTAAAGGAGGAATGGAAATTCCTAATGATCAAGCGAGGAGTGTGTTCTGTCTTAAGCCCTGGCTGCACTATTAGCAACTGCGCCAGTAAGCCGCGAACTGCACATGGAGCCGTCCGTCGAAAGAGTCGACCTATGAAGGATGTATTATTAGCATCAAGACAGTTTCTCTTATTTCCAACAACAGGGGTCTGGTGTCGGTGGCCTAAGGACATGAATCCAGAAAAAAGTGGAAGAACGTACAGTCATGAGGCCTCTGGAAGTGCTGCTCGTTGGCGTGATGCGTACTTCGGAGTTGACGTTGAGGATGGCAGTGTAGTCTCCGCATGGCGACCAAGTGATGAGATCGACCTTTTCATTCATCTCATAGTTGGTATCGACGGGACCTCTGATCGTCTTCTGCGCAGCAACGGACTATTCATTCTCTAGTGAGCAGGTTGGTTATCCAGTCTAAGGAAAGAGAGAGCACCTACGCCGCCGCCGCCGGAGAAAGAATAGGCGGCCCTGCAGGTTCCGGTCTGCCCAGAGGCGAGGGAAGCATAGCCGCTAAACGTAGTATCCACAACAGAGAACCTTCGTAGAAGCATAAGCATTAGGTTTTCTAACATAGGAAAGACTATGAACAGGTAGTTTGTAACTTACTGCAGCCCTTGTGGGAACTCTATATTAAGAGAGACGCGGCAATTCTTGCGAGCATCCGAAGCCGAAGTATTCGGACCGGTTTCGACAACATACTGGTCGAAGGCCACGTCAAAGATGGTACCGGTCGAATCAACCGTTGCAAAAGCATGACCGACTGGGCAACCAGATCCGATGGCACTAATGCCTACGATCTTGACCTCGTTCGGCAAGGGTGCAAAGGCCTCGAGAGGGGCGGCGGCCGCAAGGCCAAGGAAGAGAATGGAGCAGAGGAACTTCATGGTGTTATTTGATTTCGTTGGGGAAACAAGACGGCTACTGATGCTTCTACTGATGGTATTTTAGAAAGACCCTCGATGGGACTACGACCCGCTTTATATGTCTGGCCCATCGGCTCGGCTACATCGTCTGACTTTCTACAAACTTGGGCGGTGGAGATCTAAGAATAGAACGACGCGAGGGAGGATATCACCTCTCGGGGCACATCTATCGGTGCAGAACAGGCTAGCTGAAGGGCGAACGTGGGAGGGACTTTCGAGAGGTACGTTTGGTCAACTGATATTTTGGCACTGAACCCGACGAGAATTCTTTAACTGACTTCACGATGGTCCTCCAATCATCGAGTAACAATGTCATGCCGATATATTACTTCCCGTGCACAACTGATCACTAAATCGGTCCGTTGGTGTCACTGATGCTACTTCTCCTCTCTACGAGAGGGTTTAATTAGTTGAGCTCCTTGTTTGGGCGATCTCCTGACTATCCTCTACCGCTGAAGTATTATTTAGCCCTTTATCAAAGGTGCCATCGCTCTCATCTCCGAACAAGATGCGTCTCTTCACCATAAATATGCTTTAGCTCAGTATTTTGGTGTATTGACGTTGCAGCGGGACCTGGAGATTGGGTGTACGTTGCAACTCTACGTAGTAACGAGTGCACTTAGTTTCCTGTAGTTCATACCGAGGGTGGTTTATGTTAGTTCATGCAAGCGATGTTGTATTCTAGAAATAGAAAGTCACCGTCACGTCACCTACCGGGCAAGTTGGAGACGACGAAACTGAAGGGCTTACAGAATCTTGGAGAACAAAGGACGGAAGAGAACTTACGGAGGTTGTAAACTTGCCATGTCAAGACCAGAGTATGTCTATAATGTACCTTCGCTTATTTAGATTTTTCACCCCAACCATTCGTTAAAACTTAAAATAGAACCCAGCCAATAGTTCGCTATTCAAGAAATTGAAGTGGCAATGGAACGAGTTACGGCACAGCTTACTGACTATTCTCCGAGACTCAAAGGCATACTCGAGGATTTTCATCTGCAAGAGGGTGTATGTGGCAGTTGATGGTGGTGAGCTACTATACAGGGCTTCATTTCGCTTCTATTTCTGTGGGAGCATGGCCATTGATACACGGAATGAAGAGCCTGGTTATAATACAAGCCGAACGAATCGCAATCTAGGGCTCAAATACAAAGGAGATCCCGTTTTATGCACAAGGACTTCAAATACCACCACGGCGGTGCCTCCCGGCAACAAGAGGCTTTGGTATCCGACGGTTGAGGAAGGTGTGGAAGACACCCAGGCAGCTGGCCTCGTATTATATGTTCGCTTGACCTTGGGAGAGGGCTCGCTTAAAGAATATAAATTGCTGTGTGTAACATTCTACTTTTAGACTAGGTTGTTTTTTAATTGAGCCTCAGCTGCTGTTGCAGAAAGCGGCTTGATATTGCCCTTTCGCCAGCTAACCGGGTTGGGAATGCTTGCCGGGAGGGACTATTCGTCACTAATCTGCACTCCCAACAGCCGACTTTTCTCGGGCTTCCAGATCCAGTTAGAGTCCAATATATATTCTTCAAAGCCAGACACCTCGCTCCGGCAGCAAGCCGAGCGAACCACCTTCCCAGGAGAGGATGAAGTGAATACGCTGTTGCAGATCTGCTTAGCATCAGACTACAATGAAAAGTTGAGACACACCAAAGATGAGATGAGACCATCTTTTCTCCCTGCTGGCCGCCTTCTCCACCCGTCCTCCAGTACATGGCAATTCATGGAAGTCTGAATCATGCACGTTGCAAAGTCAAGTTTGTCAGAACGAAATATCAATTGATCCATTTATCGTGGTAAGAGTAGTGCCAGAAGCTAAGTAACCGGATGCGACGCATGTGATGGAATGTTTTTAACACGCGACGCCTCCTACAAAACCCTGCCTTCAGATCTACTTCGACTCAAAAGCTTCTAAACCTCCGTGATTTGCACATGGCGTCCCAAGCAAAATTTCATGTCCAAGGAAAGAGCACATGGTATAAAAATGATGGGGGGCTTATGCTGCTGTAAACAAAACTACCTGTCTCCTTGTCTATCATGAATATTACATCTAGTCAAAAGTAGAATTTCCGCTTCTAGCGACAAATGTCCTTTGCTCATCGATTCAGATGGATGCCATTCTCGAGAAAGCAGGCGGGTGCCCCCGACAAGGAATACACTGAAAGGTATAATCTACTCAGCCCGGCAATGTCCTACCTTTGACAGACCACCTTATAATAAAGCCTGCGAAGCTTCTCGAGTCCTAGCTCGTAACACTTTGGGCCCAGACAACCTCTCTTTCGACTTTGACGAGGTATCGAACGACCCTATCAAGCTTGCCCAAATCATAACAGGTCATAGGCAAGGCTGCCGAGGTCTTATTGGAGAGCTACCAGATGCTGGTCGATGCTAGGTCGCCCTTGGCAGTGCAGAGCGTTCGGCACGACCTGGAATTGAAATGGGCGATACCGTAAGGGGAGCAATTTTTAGTAATGCCACCCTAGCACTAGACCTGGGCGCTAAAGATTGTCGCTCCGTACATGTTGTAGACTCTGTGCCCGACGCCGGTGGCCTTGTTCGTTCCGGTGGATCCAGTCTGCAAGTTGACGGCCCAGATGGACCATTGTCTAGAGCAGCCACCTGATGGTAAGCACGACTATTCCTTGTGAACTCTAAGAGTGAACCCAGAGCTTTAAGCCTCAACGGGAGCTGAACCGATTGCAGCAATTCCAGCCAGGAGAGATACGAGTGTGAATTTCATGGTGATAAAAGGCATTATCGGCTTGGGTAGTTTCATATCCTGGAAGTGTATAACTTAACCTAATAAGAAGATTTTGCCAAAAGCCTATGCGTAAGAGACTAGCAATAGGCCTATCCTTTATATTCTGCAATCGAGGCCTAGTATGACCGATCCTATAAGCATATCTGCAGCCGTTATGTCTAGCATGACCAGTTCCTGCTCGTAAAAGTCCATGAACAACCTGGGACTCTCGACCACGGGAGTTTGATGAACTTTGTGACGGGAAGTAGTGCAGGCGGCTTCAGTGGACTGGCGATGGCCTTGGCCAATGGCATCGTGAAGTTGAAGGCTTGCAGCTCTGCCCTCGTACGGTGTCCCAGCCGTGCCCTCGAGCGTAGCCTGTCACTCTAGAATATTTTCTTCGGAAATGGGAGAGATAGTGAAGAAGTCAGCCATCTGCCCTCTTTCCATATCGCTCTGGAGACCGGCTCCCCCGTAATGCAGCATTTAATGTCTCTGTCAGCATGACAGCCTTTCGCTAGCTCGTAAGTTCCCCTTTCATAGGATGATCTAGTAACCTTGCCTTACTTTTCAGCTTACTCTAGTATCTTGTAGATAACGCATAAATTGTCTTATATTAATAGTCCAAGGAAATAAATCTCCGTTAATACTACTAGTGACTTATTGCCTTGAAGGAGGACATCCCCCTCAGAAAAATATCCGGGACTTTTCTCCTTCTTCGTACTCCCGGCGGCTGGGTCATGCGCCTCGTGAACAGCAGAATCTTCCTCCGGAGTCTCAAGCGGCACAGATTTGTCTCCCCTACTCCCGAGGACATCCCCGCTGCTTTAGCTCTTGGCTGGGACGAGGATTGCTGGTGCCGTTTACCCAAGTTCGACTCAGATGCTAAAGCATACCCCTGTTATGTTACTCGACGACCCTTAACTTTTCTTTGCTCGGCTTGTACTTTGTTTCGGTTCACCTAATAAAGTGATCTCATCACTGACCCTGCTTGTCTCCCTCCCCCGTCTATTCCGCTCTTAAAGCCTTAAGTTTCTGCCTCGCAGCATAAATATCCAGGGGACTCTGCGACGGATTCTGGGAGTCCGTCCTGTAATTCACCCAATACGGCTCCGGCTCCGCTCCCTCCGCCGCGACTGTCATCTCCTCTACAACCCAGGGCGGCATCACGCCCCGCGAAGTATACTCTTCTTCCTCCGGCAGCGTAAACCCGTCGACCGTTCCCGACAAAACTTTCCTAAGCGGCGCTCCTTCGCGGCCCTCGCGGCCTCGCGCTACCGCGGCCGGACACAAGCCCTTCCAACCGGCGTCTTGTTCCTCTTTGGTAAGTTCCACAAAGGGCGCGGACGAGGTGCTCGGCGCGACGAGCCTGGCGGTTTGGAGCTCTGCGAGTTTGACGGGGTGCAGCCAGGTGGTTCCCCCTGTCGCGTGGTTCTCGTAGTATGTGCGGCCTTTGTTGTCGGTTTTGCGAGAGTAGAGGTAGGGGAGAGGAAGGTCGGAGGTGCCTGTTGCGGTAGCCATTTGGATTAAACCAAATATTATCAAAATCGTAGTTAAGAATGCCCTGTCTCTGGGGATGGCAAAGAAGAAAGAGTCAAGAGGATATAGCGAAATAAGGATAGAGTAAAAAGGCCCTCGCGGAACCTTGTTGATTGAGAGTTTCCGAGGGTTTAAATAACGATCAATTGACGATTCCCAGTCGCGGGGAGAGGAGAGAATGAAACTTGTGGCGGGGTGGTTTGCTTCATTTGTAAACAAGCCAGACGAGACGTCAGAAGAAGCTCCAGTATTTCTATTTTTAGCCTCCACTTGATTTGCGGGTTGGATTACTGTTGCATTACTGTAAAACACACAGACAGCCAGGCTTATGCCCGAGATCCCCACAGCCGGGCTTATACCCGAGATCCCCACGTTACAAAGGAGCGTGTTACTGATTCCTGCAGGAAGACAGCATCTGGATTTTCAGGACATCAACCAATCTCTGGATGAGTAGGAGCCACAGAGGCGCCACAGAGGCGGCGCAGCTGGTTCTGACCATCAATGATTAATCCATCTATTGATCAATGTTCCAATGCTGCATCAGATATCTGTAATACCCTCCACCGACGGCACTTGACGACGGCTGACTTTTTGCTTTCCTTGTTTCATACGGCCGGATGTATCGGTAGGAATAGTAGAAGTCATCAATTGATTTCTTGATGTACCACGGCCTCATCCCTCGGTGGACCCAGCAAGGCAGACCAGCAAGGCGGTTCTCCTCACACAAGTGCATGGCCAGCATACACCGCCGTGACTCGTGAGGAATGCAGTATCTCGTTTCAGATGATACTGGCTGAATAGTAATCAATCATATGGCAGTGTCCACAGCTAACCATCCGAGTTCATCGAGATTGATGTTTAGTAAACGCAGTAATGAAACGCATGAGTGATGCTTCCTACGAACTCCTACGAACCATCACTAGATGGCAGTGTCGCGAGTCTCCCAGTACAGCACCATCATGGAGCAACGGGGCAATCTTGATATTCATCGATCAATGAAATCTGAGCAATTTCAAAGAATACAAATAGGACTCGAAATTCCCCAGTTGGTCAGACCTTTTTTTTTCATCATCATCATCAACAACAACAAAAACAAGACAATCAACAGCATCAACAGCCACCAACTACTCACAACTACCAAGCCTTCAATACCACTTCTCCTCGAGAAAACAACAAGCCATCACTAGCTCGACAAACATGCGCTCCACCGCCTTCATCTCCGCCGTCACCGCTGCCCTTTTGGGCTTCAGTATGGCATCCCCCGCCATCATGCACCCGCGGTTCGACGAGAACCACGGCATCACCGTCCTCGTCTGCGACGCCCCGGCCAACCTCGCCACTTGCAAGCGGGACTGCGACTGCCCCGGCGACTCGCTGCAGCCCGACTGCGGTCATCCCGTCTGCCACGATAACTGCCGATGCCGTGGTAAGTTTCGAGTCCAGCGCTCTTTGCTCTACCCTTTTCTTCCATAGCCCCCTCTCTCTCTCTCTTATCTCGGGCACTCGATAGCTCCTTTATATGGTATTCTTCTAACCACAGCTACAGAGGCTACTCCTCCTCCTCCCTACTCGCCTCCTCCTCCTCCGTACAAGCCTCCCACCCCTCCTCCCCCTCCTAGCCCCCCCAAGCCCAAGGCCCCCGGCGCTTAAGCGGGTCAACTAAGACAGCAACAAGAGTGGTATTAGGCTTGGAAAAGGTTAGGAATACCGAGAACAAAGGGGAACCATCCTGGGATCAAGGATTGGCCAAGATTGACGGAATCAGGGAATCGTGCAACCTTTGGAGAGTTTTGACTTTGGGGTTTTTCTAGTTGGGAGTTTGCATTTCAATATGAATATTCGTTCTTGAATTAGTGTTGGAAAGATCGTGACGTCTATGTTCGGTACATAGCTGGCCTGGCATTGTATGGTCTATATGAAGTAGAGGTGAGTCGCAATGATTCACAGAGCAGCCTATTCATAACCTGAAGAGCCTCAATAGGAAACCCCCATCAGGCCTACCACCAGGTAGAAATCAACGTCCCTAGAAGAGATTCTCTTGTCATATTTTGCTCCTCCACCTTCCCTTCTACATCACCCAACACCCAAAGCACATTCCTGAAGACCTTAAGCTACGTCATGACTGACCGATTAGACTATCAAGGGACATTCTCCCCTCTCATACAGGCATCCATACAGCATCTTCCATGATGGCAGCCTTAAACAACCAGGCTATCCAATCTTCTCCACGATCCTGATAACGCTTAAACTTCAATATTTCTTGGTTCCGGCAGTCCCCACCCCTAGCACCTACAAATTATACTTGAATGTGTCATCCCAATCACTAATCTCCTTCTCAGCATGTGATTCCTCTGAAGAACCCTGATCGCTCGCCTCGAGTCTCTTTTCACGCTGCTTGTTCACCCACCGTAGGGCAAGCATGTTGATGATAACCAGGGCAATGCCGAGCCCTACGAATCCGACGGTGATGCGGGTCCCGTAGAGGTAGCGCGGTGCGGTTTGGGCGGTGAAGATCTGACCGACAACGATTCCTGACGAGTTTCCAACACTAAAGACGACACCGAGAGCCGTGGCACGCTTGAAGTGGCCGGCGAAATTGCTGTTGAGCCAGACGATGGAAAGACCGGCCTATGATTTTCTCATTAGCTGCCATGTTCTTTCCGGAGGAACTGAAGAAGAAGATAGACAGAAAGATACTGGTACTTACCGTAGTATAGACGCCAGCTCCAAGGACGAATACGGCCGCGTAACGGGCTCCGAGAGAGGTCGTACTTAGGTTCATGGCGTATCCTATGATAAGGAACAAGCACGCCATCAAAATGAAGGGTCCGCGCCAGCCGATGCGGTCCGACAGGAGGGCGATGATGATGTACGCCATGGTCGCCCAGACGTACACGGGAACCGTCAGCAGCTGGGCGTGGACGCTGGTATACCCCAGACCCCTGATGATGGCGGGCAAGAATGTCATGAAGCTAAAGAGCGACAGCGTGAGTGAGAACTCGAGAACGGCATGCAAATACATCTTGGGGTCCTTGAAAGCGCTGAGGACCTTGGCCCACGAGAACTCTTCCCCGATGGCTAGATGAGGGTTCATTTCGAAGCGCAGGCGCATAACATTGCGCTCCTCTTCGTTGAGAAACCAGGCGGTGGCAGGGTCTTTGGGAAACACGAAGTAGAGGACCGGCACTAGGGCAACCGTTATAATGCCTTCAATGATGAAGAGCCATGACCACGATGGGAGCCCGCCAGCGTTCACGTTAGAGACGGCGGACGCCAGCAAGCCGCCGACGGCGCCGGCTAGTGCGCTGAACCCGTACATTATGGCGGAGCGGAGGGACATCTCTGATGACAAGTAGACCATGCCGATGTAGGCATTGATGCAAGGAATCAAGCCGGCTTCGAAAAAGCCAATGAGCAGTCGGCAGGCGTAAAGCTGTGACGCGTTCTTGATGAAAGCCATGCCGAGGCAGGTGGCGCCCCAACCGAGCATGCAGAACGAGAGCAGGTTCTTTGGTCCAACAACCTTGAGGGCGATGGAGCAGGGGGCCTCGAAGGCGACATAGGTGGCGAAGAAGAGTGTCACAGCATTGCCGAACTCGTTGCCTTTGAGATTGAGGTCCTCGGGTAGGCCCATGATATTTGTGTTTCCCTGAATACATGTAGGGTGTCAGATTTTGGCTGTTCTAACACAAGAATGAGAGACAGAACATGCGAAGCTTACCAGGTTATTCCTGTCCAGGTTGGCCAGGAGGTACATGATTCCAAAGCACCCGAGCACGACTGTGTCGAACTTCAGCATTGCTCGCTTGTGGATCACGGGGTCAATGGCGGTGGACTCCATGGCGATACTGGCGGCCACCGGGCTCTTGCTAGTGTCTTTTTCTTTGAGGTGCTCGGCAGTCATCGTGTGAGGATCTTGAGCGAATATTTTCTTGTTCTTCTGATGCTGAAGATGTATGCAACAACAGGCCCAAGGTCGGCAAGTGAGCGACGAAGATTAGGCGCCATTAAGAAGAAGTTCCTGGACTCTATCCACGTCGTAATCCTCGGAATTGAATTTCAAAGGCGTATCAGCAAGTAGGGCACTAGGCCTGATCGGCAGTTGGCGTGGTTGCATTTGGTTTATCAGATAAACGGTCGGGGTTTAGATCCATGACAGACCGAGGCTGCGGGGCGAAGGTGGGAGCCTGACAGACCTGGGGCTGGCAACCCATAAGTGATAGCTGTGCAAGGGTAATTACGGTTTGCACGACTCCGCTATAATTGATCTTCGTGCATGCCTACTTTGGGGGCATGAGTGGGCAGAAAACCAGGCCAATAGAGCAACAGAGCCGGGTTCTAGCAAGAAATGTAAAGATCTTATCTGCCAATGTGGAAGTACGATAAGGGAGGCTACCGCCTTATCAAACCCCGGACCCTTGAGCGATGGAGTCCTTTCCATTCTGGGTAAAGGTTATAACATTTCGGCCAAGTGATATTCCCGGTCGGGATCGGATGTGGGGACAGTGGGCGGGCAGTGGTGTTGATTCGATCCTTATCGCCCGACGGCCAAAGCAGACGCGGCGAACGACAGTTCGCTATTATCTCTGGCAGGCCGACACCAGGGCTATAGCCGTAGAGTTACACAGCCAGGAGAAGTTCCACAGACAGAGTTTGATATTCGCTCGAGGACTACAATGCAAAAGAGAGGAGCTGTAATCATTGTCAAGAAAAAGTGGAAAAATTATGTCGTCCGAGTTTATCCGTTCTTGTGCCAAGTGCAGTGTTATCGATAAGGGGCCCTACGTAATACGGTGTATGAGGACTACCCCGTCACCATCCCCGTCGCCATACCCGGCGCCCACTCCATACGCCGGGTGACGGGAAATGTGGCTTACGGTTTCGCTGCCACATGTCTCGGATCGTCTGATTTATCCTACGACAACCTCTAGCTCCGCTTTTGCTCTTTCCCATTGTCGCCCGCCGAGGTCATAGGTTTCATAGGGGTCACAAAACACAATCATTATAAAGAAACCAACTCACCCCGACCCCTTCAACAACTCCTTGAATCGAGATGCTGCTTAAAAACACTGGCATGTTTCACTCGAGAAGACGGAACGAATACATTCAATAAAATCTTGATATACACAATCAAAAGATGGCACCGGACAGTGAAACTGCCGAGTATGATGTCGTCATCGTCGGCGGAGGCCCCGTCGGCTTGCTCATGGCATACCAGCTACGGCGCTTTGGTGTTAGAGCCTGCGTGGTCGAGCAGTATGAAAAGGAGACCCAAGACGCCTACGGCCGCGCCATCGCGCTGTTTCCGCGGACGACGGAACAGCTCGACCAACTCGACCTCATCGAGCCGATGCTGCAGCTCGGATTCGCCTGCCGAACGAGTGTGACGTACAAGGATGGAGAGAGAGTGTACGTGTTCCTTGGCCATTCTTTTTCCCCTGAGCCCCCCGATTTCGTTACACATACAACGAACCTAACTGTTGGCCTGCAGGATGCCCGGTCGTGTGTGGACGTTCATGGAAAATATCAAGGACACCACCTACGACTTCGTACTGGTGCTACGCCAGATGTACACGGAAGCCATATTCCGAGAAAAGCTTGAGTCAATAGGAGCGTCTTATTATCAGGCAATCCAGTGCATCGACTTTCAAGTGGACGAGTCGGCACCGCTAGACTCGCATGCTGTAACATCTGTATTTACAGACAAGCGAACCGGGAGGACGTTCCATCTGAAGAGCAAATACCTCATCGGCGCAGACGGCGGGCGCAGTTTTGTTCGCGGACACGCCGGTATCCCCTTCGACGGCGACACGACGGAGGACCAGTGGATTCGTATCGACGGTCTCGTGGAGACAGACATGCCACTCAACCGCTCGTATGGGTAAGTAGCCCGTGTACATGTTTTAAAAATCGGTTTCATTGGATTTGTAACTGATAAGGGGAAAAATAGTGCCATCGAAAGCCAGACGCACGGAAACGTCCTTTGGGCCCCCCTCGACTACGGAGCCACGCGCATCGGCTACGCTTATACGCCTGAGATTGCCGCCAAGTATCCGGGGGGCGTGACTGAGGAGGTGGCGGTGAAGGAGGCCATTGAGTGTATGAAGCCGTTCAAAGTAAAGTTCAAAGAAGTTCACTGGTGGACGCTATATACTATCGGTCAGCGCATTGCCCGTGGATTTTCGGCCAAGGACCGCATCTTCCTCTGTGGCGACGCGGCTCACACTCACAGCAGCGGCGCCGCGCAGGGTCTCAATACTGGTATCCACGACGCCGTGAATCTCGGCTGGAAGCTTGCCCTTCAGATACGGGGCATCACACAAGACTCTGTGCTCACAACTTACTCCCCCGAGCGCATGACGGCGGTGCAGAAGCTCATCGACTACGACCGCGATATCGCGACGCTCATGTCTCGCAAGTGGCCCGTTTGGTACCAGGGAGACACCACGGAGGACCCGTACCTGATGCTCGGCGAGATTTTTGAGCAGGCCGCTTCCTTTAACACGGGGCTGGGCATCTCGTATCCGGCGAACGTGGTGAACAACCAGCCATCACCAATGGGACTGCACGTTGTCCCGGGCGCGCGGCCGCCTGACGTGGAGCTCACGATGCCCGGCACGAACCAAAAGATAAGGTTCCAGCGGGTCACGCGCAATGTTGGTAAATTCTGGGTGGTGGTATGCACGGGCAACATCGAGTCCACGCGGCCGATGGTTCTCAGCTTGGACCAGTATATAAGAGCCGAGGTGCCCGAGCTTAAGGACCATGAGGCTGTGGGGTGGGTAACGTTGACGCTGTCGGTTGAGTGCTCGCCATACGAGGCCATTGGCATGAAGCCATTTGGTGACACGTATTATGACCCCACCAACATGGCGCATGGGAAGTTTGGCATCGAAGCGGACAAGGGCGGCATTCTCGTGCTTCGACCTGACGGGCTTCTTGGAAGCGCGGGGCCATTAGAGGGACTTTGGCTCAAGGAGTATTTCTCTCATGTGCTCAAGTTGTCCGGGAAGAAGGGAGTAAACGGACATAAGGCATAGTTATCCGGTTCGCTGTGTTCACAAGGTAGATCGTCAGAAGGTTTCACGATAGTTAGATATAGATGATAGCATAAAGCTTTTTTTTTTTTTTAATCTACTGTAATATAAACCTGATTCATTCAGCAATGATTTCCCTTGACTATGGCCAGCTCGATTTGAGGGCCTCTTGAAATAGATCCCCCCTCCTAGCAACTGCGAAGAATAGCCACGGAAATATAAGGTGGAAATAAATGAGAGCTGAAACGAGGGGGAAAAGAAAGGTTTAAAGAAAGGGAAAAGAAGGCAAAGGATATGAAGCAAAAGCCATCTACGCATCGCATGGGTTTATCGAAGTCGGCAGAATCCTTAACCAGAACATTCGTGTCTTAGTGTTCTTGCGCAGGCTCCGTATGTAACCGAATCTGAGCATATATGACGATGGTTTATCGGTTATCGATAGAGGGAAGAATTGATAACGCTAATCAAGCAATGGGCTAAATCCCTTTTCGCAGCCATTTGGCCCCCGGCAGTGTTGGCCGAACGGGCAAGCTATCGGCCGATTCGATGTGCTGAGATGTACGTATTCCTTTTCCGGCGTGGTAGATGCCCCCAGTGTAGTCTCCTCGATCGATTGATAACCAATATATTATTTTTACCTTGCGATGTGCAGTTTATTGCAGTCGTCTCCCCGCGCTCATTCCTCCTCGAACCCTTCTCTTGAAACAGCAACTGCGGTTGACCAAGAAAAGAATAAAGCAGAAAACGAATAACCATACGGAATAAAGTGCGCCAGTACTATCCCCGGACTTCGTGCATTCGTCACCCAAAATCGAAAAAATGCCCGTCATACCAGCGCGAAAGTCTGTGGCTTTCTTGGTCCAAAAGGGCCAAGAAATTAAAATCATCAACACCTATGGCAAGCAGGTCCTCGATTTCTGGGCCTTTAACCCCGCCGACCCCAATGACTTCCTCTCTATGGTGCACTGCCGCACCATTCTCCTCAAGGTGTCCTTGTCTCGCGGCGACAAGCTGTACAGCACGCGGCGGAAGCCCATTCTCACCCTGACCGAGGACACCACGCGCGGCGTGCACGACATGATCTGGTCCGCTTGCGACGCCGAGAGGTATCGCATGCAAGGCTTCGAAGGCTACCACGACAACTGCACCGACAACATGCACAAGGCGCTCAAGGACAACTTCCCGGATTTCCACATCGCCCACGACTGGGTCCCCGACCCGCTCAACCTCTTCATGAACGTCGCAATCGATCACCATGGTGGCCTGGACATCCGCCCTCCCACCAGCGAGGCGGGCCAGTATGTCATCTTTCGCGCCGAGGCGCCCTTGGTCATAGTCATGAGCGCCTGTCCTCAGGACATGGCCCCGGTTAACGCGGGGATGCCCACCGATTGCGAGTACCGGGTTCTCGGCGCCGGTGAGCAGCAAGAAGAGCAGACCTTGGCTGTGCCAGCCGTGTTTCGCCCCAGGACGCGGCGCGTAAAAGTAGCCCTCTCCGTTGACTTCGACGCCGTGTCACACTGGCTAGGCACGGGCTGCCACGCCGACAACAACATGGCCGACTACTCGTCGGGCATCTTCGCCGGCCAGGTGGGCGTTTACCGCCTACTGAGCGTGTTCAATAAAAACGGCGTGGCGGATAAGGTCACCTGGTACATTCCAGGCCATACCACAGAGACATTCCCGGAGGCCGCGCGCGCCGTGTTGGAGTCGGGCGCTGAGATCGGCCTCCACGGGTACGCCCACGAGGGTATTGCCCAAATGACTGAGGAGCAAGAACGTGAGGTCCTCCTAAAGTGGTAAGTCTTGTCCTATCTTTTCCCTCCAATCGCTGAAAAAACGGCTTCAGTACGGCTAACCACAATGTGCTCAGCATTGACGTCGCCACGAAGCTGGTGGGCAAAAAACCTCGCGGTTACCGCGCTCCAATGTATACCATCCGCGAAACAACGATCAAGCTCCTCCGCGAGTACGGCTTCCTCTACGACTCGTCGCTCATGCACCACGACTCCCAGCCCTACTTTACACCTAATGACCCTCCGATCGAACCCATTGACTGGTCCCAGCCGGCCTCATCCTGGCTCAAGCCCTCTCCCATCGCGTCTCAGAGATACCCAGAGGACGGTGTTCATCCGCTGGTTGAACTTCCCTGCGGCTGGTACAACGAAGACATGATGCCACTGCAGTACCTGCCCCATCTGGCCAACAGCATGGGCTACGTGTCCACGCGCGTAGTGGAGCAGATGTGGAAGGACAAGTTCATGTGGCTGTGGGAGAACCCGAATGAGGGCGATGAGTCAGCCGACTTCATTTTCCCGATCCTGGTTCACCCGGACACCAGCGGCTTGGCCCATATCACCGGCATGGTCGATCGGTTCATCGGGTGGTTGAAAGGGTTCGGCGAGTCGGTGGAGTTTTGCACTGGGGAGCAGATTGCTCAGGCATGGTTGGCCGTGCAGCAGAAGGCGAGAGCAGCTGCTTAGTGAGGATTAAGGAAAGAGCGAGATTAGGTTGGATTGCATGAGTGTTTTACAGGCTGGCAATGAGGAGAGGCCGTCAGTGTGATAAATACATAATACGATGAAATTATTACTTTTTTGGACTATTACAATCGCTGGCCAAGAGGCTATAGTATTGAGGAATTAAGTTCTCAACACCTTTGAGACTCCTTGTCAACACGACTTTCACCATATAGTCGAAATGATTCAGTCACTTTAATGCAGTTGCCTCTGTGAGCTAGATCCAATTTCTCGAGACATTCTCGGGCTGGTAAGATGAAGCCTAACAAAGTTGAATTGACCATCACTATGCTACTTTTGTATTGTAGACCTAACTTATGACGAGAATCTTGAGAGGGCCGCTTCTATTGAGGATTATCCTACTCATCATGTATTGTGTTTCGCTTGATCGCAGGCCCTACACGATATGCGGTTACCAACGGAGTGGAAGCCAATTCTTGCAGCACGGAATTCTAAATCACAGTAACTCTGGCTCTAGAGTGGGAAGTAATGCGATATGAAATTGGGCGATGATACAACGTATCGGCTCTGTACATAAGATATGGAGCTGATGCAAGAAGGGCCGCCGAAACCCCCGAGAGACGGCCGTGTTGGCCGGCGTAAGTACCCCACCTTGAGTTCCCCGTCACGAATGCTTGCCCACCAATCCCACCGTTCCAATTGCAACGCCCAGCCCAGGGTCGTCGCCCATCGCCCGTCGCCCGTCGCCCATCGCCCGTCGCCCGTCGGCCACCGGCCACCGGCCGTTACTATCACCCGACGCACACTCCCGTCTTCATGCATATACCCGTATATGTCCGCGTAATGGAGCTGAAAGTACCTTGGTAAAACATGTCCAATCTCTGACGACAATTGCTCCCAAATTTGGAAACGGCTATCGTTGATTAGATGCAATGCGTGCGCCTCAATCTAGTTTTTGTAACAAAAAATTAGAGCTTCTGGTTCACTGGCGCCTGATGATGCCCGCCTTTTACCCATTTGATGCCTCCTTGTATGAGCTTAGTGCCCGCCAATGATTATTAGGCAGCCCAAAGGCAAAACCGGCCAAACTCCCGGCCAGACCAAGTCTCCCTGCCAATTTCCTCGCCCGTGACTTATGAGATGAAACCATCATGAGACGTAGCATTCTCTCTCTAATACACGGTAGAAAATGCACTCTTGCCCCTTTACAAAGTATAATTCCCCATCTTCATCGCACACTCACCTGCACGGTTACCCCCTTTGTTTCCACTACGATGCCATCCTCCGTCCATACAATGACCGTCCCCGCTGCAGCCACGCCCGCGACGAAGTCTGCCTTTCGGGACCTGACACTGCGAGTCAACGGCTCTAGGTTGATGGAATCGATCCATTCGACGTGCGAATTCGGCAAAGCTCATCCGTATGGAGAGTAAGTTAAAAACACTCCTATGAGGAGAAAGAATACAAAGCCCCCAACCCTTCCGATGATGTATATTCTTCTTTCTAGTTTTACTTTATGAAAAGCCGGAGCCTGATCACAGCAATCTGCGCCATGTGAGTTCTATAGTCACCCGACCGAGACCGGAATGGGCCGTCTCTCCCTAAACGACGACGACAAAGCGGTCCGCAAATGGCTTATAGACGAAGTACGGGCTATCGGCTGCACCGTTACCGTCGACCAGATGGGCAATATTTTCGCGATAAGGCGGGGTAAATCCAAGACCATGGCGCCCATTATGATGGGGTCGCATCTTGACACGCAGCCTACGGGAGGCAGGTATGACGGTATCCTGGGCGTCATGGCGGCCCTTGAGGTCTTGAGAACACTACACGAGAACAAGTACGAGACAGAAGGCCCTGTGGGGCTTGTGAATTGGACAAAGTTCGTTTCCCTTCCTATCTTTTCAAGTTTTTCCTCTCTTTTCAATAGCCAGAGGCGCGCGGAATTGATCACTAGTACTAATAACAATTCCTGGTCTTGCTAGTGAGGAAGGCGCTCGCTTCCCGATAATCACCATGGCCTCTGCCGTCTGGTCTGGAGCCATCCCGCTTGAAACAGCCTGGAACTGCACAGAAGTGACCCCTCCGCAAAACGGATCGACCCCTCGCACTGTTAGACAAGAACTCGAACGCATCGGCTTCCTCGGTGACATCTCGGCATCGCATGAGGCCCAGACCATGGCCGCGCACTTCGAGCTGCACATAGAACAAGGCCCTATCCTCGAGGATGAGGAGCGCAAGGTCGGCGTCGTCACAGGCGCACAGGCCTACCGCTGGTACGAGGTTGAGGTCAAAGGGAGGGATGGGCACGCGGGAACAACTCCGCTCGCCGCCCGGAGAGATTCACTCTTGGCTGCGGCTAAGATGATTGTGGCATCTAACCAGGTTGCTAAGTCCTTTGAGGGCCTTATCACCACGGGCATCATCAACGGTCTTCCGGGGAGCGTAAACACCGTGGCGCACACTACGAAATTCTCCCTAGACATCCGCCACCCCAGCAATGAGACGCTGGCCGAGATGGTCGCAGCGCTCCGCGAGAAGTTCGACACAATTGCCTCCAAGGACTCGGGGCGGGGTGTCCAAGTTCACTGGAAGGCTCTCACGGATAACGCTGCCACAGCCTTTCACAAGGACTGCATCGCGGTGGTGGAGGAGGCGGCAGATGAGGTGTGCGCGCGGCTACCAGGCGGTTCTTCGGACAGCGGCCGCAAACTGTGGAGGCACATGGTGAGCGGTGCTAGTCATGACAGCTGTCAAGTGAGCAAGGTCTGTCCCACAGCTATGATTTTCTCACCGACGAGGAATGGTCTGAGCCATACTCCGGACGAATATTGCAGCCCCGAGGACTGTGTGGTTGGGGCTCAGGTGTTACTGGGTGCGGTCGTAAGGTATGACGCCGCTCGTAGCTGATACTCTATAATGGGATCTCAGGAAAGGATAGACCGTCTAGACCGAACGGTGAACGAAAATATAGAGGCAGCAGTTTACAGTACATGTTAATAACAATTTCTTTTCCCTTGCTTGATTAGGCTTCCCCTGGCATTGCAGTTTACTTTAGTATCACTATATTTTTGATGTCATAGTAAGAACTCCTATGAGGAAGAATAGGCAATAACTCACCTTTTAAGAACTCCTGGGAAGGTATATATTGTGTCAATACTTATTAATCCGTGTTCATAGATGACTCAGTGCGATCCCGAGGAGGCGCCATAGAGCTCGAGGCGGCTTCGCACGCTCGAACACTATGTCCGGTTACTCTTCGCAAAGAGCGCCAGGCCCCGAATCTTTGAGAAGCCTCATAGCGGGGCTAATTGGGCCCGTTCCATAGACCACCGAGTCTACGCCCTTCCAGAAGATGGCGTCCAGTCTCATGGTCGCCAGTCGAGCAAGTGGCCATGCTCTGGCTAGACTGCGTAGAGTGTCTCTCCACTTGTTTAGTAAAGCCCTGTTTCGTATAGCCATTTCCAGTGTGGAAGATTGGGCCAAGTTTAACAAGATGAAGGTCGCAACATAACATAGCTGAAACCGAGTATCTGCAGGAGCGTTGTTAACTTTGCGTCAAAAAAAAAATATTGGGGGATTTGACCTCTGAAGTGGGCACCAAGAAGTCGACTTACAAGGCGGCCAGAAGCTCGCGAAATGCCTAGCCTTAAGAGATGAGACAATTTCCGTTGCCACATTAGCACAGACGTAACAATTCTCGAAAATTGTCGAGATCGGTTCTCGGCAATCATCTCTACAGAGAGCGGCATCGTAATAAAGGGGCCGGAGCAGCGCGCGAAAAATAAGAATTTCCAACGTGAGATGCGATAGACGCAAGGCAGCGCCATCGTCGAGACCATCCTCGCTCAACTCGGAAACAGGAGTCGCCAGCAAGGGAAGCGTTTGCCTCCAACTCTCGATCCGGGTTCGGAGGGGTTGGGCCCGTGTCAGGAGCGCGTCGAGCGTCGGCGATTCCCAGTGAGCCCTAAGCGAGCTGCTGGCAAGACAAGACATATACTGGTTAGCAGCTATGTTTGCCTGCGACATGTTGTTGAGGATAAATCAAACCCCCTCCTCCCCCTTCTTTTGCTGCGAGGGTGGTGTGGTGCCACTTACTAGAATTCCTTCAGAACATCTGCAGCAATTATCCCGAGTTCACATTGCGCCATACAGATGGAAATCTGCCGTAGGATAGAGGTTTGAAGCTCTGGTCCTTCGTTTTCACCCTTCTCAAAATCGTCTGCTGTAAGCTTTGAAACACACCAATTCGTGTCGGTGATGTGCGACGGCCGGCCGTAGACGATGGCGTGCCAAGTGTGCACAACGTAGGTCAGCCACCAAAGCCTTCTCCGAAGCATCACCTGTTCTCGAGGAATCCGCCAATTCAAAGGGTCTATGTTTATGCCCAGATTCTCTGCAATAGCCACGGCGGAACAAGACAGCGCCCAAAACTTGGGAGGCTCCGCGACCACGAAGCTTTGGGGAGGCATCTGGAGGAGAAGCAGGCAGAGCTGCAGGGAGGATATGTGAGACGAACAGGTCGCGCGGTGAAAGCTGCGGTGCGCAATAGCCCATAGGTTCTCTGTGGGTACCTCCCAATAACCCTTTGACACGCTAAGCTCGTCATCCAGAAAGCTGAATGGCGCAGCTAGGGCATATACAGCGCTTCGAATACCTACGGGGAGAGACGAGCTGCCGTCGGACTTGGCCATGTGCGTCAACTCGCCAAGCGAGAGCACAGGGTACCGGGGATGGACAAATTGGGAGTATCTAATCTCGGGGACAATGTTTAGTAAAAGCCGAAGAGTTATTAAAAATACTTATACGAGCGAGTCCGACCTACAGCTTGAGCAACCGAACCCCCAAATCCGGGGTCACTATTTCGTTGAGAAGTGCCATGTCCGCGGCCTCTGTACCCTCGCTTCCTGCCAATAGTCTTTCCGTAGCTTTGACTTCATCCTTCCATATAATTTCGTCGCACATCATGAAATGTATCGAGTTGTGGGCGGTGGACGGATCTAGGTTGTCTCTAGATGAGTTTGAAGCCAGACCCGGTGCCTTCGTATCGTCTGATACTTTCCGAAAATCAAGGCGTAACATCCGGTAGGTATCGGTCGCGTCATATCGATAGTGTCGAAGGAGAAATGGGTCCGACTCGCCAGATAAACCAACCAGCTGGTTGGAGTATCCTTTCCTGGACTCCAGCGAGAATTCGGGCGGCCAGTCCAAAGCATGCTGTGCACTGCGTCGCTCACGGAGCGTATCAGCAGCAGGGAGACCTAGATTTTGTGGAATGCCGTTGCGAGATGGTCCTCCTTCCGCCGTTGTTTGAGCAAGGTAAGGGTCTTCTTGTCCGGGCGCACCAGAAATGCTCGACGTAGATTCGCTCGGGGACGTGGCAAGAGCTGTTCTCGGTGACGGCCCACGCACCATAATGGTGCTCATTTGTGGGACGACGTCGAGTATGAACGCGCTATCAGGCTCATATTGTGTTTCAGGAAAAGCTTGCCCGTTATCACCGGGAGTCCTCCCTAACAAACACCACAATGTCAGTCGAGAAGCAAGCCCGCGGTGCTCAGAGGACCTCACCAAACAGGTTCCCCGCCGAAAACCAATCGGCCCGCAGTCCATGTATCTCCTGAGAATTTGAAGAGCCTTGGCGATCTCCTTGGGGCAACCAGGTGTTATCGGCATTAATATCCACGTCCATGTCCAAATTCGTGACGCCATCGACATCGCGACCGCTAGGCAAATACCTCGATCCCAGCCGCATCCCGCCTGCCGCTTGACTCGATTCCGTCATCAAATTGTTCATATCATCGCTGCGGGGCCGTTTCTTCCTCTGGAGAGGGCCGATGACGAAGGTACACTGACGACGCAGTCTCTGGCATAGTTCGCAGGCAGTCCAGTTGCCTTGCAGCTTGCACTGGATCTTTCGGGAGCGGCAGAGGTCGCATGGTCTCTGCTTCTTCGAGCGATACTTGCGCCCATTCGGTTCCAGCGGCGGCTCCTCATACATAAGGGTTGAGGGGGTGGGGTGGGTAACCGGATTGAGAATCTGGTGATAATCGTTATCTCAATTTTGGTCTTCGCGGGGACGGGGGACTGAAGGTTGTAGCAGGACGAAGCCCGTGTTTCTCGTCAGCTTGCCTCCTTGTTCCCCTCTCGACGGAAGCCGGCTTCGGTTCCGGGTCTGATAAGTTCGCTTATCTTATCTTTACTAGTATCACTTTCATTACCAATCGCTAGGATTACTCGTGCCCCACACCCGACGAAGTACCTCCCGGTACGAAGTAGAGTGTGTTCCTAACCCATCAGAGATGCTTAAAAATTGAGATCCTGGCTGGCGCTCGGACGAGACCAAGAGTGTGGCACAAGTTGACTCAATCAAGGCGAACCCCAGTCCATTCTCAGACATCGGGCCGAACGAGTCTGGACCAGATGCTTTGTTCCTGTTTGCTCAAGCTTGGCCAAAGCAGCTCATGAGAATCGAATCCGGGGAAACTAAAGACAAAATCCGGGGCCCCAGATTAATCCCATCGTTCTCGGGTACTCTCCCCACGAAGCCGAAATTTACTTTTTGTGTCTCTAGATACGATCATGTCGGAAATCATTAGGACCAGGCATTGACAGTGTATGTAGGGCAATCCTAGCCGGGATAGTTGATAGCACGGCAGGTAGCCGGCTCGCCCAAAGCGGGTATCGGTGTGACAGTAGCTACCACTATATTGGCAATTATGGCGGCGCAAGGTAGCTGGTGTCGTCCGGATAGATATCCCCTAAAGAGCCCGAATATCGACCTCACGGTCTTAAGAGTAGGCGCCAATACAGTCAGGTGGATACTGGGCCACGCTCAAATCGGGATTAAGCTGAAGCGGAACCTAGGTGGCTTTTACTAGAGTTTAGATAGGCACTTAGTCCCACCCTCAGTTACTTGAGCGTGCCTACGCATACTGTAGGCAATCTTCTTCCTAGCCATGTCCGGATAAGTGTAGGTAACTAAACTACATCATAGTGTTATCTCAACGATAGAACCGAGCTCGACCAGCCGACAGCAATGGGAAAGGGTGGAGTTTACCATTCATAATATTAGATGTATTTGGGCGGAACTTTGTACGTTAAGACGGACTGACCCACAACTCGCCTGGCGTGGGCTAGAGAAAGGAAAGACCACCAAGGTCCGCGGTCCGCGGAATGGAATTGGACCTTCTACTCTACACACGTCCAACTCTCTGCCGCATTTGGGTCGCCCTTCCCATCGTACATGTTTCGTGCTGGGTATTTACAATGCCTCCTCTGAAACGCGATTTTATCCTTCTCCGCGGTCGTATACTTAGTTCCTAAGACATAGTCGGGCGCAATCCCCTCCTCGACCCATCGAACCATTGCCGCGAGGACGTTTCCTTCCGGCTCCTCCCCAGCGAGAGTTGCAAGCCTATTACCGATATTTGATGCCCCCTTGCCACCCGCACAGTGACCCATCCCCGAAACGTAGAACAGTCGGTAGAACTCGTCGAGCTCACTGGGAGGGAGACCCATCGTTCGCGCCACAAAATTGTAATACCGACCCGAGTTTTCCGCCGAGATGGCCGGGTCTTGAAGTCCATGATAATGCAAGACCTTAACACCACGGTCCCGCGCATCGGAAAGGTTACCCAACCAGCCCTCACCTTGAAGCCCGGCTACCTTTGCCTTTGCAGCCTCGATATCCTCCATTGTCACAGGACCGTTCCACGACGCGTTGCCGTACACGCCATAGCGGAACCATCCGGTAACATACGAACCCTCAAGGCTCCCTGCCCAGAGAATACCTGAGGAATCCGTCCCGGGTTGCATACGAGAATATATCATATTCCCCTCCGCGTCGTAAAGAGGGGAGTACAAAGCCCGAACGGTGTCGGCCTGTGCGCCAGTCAAACAGCCCTCTGTCTTGTTCGAACCGCATAGAAGCCCCTCCGGTCGGTAGTTGCACAGCTCGGTATGCTCTAGGATGCCGTCCTCGTACCCATCTAGCCAGTCACACTGACGCATAACATCCTGGATGACAATCGCCCATAATTCTTTAGAGAGGAAGTTTGGGGAGCCAGGCGGGCCGGTTATGGTGACAGCATGACCTGCCCAAGACTGCAGGGCGCTCATTGAGATGGCGGGGGCACCGGCAACAATGCCGTCAAAGTCATCCGGAAATTCCTGGGCAGAGACAAGTCCTTGCCGACCACCAGTCGAGCACCCGAGATAGTAGGCTTTAGTGTGTTTTTCGCCGTAGTAGGCCCGGCTTATCTCTTTGACAAGTTTTGCACCGGTGTGGACCGCACCCCAGGCGTAACTCTCAAGCACATCGGGGTCTTCTAGTGGCTCCCCAACGTTACCGACGTGCCCTATATCAGTACCCAGGGCCGCAAATCCCCTCTGGGAGGTGTAAAGTAGATCGTCGTAAGCGATGCAACCCCCAAGGCCACCATTGCCGACTATGATAACGCGGCCAGTCCAGTTAAGAGGTAGCCAGGCTTCTGAATTGATCTCGCTCTTCGGTCCCGTAGATGTTGTCAATCCAACGCGACAGAAATCAAAGTCCACGACGCCAGAGAGGCCGCTGCATGTTGAGTGGGTTTGCGGGATGGTTAGGTTCCGACCGGCTGGGATATATTCAACAGAGCTAACGGTGGAGTCCCTAAAGAGGGCGTTTTCGAGATGATGAGCCAATCCCGCGCAACGCTGCTTCAATGAGGTGGACGATTTCGAGCCCGAGGCCAGGTGAGCTAGCAGAAGGATTAAACCAGCGCGGCTAGGTCCCTTCATCTTCTCCAAATAGAATATACTTGACGAGTTAATGAAACAAAATATTGAACTGCCAAACAATCCGAGTTTATCCCATCTTTGTTTACCAGCTCAATCTCAACCTTTATACACGCCGAAGATTCTTATTCGGAACCGAATGCCGACGAGTCGCTCCCCGCAGTGGTATTCGGCTTTAGCTACTTTGGGATCGGCAGTCCACTTCAGTGTGGGCAGAATACGCTCTGACAGTCTAAAGCAGCGAGTTTTTATTTTTTATGGGCTAGCCTCTTGAAAGAAAAACGTGGAGAAGTAATGTCAAATTTCCTAGGACGGCGTAGCTCATGACGGGAGTTGAGCATCGCAACTTGTGCTTCACACTGGAGATCGACCACGAGGAGCAAATGTTGTCGGCAGCGACATTGGGTATCGAATAGTATGTCCGTGTCCGACTCCTCTGCGAACAGATAGGTTTAGACCCGTGGTTAGAAATGATCAATATTAAGTTTGGAAACGCCAGATCACAAATATGAAGGATCGGTTGCCCACAGTATCCGCGACCGCTCGAGGTCACAACAACAGTCCGAACCTTTACCAAGAGTACTGAGACAGACTAGCGTGGCCCAGCAGAAATATCGATAAAAACAAAAGGGCGGTTGGTCAGTGATCAGAAGTCGAACCAGTTGAGAAATGCCGCACAAAGCTCCCAATGGCTCGAAGGACCTCGGATTCTGTTGATCAATGGGAAAGAAGCGAAGGCAGTAAGAAATGGCGCTTCCAATGGAGTGGAAGTGATGAGATGGAATCCTTACTTAAACGGCTGAGCAAAGGGCACTGAGGCGAGTGGTAGCCACAAGAGATAAAGCGAAACGTTGATCAATTGAAAGAACGACTGGAAACTAACTACTTAAGATGAAACTTAAAAGATGATCGTAAGACTGACTAGAAGAAACAACCAGCCATTACGCCCCCTTTCCCACCGTGTACCCGGCGAATCGTTCTTCTGCGATCACTCTTCGGAATAAATCCGACACTTGGAAGTGCCGAAGAAACAAAATTGCGGGGACCCAAGCTTCTAGTCCCTCTCCTCCGCTTGCTACCCCGGAAGGCCGCAGTAGTGCTAATTCCTTTCATTTCTTCCAAAGAGGACATATCTGGCCGAGTCCCAGACTCCCAGCACAGCAAAGCCGCCGAACACAACCAGTGACATTTCATAATTGCCAATACAGCCCCGCAAACATGAATCGAACGAGTTGCGACAGTTGTAGGGATCGAAAAATAAAGGTGTGTAAGGAGAACGGGCGACCGAAGGGCGAAGGCGTTCTTGTACTAACCCTCTTGCCAGTGCACCAAACCGGGTATGTTCCTGCCAAATGCGAGCTCTGCGTCAGATATTTGAGGGCTGATTCGAGATGTTTCCAAGACTCTAACGGTCCCTGTGACTACTGTCGCAGCGCTGGAAAAACCTGTTTATCCACAGCCCGTAAACGACGCCAAAAGCCATTTTACTTTGTATCGGAAGAAGAGTACCGTCTCTTACGCCAGGTGTGCGGGCAGTATCTCCCTGGGCAGGACCTGTCGGTCCCGAGCCTGAGACGATTGGCCTCTCGTTCTACTGCCTCAGGCTATGGAGCCATAGCTGGACGTATAAACTCAGACACGGACGAGGCGAGCCCCCAAGGTGATGTTCTGCATAGTGCTCGAGAAGAAAGCGATGTTACGCTCCCCGAAATTGTCAATCTTCATCAGGATTTGGGATGCTTGATGGTTGATGCTCAAGGCGAATACCGTACGTTCTTTTTGCCCAATACACGCACTTTGAACTGGCCCAACACTACCACATTACAGGTTACGTCGGTGCTGATTCAGGAATGAGCTTCAATATTGCTGTGAGGTCCTGGTTCTTCAACGATTCTCACGCCACCGAGAAAGTCGATATCTTGCCCTCCATGATTAAGGTGACTATGCCGACCGCGGAACGTCAATCGAACCCCGACAACGACTTATCGCCTGAGATGTTGGCGCTAGCATCTCGAGACATCTCGTTGGCTTGTGCCTCCCGGTTCTTCGAAGAGGTGCATCCCATGTATTGGCTGTTCCCTTCGGAAGACTTTTACACTCGTTTCGAGGCTACTTACTCTAGGGCGCATGTTCCGCTGGCTAGCTCATGGCTCTGCACATTACACAGCATAGTTGCACTTGGCGCATCGTGTGCCTCATCGTGCGCCCGGTTGCCCAATGAAGAGTTAGCGCGTGAATCTCTACAGGCGGCGAAGGCACTTGTTTCGCGTGTGTGTGATCAGGCTGATCTCGATAGCATAAGGGCTCTAATTGCTCTTGTGAGTATATTCTTCTCATATTCCGCTCCAACTGCAAGGTGAGGTAGTGGGCTGATCACCTTGTAGGCGTTGGCCCTTCAGTGCAATGGATATATGAACCAAGCGTACCTTTATATAGGGACCGCCGTTCGCATCGCCTTCTCTCTCGGTCTCCACTTGGATAAATGTGCTGCTAAAGACAACGTGGTGGCGCTCGCCTATGCTCGGCGCTTATGGTGGAGCCTATTCCTTCTCGATCACGATATTTCATTGCAGCTGGGGAAACCCTGTATGACGGATTCTTCGCACTTCACGTGGAATCCCCCGCTTCCGTCTGAACAAGCAGGTCCCCCGACCCAGAACCATGAGCATTGAAACGCCGACTGAGACCAACTCTAGATAGTTAGCCCGGGATCTTATACGCCTCACGGTTTACTCGAACCTTACGTTCGCCTAGCCAAACTAGCTAAGAAAATTCGGCAAGTCCTCTACGTTGGGCCAATCGACGACGGCCGACAGTTGACTCAATCCAACTTCGAAGACTCCATTAGATCTCTAAACAGATGGCTAGACGACATCCCACCACATCTCCAGCTGACATTGTCCGTGCCGCCGCCCCACAGAAGACAAGTCGCCATACTCCATTTGCGATACTGGAATACTGTTATGCTCGTTACGCGGCCATTCCTCCTCTGTATGCTTTTACGTGGGAGCGAGCTGGCTAATACACCCAAGAAACAGTATTTCGATGGGTTTTCCAGGCTGTGTGTGTCTGCTGCTGAAGCTTCGATTGATATATTCGAAGATATGGTTCCGCAGGGCCTCGTGTCAAGCTTGGTTCTCATCGACTTCTTCTTTGCATTGCATGTCGTGCAAGTCATTCTCGCGGCCTCTGCTCTCTACTGCCCAGAAACCCACCTGGCCCAGGCAAAAAGATGCGTTACCATCCTAAACGCAATTGGCTCTTTTGGTTGCCCGAAGCATCTTCTTCCCGAGACGCTCTTTGAGCTGCAGCAGGTCGGTTTATTGGACGATCTGGATGGCCGCGTCTATACTGATGAGCTTCCAAATGGGCTGCTTAATACAAGCTTCGAAGGCAGTTCGCTGAAAGACACACGGTACGAACCTCTCCATGATTCAGACTTGTGGCTTAAGAGTCGCTAATTTATTATTACCAGATCAGACGGAATGGACTGCTCAGAACTAAATTGGAGGATATTGGGAGATCTGGACGTCTTTAATATTTCTCTGGAGGAAAACTTCATCGACGAGCTGATGCATATATCTGGACCATTCCCAGAGTCGTAAAATTCTCAAGAAATGCGATTTCTTTTCCTTTACCTTTTCCCCATATTTCCTTCTGTCTCCTCTGCGTTCGTAAGTTATAGGTCCAACTTACACGGCCGAGCCATGAAAGACTAGTTGGAGCTATGAGATCTTCGAGACCTTGCAATAGAAGTCTCTCGTCTTCACAAACCAGACGTTCTCTATTCTCCACTCAGGCTTATTTGAATCCGTATCTGGCGTGAGGTTAAAATGGCGGACTATTTGTGGAATCACCTTGGATAGCTCCATCAGGCTAATGTTCTTGCCGATGCATGTACGGGATCCTTGCCCAAACTAAGTTTTGCGTCCTGTTATTAGAATTCAGACCAAACGGGTAGTCAAAGGGGAGCACGCACCGCCATGAAGTAGGACTCGCGCTTCTTGACTACTTCTGGCTCTTCCAGCCATCGTTCTGGTCTAAATGCATTAGCGTCAGGGCCGAAAACCTCTTGATTGGCGTGAGCCACCCAAGAGTTGATACCGACAACAGCCTAATCCACGTCATTAGCTATCCGCTCACGGTGATGTAGAAAAAAAATAGTAGACAATATTAATTGGTAGACGAACTCCTGGCGGGAAGTACTGCCCCGCTAACACGGCGCCTTCCTCTGGGACAACACGACCTAATATAAGACCAGTTGCAGGATGTACTCTCAGAGCTTCCTTTATAACAGCTTGTAAGTAAGGCATTTTCTGAGCTTCGGAAAACTTAATAGGGTCTGAGATTATGCCGCGTGCTTCGTATTCTCTGATCTCCTCCTGCAATTGCCGTAGGCTACTTGGGTGCTTCAGGAGATTGAAAATTGCTGCTGAGAAGGCGATTGATGTCGTATCAGAACCAGCCCCGACGTTCATAATGCCGGCAGTGAGTATTTCAGCTTTGCTGATCTTCCCTGGATCATTATCGTGACCTCTTAGAAGTCTCGTTATGATATCAGTGGTTGCGTTGGGGCTGGTCCAGTCTTTCTCTGACTGGAACCTCGCCACCTTTGCCTCTACCCATGTAGTGGCAAAATTCCTAACGTTCTGGAGGCCTGAAAGCTTCTTCGACCCCATCTTTCGTCGGAAGAGTATCTTATGCCACTCTGGAAAGATGCCAACCCTCACACAATATAGTAGATATTCAGACAGTGATGCCATAATATTTTGGATATCCTCCCCAGAGTCTAGGAAGCCGAATCTCTCATTAAACTACTATGGGCGTAAGCTTGGTGATGTGGGAAGTCGCTCGGAAAATCTTACTGTGATCTTGCCAATAACATCAAAGGCATAGCATTGCATCCAATGGGAGATGTCAACTGAGGCGCCTGACTCCGCGAATTCTTCCAGCCTCGTACGCAAGACAGCTGTGCACTCGTCGACAAACCGCTCCAGCTGGACTAAGCTGGTCATCGAGTATGCGGCTGCGATTTTTCGTCTTGCCGTAGCATGGAGGTGAGGATCGGGCTCGGTAAATATGTTCGTGACGGTGCTGTAAGGGCTACCGCTGGCTTGGTACCACGGAGACTTCGCAGAGGGGAAGGCTAAGTAAGTCAAATAGCCCCCCTATCCAGAGTAAAATTAACTCACCTTGACAAACCCTCGACCACTGCCGTAAATGACTTTGGCTGCTGCAGGATCGTCGATACTGTACTCATTAGGAGCAATCCGTACGATCGGTCCTATATGGTGGGTGGTTAGTAGTGTAACGGATGTGTTGGCGGGCTCTAAGCAGCGCTAAGTATTGTTGGATATCTTACCGTATTTCCGATGAAGTCGGACATTTGTTTCTGGAAAAGTCCCAAGGTACGCTTCCCTGAACAGCCAAACCCTTGTATACCTCGCGAGGAACGGTCCAGGAACGTGCCTTAATCTTGTGGCCAGAGGTTGTAGGAGGAATACGAGAAAACCGAGAGTTGTACATACGCCGATAACTGGCCAGGAACAAGGGAAGGGGGTCGTGAAATCCATAATTTAGGGGCCATCTACGGAATTGCTTTCCGACTTAATATTATTCCCTATTCGGAATAAAATAGATGGCTTCGCTGTTCTTCGTGACTCTCTAGACCCAAACAAAAGTTAGACCGGGAAAACCGTATTCTTTTATGGTGAAATATTCGCGGGGCGTTGATTGAGGGAGTTTGGTCCCAGTATTATAATGATGTGCTGGAGACAGAGGTGGGGGTTGAGGGCCTCGGAATTGACGCTGCTTCTCGTTCGATCGCATCTGGAAATAAACGGCGCCAAGCATGGGATCCAACTTGTTGAGTACTCCTCTCCTGGCGGGTCTCGTGGTCGACAGATTCCCCATGGGACAAAGTAACTCCGAGATGTTGACGCTAAACGTGCTTCAGATATCTGGCCCTCTCGAGTGAACTATTAAGCTCCGGAGCCAAAATTCCCCATTCGGAAAGGGTGTTCTGAATTTAGCTCGGAGTATGGAATGGAACTTGGCTTTGTTTCTGCGCCAGACATGGAAGCCAACCAATAATACGAGACCTTCCGAATCTGGTTGGCTCCCTCGTTGACTTCCCCATGGGGGAGACGCTAAAAGCGTCGATGAAGATCTGGTCCCTGGTTCCGGAGCCAATGTTCCCCATTGGGAAAGTATTGTTTCTTGCTTCATTTGAATCTGCAACTCCTCTTAGACCTCCCATCTCGACCAAGAAGAAGAAAAAAAGGTATGTAAACACGAGTCGGAACGTCAAGGAACTGTTGATTCTGTTTATGGATCTGCAGTCGCGGCTTCTCGAGCCCTTTTTTTTTTTTATTATTATTTCTATTTTTGTTTCCCCCTACCTTTTCGCGTGAAGAAAATACAGTCAAGGCTTTGTGAATCGGCAATCTCCACCATGGCGGAGCGAAAAAACGAGCCCATCCGCTCACATTGGAAATCTTGCATCGCATGCGGAATTATAGCTTTGTCTCCATTTCAATATGGTCTCGATTTTGGACTCATTGGTGGCTTGCAAGCCATGCCAGGGTTTCTCCAGGTAATTAGTATCTTTCCATCGATTCCGTTTTCCCTATGTAGTTACGCCGGCACAGCTGACGAACAAGCTAAAACACAGGTATACGGGCCCCGAGCTCTAGAAACAGCCACTGGATGGAACATCTCGACGGTCCGGCAACAACTCATTGCATCCCTAATGACTCTAGGCGCCTTCCTCAGCGCCGGCCTCGCTGGGGTGATAGCGCGCAAACTTGGACGCAAGATGTGTCTTTGGTTGTCATGCTTACTTTGTGTTATACTCTACGAAGTACGAATCTTGTCTTTGAACCCCTGCCAATTTCTGTGGGGTCCCACAGGTCACTACATACCCCAATACAGGACCTAAGCACCTCAGCCACGGTGTGCTCTGGTGTGCATGCTGTGCTGCCAGTGCCTGAAGGCATCGTCCATGTGTGCAAGTCTATGTAGCCGAAACGAAGGGGGCCGTTTTTGAACCCCGGTGTTTAAAAGCGGCCTCCTTGCCCAACTCTTGGGATTTGATAAAGTAATCTTTTCAATCTACACATCACTCAAGTTCTCTCCCAAGCAATTTCTTTCAGACAAAATCCGATGGCATCTACCAACAAGACAGAGGTCTCGAGATCACGAATGTTAGGCTCAAACATAATTGAGACGGCGTTGCGCAATGGACTGTCCGACCGATCAACAATCAGCAAGCACGTCGTCGTCCGACGGAAACTGAAGGAGAACAGCCAAAGGGCATATGATCGAGATCTGGCAATATGGAAATCGTGAGATTTACCAATATATTTCTCTCGTTACAGGAGCTAATTTACCCAATAGCTACGTTGAGAAATACCCAAACTCGGATCCAAGAGATATGCAGACGACCAAAGCCCGGCTTAGTGACACCAAAATTGCCACCCCACGCAGTATTCGAATCAAACTTCGCCGCTTCATAAACGCATGGGAGCGGGAAAATCACACCTCTATCCCTGATGAAGTGAAATACTCTATGGCCCCGGTAAGGCGTCCTCTACTTATATCAGACCAAACATCAATATTCTTTCTAATAAATTATATAGTTAATGCAAGGAGAATTGCAAGATAAGATAGGCGCTGAAAATATCTCGCGGCCCATGACATTTCTCACGATTAAGAATTATGTCCATATGCAAGAATACTTATGGTTCTGCGACTATCATAATTATTCACATGACAGATATCGGGTAGACAACTCAAACTTACTCAATACCCATTGCTATACCTCTGCACGTTTGCATGAAGTGTGTCAGGCAAGATACGAAGTATGGCTATAAACACTCCAGCTGTAGACCAGGTACTGATTTCTGCTGCTTTATAGGATATTGAATTTATGGTTGCTTGGAGAGATGGACAACCCGAGTTCAAGATGGGGTTTAAGAGGGAGCACTGCAAAGGAATGAATGAGAAACAGTATGCCCTTTCTATCCTACGGACGGCGATACATTACTGACATTTTTCTAAAGGCCGAAGCACCCTATGTGCGAAAATATGGAAGGACCGGATGGTTTACCACCTCCCCTCTATGCACAACCTATTCTACATTGGCTGGCTAATATCCTCTCCTCTCATGCATTTGCGGGATACCACTCGGTCGAAGAAGTCCTCAACTTACGCCCCCTCGAGCAAGAAGATTTCTGGGTTGTACAGTGGGCGCCACAGATGAAAGGTAGACCTGTCTTTCCGGCTTGGTCCGCAGAAGGACCTCTCGATAAATGCCGAACAGAAACAGCATGGGGTAGACAGGCATTTGGATGGGCAGTACGTGTTGGGTTTGTTGATGGCATTGGCCTTCACGCCCCGCGTCGAGAAATCCTTATCAAGACAAACGGTAAGAGAGTTTGAACCCCTATATAAGAGATGCTCGCCTAATATAGTGCTACATAGACAGCGGAAAGGCCATAGGGCAAGTATTGATATTTGCCGGGCAGAGAAATCCCAAGATCCTACTTAATCACTATCTCGACGATATGAGTACAGTCGATGGAGCTGCGATCTTCCTCGGCATGACACCTCGAAACGACCTCACTGCTGATTTTCGCTCGGCGACCATGAGGAGAAACGCCCAGCTGCCTCAGACTTTACCTGCGAATATCAAGGCGGAGCTAGAGACCCGGGACGATTAGGCCAGGCTTACTAAAGAACTGGAATTCCTGGAGATCCGAATTCGAACTGCCAGAGATGAAATGAGCGCCCAACAAATCCGCGAGGAACGAAGTCAGCTGTACTGCAAACGTCGTATGCTAGAACAAGCTGCGTTGAAGAGGTATCAGGATAGCCAAGTGGGTACATATCCAAGCAAGCCCGCTGTGCATGAACACAACGACTGGCGCAAAGACCACTTCGAACGAATCCGCCATATGAGGCCGGAGATCGAGCGCCTTACTCGAACCCTTGGCCTGCGTGTTCCTCTACGAAGCCCCGAAGGGATTTCTTCTCTCCGTGATCTTATTGCCATTCGAAAATCCGATTGTCAGGTTGCGTACCAGACTTGTCTACAACCATTAAACGGCTGCTGTCCCGTGGTAACCTGTCGCAAAGAAATTAAGGAGTAAGTGAGTAACCTCCAACAGAGTTAACTGTCATGCTCTAACCCTTCCTTAAGTATACCTAAAACAAAACGGTGGATGCATATCTTTTGCTGCTTCGAGCAGTACTACAAGAACAAACACGGTTTCGCCCAATTATGTTTCGTCCGCAGCAAGTGGGTTGCGGATAGTGTAGATTGGTTGGGTCACTGCGAGATGCATGTTACCCGGGACGATCTACCCTTTCGTTGTAACCCGGTATCTTTCCGAACAGCACTTGCCTGTGTAGGCTACTGTCCTTACTGCCTTGGCAATATACAACTTCCAGCCGAGAAGCGTAGGTTTCAGTATCGAGATCGACCTAACTGGTTATCACATATTCACTGCTGCATCACCGGATGGATACCTGAACAACTTCAAGCACAATAAGCTGATTCCATGCCCACATCCACGATGCCCCATTACCCACGATTTGGAGAACGACCTCTGGCACCATATGGAAGATGTACACAGTATCCCTACACTAGCTGTTGGCAAGAGATCTCTTTCTGATTCTACGGCAAATGAAAAAGTGGACTCCCCTTCCAAAGGCAAGAGATGGCAGATCTACAATTCAGCTGCGAACATCCAGATTGACGACTCATCCACTTACAGCACACCTATATCATCTATATTCGACACTCAAGAGACAGACAGCAGCCACAGTTCAGCTACACCTGAAGTACCCCTTTCCTCTAGCTTTGATGAGGTCAGCTGCTGGGCCATAGCAAGCATTGACCCGGATCCATTACTTTACAATGGAACAGAGGTCGAGGGACCCACCACAACCGGGTCACCATGCTCTCCGGAACGCTTGGTTCAGGATTTCGGTGAAATGCAAGACGATTTGTGCTATCTGGACGTCGGAATGACCCCTGAGGAGTGTATTGATCCATCTCTTTCAGGCATGCCTATGGCCTTTGGCGTTAGCAAGGATACCAGCCCGATCCCCTCTACGGAAACACCGGGGCCGGAAGTGCTACCATTGCTTCCCGAAGGCCCCAGAGAAAGCGATGCCCCAAGCGAAGACTACCCGGTTGACTGTCTGCTCGATAAGTGGGTTGGATGGGTTTTTGTGAAATGGCTCGATGGGACTTGCAGTTGGGAGTCTCGATCAAACATTCTTGACAGTAGGCTGATCAAGAATCTAAAAGACGAACATAAAGGGCTTGGATTAGGCGTCGAGGTTATACAGACTCGCTGGACAACTCGGAAGAAGGCGGAATACCGGGTTCACTTTAAAGGTCGTCCGAATCAGGAGGAAGAATGGGTGCTTGAAAAGTATATGAGTTGCGAAATCATCGAGAAGTACGGGCCAAAAGAGAACACAAGGAAAGGGATGAAGAAAGTCATTAGGAGCTTAAACGTATAAGTTACTTGCTAAAGTAGCATTAAGTAAAGCACAACACCAGAGGAAGAAGTCAATACAATCGTCGACTTCTACTAAACAGTTGAGCTCGTCGTCCAAGTCCAAGATCCATTGCAATCCCATGGAACTAAACCCCGAATCCCTTCACTGAATCGCCCTACCACCCGTCTGCTGTTCCCCCTCCTTCGGCTCATACTTTAAAATCCGCTCCCGTCGCTCCGTACATCGGGGACAATCGCACGGCTCCCTCTGATCGCGGATTTCCACGTCGACATCCCACTGGGACAGGGTATATTTCCACCTCCCCCATCCCACCGTGAAGTCGAAGTGACTCTGCAGCCAGGTTCATTCGTCTTTCGGGTCGTTGTCGGCGGTCCGATCCGGTTGGTCTTCTGGGGGCTGCACTACCTCCCATGGGTCCTTGCCCAAGTCTTGATGGGCGTCGTGGCGGGGGAGGGCATCCTAACGTTGAGAGGCGCCTGTGCGGGTTTCTGGACGAAGAGTCAGAGGTTTGTGCACTCCAATAGCTACTGGAGGGTGAAATGAGGGGGTTTGAAAGTGCTTCGTAGCAGAGAAGGAAGGAGGAGAAAGATGAAACGACCATTTACCAGTTGTAATGCTCTTAACATGCGTCGCACCCTGGCTATCCTTGGGCGCCTGAGCTATATATATATACTGGAGTTAGCCTGTATACAAGATCGCATTTCTCTTCGAAGGAAGAAGAAAGGCCGGATTTGATTAGTAGCTCGGGACGACAGGACGAGATCAGTGTTAGGCTACTGCACCCTTTGGCTCTGCATCCGATTCTGCGTTAGTCTCCATTCTTATTTGGGGAATGGGCCTGGAAGGTGGACAAGATTCTGGCGCGCGGATCGAGTATTACATTTATAGATAGAATTCGGTAGAGTCTTAAACGGAGATTCGCGCACAGGAGGGTGGATCATGGCGATGTGCGGCCACATATGGTGCATGTAGTTGAGGTGGAGCGACAGGCTATACAGCGCTCAATCTGCGAGGAGTGTAAGCAACTGGCTTCTACCGTGGCTCTTCCGACTTCTGCTTCTTCTACGTTCGGCCCCGGACCGGATGAGCCTCACAAGCCCAAAACCCGACAACTATAAGGTAGCCACAGCCGTTATATACTTCCAGATTTCCTCGCACATTGTGTCTAACTGAAAATTGAATTTAGTCTCCAGTAATAATAAAGTACTATCTCTCCACGTACTGTCGAGTGGCTGGGTATTGTAAATAGTATGCCCGAATTACGTGGCGAGGGTGGTGAGGGTTAGTTAAGGGTAAATTGGATTACAGCACTGGATATTTCTGTCGATAAACCAATAACTGTGCCACGCCTGCTGTGCAACATTCCCCAAAAAAAAAGACCAATTATAACTCTCTATCCGCATAGACCCAATAGAAGACGAGGGATCGTTACATAAAAGTCTCTTTACAGGCAAGGCACCAACTGTTCAGTTAAGCAGCTTTCCCCCAGTTGATAATCCTCTCTACAAAGCTGATCTCTCTCTTCCGCCGAAGCTCCAGCGATTCGATCGTTTCATCATCGGGTAGAGCCTAGCGTGGACTATCCCTAGGAGCTCTCGTCCGCCAAAACACAGAAGCCATAAGAGTGCTGGGACAAGTCGAAATTTTGAATTTCCTTATAATATGACATGATCTAAGGAAGGGCCGGAATATCAATCGTCTTATTGACCTGTACCATCTCGAAGCGCCTACGGACCCACTGATGAAGTGTCAGTCTACTTTGATTTATAACATGTGCAGGGGGTTGCCGGGCATTTACCTCGCCGCAGGAGATGGGCTCATATTTGGCAGGATGGGCATCATCGACGCACGTCGGCAAGACGGAACACATCTCGTTGAAGTTGAAGCCGAAGAAGAAGGGCATGCTGTAGCGCTCGGTGGTGGTAGGGTTGTAGACGCGGTGGACGGTGGACTTGAAGCGGTCGTTGGACATGCGCATGAGGAAGTCGCCAATGTTGACAACGAGGGTGCCGGGGATGGGCGGGGCCTTGATCCATTGGTCGTCCGAGTTGAGCACCTGCAGGCCGCCGACCTGGTCCTGCCACAGGAGCGTGAAGCACTGCAGGTCCGTGTGGGAGCCGATGCCGACGTGGTCCGGCAGGCCCGTGACAGCAGCGGCGTCGTCGGCCGACAGGCCTGGGTAGTAGTTGAGAACGCCGTCAGCGCCCGGGTACGTCGTCAGACGGTCAAAGTAGTCCTCGGGTAGGTCCTGGCAGAGGGCGAAGACCTTGGCGAGATTGCGGGCCAGCCTCAGACACGACTGCCAGTATGTGATGATGGCGCTCTGGAACCCTGGAACCTGGGCGGTGCCGTCCCAGACAAAATCCTCGTGCCGGAGGTAGGGTTTGACCTCTGCCGGGATGGCGGCGAGGTCCTTGGGCTCCGGGTCAAATCTCGGGTCGTACTGCCACATGAACGACTCTTTTCTGTCGCGGGACTCGGACGGCGAGATGTGAGTTGACCCGCGCCCGCTGAAGCCGTTGTAATGTGCTGATTTGTCCCTGCCTACTTTTTGCTTCTCCTCGAGCGACTGTGCAAAGAATCTAGACAGCATTAGCTTGATACGACTCCATCTATGGTCCCAAATGATATATAAATGGAAGAATGCAACGCAACCTACTTGACGGTCGCCTGATGAGCCTTGTTGATAACCTTCTCGTCAATGCCGTGGTTCTTGATGTAGAAGAAGCCAGACCCCTCGACGGCACGCTTGACAACGGTGGCAATCTTCTTCCGAGCATTTGCATCATCATAGATACCGTTGAGGTCGATCACGGGAATCTCATCGGGACGGCAGTTGCGCGGCTTGGCCGTCGAAACCCTCCGGTACACGGGGCCATGGCCCGAGGTGAGCTTGATGGTCGTGAAGGCTTCGGCCACCGTGGCTGTCTGTGCTTGTGACATGCTGGCAGGGGAAGTAGGAAACAAGTATATGTAATGGAGGTTCACCTCGGCGAAGTGTTGGAGGCAATGCAAGATGTCAAGGTGAGATGGAGTTGCCTAGTTGACGTTTGAGTTTTGAATTTGGACGTGGCCTGGTGTTGCACCGGCGATGCGATCCTACGGCATTTGGGGTTTTTCTCAATATGAGTGCCGTACGCTCCTCGGCACAACCATGTCGAGAAAGGTACAAATTGCGGCCAGCCGATTATCTACGCGGAGACCACCGAGACACATGATGGCCGAATGAAGAGCTACGACGGCCCTTTCCGAGTCGACCCCAGACTCTACCCCAAAGATAAGGCCCTAGGGGTGCTTATCACGATAAGGTATGGCGGGGCAACAGGGGGCCGCTAGTCGTCAGATAGCGTTCATTTGGGGGTCGACACGCGCTTTGGGGGTCGTCATTCAGGGATCGTTTCCATTGTTTCGCATTCCACATAGCAGCAAGTCAATGACTCTGATAACGTCCCTCCACTCCGCAGCGTGCTGCCAGACAACACAAGCTGTACCAGCCATGATGCACTTAGACACCTATAACCTCATTTCATTATTAATACCGACCGGCATGTCGCGTGCTCGTTGGTGCTTGCTGCTTAGACCTTGGCGGCATTCTTTTCTCCATTGTCCTGAGAGCATTTGTATTCACGTAACACTCAAGACTGAAAGAGCACGCAATGACTTCTATTGCTTCGAAATTAAGGAGGCGTCTAGTCGTCCAGGGAGCGCAGGAAACCTCCTTTCTCGACAACGATGACATTCGACCTTTGTCATTGAAGGACCGTTCTTGGACGCAGACGACCTACTTTACCTTCTGGTTCTCTGCCGCAGCCACTGGTATTGTTTTCTCTCTTTCCCTGGATTCCTATCTAGTCTAGAGCTGCTTCTAACACCTCATATCCTCCAGTCGCGGGGTGGTATTCGGGCAGCGCCGCCCAGTCAACTGGCCTCAGCATCTGGGAGGTCGTGGGATGCCAAGCAGCGGGCTACTTACTCATCGCCATCGTTTTCGTCATCAACGGACGGCCGGGCGCCGTATACCATGTAGGATACCCGATTCTCAACCGAGCCGCTTTCGGCGTGTATGGCGCGTGGTGGCCGACCTTCAACCGTGCCGTCATGGCCATTGTCTGGAACGGAGTCAATGTGAGTGTTGCTGAGCGTTCCACTGCTCGCAATTAGAGAACAATATTCAGCTGACGTGTATAAATAACAGGGAGTACAAGGAGGGCAATGTGTCTAGTGAGTGATATAATTTTGATACATGAGGTTGTCGCCAACTGACTGTGATAGTGTCATGCTGCACGCCATATTCCCCGGCATCGCCACCATCCCCAACAGGATGGGCCAGGGCTCGGCGCTCACATCGGGAGGCATGATAGGCTACGTCCTGTTCTGGTTGATGATTTGCAGCGTTCTCTGGATCCGGATTCCCAAGATGCGTATCTTGATTTGTACGTTGATCCCTGCCTAGCCCTTTAGCTCCTATCAACTACTTGAAGATCCTAATCACTCGTGATCACTCGTGAAGACATCAAACTCATAGTATACGTTATTTCCGCCGTGGCTATGTTGGCTTGGACGCTCACCCTCGCCGGAGGCCCCGGTCCCGTGCTGTCCCAGGGCTCCCGCGTGCACGGTTCGGAAAAGGCGTGGCTTATCGTCCGGTTCGTGTGGCTCTTCGCGGCCAACTGTGCGACCTTCGCCAGCAATGCGGCCGACTTTCAGCGCTACGCCAAAAAGCCCAACGACGTCATCCTTGGCAACCTTGTCGGCTTTCCGGTGGCTGATGTCTCAGTGGCCATTGTCGGCAACATCGTGGCATCGACGTCGACCGTCATCTTTGGCGAGCTCGAGTGGAATCCCATCATGCTTCTCGACCGCATACAGACCGAGAATTACACCTCTGCGAACCGAGCCGGGTGTTTCTTTCTGGCGCTAATGTTTGCTTACTCGGCCTTGTTCTCGTCCGTTTTCGAGAATAGCATTCCAGGTGTGTTTAGATGACGAATGTCTTCCCAGCAGAAAGCTAGATTTGTGCTGACCCTTGTTTCCCCCAACTAGCCGGCAACGACATTGCGGCTCTGGTGCCCAAGTATATCTCGATCCGCCGCGGTATGTTCATCTGCCAAGTTATCTCCTTCGCCATCAACCCGTGGTTCCTCCTCGGCTCGGCGTCCATCTTCATCCGCTTCCTGGGGTCGTATCAAATCTTCCTCTCGGCCATCACCGGCATCCTCATTTGCAACTACTACGTTGTCTTGCGGGGCCAGCTTAATGTGCCGGACCTCTACACCGCGGACAAGTCAGGCGTCTACTACTTCACCAAGGGCTGGAATATCCGCGCCTATATCGCCTACCTCGTCGCCGTCGCCGTCAATTTCGCCGGGTTCCTCGGCAACATGGGCGTCACCGTGCCTGTGGGCATCACCCGCTTCTACTACTTTGCGTATCCCGTCGGCCTCCTGCTGTCATTTGGCGTTTTCCTGCTGTGCAGCCTCGTTTCGAAGCCGGCTCATACCGTGCCGTTCAGCGAGTGGTCTGAGCCCAAGAATTTTGTCCGTCCTGAAGAGGATACTGAGAACGGGCCGGTCCTGAACGGCATGGAGCCAGGGAGCAGCACAGATGTTCAGATGGAGAATGAAGAGAAGACTCCTAAGGTGAAGGAGCAATTGGCATAGCCGTGTAGAAGAGTATTTAGATTAGGTTTGGGGACATTTCTCGTAATCTCGCTCCTACCACTCAAGAACTATACCAGAAATAAATAAAGGTAGTTTCAATGGTGTTTATAAGGGGTAAAATAATGCCCTTGAAAAATGCCTTTAAAAAATGCCCTTAAAAATAGGAGATCTATCTAATAAATACCTAGGTAAAAGACATTTAATATATCCGATTTATGAATTTAGAAAAAAATCAGGTTTTCTTTCGCACTAAACCTTAAAAGAGTTTTGACGTGGTGTACGCTATTGGCAACCATATCAGCTAGTCTATAGTAACCATACTAATTGACCATATCAAGGCCATGGCAAAAGATAAGACAAAGGGCTATCACATATCGGATGCTCAATCGATCATTCCTTGCTACTCCCCCCTACAAGTGACTTGCCAGTCTTCACCTCCACGATTCTAGATGTCCTCCCCAATCGAACTAGAAACAAGACCACTTGCAATATTTCTTGCCATAGACATGCCAATGCGCCGCTTAAATCCCTCCTGCAGCACGAGAAGCAAGAGAATCAAGACGATTGAGACGAACAAAGCGGTCTACGATCGACGGCACAAGTGCACCTTTGCTGGCTGTGAAAAGGCCTTTACTCGGTCGGAGCATCTGCGACGACATCAACTCAACCGTGTGTCCATTCAGTCCTCCCCTTCTTTCCTTTCCAATACCAGCCACTGACATGAGAAGACAAACCCGCCCAGACATGGACGTGCACCACCTGCGCGGCAATCTTTGTGAGGAGCGACCTCTGGAAGCGACACTTAATGGTGTCGCACCCCGTCCGACAGTGTAGTTCTTTTCATGACTCGCCAACAGAACCTTGTGATTGTGTAGATGAATCAGGAAGCGTCCATGCGACCGACGAAAGCGCATACGCCACTGTGGCATCTCCCTCAGTTTTATCAACCAACAGCAATGGCGGGTCGGCCACCAGTTTTCATGGTCAAAATATAACATCAACCGCGAGCCATCACTTACCCGACAAGGATGCATACTACCCCGAGTTCAGTGAGATGCCGTCGCCTGGGCGGGATGATCTCGACCAATTCTGGGGATCGGAGCTGGATGAAGCAGGCATCGAATGGTTTCTCAACAACCAGTGCTTCTTCGGCTTGGCAAGGTCCGACTTGATGACAGATGGCGTTTCTTGTAACACAGAGGCGCCGAACATATACTCCGTCGCTTTAGAGGACGAGCAGCCCGCCAAACCCCAACCAGTGTCCCTCCGCCGGAAACCGATTTTCCTGCAAGAGGCGCAGTCCAAGCCCTTCATCGTTGAGACGGGAAAATTCAAATCGCCAGACTGTGGTTTTCGAGTCTGCAACGCTCTCACACGTGAGAAACGATCGCATCTTCTCGCAGAACTCCAACAACTCGTTCACGACGTCGATATCAACGAGCACATCTTTTCCCTAGACAGCATGAAACAGGGGATCCATCTCTTTTTCCGCCACATCAACATCGAGTACACCTTTATCCATCACGAATTCCTGATGCCGTCAAGCGAGGAGTCGCGAGAGGCCAGACTCGCCGTGTGCGGTTCGGATTCAGAGCCTGGGCCATTACTGTTTTGGGCCATCATCTCGGCTGGGTGGAGTTTGATGCGTAGTCGGAACAACCATGAGCATATCATGGCTGCCAAGATTCAGCGCGCTCTCCGTATATCTATGATGAGTGTGGGTTCTAACTGTATCTGCTTCCCTGACGAACCTGCTGACGGTTTGGACTTAGCACCCTGGACTGGGTTGCAGTCCCCCGCTATGGCTTGTGCAAGCTTTATTCGTCATCTTGCTATTTGCGAGATACCAGGGCGACCGGGAAGAGTACGGCTTCGCGTCCATTTTTCATGGCGTACTCCTCGAGGTAAGGAATGGAGCGTGACGCCAGTCCCAGCTCTCATCTGATTAAGGGCATAATTAGGCAACGCGTCGGCTGGACAATAGCTCACCAGTCGCTGTGGACAACGGATGCGAATCCTACGCTGGGCCATCTGTCATGCAGGCGTGGATAAAATGGATCAACACGGAATCGATTCAGCGGTATTTGTCAATTGCCCGAGAATCTAGGCCATTTCCAACACATCATGCTGACTCGCCCAGGATTGTCCGACATGTATTCATCCTCGACGTCAAACACGCCCTTCTCCACGGTGGTGAAACTTCCATGATGCCGTTCGATCTCAACATCCGGCTCTACGCCACGGAAGACGCATGGTACGCCTTCACGCCAGAGGAGTGGACGAGAGAACTTGCCACCAACACACAGAAACCCATATCCTTCATTGATATGCTTAAGATGCTCTGGAACCCGCGCGTCACCAACACGGCCGTAGTACCAGAACCCCTACCCCGCGGCTCCAACATTGCTCTGTACGGCCTAGTCTCTATCGCGCGCGAACTCCGCCGACGCAAGGAGATCAGCTTCCTCAACCGCACGGGCGATGCATCGCTCGCCTCACTCGGAAGCACCGCGATACACTCACTGCAGAACTGGGAGCCGATGTGGGACAAGGTCGCAGTGCCGAACGGGCTGACGGCGACGTATCTCTGGCGGGACTGCTCGTGCATGATCCACCTCGCGTACACACTCTACGAGGTCGGGCCAGTGGATCTGCAGATGGTGGCGGGTAAGACGATCATCGAGGGGAAGAGGCGTGGCGCCGCCGGGTATGCGAAATCGAGGCGGAAGATGGGCCGATGGGTCAAGGAAGACCGAGCCTGGCTGGCACTGTCTCGTGAGTTTGCCCGATACTTTCTGTGTTCCCTCTATAGACGTAACCTAAGAGTCAAATTGACCTATCCTGGTGTGCTTGTAGGAGCGGCAACAGTGATTCAAGATCGGTTTTATGCAGGCTCTCCAGACGTGGTGCACTGCCACCACTGTCTATGGTGCCTGTACCTAGCGACACTGACCTGCTGGAACTTTGGGTTGGCTTTGACGGGCCACAGCTCTTCGGAGCACCTCGTCAAGGACGGCAAAGTCGTCTCGCTCGAGGACGCCGAGGCGGAATGCTCACAGTATCTCCAGGTAGCGGCATCGCTACCACCCCGATTCCACAAGGAGCAGTTCAACGATATTTTGGGGCGAACGACAGGACTGCTGATTGTGTTAATACAGTTCTTACGAAGCCAGTGCCAGACGGGAATGATCGTAGAGAGCATTGAGCTGTTGGCTCGCCTAGTGGGCGTGCAGGACTAGGGAATATGACGGAGGGTCAATAGGACATTACAGACATGCAAGTCAGTAATATATCCCTGAGCATGGTGACCAACACATACGACTATATCCACTAGAGAACTCGGGATCCCGTCCGCTTTCCCATCGATAAACCAGTGAGGGCTGAACTAGTAGTTAGTCGGTGACGAGCAGCGAATCCTTGGTATTGTATGTTTTTTCTTTCTTTGTCTTTGCTGCTTCTTTCTTCCTCATGCTTTCCTCTCCCATACTAATACGCAGATGTAAGACGTTGGGACTTTTCCATTCTTTATCTGTCCAGTAGATGTACCATCGGATACGTGCCTTTTTAGGAGATTCGTCCGCACTGAAATTGTAGACCCTCGCCTGCGTTAATAGTATAGAGCCATTACCCAGAATGTCGGATCTCGGAGACGTCCGATCTTTCAAGGATCTAAGGCTGGGATGAGTACACGATATGACGCCGTTTGGGGGTTCGTTCCATTGTGGGTCTTCTTGGGGGTTGGGGGTTGTCTGTCAGAATGTCGTATCTCGGAGACGTCCGATCTTTCATGGACCCAAGGTCGGGATGAGCAAGCTAACGATATGGCGCCGTTGGGGGTTGACTATTTGGGGGTCATCTGTCTCCACCAAGCAAGCATTGAACATCATCAACACGATTGGCAGGCTGATGAATGTCGCCTGCGAATATAAAAGTCGCTGTGAAGATGATACAATTCCTCTGTGAGTCTATCTCTTCCAAGTCAATTTGTTGCTGCCTGGCGCCATGTATTCAAATTTCACTGTCAAAAATGCCTGGTGCTGGGGTCTGCTCACCTACTCCTTGGCGCTTGGCATGACTGCTTCATTCGCCCATGCCGCCGCGGATATGCCAAGTGCGGATGATCCCAGGGTGAAAGAGCATGTAGCCAGAAAGGCAAGCTGGATAGAGGAAGAAAACACTCTCAGACAAGGTTAGTCTTCACCCATCATGGTAAAGATGGTAGTCTCAGATAGCTAACACTGTCCAGACTACGAATTCCGCCAGTCTCTGTCGCCAACGGCCAAGCAAGCAGTCGCCATAGTAGACGCTATCCGGCAGTATGAGATTGACAATTACTGGCGTCAAGCTGGTTCAGTGGGTAGAGAAGACGATGAAAGGTTCGCGGGCATGATGTTCCCCAAAGCCAGGCCGTTCATCGTCACGACGCAACTGTGGAAAATCATCCAGCGCATGCCCAAGGGCTCCCTGCTGCACACGCACTGGAACGCCATGCTGCCCTATGACACCGTGTTTGCCGTCCTGGACAAGACGGAAGGCATGGTGATATCAGCTTCGCAGAGCCTGCATCTCGACTTGTACCGCGAGAACGCGACACTGCGCATTGCGCATGTCAATGGCTCGTCCTGCAATAATAACAACCAGAGTGCGAGTTCCCCATCCATCCATTCGGCCAACTACGTGCCAGGCACGCAGATCCCTCTCAGTAGAGCAGCGAGAGAGTGGCCCGGTGGCGAAAAGGCCTTTTACGCATACCTCAAATCCAAGGTGACTCTCAGCACGGACGCCGCTCTCCGACACGACCTCGGCGTCGACGACGTCTGGCGCAGGTTCAGCCGCTTCTTCATCACCGCCGGCACCATGCTCTTGTACGAGCCTGTGTTTCGTCAGTTTGTCCAGCATCTCCTCGAGGGTCTCGCCGACGACGGCATCCGCTGGGTCGAGCTCCGCAGCGATGTGTCTCTCGCCGATGTAGTCCCACTCGGAGAGTCTCAGCCCAGCCCAGACCCAGACTTTCCCTGGCGGGTACTGTCCGAGGAGATTGAGTCGTTTAAATCCAGCGCTAAGGGAAAGGATTTTTGGGGCGTGAGGGTCATATGGGCGGATAGACGTCGCAATGACCCAGCCGCGGTGGTGGCAGGAATGGAGTCACTCCTAGCTCGCAAGCAGGCCTTCCCCGAACTCTTCTCAGGTTTCGACCTTGTAGGACAGGAAGATCTCGGCAAACCCCTTTCGATGTGGATCTCGGAGCTGCTGTGGTTCCGCGAACAGACCACCAAGCTTAACCTGACAGTCCCATTCTTCCTCCACGCCGGCGAGACGGTCGGGACGGGCAACAGCACCGACCTCAACATCTTCGACGCCATGACACTGCCAGACAACCGGCGCGTCGGCCACGGCTTCTCTATGTACAAGCATCCCGAGCTCATCAGGCATGCCAGGGACAATGACATCCTAGTCGAGGTATGCCCCATCTCTAACGAGGTACTGCGCCTCGCCACCGACGTGCTGCACCATCCCATCCCGGCGCTCATTGCGCAGGGCATCCCAACCTCCATCAACAACGATGACCCGGCCATCATGGGACAGGACGCGCCGGGCTTGAGCTTCGACTTTTACCAGACCATCCAGGCCTTCGACAGTCTGGGGTTGGGGGGTTTAGTAAGTTTTAACTTCCCCATGTAGCCCGCCGAAGGACGTCTCGTCACCGGTGGAGTAGAACTATCAAAGATGCATTCATGCTGACACACAGAGGGCGCCCTCGCGCAAAACTCGGTCCGGTGGTCCAACTTCGAGGACCAAGACCCCGAAGCATGGAGGCGGGATATCAGATTAGGTATCAACGGAACCGGGATCAAGGCGAAGCGACTTCGACAGTGGAACGCCGACTGGGAGGCCTTTTGCGCGTGGATCGTCGGGGAGTATATTGGTGAATATCCTGTGTAGCAGAGGCACACGATGCCCTTCGTGGTCTAGCCAGAACCCAAGCGCACCCATGGCATGATTTCTCAATAGGACACAATCAAGTCGCGTTGTCCAGGCATTTCGAGTAAGTCAGTCGCAAAAGGGCGACCAGAGACCTCGGTAAAAAGCAATTGAGATCCTCGAGGCCTCCTGCCTGGCATCTTTGGGAACCGGTCCCAATTACAGGCCCTTATTCCTCCAATGCTCCATTGGTCTGCCCTAGCTAAGTATTAATTATAAAGTACTAAACTAGGTGTCAGGGCCCTAGTGCAGTCGGGTATAGTAGTCAAGAGAGGTCGTCGGGATCGTAGCGGAGTAACACTAGCCCGTTGACAGTATCAGGTAGATAACTAGTAACAGGGTCATAATAGTTGTCTATTGATGGTAGAGTGAGGCATGTCACGGGCCGACCTCTTATGCAGCCCCAAAAGCGGTAAGACACGGCAGAAAGTAACAATGGGGCGGCTGTACGCGGCCGGCTGGCGGACGGCAGAAAGCAATCGGAGGCACAAGAAGTGATCGGTGGCGATCATCAAACAATCAGCTCCAATCAGTCGAGAAAGACCTCCGATCGCCTTAGAGAGCTTAAAAGGGAAACATTTATATAAACTACAGGTTCTACTATATATCTAGTTTATCCTTCAAGACTCTCCAGTAGTCAATTTAAGTATAACTACACCTCTATATCACAAGCTGACCATTTTGAAGACCCAGGGCGGTCAGTCACAGCAGAAAAGGATAAACTACGGGAGATCACAGGCCAATAAGATTGGGACCGACAGGACCGACGAAGAAGTGTGATCGGTCCTTGGTAGGACTGACACCAGGAAAACATCGGTCCTGGGAAGAGCTTGGAAGAGAAACGTCTATATAAATTATAGTCTCTACTATATATCTAGTTTATCTTTCTAGACTCTTTAGTAGTTAATTCAAGTACAACTACACCCCTATACTTAAATATATACTTCTTATCAATATCTTATAAATATTACTTAACTACCTTACTTACTTTATAACAGGCAACCACGACCCCGATACCAGCTGTACCCACCTGATATGACAAGGACCGGTGTTAGGATCGTAACATGCTGCAACTGACCGCCCTGGGTCTTTAAAACGGTCAGCTTGTGACATTTATTAGTCCTGTCCTGGACTACTAGGACTACTCTGTTGGTCCTGTTGGTCCTAATCTTATTGGTCTGTGATCTCCTGTAGTTTATCCTTTTCTGCTGTGACTGACTGCCCTGGGTCTTCAAAACGGTCAGCTCGTGGCATGCCTGGCTACGCGAGCACGTTAGACACTAACTTTATGACTAGGCTTTTCTAATCCCGCCAGCACTTCGACACCAATCGAACTCCATCCCTAGTTCCCGGATCATTCTTCAACACGCAGAGGGATGTGGCGGGAGTTTGAGCTAATGGTTCTCGACCTTCGAACCTCCATTCTTAGGTTATAATGGTTCGCAGTTCCCCACACGGTTGCCAGAATCTTTAGTGAAAACCGGTGGCAGTAAAAAGGTAAGCAGTAAAATATCGCTGGGAAGGGACATTGGAAGTGTTGCTAACAGAAATGGGCCAGAAATGAAGAAGAAGGCCATGATAGCTAGGGGACTGCTCTGGGAATCCTTCGAGCCGCGGTTCGGTGGGCTGCTGGCTCAAATGCGGAGCCATTGACAATTCATCTTTGAGCAACTTGTTCCATGGCACGCTGGGGAAGAAGGCAATGAGAAGTTAGGAGCCGCAGCAGATCAAAAACCGGAATTGGTTGAGCGCGAAGAAGCCAGTGCAACGTTTGACCCACAGCTGAGCTATACGACGACAAAAAGATGTTCCAAGTCTCGCCGCGAGCGTCACTTGACTGTAAGTCGTCTGATGTGGCCACTGCATCCAGGTGCCTTTACACCCAAGCTATGACGGCGTACTTGAGCTCTACGGTTGGCACGATACTATCGAGGGGCGGGGAAAAAAGGCAGTTGCGCCTATGACATAATTAAAGTAATAGAGGGAGCTTTTGGAATTTGGAATATTATAAACAGTGTAAAGCAGTTTTTGACGTTCCTTCACTTGATCATAGCATCTAATCAGAAGAAACCACAACGATTATCTATTACCATTCCATATCTTCACTCTGCTTAGAGCTACATTTAGCATCGGCACCGTCTCTCACACCGTCGAAACAAATACCAACCTTCATTTTTATCGTCTTCAACTGTCCCGCTTCAAGTGTTCTACTGTAGGCGGCCCATCGTGAGATTGCTAGGTTGCTGGTAGCAACATTGTGCTGCCTTTGATGGAGTAGTGCAGAACACGAGTTTACTGACATATCACCGGAATAATATTCAAGACTTTGCTTAGCCGCTGCTGGGTGGGCTCTATAACTTTAGATGAACATCCCGCCGTTATGGGCTCCGGCGCTGCCTCACGTATTCCGTCATAGCCTATAATTGCTAGTCATCGGGCCCTAGGCAACAGGGCGAGAGGGTGTCTAATGAGAGATGGCCATGATCGACAGAATGTGCCAGCATTGGCGATAAAGATTAATTAAAGAAATCTAAAGCTAAGCAATGGAGGGGGGCGGGGAGCAAATCTTAGAGACATAATGAACGGAGCATGCGGATCTATTCCCACAGCAATACAACTCCTAAGGAATAAAAAAAAAAAAAAAAAAAAAAAAAAAAAAAAAAATAGCACTCGCTTTTTCCAGACTCTATCAGAGCTTGACTTGGAACCGCTCGCGAAGAAAGCCTCCGCACTTGTAAAAAGCGATAGGAACAGGTATGAACGCCACGGCGATGAATCCTAGAACAGAGTTGCCCCATCCAAGTCCAAGATCGTTATAAAGAGCTGGTCCTGCTAGGGGAAGAAAGCATCCAAAGATAAATCGAAGGACGGAGAGAGCTGCTAGGGCCGACGCTGCACCTTGAGCTCCAAAAGCATCCACAAGGTAGAGTTGAGAAGGCATCTAGTATGGTGTCAGCAGTTGGAAGGCATGAACTGTTACGAGTCAACACAATGATAGAAACCCACCACAATGAAATAACCTCCAAAACCGATGAGGGATGTTCCTACGATAGGCACCATCCAGTGGATGTTGGCTTCAGCAGCCCATCCATACCAAAAGAGGCCGGCTGGAAGAAAGGGAGAGGTCCATATCATGAGAGGAAGCCGATGTTCAGGCTGGGCTTCACCGTTCTTTCGTTTTGCCTCAAGAAGTCGGTCGCTCAAGGCACCGAAAACGCCGATGGCCAATATCATACCAACGCCAAGACCGAGATAACAAAGGCCGGATATCCCTGCGCTGAATCCATACTGGGCACGCCAGACGCTGGGGAAAGTCGTGAAAAGAAGGTAGATCAGACCGAAAACCATGGCGTTGAATAAGGAAAGTCCAAACACCACGGGACTCAAAAAAAGCATCTTAGTTGGGCGTACGAATGCGCGCAACAAGAGCGTCGTAGGCTTGGTAAATTCCGTGCTTTCGCTTACATTCCCGGGTTCTTTCTGCAAGCGACGTGCCTTTGCGGCTAGCAAGACTGGGGCGTACGTCTCTTTCATGAACAGGAAGCAGAGAGTAGTACTGATGCCAGACTTAAAGGGGCAATCAGTAAGATTGATTTCGCCAACATTCGATTCGCCACTTACAACGATGCAAACAATCCATAGGGTCCATCGCCAACCAAGATTATCAGCCACGAAGCCACCGATGATGGGACCGACGATCTGTAGATTTCAATTGTTACCAATGCTCGTTTTGATATATGGATGTCCATCCTTACAGGCCCCAGTAAAAGGCCAGTGCCGTATATAGCCATGCCCTTGCCTCTCTCCTCCGGGGGGGGCAAGTCAGCAATAGTCCCGCCTCCGATCGCAACCGGAGCGGCCCCAGAACATCCAGACAGGAACCGGCAAGCGAGAAAAGTACCTATGTTCCGAGATGTAGCACAGCCGACAAGAAAGGCGAGAAAGCAGACGTTACAGACGTGGTAAACCCAAAGACGGCCGTAAACCTCGGATAGTGGCGCCACGACGAGAGGCCCCACGGCGAAGCCCAAGAGATATATGGATACGGTGAGCGAGAGAACGGTCGAGTCGGTAACGGAGAAGTCAACAGCAAGATTTTGGGCAGCTGGAGCAAAGAGGGTGGCGGCAAGATTCCTGAGAGGTGAAGATGTCGGTCGTTGCTTTAGAGTCGAGCAAGGAAAGAGTGGAGGAGTTCAATACAAAACGAAGTTAATAAAAGTCACCAGTCCGATGTGAATAGCCCGTTGCTTTTGGGGCCAGTTGAAAGGATGTTCTGGATCTTGGGGGCCATCCCAATCGACCACACCAGACTGACTTTCGGCGAGACTGTCGTCCCCTCGTTTGACACCCATGTTGTACTTGGAAGGATGTTCTGCAATAAATCTGTTGAGGGTGCTTTTGCATGGTCATAACCGATGCTGATGCTTGAAGAACTGCAGTAGCAGCGTAGGTGTTTTATATGAAAAATCCTCTTGCGGCAACTCACCGTCTTGGTGGATATTTACTGCTTACAGTTGAAGGTTGGTGGATCAGAGGATCGGAGGGTCGGAGGTCGGAGATTTCGAGAACCCCGACCACCTCCACCTAAACTCCTGGCTAGCTCCGCTCTCCCCGCAGTTCATACGTACAGTATAAAGGCTCTTCTTGCATTCCCCGAGGAAATTTGTAAAAGCTGATCCGACCCTCCGCTCCGACATGGAAATCGCACCCATCTCTCCGGAATTAAGTCGCTACCCGCCCGCTCACCGGCGCAGAGATAAACCCCGACTCTCGTGCGACGCCTGTCGTAAAAGAAAGTACGCGAGTCCCACGCATTAACCTCTCCATAACGGCGCAGTTCCTGAGCCATTCGGGTTAGTTTGGTACATAGATCTAATCTTGAGGCCTAGGAGCAAGTGTGACCGACAACTCCCATGCAGCGCCTGTTCAAAGCGTGGCCTGCCCTCAACATGCAACTATCCTGCCCCCGTAGCGGCCAACAAGTCTGGGAATTCTCGGCCAGCTCCCGCAGCCGGCACGGGGACCCTCCAGCAAAGATTGAACCTTTTGGAGAATCAGATTGTCTCTCTCATGCAAGGGTCTAGCTCTGGCCCAAATGCAACACTACAGTCGGACGAGATCAATCGACAATATAGTGAGGCTCTTGAAGAACACAACATTGATGTCAACAGAACACAGCGATGTGACCAGTCCAAGTTTAAGACGGGGAACCTGAGCACGACCTCGGCGACATCTGTTTACGTCAGCGACGCCCACTGGGTAGCCATCCTTGACAACATATCAGAGTTGAAGGAACAAGTCCAGTTCGAGAGGGATATTGCACCGGTTGAACTTCACAGCCAAGGCAAGGACGAAAAGGAAAGTCCTGCACTTTTGTTTGGCTACCAAGGTAGTATATCGAAGGAAGCCCTTCTTGCTGCCATGCCAGAGCGACCGGTAGTTGACCGCCTCGTCTCCAAGTATTTCAACGATTTGGACACGATGCCTCGTGAGTTTCGTCCACTACGATCCCTTAACCGAAGTTACAGTATACCAATTGATTCCCATATTAGACTCTTCATGTGTCCATACGGCAACCTTTCTTCGACAGGTACGGCGCTGGACAGAATTTGTGCTAGGACACTCCAATGGTGACTCGGCGTACCTTGCAACTAACCCAATCTTTTTTCTAGTATGATGACTTTTGGGAAACTCCTTCGGAAGTTTCTATAACTTGGCTCGGTCTTTTATACTCTATGATGTGCTTATCAGCAAACTTCGGCTCGCCATCTACATACCCCGAACCTAGCGCCGCATCGCCTGAGGCTAGTTCCTCTCGCCCTATTTATCTTCAACAAGTGGTTCAGTGTTTGACATTCAGTGATTACAGTCGCGGGGGCCCTCATGTTATTGAGACACTTGTCCACTACCACATGATTGAGCACCTGAGGCGAACAGACACCGAAATTGACGTTTGGCTTTTGCTTGGCGTAATGCTTCGACTGGCTTTGCGCATGGGTTATCATCGAGACCCTTCTCATTTCCAGACTCTCACGCCGTTTCAAGGTGAGATGCGAAGACGCGTCTGGGCGGCCTTGTACAATGCAGACGTGATGCTATCAATGCAGGTTGGGGTGCCAAGAATGCTTCATGACCGTCAATCAGATACTCGTCCTCCGCTAAATCTCTTTGACCACGACTTTGACGAGACCTGTTCCGAGCTTCCTCAACCAAGAAACGACAACGAAATCACCCCTATGTTCTATATCCTGGCCAGAAACAAGATGGCCAAGGCTATGGGCGTCGTGATGGATGTAATCAATGCTACTGAGCACAATGATTCGGAAATTGAAGGTGCAGAAAAGCTGCTCCAAGATACCTACGATTCCCTCCCACCGATTCTCAAACTCGCGACAGGCTTCAACACTCTTGCTGATAGCCCCCGAACTATGCTACATCGATTCGTTCTGGCTACCACGATGCATTGCGCGCAGATAGCCCTGCACCAGCGTTGCATGTCTACCCCTGAGGAGATCGACGTTACACGGCCGAATCGTTCATTGGACACGCTTTTAGAGGCAGCACTGAAGATCCTTGCATATCAGCACATTATGGATACGGAGACCCAACCAGGTGGGAGGCTATGGTCGGCAGGGTGGAAATTCTGGTCAACTCTCACTCATGAGTTCCTCCTGGCTACGACCGTGCTGTCAAAAGCCTTGTTCTCGACCCTGGGCCCACATCCTCTGGTACAAGCAGAAAGCACTACGGCTAACGAGGTTCGATCGAAACTAGAACAGACCCATGGGATATGGCTTCGTTCAGGACATCGATCAAAGGAAGCGAAGCGGGCCGCGGATGTGCTAACTTCTCTATTTAGTGCTCTTGATGCAAGGTCGAGCCTTGAATCACTTGGCGGAGACCTCTCGACGGGAGACCTGGAGAGTTACTTGGACTTGAACGCGGCTAGTTTATTACCTAGTTGCTTCTTCTAGTAGATTAGTCTTATTCATATCTACCCTCCTCTGTCAACTTAGCTACATATCTTTTCGTACCTACACATTATGACTATCTATTTATTGACTAGGCCTCAAGGTTTAAGCTATTCGCCCTATTCAACATTGCTTTTCGCTAACTAGCATATTGTGCTAGGGGTGTAGAAGAAAAAAAGTAGTTGTACTTATGATATAATTAAAGTAATAGAGGGAGCTTTAGGAATTTAGAATATTATAAACCGTGTTAAGCTGCTTTGGTGTTCCTATTGAGATTTTATTATCTGCCTCGAAGTCTTCTGTGTTCCTTTCTCTTGATTATAGAATCTATTCAGAAGAAACCACCACAACTCTCTTGTCATCTCATTTCTTCACTTATGCATCGAGCTACATTCAGCATCGGCGCCACCTCTTACACAACCGAAACAAATGCCAACCCTCTTTTTTATCGTCTCCAGCTGTCCTGCAAGTGTTTCATTGTATGTTGGCGATTCGTGATATCTTTGCCCATAACCTGAGCTATGCGGTCTCCCGGCCAGGTCTTTACATGGCACCGCCTCCATCTCCATTATTATCTGTGAAAGAGGCACTTGGAGCATCTTCAGCGGCCCATACTTATCGCGAAGAATCTTATATTTTTCCATGCGAGTTACCCCCCAACCGCAATGGGAACAGCCCTTGTTCTGGCCCTCAATCAATATTCCGCGAATTTCTGCTCGCATTCGATTCCGCCGCTCTTCAAGCAGGTCTAAGGAAGTCAATATGACGATCAAATGGTCGAAGAATCATGTCAATACTCACAAACTGTTTTACAAGGTACAACGCGATTTATCATCTCGTTCTCGAGAAATTCATAGTAAGACTCTTCATAGTCGAGAATCAGTGCTAGAGTCCTCTCAACAAACATCTCCGAATCACCTAGTGCGTATGCTGCCGCCATGAGGTATCCCGCCCCTGTTTTATCGAGACTGCCTTGAGGCTGCTGCCACTGCGCAATGGCGTATTTGAGGGCGATGCCGAGATCGTATTTATCGGTTGCGATGGCAATTTGGAGAAACTCTAGCGGCGTAATGTCCTGCGGTACGACGTCATTACGATGGTGGATGACGCAGAAGATTGTGTGTAATGCATCAGCATCGTCTTCGTCAAGTCGGATTTCTTTTGGGGATTCCTTGGAGAGGCCTCGTCCTTCGGCCCAATGAGGTCCGAACATAGCCTCGAAGACTTTCGACGCACAGCTAAGACATTGAGAATGGACTCTTAGCCGCACGTTCTGCGGTCCGACAACCAGGATAACATCGCCGCTTGGGCAGATATCCGGGAGTGGATCTCGTTCGCTGTCGCACTCTGATGTATCCATTTCCCAACTCAATCGTTTGAGATTTCTAAGGACACATTAAAGGCGGAAAGGGTTGGTCTCTTGCGGTACTGTTCGTGTAGAGCAGTCCTTGTTTAATACAACGGGCGGAGTTGTCAAACTGTTGGGCAGTTTGGGCATCAAGCCAGAGATACAGGTGCACATGATAGAGTCGACAAGCCACATACAGTTCAACAATGCTTGCAGGAGCTCCCCTCCAGCAGCTGTCTTGCCCAGGCATAAGTTTCTGAGACCTGCAGACCGATCAATCAAGGAGTGGCGCGTTGTACAGCTCCACCAAATTCTGTACCAATTGTGTCGTCAATGCAACCTGATCGTCTAATAGCATTATCACATCATCTAAGAGTTGGGGCTATTGATATGTGTGATCTATAGCTGAGGCATTGCGGCCTGACGAGTAGATGTGTTGACAATATTAACCTCCCTGCTTTCGCGTTATTCTGGATCTGCCCCTACATATTTTCATCGCTTCTATATATGAACAGAACATCGTGTCTCAATTCCTACTTCTGCTATTATTGATATATTAAGATCTAGACTTTGGCTATCGCCAGAGCGCTTGAATGGTGTGAAGAATACTGCTCAACAGCTAGAGTATAACCTTGCCTAGGTGCGGAACGAGGAGCAACAGTGAAACTTTCTCGAGATACATCCAATGGCGTCGAAGTTATCCTCTAAACAGCTCATACACACCCGTCGTTTGCACAAGGTTTCGAGCGGGCTCCGGAGGGATTCATTTTTTGTTTCTAGTTTCTAGTCAAGAGGAGTTGGCCATGCGATTAGATAGGGACCTCTCCTTACATATATACCTTGCCAGTTTACCTTGCTAGTTTCTCACAGCAATTTCATTCGATCCCCTGTTGGCGTTCTGCATTGCTCCAGCGTTGAAGTCGTCCCAATATCTGAGTGGCATACTACAAATACAGGAGCACGACCGAGACAGGTCTATAGTTTCGGAAGGCATTCCCTCGCTTAGGGCGAAGAATGAGCGAAATCGCTCTAAACCCCGGGCCTTGTATTTCAGCAAGTGCATTTCTACAGAACAATATGCTCTTCATAGCTCGTGGTCCCAAACGCCCTCCATTGTTTTTTGCATCCCCAAGAGTTGTCCGTAGTCTTTGTCATATATTATCTCGTAAAGACATTTATGTGAAGGCGGCTCTAGCTTCTCCCCGTTCTAATGGAATAGGATCTGAGTAGTCTCTCACTCGGCGGTCTGTGGTTCCGCAAATGTCATGCCATTCTTAACAATGGTCAACTTGTCACGGACGCAGAAAGTGAATCCTTCGTCCGCTGTTTGTACCGGAACTATATCAAGACTCCCTGCAACAAAGTCGGTTGGAACTATGAAATGTCGGGTGTATTGCTCGTTAGTCGCAGTAAGATCGGTAGAAGTGATCCACTGATTTTGATGGAGGAATAGTATGTCGTTATTCGAGCGGCGCAGGTCTAGGAACTGCTTGCAGACACTCGACGGGAGGGTTCGCGAGGGCGAGACAGCTCCATCTTGATCCCACTCGCCAATACCTGATAATTGAAATACCAGGCATGTCAAAGTAGAGGTAAACTGCCCGTGTCGCTGCTTGATAGTCAAAAGGGCCATCCTTTTCTCTTTCTCTACTGCCAGGATAAGAGATTGCAATCCTTCGACGACGGAATCGGGTTCCGCCGCGTAATTGAGTAGCAGCTCCCGACTGTTGGTCTTGGAAGAAATATTCTCGATTGAATAAGTGGTGAGTTTCCCGTCAGCCAAAAGTGCGAACCGTTCGGGATAGAATGACGAAGGTAAAGGTGCCCAGCGCCACATTCGTCTCTCAGGCGTGAATGTCAGATCGCCAACCAAACTGCCGTCGTTGGCACTATAGGTACGGTCTCCCGTTGCTGTAGAGATAAGCAAGTACTCCCCGGCAGCATCAAACATAATCTGGACGACTGGAACACCGAGGTGAACCTGGAACTTCAGCTGTCTGGTTTTAGTTGCCCGACCCTCGTCGAGATCCAGCTCCCAGACCTGAACCACGTTGTTAATGTCACTTGACGCGATGGTCTTGCCATTGGTGAGGGCAATGCCCGTTATGAAGGCGCCATGGGAGTATACCGATTCAAGCAAGTGACCATCGTTCGAACTATACAGGAGAACATCGCCGTCTTGGTTCCCGGCGAGCACGAAAGGGACAACGGAGTGAGCAGCGACAGTACTTATTTTGGATGATCGAAACATTTCAAACTGACCTTCCATTACTGGTAGCACGGCGGCTTGGTCACTGGTGCTGGCCTCCTCCTCGACGGTCTTCCTCACCAAGGCAGACGGAGACCATACCCTCATCTCATCGTCATCAATGTCAACAAGGTTGAAGCCGTCTGAAGTAAAGTGTAGGAGCCTGAATGTATGCCCCGGTGTGAGAACATGATAGAGGATCGTCAGGGATTCGAAATCCCAGAGGCGCAAGTTGCCGAGGATGTCGACTGTAGCAAAGGTCCGGCCGTCGGGAGAGCACGAAACGGCATTGAATACGGCGTTCTGATCGGGCTCGCGAGAGTGGATAAGGGCTCCGGACCAAGAATCGTACAAGGCCAAGTGCGATTCGTTATAAGCGATGAGAAGTAAACCGACATCGGGATCAGGGTTAAAGATCAGCTGTGAGGCGGCACGGGAGCGCTCGTCTATAGCCCACCCGACAAATTCGCCACTCGCAAAATCGAAGAGGCAGACGGGGCTATTTCGGTAGGCTAGACCAAGAAGCTCAAGTCCGGGCGAGATGGAAGCGGCGAAGGGGGCTTTGCTTGAGTGGATGTTTGTCTCCGAGTTGGGTGGTGGCCGGTAGCGGTACGACTGTTTTTCCAGCATTTCTCCCGTAATAATATCCCATTTGAAGGAATATCCTTGATGTGTGACTGCGAAAAGATAGCCGGGGGAAGACGCGAGCAAAAGACACTGCGCTCTAATCCGGGCCTTCCAACGCATCTTCCCGTCCAGGTCCCATAGAAAGATGAACTTCCTGCTGCATGAAACTAGATAAGTGCCCAGTGGATCAAAATAGAGCCTGTCAACCCACGAATCCTGCTTGATTGCCTGAACCTTTTGGCAGCTCCGATGATTGAACAATTGGATGTTCCCAGATTCAAAGCCCACGGCAATGAGGTTGTTTCCAGCTGCGACAGCCGCACCGGCTTCATTCTCAAAGGTAGTAGTAGAAATGCAATCATCCCATTGTTGGGTGAGATTCCCTGAGACAAGCAAACCGTCGTGTGTGCGGCCAAATTGTTGATAGATAGCTGATTGTGCCGGGCATAGAGGCGGTATAAGGAAGTATATGGCCGACGGAGACGAGACGAGGGCTCTTCCGAACTTGGTTGCTAAACGACTAATATCCGTGGCCCAGCTGTCGATTCTCTGGACGTGCTGATTTAACGGGGAGCGGTATTTTCCACGTCTATCTAGGTAGGCTTTCAAGTTCTTTGCTGTTCGGATGAGCCGATAAAGGTCTTTCTTGCCCACTACCTTCTCAACCCAACTCAGGACTGTAGTGGTAAGGAACCTGTTCAACGCCGTGAGGAGCTCGTCACTCTCAGCCGACGCCCAGTAAACGTGCTCAGAGAACTGGGTCATAGCATAGTCCAGCAGTGGAGGTGGAAGTCGTTGAGGCTGCTTTTGTCTGTGCAGCCGACGGTTTCGAGGCGGCTGCATCTGTGGGCCGACAAGTAGCCGTAGGCACACTAGCGCTATTCGCTCGTGGCCCTTGGATCTGCGAATTTGGAATTCTCCCGCGTCCTCAGTCAGGAGAAATTCCCTGGCAGTACTGTGGATTATATGCGCGATGTCGGTGGCCTTGTCGACACAAACAAGGTTGCCGCACAATCCTTCAATAGCACTTTTAGCGCTAGGGAAGCGGACATTAATGTCCAGCTCAAGGGCATGGGAGAGTTCGAAAACTGTAAGTGGACGAGCTGCAAGGGCCACCCAGAGTAATATAGCTTGGGCGATATGTTTCTCGCGCTTGTTCGCCGCCATATCTGAGGTAGCTCGGGCGTAGTAGCCTATCATTCCCTCGGGTATGCCTTGGATGATCTCAAGCATACTCTCATACCCGTTGACGCATTCTAGCTCATCCATTACTAGGCGGACCCAAAGAAAAGATCCGCCGGACTTTTCAAGGATCTGACGAGCAAGATCATCCTTCTCTGTGCCGCTATCCATTGGGAAATCTTTCATTCGATTCTGGACAAATAGATCAATGTCATTCATTGTATTCGTGATTGGTATCTCGACAGTCACGATCTCGCAGTCTCCCAAATAGCGCATAATCTTTTGCGTTTCTGGCAAGTTCCGGCTCGTTATGAATATCCGAAGAGGGAACCTCGGCTTGACTCCCCTTAGAAGTGCGAAGAAGTCGACATACTTCACACACTCATCTACCGCGTCTAGAACCCAATAATACGGTGCAAACATCGCCACCTGTGATATAGTTAGTTAGGAATCCCCAGCCGTCGACTTAATGAACATGGACGTACTTGAAAGATGCAAGACGTAAAAATCTTCAACCACACAGCACGTGCGTCATCCTGGTCGAAAGTGCAGTCATTCCTGTAGAGTTCGGCTAAAGCACCTCGCACAGCTGCGTTGGTGGTGGCCATTTGGTAGGCGATGGCTCGCAAGCACGTTGCCAGAGAGTGTGACTCTTTCTTCCCGAACCGAAAGAAATGCACAGAGTTTTGGACGCAGAGCTCCTTGAGCTGTGATGTTACGTGACTAGCAAGAATGGTCTTGCCAACTCCCGGGTTCGCCGTGACCCAGTATATCGACGGAGGATAGTCTCTTCCTTCGTGAAAATCGACGTCCGAGTCTCTCCAATCGAGGAAATCTTGTCGTTCTTCGATCCACGTGCACGATCCGGCCAGTCTTTCATGATGCTCTTCAAGAGAAGGCGCCGGTTTGAGCAGAGATTTTACGACTCGCAGTTGCTCCTGAGAGTCATTCTCGTTCTTGACGACGGCTACCGTGGATAGCATCATTATTAGTCCAGGGGCTCAGAAGAAGTCACGACACGGGGTACCAACCATCCTGCACTAAATCAGAGACAGCGCTACCAATCGCATTTTTGAGGGAGATATAGTTCGAGTCCTCAATGCTGTGAAATTTGCAAATATCGCGATGATTGGCATGCAGATACCGGACTCGCTCGTTTCGAAACCCAGCACCTAGAGATACGTTTAGCTCACCAGCCTCGACCGTATCAGCCGGCAGAACTTGAATGGCAACGCGATTTACCTAGCACAGCGGATGTTTTGTCGACGATAAGAGCCGAAGAAACTCCAATCTTGGTTTCCAAAGTTTCGTAGAACGAGTATATCGCCAGCTCATGTGCAAACTTCCCAAATTCATCGTTGATCAACTGGGTCGAAGTAGAGCCTGCCGTCAGATCTTTGACGTATTCCCGTGCTGTAGACAGCCCAGTCATCTCAGTGACACGTAGGATGCGATTGAGAATAGCGGCATAGTCTGATCCTCGGTGGGGTGTTGCCAGGAAGAAAATGCACTTGATTCTATCAGAAAGGGGTTGTTGACTGTCTTCTCCATGGGAGAGAATGAACGCCTATGATGGGTAGGAAAATTAGCAAGGCCAAATCTTCAACGAGTATCTATTCCGAGCATAAATTCAATCACCTTTTTAATTACTAGACCACCCATGGAATGCCCAATTAAGATAATGGGGCTCTGCCTCAGTTGTCAGTTAATCTCAAGTCTCTTCTCTCCTGTCCGAATAGCTCCATACGCTCGCTTGCTGCCGTATTAACGGCGATGATCTTAATTCCTCATATAATGCCCTCCCGAAATCGTGGATATTAAGGATGTTTGGTTGTTTATAACTCCAATCGCAGTCGTACCCGAAACTGTGGATATTGGCATGGCTGAACTCAGGCTCCAGAGGGAGCCAGTATTTCGGCCAAAAGTATTGGGGATCAGGTTCTTTCTGCCATGTCCTTATGGATCCTCCGCGGAGACCATGGACAAATATTAAGTCTATCAACGGTTCCGGAGAGGAAGCGAGGAGTCGAAGGCCCAGGGGACCTCTTGTTTCATCCAGCGTCGTCGCAGATGGATGTCTGTTCGACCACACCGACGTCAAGCTCCGTCGGAACGAGAAGATCGATTTCCGTTCTTCGTCTTGTTTGAATCGACCGGCATCAGAAGAAGGCCCTTGCGAGGATTCGGAGAAAAGGGTAGCCGAATCGCTAAGTACACCATCCTTGTCCGGTGACAGGGCTCGCTGACGACTCGGAAGAGCTCGCTCGTCGTTCTGAGGATCAATAAACCATGAGTTTCTCTCTGAATTCAATTGACTCGATACTTAATACACTTACCGCCATGGCGCCTGCGTCTTGGTAACGAAGCTGCGGGCATGGGCATGCACAATAATGTTGACTCGGTCAAGAGTCAAGACGCTCGCATGGTGTCACATTCGCTTGACCCCGCGTGTTTGCTTTGGCAGCCTCGTGTTTCGATTGGCGGTCCGATATTTGATCCGACTACAGTGTAATGTTGGGTCGGCGGGTAAGGGGGGACGCAGAATGGCTGGCAAAGTAACCCCCTGCAGCCAGGGCGGGAAGTGGCTGATTCAACATATATCTCGAAGGAAATACCGGGCTCCTCCGATCCATGAGCACGCAACTCTCTTCCACCCTCCATCTCTGTTCCTTGTGTTTATAGCTGGTCGAGCCATTAATCCTGGGAAGTATCGTTATTAGTGTAATAGTTTTGTTCTTGATTCTCTGATCCGATTACTCTCAGCGAAATCCTGAAGAATGCTGGACGAGTCTCTTGACCCTGCAGTTCTCGCCGGTAAGTCGGTACGAGCCACTTACAACAATGGCGACAGCTAAAGTTCTTAGTGCTGCCTCCTGGAAGTGAGGTTGTCGATGTTCATGAACACGGAACGGCGAGCTGGTCTTCGGGCTACAAGGTAGACGTGGAAGTGGATGGAGAGGAAAAGGAGTACTTCCTTAAGGTAAGAGATTCAGAAAACAGCTGCTCCTTTCTCTCTTTCTCAGGAAACGCCATGCTTACATTCCCATGCTAGGTTCTCCAACGGCACAATCATGTTGAGATGGCTCGCGGCGAATATGAGAGCCAGAAGGCGTTGGCGGAGATTTTGCCTGACAATGTCGCCGTTCCGTTGGCCTTTGGGACTTTTCAGCTGGATTCGTCCAAGTCCTTTTTTATAACTCCGTTTCGTGAGCTCATGGATAAGATAGCGACGCCCACAGCGCTCGCCGAACTCCTTAAAACTCTTCACACAACATCCAGGTCACCTACAGGAAAATTCGGCTTCCATGTCCAGACGTTCAATGGGGTCGTGCCCGTCATCAACGATTGGTGCGATAGCTGGGAAGCTTGGTTCACGCGCCAGTTCAAGGCCGATATCCTCTGGGAGCAGAGTGTCTGCGGGCGTGATCCAGAGTTCGATGCTGTGGCAGACGAATTCTTTGCCAAGGTGATTCCCAGGCTCCTACGTCCACTTGAAACCGGGGGAAGATCTATCAAACCTTCTCTGTTGCATGGAGACATCTGGCACGGGAATTGCCAAATCGATGCAGATACGCAAAAGGTCATCCTGTTCGACTCTTGCTGCTGCTACGGCCACAATGAACGTAAGACATCCCCATGTTTGGATCCAGCGTGGGAACGATGTAAGTATGCTAAACCACACAGTTGATCTTCACATGATGAGGGAGCCGCGATACAAGTTCTCTGAGAAACAAAGACACTTGATAGAATACAAGCGTATCGTCGGCGTCTCAGAGCCCGTGGAAGACTTTGATGATCGAAACGCCCTTTATGCGATGTGAGTCCGGCGAATGGCATGGCACTTTGCAGTTCAGAGCTGCTACTAATAATCAACAAAGGCGCGACAACATCATCAATTCAGGGCTTCACGAACATCGGAGGTTCCTTCGGCAAAAGTAAGTAGTCACCGCCATACTCCTACCAACCGGGAGTATCCTGCTAAGATTGATATTGACGGATAAAATAGGGTTAAGGAAGAGATGCAGAGGCTCCTTGCAAAATACCCAGAAGGGTTTGAAGGTTTTAAAAGGTCGAGAGGAAGCGAGTATCCTTCGAAACCTCGTCCTGGCAAGGAGAAGTTGTTGTGCGCAATACTTTGGGTTACTGCCCTACTGGCGCTTGTTACCAGCTACTACGTAGCAACGCTGGGAAGACCTTTCGAAGTCATAAAGTTCCCTTCATCTCATCAGGGCCCCAAGCTGGACTTCGCTATACCTGAAGACAAAGCGATGGAAGAGGGAGTGGATGATATTGTGATTGGGTAGGCGTGCCAATACGCAGGATTAGCTTCTTAGGCGTAAAGTCCGAACAGATATATGATGAAACTCGGAGTGAAGGCGCAAGTCAGTAGGTCAGTCGAGATGCCAAACTCCCAGCGGGATGGAATCTGGGCCGGAATTGGGACGGCCCGTGCTGCGGTGTTCAAGTGCCACCCGGTGACAGCTGGGCAGGCACACCACCTGACACAGAGATCACGCACCTGCCGTATTCGCTTGAGGAGTAGAATGACGCAACACACCTCGATCATCTCGGAGGGAGCTTTTCTTCTCCATCTCGGCACCTCGGCCGATTCGCTTTATTTTTATATTTGTGAACCCAAGTGATGGGTTTTGGTAGTAGAGCAGTCTTCAGACTTGGCTCTTTGATGGAAGTCCTTCAAAACCTGCCCCGCCACTAGTGAGCATCAATCACCGGCCTCACCCCGAGTTGGCCGGAACCTCGAGCTCGTCCAGGGTTTCGACCTCCGAGGTCTCTGAGACTCGATCTCCTCTCATAGTTAGAGACGAGATATTTATTTCCCCGTCGCCAAAATGCCCAACGGAGCTGAGAACACGCCCCTCATCACGACCGTCCAAGTCCGGACGCCGCAACCGCGGTACCGCCACAGCACTCTCCGGCGGTTCTGCACCATCTCCTTGACATCTATCCTAATTTACAGCTTCTTATCGTTTCTTATTATGATCATTATTGATGGGCCGCCGCACCGTCATCACCGCCACGGGCATCGTTGGTTTGGCGATGCCTTGACGCTGAGCTGGTCTGCTCCCAAGGTCTCTCATGGGGAGCTGCAGGAGATCCTGCTCGATACCCCCGAGGGTAAGCTAGCTGAGGAGTGGAGCCGGTATTATACTTCCGGTGTGCACCTTGCCGGAAAGAATTATTCCCAGGTTAGTGAGAAATGAGCCATACATCTAGCTGATGCTCAATATACTGATAAGCATCAAGGCGGAATGGACGAGAGTGAAGTGGGCCGAATGGGGAATCAAGTCTGAGATCGTAGCCTATGACGTTTACCTAAATTACCCAGAGGATCACAGCCTGTCTCTCCTCAAGAAGAAGAAGAGCAAGAACTCGACCGATTCCGAAACCTGGGAAGTCAAGTTCAGTGCCTTTCTCGAGGAAGATGTCCTCGACGAGGACCCCACCACCGGCCGGAAGGATAGAGTCCCGACCTTCCACGGCTACTCGGCGAGCGGAAACGTTACTGCGCCATTCGTCTATGTGAACTACGGTACCTACCAGGACTATGAGGATCTCATCAAGGCAAACGTGACCCTAGAAGGGAAGATTGCGATCGCCAAGTACGGCTTCATCTTCCGCGGACTCAAGTGCAAGCGTGCCCAGGAGCTCGGAATGGTCGGGTGTGTTTTGTACTCTGACCCGGGCGACGATGGTGAGATTACGGAGGAGAATGGTTATAAGCCCTACCCGGAAGGCCCGGCGAGGAATCCTTCTAGTGTACAGAGAGGAAGCGCGCAATTCCTAAGTATCCGGCCTGGTGACCCGTACGTCCTCTCTCCTCGACACCCCATCTCTGGCAAATTTTACTGACCGATACCTTAGGACTACTCCTGGGTACCCTTCAAAGCCAGGCGTCCCTAGACAGCCGGTCGATGACAGTACACCTAGCATTCCTTCGATTCCGATCTCTTACGCCGATGCTATTCCAATTCTCAAGGCCCTCAATGGTCATGGTCCCAAGGCGTCAGACTTGAACAAGTGGTGGCGGAGGAATCTAGGCCTTGGATACAAAGGAGTTCATTACAACATTGGACCTAGCCCCGACAACGTTGTTCTCAACCTCTATAACCAGCAAGAGTACACCACAACGCCAATCTGGAACGTGATTGGCGTCATCAACGGAACCATCCCCGACGAGGCAGTCATTGTCGGTAACCATCGGGATGCATGGATAATCGGCGGCGCGGCAGATCCGAACAGTGGCTCCGCAGTAATCAACGAAGTCATCCGCAGCTTCGGAGAAGCCGTAAAAGCTGGCTGGAAGCCCCTCCGCACCATCATCTTCGCCAGCTGGGACGGCGAGGAATACGGTCTCGTCGGCAGCACGGAATGGGTAGAAGAATACCTCCCCTGGCTCACGAATGCCAACCTCGCCTACATCAACGTCGACGTCGCCGTCAGCGGACCCAACCTGCGTGTCTCGGCCGCGCCGCTCCTGCACGACGTCTTTCGCAATGTCATCGAGCTCGTGCCGTCGCCGAATCAGACGGTTCCGGATCAGACGGTGGCCGATTTGTTCAGCGGGAAGATCTCGACGATGGGGAGTGGGAGCGACTTCACGGCTTTCCAGGACTACGCGGGTGTGCCGTCGATTGATATGGGGTTCGTGGCTGGGACGCCGAGGGATGGGCAGGCTACGTATCATTACCATTCGAATTACGATAGCTTCCATTGGATGAGCGAGTACACCGATCCCGGATTCGTGTACCATGCGACCATGGCGAAGGTCCTTGGTTTGCTTACCGCTGAGATTGCGAACACACCTGTCGTCGAGTTCAAAGCGACCAAGTACGCCGACGAGCTAGGCGTCTACCTCGACAAGGTGGAAGATGCACTAAACGAGGATCCCGACAACGCCGTCTTCATCATGGACGAAGACGCAGACGAAGAAGAAATCCTCCTCGCACTCCGCGCCGTCGACCGCGGCACCAGCACCAGCACAAAAAAGGAGCACGACTTTAGGACCTTCCTCAAGCGACTCCATCGTCTCCGCAAATCCATCGGCGAGCTACGCGAGGCCGCCGAGACGGTCGACGATGAGGCCGAGTGGTGTCGGAGGCGCATCGAGGAAGGGATCCCGTGGTGGAAGTTTTGGGAGAAGATTAAGCTTGGGATTCTCTTCGTCAAGACGAACGGGAAGTATAAGCGATTCGAGAGGGTGTTTCTCTATGAGCCCGGGTTGGACGGGAGGGATTGGTATAAGCATGTGGTGTTTGCGCCGGGGTTGTGGACTGGTTACTCCGGAGGTAAGTTGCTCACTCCTGGCTCGTTTGTTTTGTTTGGATTGTTCCGCTGACTCAATCTTTTTTCGTAGCTGTTTTCCCTGGCTTGTTGGAGAGTATTAGCTCGAAGGACTACGTGAATGCGGTGAAGTGGGCGAGTATCATTGATACCTGCATCCAGAACGGTGTCAAGCTGTTGAAGGCCTAGGGTGGGAGTCGGTTCCTGTGAGCATGAAGTGTTGTTGTCACTGGCATCGTGAGGGTACTGCGTTTCCGTTTCTATGTGCCTTTCAAGTATGAAATTCGGATATAATGCGGTACATGATGTTCTCTCTTCTGAGAGGGAATTCATATCAACGGACGTATATTACGAGAAACATGTAGATTTGACAAGAGTCGAGACTATTCTCTATTACTATGACCGACTTTCCCATGCTATGAAATTCATTCCCTCCATCATTCGTCATATCTCATCATCATATCAAACACTCTCCCTCTCCTCTTCCCCTTACGGAATAACAACCCTCTCCCCATCCCTAACCTCCACCACCCCCTCCCGTCCCCCAAGCCCATACCTCACCCTCAAGACCTTCTCCCTCCCCGGCGCCGGATCCCAAAACCCAGGCAACCGACTGATCCTCAACCCAGCAGGAATAACAACACACCTACCGCCACGGACAAGAGCCGCCAGCGCAACAGTCACGTCCGCCACGTCCTCGCCCGCCCACCCTGACGTAGCGGCGCCGTACTTTGCCGACAGGATGGTCAACTTATCGGCCGGGCGCGAGCTGTGCTGTTGTTCGCCGTCTCGGGAGGACAGTGCGCGGTGGAGGAGAAAGGTGAGATCATCCGCCTCGGCGCGGCGGACGGCGCGTTTTGATTTCCGGGGCTCGAGCTGCTGCTGTTGTTTGCGGAGGGCGAGGAAGTGCATGCAGCCTGCCACGAGGAAAGGGATGGCGGCGCAGCAAAGAAGCTTACGCGCGGGGACGAGATTCCGCGGCGTGAGGAACAGGGGTAGCGAGAGGCGCTGGTGCAGGCGGGACCAGTAGAGAGAGAAGTGGAGGCTGTACGCCGAGATTCCCAGTTCTAAGCCGAGACGGGAGGATTTCCCCACGGGGAGGAGGCTTCGGATGGCGAAGTACCGATCGAGCAGTGTGGTGGCGCATAATTCAGCCTCGAGCCTCACCGTCCTCGGTCGGGTCGTCTTCGTCGTCTTCCTCCATGGGATGAGCATGGCGACGTCCCTTCCGTACCGGAGGTAACTCCCTAGAGAATCCGCCGTGGCCGAAAGCGAAACGGCCCATGACCCCGAACCCACAACGTCGAGCTCCTCGTCTAACCCCCGAATGCCCGCCTCGCCGGCGGGGACGTCGCCGTTGTGATTCGCCGCCACCATAGTGACGCCGCTGCTAGCAGAACCGCGCTCGCACGGCGTGGTCTTGTACCCGAGCTCGAAGCTGGCGGGCGTACGGATGGGGAACTCGGCGTAGAAGAAGCGGCGATTGATGCGGGAGAACTCGGTGAAGAACTTGCACGTGTCCTCCGTTTTGAGGGACCAGTCTCCGCTGTCGAGGCGGGCGAATGCCGTCCCTCCGGCGCTCGTTGCTCTCTGGACCCAAAGGCAGACGCGAGGAGCACGCGATGACAGTGGCTGCCGGGCCGTGATGGCGGAGCCGAGGGTGGTGGGGGCGCCTTGGATGGTGGTCGAATGAGCCACACGGGCTGCTAGGGCCGGTCGGGGGAGGACGTCAGATTCGAGTTCGACTGCCGTGCTGGAGAGGATGGATTGAGCGTCGCTTGTTGCGTGATGGATGTCTTGGTGTATTCTCATCGTGACGAGCGGGCACAGACGGTTTTCGACCAGCTGGACGACCCTTCTGCGTGGGATGGACAGGGGAAGAAGAGGCTGGTATCGATCGGAGAGGAGAGCCATGGGCATTTGGGACATGTCTTCGGCGACCCCGAATACTGATCCCGAGACTGTCAGGGACGGCGTCGGGACGATGAAGACTGGGGCATCGCGGAGTGAGTCCAGGGATACCGACTCGAGGGCAATTGTGGGGACCTTGGGCTTGCCGGGAGATTCTTCATCTTCAGGCGGTGCTAGCATAAATTCCTGGACTTGGCGGAGACTGCTCTTGACGATGTCTCCTAAAGCTGGCACTCCAACAGTAACGTGGTGGCCAACGGTAAAGTCCAGCGGCCTCAACGCTTGTCCCTTAACAGCCACCTCCTCATTCTGCAAGCGCCGCACCAAGCTCGACGCATCGAACCTCCCGCCCAAGTCCGACCCCGTCCACAACGCCTTCTTTACCTGCCTCTCCAGCGCCTCGGCAACAACCTCGCCAAACTCCTCACTCCCGGGCTCAAACCCCGATCTCAACGCAAAATCATACGCGGCCCTCTTCTTCGCGTCCGAAAGCGTCTCGAACGCAACCTGCACCCTCTCGAAATATTTCTCTGCCATATCCCTCACATCAGCCTCGTGGTTGTCCGGATACAACAGCCCAAACCACCTCCAATACGCCCTTTTTACGTCGTCACCACTCGCGCCATCCCTCGGCAAACACAACACTTCGTAAAAATCCGCGTCCCGCTCGTCTTCCCCTTCCACTACTTCTTCTTCAGGGCCAAGACTCTCATCGCCATGCTCCTCCAAACCACCAGCTTCCCCTTCCCTTACCACATCCGATACCGTGCCCCGATCGAAGACAGAAACCACATCCTCATCCCCAAACTCGTACTCCCTCCTCGTGGCAGCAAAATGCTCATTCAACGAAAACCTCGACTCCATGGGCCGCAGGCCGTGAGGAGCCCCTCCTTGCTGCTGGCCATACGAGGCGGATGTGGCCCCATAATAGCCCCCGGATGGCACACGAGCCTGCTGCGGCTCATAGGTCGACTGCACCCGGGCTTGCGGAGGCTCATAGTAACCCTGTGGGATCTGACCGTATGACGGGTGATGCTCGTCGAACACGGCGCTCGACCGCGCGGAGTTGACGCGGCTTGATCCGCGGGTGCGTCTCGCCCTGGGCGTCCTATTTGGAGAATCAGCCATTACCATGCAAGTCCGACTTTATGTACAGTTTATATCGACTGTCGATGGATGGATCTATATCCAAAGGGTTATATAAAGCGAACGGGTGGGGGGAAGTGATGGATAAATGAGGCAGTTATAAATAAAGAGAGAGGGAGAAAATGAAGCCCAAAATTTACTTACCCGTCGCAACCGTGACGGGAGGGTTGTTGCTCTATATCAGACACATTAAAGGACAGGGATGAGGCGTCCTTCGTTCCATGATGGTGGTGCGACGCGGGGCAAAGACGAGGATGAAGCGAGTCGCGAACGTATCAGTGGGATCGCCGTGAGCTGGTGACAGCTGGTGTCAGCTTCGTTGACAGTGATGTATGAATATGACCCTCTTGGGGAGATTAAATCATTGGATGGGGTTTTCCTGTTTTCGGTTCTAGGGTGAGTGGGAAGATGAAATCGTAGGATGGGTGGGCAGGGTACGACATCATCGACTTGTTGAATTGTTTGTTTTGGGGTTGCAGCTCGCGCCTTCACTGGCAAGAGCTGGTGAGGATCCAGTCGATGCATGGCCGAGATGCTGGCACGATCCGACCTGGTTCAACTGTATCCTTGTCGATGAGGATGGGTTGAATGGGCCAAGGTTAGCTCCTGTCTACCAAAGCTACATGGCCCCGGACTGGTCGTTGGGAGCAATGGTAGTTATTCGAGATGAAGCTAGGACTGAGGCCGGATCCGTCCTCCCGCCTGCCGGACCGAGCCCTGGTGGCCCGGTTCATCTCCGTGACTGACTCGGATCTTCTGCGGTTTTCATCTTTGGCAAAGGTTCTGATGCTAGTGGAGTTCAGATACATCGCCATTCAACTAACAAAATACTCATGCTCTTCATTACACAATACCTGCTATATATAAATCCACCACATCTACCCGCAATTCCCTCTCTTCGGATGCTTCCTTCCTCATGATTCTCTTTCCAATCATCGTGGCAGATCACTCCCTCCTCCTTCTTCCCCAACCCTAGCGGCAAAGATATAAAAAGAAACGATAAACGAGGATGGGGCGAGTGTGGTTGTTTCAGGATCGAGAAGAAAGAAGGAAAAGGGGAGAAAGAAAGAAAGAAAATAGGGAAAGAGAGAAGATTAAAACTCAGCCCCTATTCGATCATGAGCAGGGGAAAATAACGGCCGTCCTCCTCTATACAGGTATCCATGCTATTTACCCGAAACTCGGACGAGAAAAATAATGTATAATAAGAGAAGAAAAAGAAGACAAGGGGAGGGGGACGATCAGGAAATATGTTCCAAAATGATAAAGAGAAAAAAAAAAAAAAGAGAAAAGGTGAAATGGAAAAGAGGATAAAAGTAGAAGAACTCCCACCTCCCCTGTACGGCTCCCAGAAAACGCCCAGCCACTCCAACCACTACTTGACGCCAGTTTTCCTCCGTACTCTTGGCAGGGCTCGAACGAGGCCCCTGGTCCGGAGTTTCAACAGAAAGAGCGAGGGTATCAAAAAATATATGGGAAAAATATAAAAAGGAAAGAAACGACGGAAATGTTTCAAATACACATGGCCAGTAGCCAAATGGGCATATCTATATGCGAACAAACTTCGTCATAGCAAAGGGAAAACTCGGCCGTCCTCATAAAGTCCGCTCAAATCGTTTCAGGTCAAGAAAAGTCATCGCCGTTGGGAATGGCCAGCTGATCGACGTTTTGCACCAACTCCTTCATCTCCCTCGCAAGCTCAAACGCAATGGGCGGTAGGTTCTGGGTCCACATCTTCCACTCCCTGTCGTTGGGGCCCTTGCCCTTGGCCGCGATCGTCTGACCTTGTTTGTTGGCGTTGAGCAGCTTGTCGCGGCTGGCTTCGAGACGCACCACGAGCTGCGCGTTGCCACTCGACTGCGTCTCGCCGATGACCTTGCCCGCGACACCGACGATAGCCTCAATCTGGTCCGTGATCTGCTCGAGAGACGCGCTGCTGCGGATGGAGCCCACGAGGTTTTGAATGCTCGACACGAGGAGTGCAGTCTGGTCTTCGAGGTAGATCTTCAAGTCGTCGGACTGTCCGTATTGCGAGGGTAGGTTGTCGTAAGGACCAGCCGGTGGCGGTGGGAGGTTCTTGTTCGTATCATAGTAGTTGCCGTTCATTCCATTTCCGTTCATCTCGTCGATCCGACCCATGCCGCCGATTCCATTCATGTTCATTGGTGGTCGGCTAAAAGTCTGGTCCCTCGATTCTCGGGGAGAGTTGACGGGGCTGTAGGCAGACGAGTCGGCACTCAAGCGAGAGCCTCCCAATCCTCGGAACGGTGGCGCCGGGGGAGGGGGTAGGGACTCCTGAGTCGTCATGGATTCTTGCCTCGAGCTCTGCGGAGAGAAGAACCCAGTGGACGAGTCCAGTGGCGTTACTGTGCCATCATCATCTTCGTCTTCCAGTTCGCCAGCGGGAGTTGGCCGCATCTTTACCATCTGCAGCAGCTCAACAATAGCCGCAACAAGGTGGGATGCCGAAGCGTCGAGGATGGAAACGGGAGAAATACCGGCCGAGTTGGCATGGTTCTTGGCCGCGGTGATAAAGGCATTCGCAGCCCCGGAAACCTTGCCCTTCGCCTTCGATATCTGTTGCGCGAAGTCGTCATTCCTTGACGAGGCACCGGTCTCATCAATGTCCTTGGTTATCCTCCGTACACCAACAATCGCTGCTTTCATGGCATCCATCACCTTCTCAGGCATGTCGGTTCGCGCCTGCTGTAGAGTGTCATCGATAGCAACCTGGAACTTGGTAACGTGGACGTCCTTCACCAGACCATTATCCGCCGTAAGACCCCGCTCTCGCAAATACTTGGTCGCATCCCTCTCTGCGGGAAGTCCGAGCGACGAAGCGCGCATGCTTCGGAGCTGCGTCTTGGCCCGAGTGTATCGGTTCCTCCAGTCCCTAACTTCCTGCTCGAGCTGCTCTACCGTCCTTTCTAGATCCTCCTGTCGCTCGTATGTAGAGCTGCTCTGCTGGGACAGTTCCCGCATTTCTCTCAGAGCCTCCTGGGCGCTACGACGCACTTCTTCGGTGACAGCCTGCTGTTCGCGCAAGGCCTCTTGAAGCTCCTGGTTCTCGCGCTGTAGTTCTCGGTCGGCATTGCCCGAATTGGCGGGGGCGGAAGTAGCGGCGGCGGCAGCAGCAGCTGCTGCGGCTCGGCGCTCCTGATCTATCCTATCGTCCATATCGGCGAGCTGATTCCTCAACTCCCTCGTCTCACTCGCGTGGTCGGACCGCAGACGTTCAATCTCGTCTCGTAGAGAGTCGTTGAGATCTTGCGCCTCGGCAAGCCTCTTCTCGAGGCTTACACGTAGATCATCCCACTCCTTCTTTTCCATATTGGCGGCACTAGATCTTGACCGCTCATCGTCAAGCATGCGGTTCATTTCGTCATCCTTCCTCTTCATGTCGTCTTCCATGCTATCGAGCTTTTCGCGAAGCTCTTGTACCTGAACCTGGTAATCCTCGATGAGTCTCTTATCCGTCTGCAGTATCCCCATCGTTAGCTGTTACTGTCATACGAAGCTTCGTGTGAGAGGAGAAAAGTTGGGGCCAGTTCATGGTGTTCATGGTGTTTTGAGTGGTCAACATACCTCCGACTGCACCGGACTTGCCTGGGTGTCCGGCCTTGGATCGTTTAAGCCAGTCGGCGCACGGCGAATCGCCGCAAAGGGCTCCCGGTCTTCGGCATCGTCATCTTCCTCCACCATGGTGCTCTTGTTCGGTACGATGGTATTACTCTGGAACTGCTTCTGAAGCGGACGCCCAAACTCGCCAGGAGCGAGGCTTGGCGAGGGAGGTATCGAGTAAGCATAGCCACCACCAGGACCCCTGACGGAACTCGCATCTGAAGGTCTTCTCCTGCTGGCATTCCTCGGCGGCAGGCCATTTGCAGGGGTTCCGGAACGGCTGATAGACATGCGAGGAGGGATGTCGCCCTCAACAAAATTGGGGAATCTCCTCTCGAGTTCGGTGAACACGTCGGTAACCAGGCTCTGGAATCGGTCGGGGCCGAGAGATGATAACTTCTGACGGGCCTGGTTTCGCTTGGGGTGGAAGCCATTTTCCGCAGGTAAGGAAGGAGGGGCGCGAGAATCCTGGCGACGCATCAATTCGTCGTAGACATCTGTGCTAAGCTCGACGAACTGCACACTAGTAAGGCGCAAAAGCTTATCTTTGGCCTTGGCGGTAGCACCAGTCGTCCTGCCGTTACGGCCGTTGAGGAATCTCCGTAGAGCTAGGTAGTGTTCGCCGAGGATGGCCTCCGTCTGGTCATCCTTTGTACTCCTCCCGCTTTCGCTCCTCGCGTACATATTCGTGCCTTGGCTCGATCGGGCGATAGATGGCGGAGGAGAAGGGCCACCGACGCTCCGGGCGACGGGTGGGAATCCGTTCAGGCCTCCATTCGAGCCTCCGGAGTTAGGGGGAGATATAAGTTGACCGCGGTTGTTGGGGAACGGGCCGCCGTCGCCGTACTTGGACATGTTGGACGACCGATCGTTTCCACCTATAGATACTGGTGACAATGGTGCATTTCGCCCGTTCATATTATTGTTGAGTTGTACTCGGATTCGTCCTTCCCGAGCCGGCCAGAGCAGTCCGGGTCTCGATTCGTTGCGCTCTGGGATAGGAGAGGTATTAAAAATGTTTCACGAAATCGTCGAGAGAACGTATCAGCCGATGGTCTCTTTGGTTCGTCTTTCTTTATTCTTCCCTATTCCCCTCGCGATGTTCAGGTGGGTTTGAGAAAATGGACGTCGCAGGCGTTGAGAATGCCCTGAAATATTACAAGTCAAGAGGCGAGGGCCTGTGGCGATGGGCTCCTAGTTTTTTTTTTTGGTAGATTGGGCGTGATTTCGGATTGCCGTCAGTTACTACGGGTGGTCGCCTTTCTGAGTGAAGTCTAAGTTTGACTTGGTTGTTTCCGGCCTGAATATTCGGGATGGAGGTTTTTTTTCGAGGTCGCTTTCATCAAACGCAGTGATTATAATAGGGGTATCTCGCTAGGCAATTTCGAGCACAATTGCGTATACAGGTCGAACCTTGGCGACACTGAGTTCCGAGTCGGTACAAGGGCGGCGTTCGTGATTCTTCAAGGGTGAGAATCTCACGATCTGTCTCTTTTGCTCCTGGACAATGTGGGAAGAATAATTACAAAGTACGGCCAATACAAGGAAAAAGAACGAGAACAATCAGAGAGGATTTGCGTGGGACGAGGAAATCCGCGACGGGCAGTGGTGAAGCATGAAACGTCACGGTGACCGACAAGGGTTTGGGACCAGCCAATGGGGAAACTGTGCCTGCATAGACGGGGTGACCCAATCGGGGGTCGACACCTTCCAAAGGACGAAGGGCGTCTGAGTTTCTGAGGGTCTCCAGACCGCCGCTGCTGCAGGGGAATTGGCTTTGGGGCAGGCAAATCTGGCAAGCAGGAAGTACAACTCAGGAGGTACGAAAGGGGGATTTCGGGGAGTACTGGTACAAGGTTACCCCAATGAGAAGGTCAGGGAAGGGGCCGGCGTGGCGCACCAGAGGAAGGTAGCGAAGGTCAGGAAGGAGCATAGCAAACAAAGGGAGCTCCGAGCCGAGTCACTCGACTTCCCTGAAGCGGTTCCCGCCTACCTGAAATTTGCTGCGTGGTGCCCGGCAGTTTCCGCATTGCATCAGGGAAAGAGGTACTTTATGCCGATAATCCGGTACCTCGATGATCCCCACCGGTTGTTAGCAGGTACTGAGGCTGTGCTGGACATACTTTCAGAAAAGTCAAGGGTCTCCGAAATGAGCGCCAAAGAGCAAGTGCGACGATTGGGTCGGACCTGGCAAGGGCCATGGGAAGGAAGATCGGTTGTTGTATCGATACTTTTGTGTGAGATCTTGAAGGCGGCGTTTATAAAGGGCGACTTGTACTTCATAAGAACACTCGACACTGATCGACGAAGTATGCAATTAATACTTACACCAATGTTGTACTTCATACTTGTCTGCTGTGGTTGTGATTCATGTGATTCATGAGTGAGTGTCCGTTGACACCGTTGCCAGCGATCACGGCTTGGTCACTTTGCAGCTGGCCCGTGAACAGCAGAGATCATCGAAGCAGAAAAGGAAACCACAATCCCACCACCGTCATGGCACAGGCAATGATGCAGTCGCGAGGCTTGAGGGTCGGATAATTGTACAAGTACGTAGTGTAGCGTACGAAGTACACGATTCTGAAATATTCATTTCGCGTCCGCATGTGGATAGGACATTGAGGAAGATTGAGGAAGGAGGACATGGACAGGAAATATTCTGTGTAATTACAGGCCCCTGTTTGGGCAACCGCAATTAATGCAGGCACCAAGTGGCAAGCACGGCTGGCGGACACTCTAATTTGACGCCCCACATTCTCTTGTCCTGCGCTAGAAACCACGGTACCTGCTTGCTGCGCCGACCGACTCTGTGGTCTCCTGTTCCTGCTTTTCCAGCTGGAGATTTCATCACTAATTGATGCTTCGCCCTCCCATTCCAAGCTAAGGAGGCCAGGGACTCGGGAGCATGGAGACAAAAAGGTGGAAGACACCATCGATAAAATCGAACTTCAATGTACAAAGGTAGAAGATATATTGATTGATTGGTGCCCAAACGCACCATCAACGTCGACCAAAATTTGGACAGACGGCAAGAGAAGTCCAATAGCGCCCACGCAAAACACTCCATCCTTATCCACGTCCGATGGCGCTAGCCACATTGGAAGCTTAGATTTTACCCCTGGCGCTTTCGGTGGCTGCACACGGCGCTAAAAGTGAAATCATTTTGAGCGCTTTCCGAAGCCCATTTGATTGACCGTCGCCAGACATCTCGCGCCATCAAGTTGCATATCACTTCAGCTGCCTTTGTCGTCGGGAGAAGGAGAAGCGGGAGAAAGGGGACGCACGATTCGAAGAGACTAGCACCGGGCTTGCGCAGGAGAAACGAGATAGCCTCACACTAGTGAAATACTACGAGTCTACGAGAGGTAAAACAGCAGTCTCTCCCCCCACGGCTTAAGCCTAACTCGGGCCAAGCGTGATTCCTCAAGTTGCGATTTGCACTTCCTCCACGATTCGGTGCTCAGTGTGGTGTAGTGTTGTGAAGTGGATGACGAAGTGCTTGCCGTCCGCTCCTCGCAAGAAAATTGCCTCGATACCACTCTGCAGCCGCCCACTTTTCCCGGATGAGTTCCACGGACGAGAGTGTCCTTTTCGAGCTCGATGCCAATCTGAAAAGCCAAGACGAAAAAAAGCGGGAAAGGCTGGAGTCCAGGGAAAGTCTCCATCGGCTGTCTCGAAGTGTGAAGATTCTGGGCATTTTCGCTCCATGCGAAGTACTCTTCTCCATTTTGTACTTGTTCTGAGAAGCCCACGATGCCTTCATTATCTTCGAACACGTAAAACCTAGATCTGGTCTGAGACGGCTTTTACGGTAATAGCATGTCCTCGAGGTAATCTACTTCGTAGCCGTCTAGTTCATCCGACGGCGGTAGAATGCTACAAGTACCCCAGACTCTTCTCAAATCTCGAAGTTCCCGTCCGCTGATCAGGGGCAAGCCGGAGAAATAAGACAAGAGACTCAACGCCAACCTTCCCCCCCTCGACTAGATCTTCTTCCATTTTCCAGGCTCTCGTCTATCCCCTCCTTGTAGTCTCCGCGCAACGCATGAACAAAAAAGAAGGATCTCAGCCAGGATGCCCCACTGACAATTTATCTACATATATGCGTCGCCTTCTCAACTCCCATGTCGGCTGGCCCGTTTCCCCCTTAGTCCTTGTCGCGATCTCTCGACTACCACCTCAACCCACGGGGCATGATTTTCCTTTGTCCGAACATTTCGCCAAACCAGTTCTCCAAAAGACGACGCTGTGGACGCATTAACTTGCCCTGTTGATCTTGACCAGATGTTCGGTTTTCTCTTGGGAAGTTTGCGCTTTGGCCTTGTCTCGACCACTGCTCCGCTGCCTTGTCTCGGCTCTTGATGCTGTGTCTCGATAGAATCGTTTTCTTATCTTAACCTCTCGACCATTGTCGTAAGAACTAGAGTGCTTTGAAGGAAAGAGAAAGAAAAATACTCCTTTCAGAGGCATGCGGCAACTGAACACTCTCCTCCCGCCCGGCCCGTGTTCTAGTTTCGTTTCTCAGGAAGGTAAAAGTAAATAAACATTTCTTTGATGTCTCGAACAACAACTCCAAGTATACGGGGCAGTAACCCGACTCTCGGTTTTCCTCTCTTTTAAACTCTTCGCTCGTATATCAAGCCGCGGGAACAAGCATTATATTGTTCTTCAATAAATGAGCCTCCGAGACTGTTGTTGCCTCTGTCCCGTCCATTATCGTTTGATGTCCCGCACACATACGAAGATCCCAACTACCATATCGTCCTTTCTTCTAACAAAAAAGTCCACATGGTCAAGATCGACAGGTCCGACAAGGTTAACATGCACACAAGCCGGCCACGGGGCATGACGAGGCCCGCCCTCTTTATTTTCATTCTAGAATAATCTCCCTTCGCCCATCCTCGTCGCCCGTTGTCCGAACCCCAGATTTCTTGCCCCGTACCTGCATAGGGCTCGGACTTTCTTTTCTGTTTTCTTCTCCTCACTTCTCTCTTCTTTGATCGACCTCGATTCAGTGTAATGGCGACCGGGATTCGACAAACCCTTGGCGTTGGCCTTCCCAGCCGCCCAAGTCACTCTGCCTGGGGAGTGACGTGTTGTGTTTCGTCTTGAACATAGAAGAGTTCGGTCGGCTTCTCCTCCGATGTGAGAAGACCAGACAATCATTCCCCATCCTGGGCACTTTAGGCAAACGCCGACCGGCAGTTCTGTTTAAAGAGAGTGTATGTATTAATAAGTCCCCTCCTCGCTGAGCTTCCTCGCCAGTGACGGAGATGTTTCATCTTATTCATTGTGCTGTCTTCCTAGTTTATGCCGTGGGGTATAAGATCGGATAACTCCCAAAAACGCCATAAAAACCAAACCCGTCCCACCGACCCTGCCCCCGTAGAAACGAGAGGCAATGAATCATGATACAAAAGTGGCATGTCTTCGTAAATCGTCTGCCGTAGAAGAAAAAAGGAAAAGAACTTCCGCGAACATCATCGGAAGAAGTAATAACCCGGTCCTGTAAAGGCATGGGTGGGCCTGCTCAGAACCAAGCCAACGTCCAAACAGCGGGCAGATTGGGCCACCTCTCTTGCCACTCAGCCAGGATCTCCGGCACCCGCTCATCAAAGCTGGCCCTCGCAGACGAGCTGCCATTGTCAAAGGCAGTATGGCCAGTGCGCTCCCGCTCTTCTACCGCGGCCTTATTAAGCGAGTTGGCCAGGTCCAGGATGCCTCTGCCGCCAACCAAGGCTTCCTCGTGGTTATCCTTGATATCGACGTTGAAAACATGGACGGGCCGATTCAGCGGCGCGCCTCGCCAGTGGAGGTCATCGATCACGGCATCCCAACATCTCTCCTCACAGGTAAAGACAACGTCTACGATGCCACCCTCTGTGCCTTCGCTTCCCTTGTCATTCGAGTGTTGAAGTCTTGGGAAGCCAATCGGCCAGTCCTGCCACCTCTCGGGACCCCACTTGACGCCGCGATTACGTTCCAACATGTTGAGTAGACCGTTGGCCTTGTATAGCCTAGGATCCTTCGCTTCAAGCTCCTTGTACATACTGTCGTATGAGGTCTTATTGAATTGGTATACATTGGGCTGCGTGATGGTCGGACCGGGTAGTCGGACGAGGGATCCTGTTCCGAAGGAAATGACTGGGTAGTTGGCCAGAGATAACCTCAGATGTGCCTCCATAGATCTAGCACTCATGGTTAGGAGGGAAATGGAAATGACGCAAGCGGCAAGAGGCAGACTGGTGTTTCATACCTGTTCTGATTACTGGCACAAACTGTGCAAAACTTGAGCTTGAAGTCCGACGACCCATGGCCATCGCCATTCTTGGTCACATCAGAAGCTACACCGTTACCGTTCGTTACTTCCGTTGCCATGGTCGCAAGGACTAGGATCTCCTCCTGACTATTCTACGTTTCTACAACGCAGTTAGCAAAACTGGCTTGGCAAGATAGTTGTCTGAGGAAACAAAGGAATGCATCCTGCCGGGGAAAGTCGTTCAGAAATTTGTTGCGTATAAAATTTGCTTCAGCACTTTTGAAGAAATCAGACAGCTCCAATAGATAGAAATCATCATAGACGACCTGGCAAGGATATAATAAGCATCACTAGTAATACCATACCTTTACAATATCGAGTTTGAGAGAATCTAGAAGCGCAATGATGGCTTGTTGCGCGTCTTGGAATTGGGTTCAAGGAGAAGGAGGATTTTGCATTGGAGAGTTTGTTGGAATGCAGGTGCTCTGGAAGAGATGGTTTCCCCAAGTCATGTCACGTGCGTGGACCCCACCATCAAAAAGCTACATTTGAAAGTACATTCTTCCTGTCCCCCACTTCCCGCTGAAGAAATCGCTGCGGAAGCGGAAGTGGACAGTTCCTGAGCTGAGGAACCTAGGTTGGAGAAACAGCTGCACTGTACCTGTGTATTAGGTATTTAATGATCTTACTTGTGTAGCAAACTAAGGCAGAGAACGCGAGTGCACCGTCCTCGGTCAGTAGTCCGGTTCATAATGCGCGGGAGCTCTCTATCCGAGCTTAGTACTACGCAATATCCCAGAGGCCTGGCATCTCGATTATATGTTACTACGCAGAGGTGTGAGTAGATTTACTTCGTAATTCGACAGCTGTGTTGCTGCCATTTGGCGAGAAGATCAAATTTCATTAACTCAAGTACCTGGATTACGCTGGCCTAGAGCAGGATGCCCGCGGGAGTAACGGATCGTGCCTCTGCGAAAGGAAAAGCTAAATCCGCGGCCCATAGCTGTTATCTACGAACCCTCCCCGAGTTCGCCGTTCATGTCATGATGTGGATTTCTAGATTCCACGAGGTAGGGGCGCCAGCTGTTCACTAGCCCTGTACCTTGCCCTGAAGGCAAGCCGAAATATTTGAATCATGGAATTTTCCTGATAAACCCGAGCTCAAGGAGGGTACCTCTCACGTCATGTCCACGTGGCCGAGTGAACTACTCCAACCGGAATCGGAATCTTTTGGTAGACAGCAAGCTTCGTTATTACTCCGTATTTCCGGAGCTGTGTCTCTAGGTTCTCACAACGGTGCGGGAGTCTCAGCTGGGCATATTCATGTAAGTGAGGCTTCATCTGCAGTCAAACGTCGCTGGGGGGGGAGCTTCGAACGGCCTGCTTCGGCACTGGAGCTGTCCCTGGCCCATTGTGACGTTAGCTCCAATTCGTTTTTAACTTTGGTGCCTGTCCATCGAAAAATCCAGCATCCAAAGATATCAATATTTGCTCTCCAAAAACTCGATTCCACTCAACAAGCGCCAAGAATATATCAACTGATGTACCTCCATTAATATTTATAAGCCCTGAGAAATGCTCGACCTGTACCAAGACAATTGCACGCATCGCATTGTCACAGCTCGACCCTGGATTAATAATGAACCAGCCCCAGTAACCGAGATCTTGCCGGCGCGGACATGACCCAAGCTCCCAAAAGCTCCGAAACAAAGAGCAAGAAAAAACTTAGTAATGTCAGTCGATTGATGTCATGCAAGGCACATCTCTCGTCACAGCAGTCCTCTGAGAGACAAACTCTCACCACCTTGTATTCTCCCTCAAAATAAAAGGTGAAAGGCACAAACACACTCTTCCCAACCGCCCCATCTTATCAATCGCACTATACACCCATCCCACACACCCAATTGATCTTTCCTTTTTCCGCGGAGAATACCAACCACAACAATGTTCGCTCGATCCGCCGCCCGCACTCTTCGGCCCCTCCGTTGCCAGGCCACGCGGTACTACAGCACCGCCAGCGCAGCCACCCCTCCCCCTCCCGCCCCCAAGAGCGGCTCCAACGCCGCCCTCTACATCGCCGGAGCCGCGGGCCTGGGCGGCGCGGCCTACTACTTCCTCGGCGGTGCCGCTGCCGGCAAGAAGATCGACGCCTCTGCCGCCGGAACTCCCGCGAAGGCTGCGTTGACTGGCGGAGAGCAGGGATTCATTCCCTTGAAGGTCGAGAGCGTCGAGAGTGTCAGCCACAATACTAAGAAGCTGCGCTTTAAGCTCCCCGAGGACGACATGGTTTCTGGTGTTCATATTGCCAGCGCCATTTTGACCAAGTTCAAGCCTGAGGGTGCTGAGAAGCCCGTTATCAGGCCATACACCCCCATCAACGACGAGGGTAAGTCTTACGATTCCTCTCTACTTTGTCTTTCTGGCCCGATTCCTGCTTCAATTCCCCTAACTAACAAAACCCTCTCGCAGAGGCCCGCGGCTACCTCGACCTCCTCGTCAAGGAATACCCCAACGGCCCCATGTCCACCCATATCGCCAACCTCAAGCCCGGCGACGTCCTCGACTTCAAGGGCCCCATCCCCAAGTACCTCTGGCAGCCCAACAAGCACAACCACATCGCCCTCCTCGCCGGCGGCACCGGCATCACCCCCATGTACCAGCTCCTCCGCGCCATCTTCTCCAACCCCGACGACAAGACCAAGGTCACCCTCGTCTTCGGCAACGTCACCGAGGGTGACATCCTCCTCAAGAAGGAGCTCGCCGACCTCGAGAACAGGTATCCTCAGCGCTTCCGCGCGTTTTATACCTTGGATAAGCCTCCCAAGGGCTGGGCTGGTAATTCGGGATTCATCACTAAGGACCTTCTGAAGACTGTCCTTCCTGAGCCCAAGGAGGAGAACGTCAAGGTCTTCGTCTGCGGTCCTCCTGGTCTTATGAAGGCTATCTCCGGTCCTAAGAATAGCCCCCAGGACCAGGGTGAGCTCAGTGGTATCCTAAAGGAGCTGGGTTACGGCAAAGACCAAGTTTACAAGTTCTAAGCGGGAGAAGGAATAGAAAAGAAGAAAATTCATTGGTGTTGAAAATGCCTTGGTGCTCGTCTGCTTTTAGCGCTGTTCTCAGAACCCAGTGTCACAAAGTGTGTATATAAATAGCCAAGAGAGCTTCAACCGACTCCGTCACTGCTAGGCGGGTTGGTTGTATCCTGTACGTATGATACGAGAGGGAAATAAATGGTCATCGTTAGTTCTTGGGTAATTCTCCATGGTTCATGATCGTACTTGGTTGTCATGGTTGCCAGACACACGGAAATCTCCCATCGTCACTCAAGATATAATTACACAACTGTTTGGAACACACTGAAAGAACAGTCAATTTATGATAGCCGCCAAAAGCCGGCTTTCTGAAATAAACAGACGAAAGAATTGAGACCCTAACCGTAGTAAATGACGTGCCCTCAAGGTGCCCCGGAGCAGAAAACATAATGGTTCCCTAAAAAAAGCTACTTGATTGATGCGTTTCATTTCCGCAACCGTCAAGTAATCATCGCTAAAAGCATTCGCAATGCCCTTTGATTATCTACGCGCCTTACCGTCTTCTTGCGCCAATTTTCGTATGCCCATGAACAGAGAGAGACTATCCGCCTAGAAAAAAAAAAGGAAAGAAAGAAAAACAAACAGAAAGAAAGATTGAAAATGAAAGAAAGAAAGGAAAGGGTCAAGGCAAGTTCGCAGGATAGCGTCAACTAGCCTCTGGTTTAGGATCCTGTGTTACTGGCGTTGGAGCAACCCGTCTCTTCTTGGGCTCCTTCACCTCATCCCTCTCTGCCTCGCTAGCATCCCGCTTGACCCCAGCAACAGTGCTCGTATTGCGGGGGGTCTCGGGAGGAGTGGTGATCGGGACTCCCGTGACTTTGCCAGAATTCGTTGCCACGATGCCGGGGACGCTTCCGACAATGAGAGGCGGATTGCTCAATACAGCTGTGGAAGCCTGGGTAGTGACCGATGAGGCCGATGTCGACCTCGCTGGAGAGCTGGGACGTCCAGCCGGGAACGACAAGGCAGGAGTAGGTGGCGATGGGGCAGTGAAGGAACCGGTAGAGTTCCTGTGCTGATGACCATGGTACGGTGATGGTGGCGCAAAAGCCGAGGTGGGTGTCAGCACTGGCATGTTTTGGACTGGCGCTGAGGTTACTGGGCCCGAAAGAGTAGGATTCTTGAGACTAGGCACATCGCCAGTATAAATCTCACCAAGTTCTCCAGGTGCAAAGGAGAGCGTAGAGCAGAAGCCGTCGGAAGACGTTATCAGAAGCGTCAGACCATCACTTGACCTAAAGTAATGTTTAGTAGGGTGTCAAGCACACACAAATAACAGGGAGGGACCATGGAGAAGAGAAACGCAAATATTAAACTTACCAGGTGAGGTCAGTAAAAGTGGCACAATGAAGATTGCTAACAACACAAAGAGGCGTTTGTTGCTGGGTATCATAGAGGAAGACCGAATCTTGGGTTGCGACAGCGTATATCATTCTATACGGTAGAATAAAAGCGGATTTGGGGCCGCCGGTAACCGCCGTGGCAGCGTCAGAGTCGGCGCTCGAGGGCTTCACTTGTGCTGATGTCGCATCACAAGTGGGGGGTGGTGGAGGCTCCATAACCTGCGACCCCGGTGATGGCCCAGACAGAGGCTCCGGTAGTTCGGGTATCGGTTCTTCCGCTGAGGATGTGTCGATTGTGATATGCTTAGTTGTCACGGGTGTTTGACGCAGCTGATAAAAGATTGGCGAACAACGCACAGCAACTGACGGCTTCTTATGGCCGGGCAAGTGGGCAATGGGAGCCTTGTTGATGCCGCCTCGCGTGTAGATGTACACGGTGTTAATGACCTCATACGTTGGTTTCGAATCCTTATCCGTCTGGTGCTGGGTTTGGTATTGCCCTGAGGGAGTCAACAGAAGACTGCCATCAGGCGTAAAGGTCAACCGTCGAAAGAAGGAGGTCAAAGTCTCGTTGGCATACAGGCTGGCATTCTTGACTCCCAAGCCGGTATTGAGGAAAGATGGCGGCTTGGGAGACGCTTCCATCGGCATGACTGCCGGGAGAGGCATGGAAGGGGCAGGGGAGGGTGAGCGCCGCGAGGAAAAAGATGACCTCCGGCTGTGGCTCATAACGCTCGGGGGGTTCATCGGGAGAGGGAGTGAATTGGGCGTTCCAGGTGCTGAGGGGACTGGCGAGTTGATAGACGCCGACGTGACAGAGTCGGCTGGAAGCGGCGCACGAACACCGAAATCCGGCGGCGCAGGGCTGCTGGATGAAATTCTTCGAGGGGGAAGATCGGCCTTGGCATGACTCGCCAACTTTGGAGGCTTTGCATCATCATAACTGTTCAGGGTATATTGCCCGTCCTTCGTACGGAGCGAGTAGATGTGGACGGATCGGTCAGAGGATTGAGTGGCGATGAACTCGTTAAGAGGATCCCACGCTACACCCTGAACATAATGGCTATGCTCTGCAATCTGCCGGACAAGATATCCTGGAACCAAGTCAGAATCAATATACGGCGAAGCTAAGAGCGTAGGGTGGATCAGCAAAAGCGACGTGAGGTGGAGGACAGCATACCTGACGCCGTGTTATAGATGCGTGCAATGTTATCCATGCTTCCGATAATGAAATGGGAGCCGTCCGGGGACCAGGCAAGGTCATAAATCTCGGCACCACTCGACCGGCACATATGCCTGGCCCGCCACGTTTCCTTGTCCTCAAGACCATCTGAGCCGAAGGCAGTTTGGTGTGTTTCAGAGAGTACCCAAAGAATGACGTTCCCATCATCTCCAGCAGAGGCCAGAAGATCGCCTACGTTCCATCGAAGGAGGTTAGCACAGCCCAATCCCAATTGTGCCGCAAGGCTACGCCAAACTGAGATGATAAAGGCGGCGCAACAAGAAGTACAGGATCGGATTGGAAGTACCTTTCGGGGACCACCTGACGACATTGACAGCTTGTGTGTGCTTCGCTAGTGTAGAGAGATATTCAACTTTTCGGTTTTCACCCTCAGCTTCAATTTTCCAGAGCTAAAAGTCAACTCGTCAGTCGATTGCTCACTAGAAGGGGAGCAAATATCAGTGCGCAATCTGCGGATCTGGATGACCGTACCCTGACATTATTGTCTCCGCCAGCAGTGGCTAGCCTTCCCTTGCCATTGGGCTCGAAGTGTGCTGAGTAGACTGGGGCATTCTGGTCGTGCCAGTTAATGATGAGGGGTATGCTCTTCATGGTGACCCTAATACCATGGGCAGTTGCGGATCGGAGGGAACGACGAGATGTGAAATGATGGTGTCGAGGGTCGTCGACCAGCCCAGCTGGGCAGATGGAGTCGTGGAAGCTTCAAAGAGCGCCAGAGTTAGCAAGGAAGAGGTCGGAAGGAGGAAGGAGCGAACTTGGGAAGTATGGAGACGGGCAAGAGAAGCATGCAATCGACACTTGAGGTGAAGAAACCCCATACATATCTAGCTCTTGGAGGGGCAAGCAACATCAGGTTATTGCCGACGGTATAGACTCACACTACTGCTGTGAAAACACCGAAGTCTAGTGGTGGTGGCAGAGGGCGGATCCGGTTCACTGAGGGTCTGCGAGGCTGCTCGGATCGTTACGTGGCGGTCGAGGTCGCACGAAAGGGAGAGGTGGACAGGGTTTCAACAGGGATCCCGGAGATTATGAGACAGAATTTATGACGAGGTTATCGTGCGAAGGAAAGAAGGGAAATAGCTTGGAGGGGTTAGGAGGCAGAAATCAATCAACTTATGACAGGGAGAGAGTCAGATGCACGAGGTTGAGAAGCTGGCCGGGGCCGAGAGAGGAGCGAGGACGTGAGGAATTAGATGTTGTGTTGAATCGTATATGGACTGGGCTGGATCATCAATTGATGGATTGAGGTGCAGAAGTACGAAGTACTACGCCCCATTATGTTTGGTACGAGAATACCTCCTTGAACAATGCTGAGACGTGGGACGTGGTCGTGACCGGTTGAAGAGCTTCTGGGGTTTAATGGAAAGCACGACCTGGACAGGTGCCGCGTTTGGAACGTGTCTGGCCAATCAGACGGCGTGTCATTGGAAGTGGAGCGGAGAATGCGCACCGTTTAGTGCAGAAGACTCGATATGCAATTAGCTATGTGGGAGTTGAGCCTTTTTGGGTTCTCAATATCCTTGTATCGAGACCATCATGTCTTCTGTAGGTATGTCACGTGATATAATTCTTCTTCTCTGGCTGGTTGATCTCACCGCCAAGCAGAGAATTCTGACTTAGACCCCCCGGACTCAGCAACGATAGAGGCTTTAGTGAGGTATAAAATGTGAATTCATGGCGGACTTCTATCGCCTACAAGAGAAATTGGACTATCCCAAATCGTGGATTCTTCTTCAGAAATTCCAGCCCTCAGCTGCAGCTATGTTGAGTATGCTTTTCGTAACTCCTCCCGTCAACCGTTCCAAGTGCTTTGGATTGTTCAGCTGCGCCAATGACAAACAGAAAAAGCAAACGGCTGTACGCAAACTCACGTACCTGAAAGTGGAACAGGCGTTCAGGCGAGACTGGTTCATTCCTCTTCTTTTGCAAGTGCTTCCCGCACGGGAGAGCTAAGAGTTTTGCGTTTGCCCCTCTTCTGCAGCTCTGAAGCAATTGGCTGCAGGCGGGACAGCTCAATCCTTCCGGAAGGGCCTCGACTACGGCCGTACGCGTGCTATCAATGGACAGGCCCATTAATTTGCGTTGGATCGCCGGTGACTCTTTCTCTGAGCACGACATCACCGGCATGATACGCGAGGTACGTGTAATGCAACGTTGAAGTAAGCACTCTCGAGACTGAGAGTGGTCCACAGTGAGCGGCCAAACCCCACAATGTTTGGCTGCAAAAGGGACAGGAACCATCTGTCATGCGAAGCAATCTCGAGCTCTCTTGACGTTCCTACTGGCCAGCGCTAGTGATCGTATCAATAAAAGCAATCTATGCAGGTTACCTCCATCAAACCGATTAGAAGATTGGAATTAATACCTTCCAAAGATTATCGGATCAGGACTCGAAGTCGTGAGATTGATAGAGACCCGTGACTCTGTAACCCAGGCAGCCAATGGATGGGTGCCTTGCCTTGGTTGATAACTGGCCCTTTGCGTTTGACCTGCTCATTTCGAGAAGGTTGCAAGGCAGAGGTGCATTATCAAACATGAAGGGCCTTTTGAAGGCATGTCGCTGCCGTGCTTCCGCCCTCCAAGGATAGCCTCCCCCGTCCGTCCTCTTCGCCATCCCGCCATTTCAATCGGAGCTTGGGGGATTTTAGGCACCAACCTCGACGTGTCATTCTGATAGGCCAGGGTAGGAATGTTATGCCTTGAACCGCCATTCCAAACAGACGAGAGACAATCGCCTCAAGTATACAATTTTCGGTCGACTGCACTTGTGAAGTGCCGATCGCAAGGCGGTGAATGCACAAACGGGCATCCCCCAGGAAGTACCTCTGTGAAAAGTAACTTTGCCCGCTTCGTTTGCCTCGCTCAGTATACTTGCCGCCCTGCGACTCAAGCGACCGGTGCGATGGCATCTTTTCGTCCTCCGCTCTTCGGCTCCTCTCTGTAACTTTTTTTTTTTTTTTCTTTATGGACTTAAGGGACGGAGGACCCTCTCCACAGCCAGCCACCCTCGTTCTTCTTTTTCTTCTTTTGGGTAGTCTGGATCCTGCGGCGGCATCTTCGGCGCTCATCTTCAAAACCATCTCCTCTCAAGGGAAGGACCTCTTTCCCTTTGAGGGAATCACCCTCTCAACTCGTCCCTTCCGCTGCTGAATTTGAGTCATGTAATATTAAAAAGAAAAGGAGAAAAAAAGGAAAAAAAGAGGAAAGAGAAGAGAAAAAGAAAGACAAAAAGAAGTTGGTATTGATTTTGGTGTCTATTTACGTTCTTTCTAAATTCTGTCTTGTTATTGTTGCGCTCCTTACCGTTGTCACTCATTTCGTATTAGCGGCCTCCCGAGATGGACCACAACCCTCAATTGGCCCTGCGCCTGCGCATCGAGGCCGCGTTCACAGTCGTGGTCACGATCCTCTGCTCGGTTCCGGCCCTGAGGGACGTAATTGGGCTCAATCGCCGAGCTACTCCTCAACTGAAGAATGGAGAATACAAGGACAAGGACGGAGAAAGTACCCGGGAAGATGTCGAGCGGTTTTCCTCCAAGGTGCCCAAGGCCTTCGTTCTGTTCTTTGCAGCCCTGGGTCTCGCGAGCTCCGTTTACATCTCGGTGATAAACACCCTGCCCGGATCGTCAGGTTTTCTACGCGCGGATAACTGGTTTTACACGGCTGTTTGGGTAGGTCTTGCTGAGTGACTCTCCTTGCGTGGAGATTTCGACTAATTTCATGGTATGAAGGCACTATACGGATTCAATGCCATCTACATCGCCGCGAGTCGAGATCCGGTACGCGCCTATGATATTGGCGTGTTCCTCGCACTATCGGCTTGTATCCTCTTAATCGTATCTCTCGATCTCGAATATGCTCGAATCGTGTATCTCGTTGGAACTAGTCCCACTCTCACGTACGTGAGGGCCGCCGCCTTCGCTTCCATCATTGGTTTTTTGTTTTCCACCGTGTCACTCCCAAGACGCCCCGATGTCTACAAGGATGGCCGCGTGGTCAACGGCGTGGATACTGTACCTGCCATTAGTAGCTTCACCTTTCACTGGGCGCGGCCAATGTCGAAGCTTGCGAGAATCAAGAAGGACCTTGATATCGAAGATTACCCAGCTCTGGGATTCGCCAATCGAAGCGAGGATTTGTCCAAAACCTGGGTCACGTATCCTAGCCAACCCCGACTGTGGAAGGCCATCTGCAGAGTTCATGCTCGCAATCTTTTTATCCAGATAAGTTTGGCCGCTATCAAAGGCACTACCGGGTTCATTCCCCAGTGGTTCACGCTTCGGTTGCTCGAGACGATTCAGGGCGGAACTGTTGATGGTCACTGGCCCGTCACCGTCTGGTTCATTGTTTTGGGCCTTACTATTTCCATTTTTGCTGACGGGGTGAGTTAATTTCTTGCGGGCGCATTCTTTCGAGACGGGCAACTGCGTACTAATATCTTGATTTCGCCATAGGCTCTCGAAGCCTGGTTGTATTGGATTAGCACTACGGGACTCTCGCTCGCGATCCGTAGTCAACTCTCCGCGTTAATATTCGAGAAATCAATGCGACGAAAGAACGCGAAGAGCGCAACCGAGTCCGAAAACAAGGAAAAAGACAAGGATGAAGACAAGGATGAAGACAAGGATAAGGGTAAAGGTAGTAATGTGGATAACGAAAATGACGAAGAGCCCACCGAGTCTACTCCGCTGCTAAATGGGAATAAATCCAATGACGACGATCCGAAGAAAAAGGAGGAGAAGAAGGAAGAGGATGAAGTGGCCAATCCCCTCAAGTCCAAGCAAGGGATCATCAACCTCATCGGTCTCGATACGGTCCGCGTCTCTTTCTTCTTTACCATGCAGTTCTACTTCACCAACAGCGCCGTTAAACTCGTTGTCTCCGTTGCCTTTCTAATGTATCTTCTCGGTTGGATTCCCGTGGCGGCCGGCGCCTTGGCCAGTCTTGCGCTCATCCCTGTCAACAACCGGTTTTCGAAAATGTACGCGGACGCTCAAGAGCGCATGATGAAGGCGCGAGATGAGCAACTGGCAGTGGTGAATGAATGCTTGCTGGGCGCACGACAGATCAAGTTTTCCGCTCTCGAAGATGGCTGGGAGAAGAAGATTCTCAAAATCAGAGAAAAAGTCTTGTCTACTGTTTGGGACTCTTTCCTCGCTGACACTGCGCTGCTGGGTTGCTGGATTGTCACGCCTCTTGTGTCATCTGCGACCGCTCTAAGCGCGTACGCTATCGTCAATAATGGGTTGACTCCCAGTGTTGCTTTCGGTAAGACTGTTCCCGCTGCAAAACATACCATGCTCTAGATGCTAATTTCAAAATGTCTATAGTCGGTGTTGCTGTCTTCAGAAGCTTGGAAGCTGCTTTGAACATGATTCCAGAGCTCATCTCGGAGTTTTTCGACTCCTGGATCTCGATGAAGCGAATCGAAAAGTATCTCAACGGGCCAGAAATGACACGCATTGTAGATGACGGACCCCAAGTTGCCTTTGAAAATGCAACCATCGCCTGGCCGGTCGATGACGAAGTCGACGAAGCAGATCGATTCATTCTCAGAAATATCAGCCTGGAATTCCCTACCGGTGAACTAAGCGTTATATCCGGTAAGACAGGAAGCGGTAAAAGTCTAATTTTATCAGCAATCATTGGTGAGGCAGATCTACTTGCGGGCAAGGTCTTTGCTCCCGCCGCGCCTTCACTGGAGGAAAGATTTGACCAGAATGCCAACCGCGGAAACTGGATTATCCCAAGCGCGAAGGCCTATGTCGCACAAGTCCCATGGATCGAGAACGCCACATTGAGAGAGAATGTCCTTTTCGGGCTTCCATATGATGAGGAGCGCTACAATGCAACGATCGATGCGTGCGCCTTACGCAAGGATCTCGAGATTCTAACTGATGGTGACGAGACCGAACTTGGAACGAACGGCGTAAATCTCAGTGGTGGCCAGAAGTGGCGTGTTACTCTCGCTCGGGCAATCTACTCTCGCGCTGGAATCCTTGTTCTCGACGACATCTTTTCCGCTGTAGATGCCCATGTCGGGCGACATATCTACGAGCAGTGCCTTACCGGCGAACTCAGCCGCGGTCGTACGCGTATCCTCGTGACTCACCATGTCAGTCTCTGCCAGCCAAAGACTAAATTCCTGGTCGAACTCGGAGACGGAACTGTACAGCACGCCGGTTTCGTCGACGAGCTAAAGCAAGACGGCACCTTGGACCTGATCACGAAGCATGAAGAAGCTCAAGCCAAGCATGAGGACGAGGAGGCCGAAGATCTCGCCGAAGATGGCGACGGTGACGGAGAACCCCTAGCAAAGGTGCCCTCCAAGGCCAAGGCGCCAAGGCAGTTCATCGAAGAGGAGCATAGAGAGAAGGGCTCTGTCAAGCTCAATGTCTACAAGGTATACATTGAATCGAGTGGTGGGTTATTCCTGTGGGTGTTCGGCATCTCGATGTTCCTGATATCCACGGCGCTCTCCATTGGTAAGTGTTAAGGATCACAACAGCATTTCCCCTTCCTCCCCTACACTTTCTTTTCCGCTCACGCAAACTTTTCCTATCTTAGGACGCTCGTACTGGCTGAAGATTTGGACAAGTCCCGCAGCAACCGAGTCGGATCACTACAACGAATATTCCGCTTGGCTCGAGGCCCAATCCGCCCTCCAAACATCGGTAGAGCCTGAGAAGCCACACAGCATGCAATTTTATTTGGGAATTTACGTGGCAATTTCAGTCATTTCGGGGATCATATCCACCTTCAGATACTACTACACGTTTATTCTCAGTATCAAAGCTAGCAAGGTACTCTTTGAGAAGATGACGTTTGCGGTCCTTCGGACGCCCCTTCGATGGATCGACACCGTTCCCGTCGGCCGCGTGCTCAACCGCTTCACTGGAGACTTCAACACCATCGACAACACCCTTTCCAGAAATGTAATGTCCGCAGCTAGTGCCGGCCTCAACGTCGCTGCCATCTGCATTGCTACGAACATCGGTACCTGGTATATTTTATTCCCGGCCATCATGCTCGTCTACATCGCCGTGGACCTGGCGAGGCAGTACCTTGCCGCGGCGCGACCGTCAAAACGACTTGAGAGTACCAACAAGTCCCCAGTGTTCGAGCTCTACGGCTCCGTGCTATCAGGTGTGAGCTCCATCCGAGGATTCGGCAACGGTGCTGCTTACATCCAAAGGATGTACGAACGCCTCGACAAACACGCCATAACATCTTACTACATCTCCGTCTACAATCGCTGGCTCAACTTTAGGATGATGCTCCTGGGAACCGTTTTCACCGGCGTGGCTGCGACGTTGGTCCTGCTCACTGACGGCATGACTGCCGCCCTTGCCGGATTTACGCTGTCGTTTGCTCTCGATTTCATCAACTCTATGAACTGGGTCGTCAGATCCTACGGCAATGTCGAACTGGATATGAATGCCGCTGAGCGTGTTATTGAGTACATGTCGCTCGAGACCGAGGACCTCGGTGGGGAGCACCCACCCGCCGCGTGGCCGGCCGAAGGAAAAGTCGAAGTCGAAGACCTAGTTGTGGGCTACGCGGACGATCTTCCGGCGGTGCTCAAGGGTATCTCTTTCAAGGTGAATGCCAAGGAGAGGGTTGGTGTTGTTGGAAGGACTGGGGCTGGGAAGTCTTCTTTGACTTTGGCTTTGTTTAGATTCCTCGAGTCGCGATCCGGAAGTATTTTCATTGATGGCTTGGATATTTCCAAACTAAATCTGACGGATCTCAGATCTAGACTGGCCATTATCCCGCAGGTACGTTAAATCCCCAAGTCTACGGTTCGATTTTTATCTATAACAAGCAGACCACTAACGAGATGTCCTAGGACCCCGTGCTTTTCTCTGGAACGGTCAGATCAAACCTCGATCCATTCAACAACTACACAGATGCCGAGCTCCGCGATTCCCTCGAGCGCGTGCACCTAATCGGCTCATCCACGCCAGGAACCGCCACGCCCTCCAGCTCAGCCAACACTGCCACGGGCCCCGCCAACGCCAACATTTTCGAGAACCTCTCGAGCGCCATCTCCGAAGGCGGCGGCAACCTCTCGCAGGGCCAGCGCCAGCTCCTCTGTCTCGCCCGCGCCATCGTCGCCCGACCGCGCATCATGGTCCTCGACGAAGCCACGTCCGCCGTCGACATGCACACCGACGCGCTCATCCAGCGATCGATCCGCGAGCAGTTTAACGATAGCACGCTTATCGTTATCGCACATCGGTTGTCGACCATTGCGGACTTTGATAAAATTCTTGTGTTGAGTGATGGGCAAGTTGCGGAGTTTGGGACTCCGGCGGAGCTGTGGGAGAAGGAGGGGGGTGTGTTCAGGAGTATGTGTGAGCAGAGTGGTGAGAGGGATAAGCTGACGGCTATTGTCCTCGGTAAGGAGTGAGCCAAAGCCACATTGAAGATGAGCGCATATTGTTCGTCATCTTCGCCACAGAAAAGAAGAGGAGGAACAGAGGTGTTGGCGATGATGACTAGTGGATGAGTAGTGGTTGGAACCGGATAGATTGGACTCTCCATCCCCCAACATGAATGACCCTCCTCACTTCAGATCCTCACACCACAGCATTCACGGATTAAACATCCATTGCAATCTGCTTTTTGTCAAGCATGAACATCCTTAAAACATCACCTTCCTTCGATAGCGCGTTTTAGCAAAAACAAAAAGGAGAAAAAAAGTATGGTTAGTCCTTTAGCGAGATTTTATAATTTATGGAGCAAAGAAAAGTCGAATTCCCCGGTCATCGTTTTTCAACTAAAAAAGTGCAATAAAAGAGAACTCTTGCAATTCCTGTCATCGATCTCTTTGATTCACAGGGAGGAACTAATATGGTGCAGCTCTCCCTGCGCTGCCGCTCGATAGCTATACAGGACCCGATAGATGGCTCGCTTTTCAACGGGCGTTTGGTCTAGGGGTATGACGTCAGTTTTGCATACACTCAAATGCCTACTGAAAGTCGCTGGTTCGATTCCTGCAACGTCCACAGTTCCTTTTTTTGCGCCTTCGCCTTTCTAGCAACTTTTCCTTTTTATCCTTCTTTTTGGAGGTGTCTGGTTGCATTTGACACCTACAAAGTGATTGGAAGTTCACATGTTTTCATTCATCCTTTTTTAGGCTGTCTTTAAGAAGTAGGTTTAGGCGTGTTGGACTTGAGATTGAAAGGGAGGATCGCCTCAAAGTGTTTATGCATCCTCGTCTCGGGAAGCTTTATTAAGGGCGATGCAAGGGAGGTAAGGCGAAACCTAATAGCTGTTTGTGCATCCACGGTCAAAGACATGCTCGGCTGACATGCGTCGTGTGTCGCTTGCGAGCTTTGTTGAGCAGTCCTCGAGTCTTAACGCTGGTGGCGCCACCCCTGTTCATTGTTTGTAACTTTGTGCTTCTCTGTCGTTGAGCACAAACCCATTGTTAAGCCCATATGCAATTATTGAGTCTACGTTCAACTCGCCAATACTCAAGCTTTTCCCCTTCTTTTTGTGGTCGTTTCTTCGGTCGCACTGCATTTGTCTGTATTATCAAGTGAAGACGGCCAAGCCTCGTCTCTTCATCGCAGAGGAACCATCTCCCTTCTCGGTGATAGACAGCTTAATGTAAAATAGCGCAGGCTAAGAAAGTCCATCCCCAGACCCAATCAAATCACTTGGGAACAAGTCTTCTACAAACACAGCTTTTACAAGACTATTCCACTAATTTACCCAGCGACTCGAGATCGATCTATTAATTACACTCGACGAGAGCAAAAAAGAAATCTACAATTCGCCGTCGAAAAAATTGGCCAAAAAAATTGGTAGCTTCTCTTTGATTGAGCGTGTCATCCTTGTGCAGGGACCATGCTAATCTGTAGGACTTAGTTAGTATATCGCTGTAAGGAGGGAATTCATCTGGGAGATATTTACCTTCTCTGTATTTTTGCAAATTGACCAAATGCCCGAAGGCGAAAGATTCGTTCTCTTATTTGATACTTAAAGCTACCCTTTCAGCGCCAACACCCACCAAATCGCTCCATTCAACCTTGACAGCCCATTGCCATCAACCCCGCCCTATGTCCCCACACACAACCTGAATTGATCGAGGTTGCGCCGGATCGCAAGGTGGTCGGAATGCCAGGCGCTTAGCAATGAAAGATGTTTAGGAGGGCAATACTTATTGAAGATAGAAACGTTGAAGTTTAAATTCTCCCTCCATCAACTCCTTGCTCACCTTGCGAGTAGGACGCCCTGGGCGCACGGAGGCAGGAGGCGCATTCGCGGAGGGAGATTTTTTTCTTTTTCTTTGCGACGACTTGCAGCTGGACTGGTTCGCGACGACTTCTTCCTCGCCGGAGCAGATCTCGCGCATTCATAACCTCTCCGGGCTAGAAATCATCCTCTTATTCTTGAGACTCGATGACTCGTTGATCGGCTCCGCCATCTCCTTATCCGAAAGGAATCTGCGATTCCGGTGCTGATGCGCCGGCGCAGCCTGGCTGGGCAAGGGGATCGATCACCCCCCGGCGCTGGCTGGCGACGGTAGGCAATCAGCCGAAGTTAGCTGGGAGTTCTTGATAAAACGCCTTGATAAGTCATGGGTTGAGCCATGAGCTCGCCACTTGTCGATCTGGGGGCAGGGTCTTTACCGCAACCCCTGGCAGAAAGTTTGTCCGTTCATGGATCCTTCTTAATAGTGTGGAAGGAGAGGAATATTCTACGGAGTATCAGCGTGACTGGGAACCAGGCGATTCTTACCCCCAGGACCCAATCATCAGCCCTTGCTTCCGTCCAGCCATTTTACAGTTTATTACTTGGTACAGTAATAACGCACGTTACTCGCCATCTTTGAGGCCCACGGTATCCTCAAGTACAACTACCTTTTAGCGGAGGTTGGAAGACCACCTGCACCCTGCTCTGGCATTTTCTATTATTGGCATCACCTGTGCGACAGGCCCCGCCCTCAGGCCCTTGATTGGCGGTTTGCGGTTTTTCTCTCTGGTTCCCTAAAAACTGTTTATGTATGCTGTGGTGTGTGATGTCGGGCCACGGAGCGCAAGGAAGGGAAACACAAGCCGCTCACAGGCGGGATTCCCAGATAGCCCAACTGCAGCGTGTTACTGTCGGACGGGATCGATTCGATCATTGATGCCTAGCCGGGAGATGTTGTTTCTGAGAGCTTCTGCCGTGTCGGTTCTTGCATGAAAGTCGGGGTCCTCTGCGTGGGGGAGAGGGCCCTTTAGTGTACGACGCAGGACACTAAAATAGCTGGCGATGGCTGGGCGTATGCCAATGTAAATTGCGCCCTCTGTCGTTGCAGTTGAGCCCTCAGCACGACGAAGTAAGCCTGAGTAGAATACTGGGGCTGGCAATTTCTGTTGTGTCATGCACTGGACAAATTCTCTGAGAAGAGAGTTCCAATTTGCTCCTGGATTCGCCGAAGTGTCGCTTCATTTTCCCCCCCTTCTTCTTCATTTTTCTTAACGGATAATAGACAAACCAAGAGTTGTTGGAGAATGTAGCATTGAATGGTTGTGGTGTCGTCAATCCCATCAACACCGATGTCCAACGGGCCAAATTGTGGTTGCGGCTTACTCTCCAGCCAGGCAATTTGGCTTCAACCCTCACCACAACAATGGCCCAGGTTAGTATCGTGTCCTCGCATCTCTCAAGTGCACTACAAGCCAATTGCCATAAAACATTTCTGTGCTCGATCATGGTCAGGCCGCTTTTCGGACCACGCTCCAACGTTCAATGTTCAGAGACATTGACGCTATCCGACACGACAGCAGAGCACACACTCCACAGGGAGCGACTGGTCAGGGATCCATCAAGATTGATCAAATGAGGAATGGGGCAGGCACACGCACATTGCAAGCAGCTGGTGGGGCGGTTAACGAGGGTCTTCCTGCAGGCTTGGGGTAGTTTGTTTCATCTCTCAGTCGATCTCGGATTTCCAACTTCTCGTCCCGTCTTTCCCCAAAACAAGTTACTTCGTCTGTCTTGGGTGCCTTTTGCTGTATTCCTTTTTTCGACCTTCTTCCGACGCGCCCCGTCGACTCCTGGATAAATGATAATACGAGCGAATTTGCCGTGGACGCTGGAAACATCATTCCTGCTCTTTGGTATTACTCGTCGCTGTTCAAGCAGCTGTTCGATGTTGTCTTGCGATACCGAGGTAGAGGTACGCGGCCTTCGTACTTCATCCTTGGAGTGCCATTCTGATTATACAAGTACTTCAACATCATTAGACCAATCAGTCAATTTTGAGAGCGTCGTCTTCAATGTTGTCTGTGCCTTGCTCGCTGCTCCTTACTGCTTTCGCAATTCCCGTTAGAGTTACAGGACATTGAAGTCCACATGGACCAGTGCACTCCAATGTCGTAGTAGCAACACATTGGTAGCATATATCGTACGAAGTACGAGGCAATAAATAATAATACCTGATTGTCAGGGATGTGCGACAGGCGGGCACTTGGGGGGGCTGCTATTCTTGAAGCTGCAAAGAATGAATTGATGTTCGCTTTTGTACCCGCCGTGGAGTTCCCCCAAGTACCTCTACATTGTACCTACAATTGCACTGACCTGGATGGGGTTATCAGCCGCCCAGCTGGTCCTGCCTGGTCCATCCTTCTGTTCTCGTAGTGGCTGTTCCGGTCCTGACTTCCCACTTCCTTCCAGCGGGCTACCCACGAAGTCGTAGGGCAAGTACTAACCACCTTTGACGAAGCACCCTCCTCCATTGTCCACGCCTCCACGCCTCCACGCCTCCACCGCCTGCTGGCGTTCCTCTTCAGTTCTCGCAACCTCCTCGTCTGTAGCCGCCAACTTTCTCCTCCTCCGACTCCTTTCCTTCGAGAACTCAATATTCCGCCGGTTTCTCTGCACCAGGTCCTCAACCCCAACGCAGGCAGCTTCCTCGCGAAGAGCCGGCCGAATTCCATCTTCGCATTTTTATCTTCTCATTTTCATCAACACCTTTTCAGCGTCCTTCCACTTGTTTCCTTTCACGTCATTCCTTCCCGCATTTTGCGATAAGTCATCGATTCCATTTCCCATCTCTTCTTCACCTAATCTTCGCCTGCGCCTACGATTCAGCCACCAGGCTCCTTTCTCTTCTTCATCGAGGCTGCTTGTCGGCACACCTTTTTTTGATAATAGCAAACTGCATTGGGCTGTTTGGTATCTCTTTTTACTCAAAAGTTTTTTCTTTTCTTTTTTTCTCTTGTTTCCCCCCCAAATATTCATGTAGGTTGATGGCTGTCCCTCCTTGTCTTTCATGATTGCCTTCCCCCTCCCCACCCTGCTTGCCCATCAACAAAGTTCTCCAACAGCACACATACACACACATAAGTGGCAATTCACCAAATTCTGTGTTGTGAGAAAAAGAGCAACAGAGAGAAGGCAGCTAACATTAGATGAAGCTGTGATAGGGGAATTCCGTATTTTGTCGCATCCCAGTGATTGCTCTCATCACCCAACAAGCCCCGCTTTCGCACCTCTTCTTCCATCGCAATTCGACAACTTGGCTTCACATCTTTGCAATTCAAACAACTCCCTGCCTGTACCTTGCGCTGGGGCATTCGCAGGTGCTTGGCTCTGGACCGAGACATCTCTCTTAATACCAATCCTCACACAAAAGACAGGTTGACAAGAATGACCACGACAATGTCTTCTGCTTCCTCCCCACCAACCTCTCCACAGCCTGCGACCTCTCCCACCTCCAGCGCAACCCACCCTCCACTGCCTCCGCTTATAACATCACCACCTTCTCGTCGGAGCACACTCTCTAGGCCAATGTCTCTTGCTTCCAAGCACCGGCTCTCTCAATACTCGACAGGCTCCGGCCCCGCCCGGTCACGGCCACCCTCCAGTATATTCCCGCTCTTCCCGTCAAGTCTCTCTTATACACTAGTCCGCGATTTCGCCTATCCTCCGATGCACCAGCTGCACTATGGGCCTCCCCCGGAACCATCCCGCCCGCCGTCCGGTATGACGACCCCCGCGAGCGAAAGTAGGCGACTCTCGGACCCGCTAGGGCCATCTTGGGAGAGCAAGGGAGGCTGGGATCCCATCGGCTGGGGACAGGATCCGTATAAGAATGCCGAGGATATTCCCCCCATTCTCCTCGGCGACGGTCCTCCTTGGAGTGAGGATGAGGATTTGCAGAGTCCCGTGGTAAGCTCCCGCCATCGCAAACACAAGTCCTCTAGCTCGTATCCCCGGACGAAGCATCATCGCCACCACCATCACAATCATGAACAACAGGGAGAATCGTCGGTTATGAACCCCGAAAACTACGATCCTGAACGAGGATTCTATGTCGGAACAAGCGGAAATGGTAGCGAGCGGTACTACGTGAACCAAGGCGGCGAGGCAAATGGCCCTGGTGGCGAATACGTGACCTATCCTCCCGATCAAGCGAGACATGCGGACAACCCTTACCGACTACATGACGAGCAACAGCCCAGGCAGTATGCCGATCACGATGGCTATGGGTCCGACGGATCGAGCTGCGCCTCATCGCCTGGCTATTGTGATGAGGATCAGTCCCGCTACTCGCGCGATTACCAATTCACCATTACCTCGCCCGACGAAGAGATGCATGGCAAGGCTGTTGCCCTGTACGATTTTCAGCGAGAGAGCGAGAACGAGCTGCCCCTTGTCGAGGGGCAGATTATATTAATTTCGTATCGCCACGGCGAAGGTTGGCTTGTTGCTGAGGATCCTAAGACTCAGGAGAGCGGTTTGGTACCTGAGGCGTATGTTCGGCTTCTCAGGGATATAGAGGGAGGCATGAATAGTCTCTCGGGGACGTTGGCGGAGGGTTCCGGATCTCCTAACGATTCCGGCACTCCTACTCAGGCCGAGCATGGGACTAGCAACTATGGACACACCCCAACCGCCAGCACCGCTTCAAATGGCTATCCCCAACCTATAGTGTCGACGTTCTCCACGTCGAGCCGCGATCTGGACCCGTACCCGACTCAGGCACTCGGCATTCAGGTGGGGCAGACTCCGCCGCAGGTAATTCATTACCATGGTCAAAGAGGTGGGAGCCAGGCAAACACCCCGACCGTTTCCAATCATCACGATGTCGGAATACTACGTCGAGGTAGTTTCGATGCGGCAACCCATCGGGGTAGCCAGGACAGCAAGCGTCGAAGTGATGCCCAGATGGCACCAGTGCCCGAGGCCGAGAGCGTACAAGAGAAGGCGCATATAGGGACCAAGGAAGCGGCAAAGGAGGGGGCCTCAGAAGAGACAGCGCGGTAGTAGCCCATTCCTTGGCGTACTCACCAGGCGAATATATATCTATACTATATACCATCGGATACGGGCGGAGAGTGTGGTCGAGTTTGATAGAGGCGTTCTGCGCAGGGACTGTCCTTCGACAGATCGGGGCAGTTCCTGTCGCTACGCGTTGCTCTTTTACGACTATTGCATGGGATCATGAACCTGTACATGTACTATTGGGCAGCGGGGTTTCGGGTTTCTTTTCATCTACGAGTTTGGTGGAGCGTTGTGTGTGATTTGTTGATTTTGTGTGTTTTTTTCCCGGTGCCTTTTCTTCCTTCACAATGTACTTCTTTCGGTCATCTTCGTCTAGTTTGATTTTACTCTGCTCTTTTTGCTGCAGTTTACACTACAGTGCACCATTCGGCCTCTTTCCACTACTTTGAGTTTTTCACGCACGCATATATACAGCCCGGTCCCATCCAGCCCTTCCAGTCGGACTACATGTTGTTACTCGGAGCTTGCTGTCCGTGGCAGACGAGCAGATGGAGCGATCACGCGCCGTACTCACGACACTTTGGCATACACTATATAGCGGCCTTTTGCGTCCGGCTATGACTGCGATACTTCTATTCGACACTCCCCCCGGACGCGAAGAAGAGATATAGAAGACTCGATAAATTTTGCTGGTGGAATGGAACGGTGAACTGAGAATGACGACGGGGATAGGAAGTGGCGTATTTTGGTCTGGTGGATGGTAGATTGGCGTTGCCTACTACAAATTAGGCCGGGCATAACAGGGCGGCTGGCTCGTGTGGGTCCTTTCCCGAGTCGATTGAATTCAATTTGAACTTTTTGAAGAGAACAATCCTCTTTCGGTGGTTTTCCTTTTCCCATTGACCACGCGTTTTCTAAGTCTGGGCGTGGACCTGGAACGGGAAATTTCCCCATGTCCGGGATATTGGAGGGTTTTTATATGACCCCGGTGATGCTACACCCTGTAATTAAGTGAGACATGGATGAATTTAGAACAGCAGTCACGTTCGAATGGGATCGAAGATGTACGAGTTATATTACGCCGACTTTGTTGGTTTTAGCATATAGCTCGCAGTGCCGGATTAATATAGGCTCCAAGACTTGGAGAACCTGGTGTTGAAGATGAAGGTGCACAAGTACGAAGTAGTAACGCGGGCTATTGGCTATTATCGGAAGAAGAGGTTCCATGAAGGTACGATGAACGCCATCTTGAGACATCATTCAGCTTGTCATATAATACTGACAAGCCATGATGGCGATGTTGGAACAACACTAGCTGGACGTAGTTCTTTTTGGTCATTTGGGCTTAAATCTGGTTGTCGTTGATGGACGAACTTCAGACGCCAGCGGCTGCCAAATAAACTCAGACGCGTCGCAGTTTCACGCACAGACCACCATCACTACCGACACCGCCTGCTTCCAGCTGTAACGGTCTAATATCGCATCGGTACTTTGGTACAATCCGACGGTTGCTGTCGCTACGCAGAGTAAACAAAATATTCCCGGAACCTACAGCAACACACACTCGTTCAACCAGGGAAGTCGCCCCTCCTCTCCCCAATAGCATCTCGTCCCCTCCCACATGGTGGTTCGTGACCCCCCCTGCTCGGCTCCTACATTGTACTCTTTTTCTCCATCATTGCACCCCCCAATTCATCCACCATTGGAGGTCAGAGAAGATCAAGACGAATTCGGTAAGAGGTCTTCCCAAATCGGTCATTGTTGGAGGTGTTTTCCCTCTCATCGATCCCATCGTCACATTCTTCCTTGGCACCTCTTTTTTTTTCGATTCAGCAACAAACATCATCGACAACTCTTGTGTTGTTTTCTCTTCTTCTTTTTCCTTTCAAGTTCGTTCCTCCCCCTGTTGCGCTGTGCGCGCGAAGGTCGAAAACTATTTCTCTTACCATCGATTGAAAAGAGTTGTTTATGAAGCCTCTTTCGACCAGGTCCGTCTGGTCGAGGGAGGTCATTTGTTACTGGTCCGACGTCCTTTTGTTGATCCACCTCAGGTTTTGTTTTTAGACCGCAAGACTCGCAAGGTAAAGAAAGATACCGGAACGACAACGAGCGATATCCATCACCGACCAACATTTTTCTCTATTCCCTGGCTGGCATATTCCATCGCCGCCGTTCCCGAGCCCAAATTAGCGACAACAAATAACGACCCCATGTCAACACCCACGTTCCTTTCCTCCTCATAGAACAACAGCATCACGAGCGTTCCGGATTATTTCGAGCATTGATTCCATACACGTCAACACGACAACACACAGAAATCACAATGTCTTTCCGGCCGCCCACCCTGAGGCAGTCGCACACAGTCGACTACTCCTCGGGGGTCAACCGGCAGGCATCCACAACATCATCATCCGCGTCGTCAGGCTACTCCAACAGCTCCGACTACAGCCGAAACAGCTCCCACTTTTCGACGAACACGAGTCCGGCCGGCTCGCCGTACCTCCTCCACAAGCGTGGCCAGAGTGACCTGGGTCGACCACAACCACTCGACCTCTCCGACAGAAATGGAAGCCCGAGAAAATCTAACGCTCAGGACAACCTGTACGCCACCATGAGGCAGTCATTGAGGCCTCTACCTCAAGCACCCGCACAGAGCCCGACAGCGGCGGCGGCGCCCTCGCCTCCCCCTCGACGTTCGCTATATCAGCACGACCGCGCCTCGAGCGTCGATATCGGAAAGCCTGCCGTACTTCCGTCCCCTCCTCGTCACTCACTCGGCCTGCGCGATCGTGGACAGACTTTTCATGGCGGAGAGACTGCCATCACACCCACTCCTTCGCCAACCCGCCATCCACTCGGTCAACGTGATCGTGGACAAACTTTCCACGGCGGACATCTAGCCACCCCCTCACCGCCCCGCCATTCCTACCATCAGCATGAGAGGGGTCAGAGCGTTGACGTGACGCTGCCGGCTCTGTCTCCGGGCCATCGAAGTACCCTTCAACGACACGAGCGCGGGCTAAGCGTCGACATGGGAAAAATGGCCATATCGAATCAAGAGAGAAGGACGCCGACCACACCTCCTCGGCCGTTGCCATTGCGCCCCAACTCGATGCTCCTCACACGATCGGATTCCATTAGGGATAGCATCGGGATCCCCCCTCATTCCTCTGCTCAATTGGTCCACCATACTACGACTCACCTCGCAAAGCCCGATCTCGAAAAGCTAGGCCGCTCCGCTACGAGCCAGCTCAGGACTCTGTCCACGCTTGCCCAGTCGGAGTCCGCCGAGGACTTTGCGATCACCTCCCCTGACCAGCAGGTCGTTGGTCTTCGAGGTCGGCGTCGACTCCAGAGGGTGGGAAAACCAAATGGCAATAGACCTGGTGCCGGAAGTGGAGGATACGGATGGGAGGGGCGGAACTGGATGGACAAACAGCGGCAGTTCCTCCAGGCATACGAGTACCTTTGCCACATCGGAGAAGCTAAGGAGTGGATCGAGGACGTGATGAACAAGAACCTTCCTCCCATCGTCGAGCTTGAGGAGGCGCTGAGAGACGGTGTGACCTTGGCGGAAGTGGTCGAAGCGCTTAATCCTGACAGGAGATACCGCATCTTCCGACACCCTCGACTCCAATTCAGGCACTCGGACAATATTGCCATCTTCTTCCGCTACCTTGACGAGGTTGACCTTCCGGATCTTTTTAGATTCGAGCTGATTGATCTGTATGAGAAGAAGAACATCCCCAAGGTCATCTACTGTATCCACGCCCTGAGTTGGCTGCTGTTCAGGAAGGGGATTGTCGACTTCCGCATCGGAAACCTCCTGGGACAACTAGAGTTCGAGCACCATGAACTCGAGGCGATGCAAAAGGGCCTTGACAAGCTTGGAGCAAGTATGCCAAGCTTCGGCAATATGGGCGCCGATTTTGGCGTCGAGCCGGAGCCGGAGCCTGAGGAGACGGAAGAGGAAAGAATAGAGAGAGAGCTGGCGGAGAACGAGGCCATGATCGTTGACCTACAGGCACAGATCCGAGGCGCCATGAAGAGGATGGAGCTAGGCAAGGTCATGCAAGGACTGTGGGATAGCGAGGACTGGCTGATCGACCTTCAGTCCCGGATCAGGGGTGATTTCACGAGACAGATTGTTGGTTATCGAATGGAAATGAGGAGATTCGCCGTCAATCTGCAGAGCGCTGCTCGGGGATTCCTAGTTCGCCAACGACTTGCAAACACGGAACATTTCTGGAAGAGCTTGGAGCCCGACATCCTCGAACTGCAGAGCATGATACGGGCGGCGAAGGTGCGGAACAAGGTATGCGGCGTACGATCTCAGCTGGTGCGACACGACGGGCCTGTTCGAGACGTCCAGGCGCTGGTTAGGGGCTTCTTGGTCCGCAAAGCTCGGGCCGCTCAGCAGCAAGAGACGGCGCACACGGCGGGTTCGGTAGCGAACCTCCAGTCCGCCATCAGGGGAATGCAGCTGAGGGCAAGAGTCGCAGAGGACGAGAGGCTCCTGCGCGGACAGGCCGAGGCCGTGACTGCCTTGCAGGCCTTTGCGAGGGCGGCGCTGACAAGAAACCAGATCTCACTTCAGCAAGAACATCTCGAGTCGTTTAACCCCGATTGGGAGGCGCTGCAGGCTGCCGCTCAGGGATCGCTCGTCCGATCGCGTCTCGACGCGCTTAGGAACGAACTCAAGTGCTACAGCCCTCAGGTCACCCTTCTTCAAAGTTTCGTGCGCGCGGGCGCTGTGAGACAGGCCATCGCGAAGGACTTGGACGCCTTGCACGAGAATGAAGCAAGCATCATCGAGCTCCAGTCTCTCATCCGCGGCATGCTTGTGCGTCAGCAGCGACGAGCCGATCAAGAAGCGCTCATTCGACAAGAACCCAAGATTCGCGCTTTGCAGGCTCGCATTCGAGGTTACCTGTTCCGTCAACAAAACGCAAGGTTCCTTGAGGAGCTTCAATCCCACACTCCGGAGATTATCCAACTTCAGGCATTCGCTCGGGCCGTGCTCCTCAGGGCCGAGATTGACGGTATACTGTCCGAACTAGAAGAGGCTGAGGATTCGATCATTGCATTCCAGGCGCACGCCAAGGGCTTTATTGTGCGAAAGAAGTTTGAGGAGAAGAGGCGCTACTTCAACGAGAACATGCAAAAGGTCGTCAAGATTCAGAGCTTCGTCCGTGCCAAGATCCAAGGAGAGGCTTACAAGAGCCTGACCACGGGCAAGAACCCGCCCGTCAACGCCGTCAAGAACTTTGTCCACCTACTCAACGATAGCGATTTCGACTTTAACGAGGAGGTCGAGTTCGAGCGGATGCGCAAGACGGTGGTGCAGCAGGTCCGACAGAACGAGATGGTGGAGCAGTACATCGACCAGCTCGACATCAAGATTGCGCTGCTCGTGAAGAACAAGATCACCCTCGACGAGGTGGTGCGCCACCAGCACACTTTCGGCGGGCACGCCGTGAGCATGATCGCCAACTCGTCCATCGCGTCGGCGAATCAGTTCGATCTCAAGGCGCTCAACAAGAGCTCGAGGAAGAAGCTCGAGCTGTACCAGCAGCTGTTCTTCAACCTGCAGACGCAGCCTCAGTACCTCGCGCGCCTGTTCAGGAGGGTGCGAGAGCAGGGCATGGCGGAAAAGGAGTGCAAGAGGACGGAGCTGCTTGTGATGAGCCTGTTCGGGTATGCGCAGAAGAGAAGAGAGGAGTACTATCTTCTCAAGCTCATCTCGAGGGCGATCCGCGAGGAGGTGGAGGGCTGCAGGGCGGTGCAAGATTACATCCGCGGCAACTTCTTCTGGAGCAAGCTTGTGGCGAACTACACGCGCTCGCCCAGAGATAGGAAGTACCTTCGGGACTTGCTGGGTCCCCTGATCCGAGACAACATTGTCGAGGACCCGGCGCTCGACCTCGAGAGCGACCCCATGCATATTTACCGGTCTGCCATCAACAACGAGGAACTGCGCACAGGCCGACCGAGCCGCCGACCGCTAGATGTCCCCCGTGAGGTGGCGATCAAGGACCCCGAGACGAGGGAGCTCTTTATCGACCACCTTCGAGACCTCCGAGAAGTCTGCGACCAATACCTCGCCGCTTTCGAGGACCTCATGCCCAAGCTTCCCTATGGGCTCCGGTTCCTCTGCAGGAGCACGTTTGAGTCTCTCTGCCAGCAATTCCCTCGGGAGCCCCAGCACCAGATCCTCTTTGTCGTCTCCCACTGGCTCTGGAGGTTCTATCTCCAGCCCGCCCTCACGGCGCCGGAGACTATGGGTGTTATCGAGCGTCAACTCAGCCCCCTTCAGAAGCGCAACCTCAGCGAGGTGGCGAAGGTGCTGAACCAGGTCGCGTCTGGCAGGCTCTTCGGCGGCGAGAACATTTACCTACAACCGCTCAACGCCTTTGTCGGAGACTCCATCGAGAGGCTCGGACACCTCATGGGAGAGCTCATCTCGGTGGCCGATGCCGAGGCCACGTTTGACATCGACGAGTTCAACGATCTCTACGCCAAGAACAAGCCAACTCTCTACATCAAGATGGCGGACGTTTTCGCCATCCACAACCTCGTCGCCTCGGAACTCCAGCACATTTGCCCCAACCGCGACGACGTGGTGCGCGAGATCATGCAGGAGCTCGGCAGCGCCAAGAGTAACGAGAACGAGATGACAGCGACGGGCTCCTCGGATATCCAGATGTTCCTAACGCCCAAGCTACACGACGTCGAGGACCCGGACGCCGAGGTCAAAGCGCTCTTCATGGAGACGAAGCGCTGCGTGCTCTACATCATCCGTGTGCAGCAAGGGCTCAGCCTCCTGGACATCCTCATCAAGCCCATCACGGCCGAGGACGAAGTAAAATGGCGGGCGCTCCTGCGCGAGGAGTTCTCGGCGGCGAACCGCACGCGCGGCGCGTACTCGGATGCTAACATGATCGACGTCACGCGCATGACGTACCACGAGCTCAAGCGGTCGGCGCTGGAGAACGTGCTCCGGCTCGAGCACATGGGCCGCATCTCCAAACACAACAAGTACCAGGATATTCTTAACGCGATCGCCCTGGACATTCGGACGAAGAGCAGAAGGAGGGTGCAGAGGCAGAGGGAGCTCGAGGGGGTGAGGCTCACGTTGGCGAATTTGCATGAGAAGGCGAAGTATTTGGAGCAGCAGCGGAAGAGCTATGATGATTATATCGAGTCTGCAATGGCGACGCTGCAGAATAAGAAGGGGTAAGTCGAATGTTTCTCTTTTTAACTATGTTATCAACGAAATGCACTAACACTGTTTTTCCCCAACTGCAGCAAGAAGAGATTCCTCCTACCATTCACAAAACAATACAACCACCAGCGCGAACTAGAGCGCAGCGGCCGGGTCCCCAAATTCGGCAGCTACAAGTACAGCGTGCGCGACCTCATGGAGAAGGGCGCCGTGGTGTCGTGGAAGGGCGTCAGCGACCGCGACTGGGACAAGATCAACCTGACGATCTCGTGCGACGAGGTAGGCGTGTTCGCCATCGAGGGCTCGCGAGGACACATCCAGATCCCCGGGGCCAGCGCGCTGGTGCCCATCGAGGACCTGCTGCAGGCGCAGTTCGAGGCGAGGCAGTTTATGGACTTGTTTGAGGGGAATTTGAGGATGAATGTGAATTTGATCTTGCATCTTCTTTATAAGAAGTTTTACAGGACGCAGTAGAGGCGAGTGGGGAGGTCGAGGAGGTCTAGAGAGAGGCGGTAGATGAGGAAGGCTTGAAGATGGGAACAAAAGGGAAAGGAGGCATTGACACTCTCACACACACACACATGGGTTTATTAGGGTATTTTTCTCTCTCATCATGTTTCTGAGTCCTGTTATGAAGGATGGAAAACGCGATTTATGAGGCAACGTTGTAGGGCTCTTTTTTACGTTATTTCTTTTTTCCTTTTTTGGAGCAAGGGAAGGACTCAGGGAAAGGGGTGGATGGAGATGGGAAGGGAGGGCGGTTTGTAACAGAGGAGTTTTTTTTCTTTTCACTTTTCTACTCTTTTTTAATTCCCTTCACGTTTTCCATTTCCGTTTCTTGCCCTTTTTTTCTTCCTCTTCTTGCTCGAGGGTTTTCGGCATGGATATCCATTCGTTTGGTAGCATAGCATGATGGATGGACGTTGGGAGGATAGTGGGAAGAAGATGGAATTATCTGTTTGGGGCGGGAGTAGATTGTGATACACTCGAGAGAACCGGAGAGGCGGTTAGCATTGAGAATAAAAAATGGGTTAAAACAACAACGATGGCTTTGCTTCCTCGTTGGGGGTTTTTGACCGTTGTGATGTAGCGCGTATCTACGATACTTGCGCATAGAGTCAGGATACGGATATCTTTCTCTCATATTCTACTTGTTTCACTATCAATAAACTTTGCGAATAACAATCTCTCGTCCTGTTCCAGATGCCGTGAAGAAGCCGGGGGGAAGATTAACAACGATGAAAATGATCTTGCAAGTATCTATAACGTAAAAGCCGACCCTCACGTCGAATATTCTATCTACGATAAGTCGTCTAACAGCAGAGCGGAAACGAAACCAGAACTCGGGTAATACTTCAACTTGTCCATATTATCCCAGAGCAGTTCGAAATGTGGTAGGCTTTTAGCAGCAGGTTTTACCCCAGGTAGGCAGTCACCCAATCAAAGCGGGGGATTGAGAAATTGATCTCTCGAAAGGGCAAGTGAATTTTTGGCTGACAGCTCATACGATTCATCCTTGGGTCGAATGGACTATTTGCCAAGGGCTTTAGCCCGTAGCTTGGAGGACGATGATATGACGTGTCAACGGCGAGTGGGTGGTAGTTTTAGCCAAGACCGGGGGAGGGAGGGGAGGGGGATAGTTGGATTCGGGGTCAATATTTCCCATGGAGTTCGTCGTACTCGTGGTTGACCGAGACCGAGGTGTCATCATCCGTTTAAAGCCGGGGACGAGCGTAACTTGCGTATACGGAGTACTGTACGGTCAGTCTTTTTGAGTATCTTCTCCCCGCCGGACTGAGGTCGTCCGTCAATCTATCGATCAATCGTCAGTCCCCGTTCACCAGGGATGTTTTCCGTTACCGATTGGTTCTCGGGATTTTTTTTTTTTTTTTTTTTTCCCAGTCAAGGGTTAATATTATCTGGGGTTCGCTCTTTTAACCCCAGACTCGACCAACACGATACGACCTAAACGACAAAGGACGGGGACCCGGGGTCAGTGTGCTCCGAGTTGGAGGACCAAGGAATTGTAATCGTGATCACATATTGCGCCAGCCTAATCGTTAGGGTCGGCCTGGGGAAAAGAGCCAGTCGAAATTCTCTCCATATGGATCGAACCGAGCATCCATGGCCGATCTGAGGGTTGCATCGGGACCGCACATTGTTCTACGGGGTTCGAAGCCGGTCCTTCGCATGGATGTATTCCATTATTGGCTGAGTTGTGCTTTCGTTTCCATCCATAGACGTCGCTTCTGATTTTCTCTCGCTCCCGTGTAAGTGAGGAATCGTGGCTGCTCCAGCCCCCTCAGCTCAGTATTGGACAGGAGTGGTGACTAGGGCTCGACTCAACCAGGACTAGTTTGTTCTGGGTCCCTGTCAGTGGATCAGTTATTATTCCACCATGCCCAATTGGGTTCAATTGGTGAAGAACATTCAACAAGTTTGGTCTCAAAGTGGCCTCGGTGAAGCAGTAAGGAAAGAGTATGCGTGACGCTCCTCAACCCCATCAAGTCACCTGCGCTTTACAACAAACAAAGCCTCGTTTTTTGCCATCGAGCCACGTCAATTAGCGAGGAAAATGAAAGAGAGAGAGAGAGAAAGAGAGAAATTTGCTCAGAACAATGCTTGTTTGCCGTCCCAGCTGCGCCCAGTCGGGAGCATCGGGAAGGGAATGGACAATGGGTGCAGGGAAGAGGGGACAAGCAAAGGACAAGGGTGGGCGCGGCGATAAGAGCCGGAATGACGCATTTCCCGACTGCTTCTTTTGATTCCTTCATAATACAACGCATGCATCGTTGCATTCGGGTCATTTCTCCTGTTAGTTCAGGGGAAATTGTGTGAAAAAGGCCAGAAAATGAGGATGAACGCGAGTGTGGGGTCGGATTGCACCATGGCTGAGGTGAGAAAGGCAAGTCTTTGCGAATTGGAAATCCACAGTGGTTGTTTGACGCCATGAGACTTCGTACACATGTGGGGACCTTTTTTCTTTCTTAGACCGAGTTGAACGAGAGGAATACACAACTTGAATCATTTCAGACTTGGTCCTTGCATCGATTGGTGTGTCAAGTTTGGCTGGGAGTCTGGGACCGAGCAGAGATGGGTTATTGCAAAGTCCACTGGACTCACACCGCCAGCATAGCTGGCCGTCCCTATCGCCAGACGTGGCACAAGCTACAGGTCGCACGCTACTTCAAGACGACGCCCGATCCAGATTCGCCAGTCCATGTGTTGTATGGATGTGTTGTAGGTTGGATGGATGCCTTCCATGCCATCTCTCGATGTGTCCCAGCTTCACATCTTCGTCTCTTACCCCTTACCCCCTCCCCCGCCTCCTGAAGCCAGCAAGGGAAGAGCTGAGCTAGCTCCCGATTCCCGACTTGCATGAGGGGAAGATTACATATATATAATTTGTTATCATGGAGTCGGTGGATGAGGAATCAACTAGTTAACCCTTAGCTTCAAGGTCGGGATGAGACTCGACACTAGACCGCCCGTCGGCGACATTGATCATTGATCAATGCCAGAACTGTGACTCTTGGTGTAAAAATTAATCAACGAAGGAGGGAGTTTAATAATACGCAGTGGCGTGCGATGCTCCTCGATTGGCGAGAGCGCTAATCCGGCAACGGCGCCTTCAGGATCCATCCATCAATGTTGATGCTTCGCCCATCTCGGCCTAGCGCCCACTGTATCGACGGTGGGGTGTTCTCCTAGGGCCTGGGCTCATGCAGGAGAAACGAGAGTTGGGAGAAAAGGAAAAGGGGAATTGAAAGTGCGCTAGTACAAATGTCACGGCTGGGGAAGATGGAAACGAGCGTCGAGGTGTGAACGCATCCGAGCATACGCAAAGAACTTCTCACATGCTCAGTCCAATCCTGCCTGCGCCCATCTTCGTCGATGAGATGGCGGAAGTTTGCCTACAGTTCGGTTCCTGACTGCCAGGCAGGGTTAGTATTGGACAAGAGTGCGTGGTTGCCATGCACAGCCAGTACTTGCAATACAGGTAGCGAGGTAAGTGTGTGCTGAGTAGGCTATGTATGTAGACACCCTCCGATCATTCGGCGACCATTCCGAAGAACAATTTGACTTCATGGAAGGCACCCAGACCGGATGCCAACGGCAGAAAAGCAAAGACGGATGAATGACGGCCGTCCGTTCAACCTCACTAATGACCCCTCCATACCTTTGTGCACCAGGCTCGATGACGTGCTGTTTGGAATTGATTTCATAATTGATCTTTTCCCACCTCGACACGGATGGATAGACACGGCACTGCGTTTTCCCTCACCATCGGAATGTAATCGGACTGGCAAAGGATCCTCTGTCCATCGGAGATGCAGCAGCGATGCAAGCAAGGTCTGGCTTCGAGTCCGGCAGGTCGTGATAGCAAGGATCGATAGAAGAGGTTAAAAAACTAGATGAACGGGGACATACTTCGTAGTGTAAAGACCATGGTAAACTATGGATATTAAGATGGCTGGCCAGCGAAGAAGGTGGGAAAGTGCGGTGAGAAGAGGTTGATGCTAGGGCAGAAGTGGAAGTGGCGGACGAGTCTGGTGTCCGAGTCCTGAGTACCCTGAGTGAGTACCCTGAGTACTGTATACAAATACTTCGATACTCGATATTGATAATGCGACTAATTTGAATTGGATTCCGAAGACGGCAATGGCGCACACCACAAACCACGCTCGCACTAATACGTTGATCAATTTTTTTTTTTCTTTCGCCTTCTTACCTTTTACGACGTACACGTCGTACGTTGCACATTGTACATTGTATGTCGTCGTCTTAAACGGCTGGCTCGTGCTGCCCTCGTGCCCTTGACAATGTGCCCTTGACAATGTCCACGCTTTATAAATCCCATTCCCTTATCAGATTCAACGAAATACCCCAGTCCCCAAGTCTCCATTGCAGTTTCCCCGTCCCCCGTCCTGCTCTAGACCGAGACCTTTCCGAGGACCCCTTTCCGTTTCTTTCCTTTCTTTCCTTTCTCCTCCCTCCCTCTCCTTTCCTCTTTCCGCCATTCTAGCCTGCCAAGAGAATCGTTCCACCCGTCAAAGCCCAAGGGCCCCGTACTTCGTAGTGCTTGCCAATTCACACTTATCTCCAGCTGTTTCCTTCCGTTCCTCTTCCCCACAAACCAGGGACCAACAATCGCACACCACTTCTGTCCTATAAGTACTTGGACCCTTGCCCGTCTCCGTCGTGGTCTCTGGTCTTCCTTCTCTCTGCTCTGTCCTGTGCCCTTTTACAAGTTACTAAACATCCGGCCTCGCACATCTCCACCCACTTTTACCTCCCCCCTTCCTTCCTCCTCGCTCTCCTCCTCCCACTCTGAACCGTAGCTCGTCCTCCCTGTCACGGCCTCCTCTCTCCATATCTTCCCATTGACTTCCTCCTCTCATTTGTATCCCCGGGAATTTACTTATTCGTCGTCTGCCCAACTCCGACTTGACCCCCCGCGTTGCAATTGAGCCTCCCCCACGTCTTATATCGTCACGCACGCCACCACCGACGCACCTTGATGATTACTGATCAAGTTGACGCGCATCGTGGCATCTGACCCTGGTCCTCGCCTTGCCTGCTATCACCCACTCACCGAGCCTGTGTTAATTTGGAAAATTCCTGTATAACCTACTCTTGGTGCTGTGTAATAAGAGGGGAAAAAAAAAAAAAGAAATCTGAAGCTGTGATCTGAACGGACCGCTTTGTCCGTTGTCGCTATCCGCCCGACCCCCACATACTCTCGTGTATACTGCTGTTGCGCTGAGATACCAAGTGAGCGTCAAATGGCTCCCGATCTCAACTCTCTAACCCCTTCCTCGGTGATTCCCAACACCGCTCCCACCACGCCCGCCGTCAACGGCACCCGAGGCACCAATGGCGCTGCTTCCAGCCCGGCCGGCCCCTCGGGCGCCAAGAAACCCAATATCCTGTACATCATGGCCGACCAGCTCGCCGCTCCTCTTCTGAAGATGTACAATCCCAAGTCCCAGATCAAGACGCCCAACCTCGACGCCTTAGCCGCCAATGCCGTACAGTTCGACTCAGCCTATTGTCCCTCGCCGCTCTGCGCGCCCTCGCGCATGAGCATGATTACCGGTCTCTTGCCTCTCAAGATTGGAGCCTACGATAACGCCGCGCAAATCTCCAGTGACATCCCTACCTACGCCCATTACCTACGCCTTGCTGGTTATCATACCGTGCTGGCCGGCAAGATGCATTTTGTTGGCGACCAGCTTCACGGCTACGAGACGCGGCTTACTTCGGACATTTATCCCGGCGATTTCGGTTGGGTGGTGAACTGGGATGAGCCTGATACGAGGCTGGAGTGGTACCATAATGCGAGCTCCATCTTGCAGGCTGGTACTTGCGTGAGGAGCAACCAGCTTGATTATGATGAGGAGGTTCTGTATAAGTCGACTCAGTTCCTGTATGACCATGTTCGGGAGGGCCCAGACGCCCGACCCTTCTGCCTTACTGTAAGTATTTTTTTTGTCCCCCCTCTCTCAATACTGGGTGTAAGTGCGTTGCCAATTCATCATCCTTCTAACGTGGCGTTAGGTGTCTCTCACTCACCCCCATGACCCCTACACCATTGAGGAAAAGTACTGGGACCTATACGAGGGCGTCGATATTGAACTCCCCGAAGTCCGCATTCCCAAGGATCAGCAGGACCCTCACAGCAAGCGCCTTCTCAAAGTGTGTGATCTCTGGGACGAAGACTTTACCGACGAGCAGATCAAGACGGCGAGGAGGGCATACTACGGTGCCGTCAGCTACGTGGACGAGTGCATCGGTCGTCTCCTAGACACTCTTAAGCGATGCCGTCTCGACGAAAACACCATCATTGTCTTCAGCGGCGACCACGGCGACATGCTCGGCGAACGTGGCCTTTGGTACAAGATGAGCTACTTCGAGAGCTCCGTCCGCGTGCCCCTTCTTATCCACGACCCTAAAAATTACACACCCCACCGTGTCACCGCCAACGTGTCCACTCTCGATATCCTCCCCACAATGTGCGACCTCGTCGGCACCAAGCCCATCGATGGCCTCCCGCTCGACGGCAAGTCCCTCCTGCCCCACCTCCAGGGTAGGCCCGGTCACGACAAGGTCTACGGCGAATACACGGGCGAGGGCACCATCAGCCCTCTCGTCATGATTAAAGATGGGCCCTGGAAGTACATCTACTGCCCCACTGACGGAACGCAACTTTTCAACCTCGACCGGGATCCTCAGGAGCTCATCAACCTCGCGCTCCTGCTGCAGAAGACGGAGCCGCGCACTGCCGATGAAGAGGAGGCCAAGGCTAAGCTGGACGAGTTTGAGGCCGAGACGGCTTCGAGGTGGGATTTTGAGGCGGCGAGTAAGCTGGTGCTAGAGTCGCAGCGTAAGAGGAGGTTGGTGTGGTCTGCCCTGAAGTTGGGACGGTTTACGAGCTGGGATCATGACCCGATTGATGATGGCCGTGAAAAGTAGGTGGTCCTCATACGTCTCTTTTTCTCTTTTTCTTTATTTCTTTTTCTAACCCATCTCAGGTATATTCGCTCGCATATTCCTCTCGACGATCTCGAGCGACGAGCACGGTACCCCGCTGTTGACAAGTATGGTCGCGAGACGGCCAGGGTTCTTGTTGACCAAGCTGGCTCCCACGGCGAGTAAAACTGAGACTGAGATCTAAGTGGAAGAATCTGTTGCAGGATTGTGTCATGGGATTTGCCTTGAGAGCATAATGATGAAACTACGGTAATGGCGTTTATGAGAAATGACATTGAATGATTTGATTTTTTAGAGATTAAGACTAGTAGAGAAAAGAATAATTAATAAACTCTAGAGTCTTGTATAATATGGCTTGTCTCTATAAAGGACAATGTAAATGTCGTTGAACGTCGAGGTTGATTGTGGGCCGAGGGGCAATTGTAACAATGAATTGTAGCTTGGCGGTGAGGCTAATATTTGGATCACCAATTTATTCCCCACCACACTTGGAGCTCCTTCCTCACGTCTCCTCTCTCAACTTTGCCCACCTCACCAACCCTCGAAAACCGAATTGGCGCCGCCTAAGAGACCACACGAAGCCACTCGTCCACAAAAGCACAATTTAAAGACTTTTATTTTCGCGAGACGCTCTCAATTGACGCGCCCTTCCCGAAGAAAACCGCGAAGCCTATCCGACGAGTGCGTGCGTCCCACCGCGACCAATTCGAAGACAACGCCGCGTTATCTCCCCAAGAGAGAAAGAAAGAGAGAAGAGGGGAGGATGGCGTCGCTTAATCTCTCGCCTGAGGAGGTCAAGATTTTGGAATCGATTAGACAGCGGTTGGCGCAGGTTGTGAGCAGCTTGCAGAAGTTTAAGGATGATGTTGTGGTGGGACAGCCATTGCCTCCAGCGTGAGTTGAGCACCCTTGTTAATACTTTCCTCTTTTTTTCTCTCGGAACCTTTTCTCTCTCCTTCCTCTGGAGCTATTCTTCATCTACATACAAAAGACATTTATATACTAAACCCCAGAATCAACATGCAGATCCTCCATCCAAGCCTCAACGACCATCATCCAAGCAAACCTCCGCACCCTAACCACCTTCATCGCCGAACACGCCACCCTCCTCGAACGCATCGCTATCCACCCAGCCACAAACTTCCCCGGCCGCCAACAAGAAGCCATCCTCCTCCAGCTCCTCCGCAAAAAACCCGAGCCCTCAGTCGAAGAGCTCCTCGACTCGGGGCGCGAGACGGCCAAGCGGCTAGACAACGGCGGAGACGGCGTAGCGACGGGGGCGTGGAAGGCGCAGCGGGCGCTGTGGCGGTGGGCGAGGGAATATTGCGATTCGAGGGTCGAGCAGTATGCGAGCGAGGAGACGCATCAGGTGTATACGGCGGAGGAGAGGGCGTGGGGGATTGAGAATGTTAGGACGGGGCTGAGGAGGGGGATGGATGAGGAGGTGGAGGAGGAAGAGGAAGAAGAGGAGGAGGAAGAGGGAGGGGAAGAGGAGGAGAAGAAGGGGGAGGAGGTGAGGAGTGCGAGGTTGAGGCTGGCGAGGAATTCGGTTGTGGGGAGGTTTGAGGCGCCGCCTAATGCGGATTGGGAGATGAAGAGGAAGATGGGGGTGGGGAGGGTGCCTGTGAGGTGAGGAGGGGGAATGTGAGGGAATGTTGAGTTTTCTTTTTACTTTAGATGATACCCGACGGAGACGATGGTCAAGCGAGAGAGAAGAGCGAATCCGAGCGAGATGTGCCGGTCATTGGCTTCCGCGCTGTAAAACGCGTCTTTTGGGCTTCTGTGATGTAGACACACTCTCGTTTCCTATAGTCGTACCCACACACTCGCCCGAAAGAAATCCGGAGAGGGGGATTATTTTATCTCTCGTTGTCTCTCTCTCCGACGTCCACTGACAGGATCTCGGCCACTCCGGCCGACGCAATCATCAGAACCACCCTATCCTCTCCTTCAGCTGTCAATTCACCGCTCTCGCCCCATTCCCCCTCGCATGGCAATTTATGTTTCCTCAGCCCCCGCGGTAGGGCTGAACATCACGAAAACGTCAAACCCCGCCAAATTAGGAAAAGAATGCGGGCTGACAACTCCCAAGATATCCCCGGACGGGATTGGACCGATGTCTGCGCCTCCCCTTTCCGCGTTCGGTTTGGTCAAACTCTAAAGTTGGCGTCTTGACGTAACATCATCACCTATTTTGGATTTCAGCCTCAGACTGGGGGGGGCGTCGTGAACTTTTGTTTTACTTCGTGTGCCAACTGACTGATTGGAGGGAGGCGTTAGATTTTCTTCTTTGATTGGGGGATCTTGGAGGGAGCGGGTATCAAGGGTTCATGGATTTGGGCAGGGTTGATGTCAGCTTACCTTGTATGGGCGTGTATTGTATAACCTTTAGGTCTTGAGATATGAAGCTTCCATCTTCCGCTTTTCTTTAAACTTGAGATATCGTTGTTTTCTACTTGCTCCTATTGCTGTCTAGTATCTAGGTATATCGAATTCTAGAGATATTCAAAATGGCTCTCGTCGGTATTGCAAGCCCGCCTCCAATCCCTGGGGACTCGGGCTATTATATCTCATCTCATCACTTCTCTCGGGAACGTATCCATGGAGACAGAACCCCAGTGACCCAGAAAGATGTTGAAGCCTCATATCACAAGGAGCCAATCTCTCAGAACTTACCTCGACTCTCCTTCCTCGACCTGCCTCTTGAAATCAGGCTACAGATCTACGCCTGGGTTCACCTCCTCCACCCCTTCAAGTACAGAGAACTAGCACCTGGCTATCCAAGCCCAGCGATCAAACCATACCACACAACCCATCTTCTTCCATCACCAGCAAACTGTACCTCTACCGCAGAAGAAACAACAACAACCCCTCCGAAATCTATCCATCCCTCCCCTCCCCTCCTCTCCCCCGATCGCCCCTTCGCCTACCTCCCCACATCGCTCCTCCTCACAAACCGTCAAATATACCACGAAGCCCGCGAAACGCCCTACCTCTCCAACGAGTTCGTCTTCCCGTCCTTCTTCTCCTCAGGCCTTTCGGCCGCGGGCGTGCTCGTCCGGGGAGCTACGGCGTGGCAACTGGACGCCCTTCGATACGTCAGGCTCGAGATGAAGCTTGGTGACTTGCGGTGTGACAAGAAGACGGTGATGAGTTGGGGAGCGCTTTGCGAGGGGTTGGTGGGGGTGAGGGGGTTGAGGCTGAGGGTTTTTCCTGACGAGGTGTTAGTGTTGGGGTTAGTAAGGGCTTGGGAAGCTGGTAAAGAGGAGGTTGAGGAGGGCTTGGTGAGAGAGCTTGGGGGCGGGTTGAGGGTGATGAGAGCCTTGAGGCAGGTCGAGGTCGAGGTTGATGGTGTTGGGGAGGAGGAGAGTGAGTTTGTGGTGGATCTGTGTAGGGGTCTTCAGATGTTTCTGGATAAGAGAGGACGGGCTAGAGGGGTGAAAGTTGTTGCTGTGAGGAGAAAGGGGGATGGGGTGGATGTTAGGGGGAGTGAGCAGCCTGTGGAGTTGAACCTTGTCTTATAATCTCTAGGTTGAAAGGGAAAGATTGGGCAAAGAGAGATTTTGGCTTCTTGTTTGCAGAAACTCTTGTCTTCTTCATGGAGAAGGTGCTGGTTGGTAGTTGCTGGCTTGGTGCTATCACGATGGCCCCTGACTTACACCTCCACAGCGTGTATGACTTCACAGATCCCAACTCAACCATCGCGAATGCCCTCATCCATCCAGAAGTAACTATAAAAACCCACAATCCCTCATGTTTGAAAAACAAAACAAAAAAAAAAACATATCCCTCCCCTCAAAAAACCTCAAACCAAACCTCGCCCGCTTCCAAAGAAGAAGCCGAAGCCAGAAAACCCCATCCCGTTCCATCACTCATTACCCCAACTTCAGTGCTAGAGTCGACATGAATCGATACGGAGGAGGCCGCTCCCATGATACATCCCAATTCAAGATGTTGTCCAGTATGTGGCTAGACTCCGTGTGCCAGATTCTTTTCCTCACGGCCATCGTCCTCGTCATTTTCAAGCTCGCTGAGTACGTCTTGTGGCCCGTCGCCGCCCTCATGTTTGAGAGAATCGAGCAGATCGTTCCCATCCTCTTCGCGCCGCTTCTCCGAAGGGTCTTGATTTCTGCTTTTGTCCACTTACTTATTGCATATTGGACCGCGCTCGTTGCGGTCTGGATGGCGATTAGGGTTATTTTCGATCCCCAAGAAGAGGTTGCTGGTGAGGCCAGAGAGACGGTCATCGATGTAAGCGTACTTTTTTCCTCATACCCATTCTTTTTCTCTCTTTTCGTTTCCTGTTTCCCGCTTCCTTTCCTCTCTCGTTGAGGGAATGTATGCTTAGTTGGACCGAAGTTCTAACCATTGGCGAACAGGACGGCAAACCGGATGATGCCTCGGCCAAGAAAAAGGAGAGCTAATCGACTCGCGCCACTATTGAGCGACAGCCGACCCATGACACTGAAATCCGCGAAACGCTATCGGGAGTCATATCTTCATTTTCGTTCGTGGCGGCAGAGAGCCTTGGGGCTCCAGAGTTTTTTGCCTTTCGTGCTTTCGGCGTTAAAAACACGGGGTGTGGCATGACTCAATGAAAAACTGACCTTAGTCCGCGATATCTCCTTACCATCGTAGAAGCTATGTGTGACCGTTCTTGGAGTGTCTTCGTGTTGAAGAGAGCCGTAACCCTGCCCTGTAGAGGAACGAGTAGGCCATGTTCCTGCCTTGTTTGGAGTCAGATATGGCATTGCCCAATATCGACTTGCTTTGCCCCCACGGCTTTCCTGCCCAAACTGGATTCTATTCTTTGGGCTTTCCCTCTTCTGAGCTGGCAGACTCGAATGGGCAAGAATTCAAAACACTCTTTCCTCAATTCCGGAATGGGGAGGAGGTCCCCGAGCAGTAGGCACGAAGATCCTATCGTAATTTCCCCAAGAGCAATGTTTTGTTAATTAGTACGACTCTCTCTCTCATTAAGATAGTTTTATCACATTGGAACGTCCTTGTCGGGAACTCATCACACATAATACGACAGTGAACAATGAAGAGTCATAGCCCCAAGATCCACTTCTGCAACTGCTAGTGGAAGACACAGTCTACCACTGCCGAGGGTTCATGTAATCTATTCCCCTTTTACCAACGTAGCTAAGCCTTATTGGCACCTGCATTGTGCATCCGTAGAACGGACGCCTCCGATTGCGTCTGGGCGCGGATGGAAGTATACGTGCGTGGGCTAACGAGGAAGGCGAGTCTTCAGGGGCCAAGGGTACCAAACATCATGGCGGCCTGGGGGGGGGGGGGCTATTGTCAAGAATAATACTCTCAACTCCTTGCGTTCGCAATACCCGAGATATCCCACTCCTTTGGCTCGTTTTATCCATCCATCCCATCCCTCTCGTCCAAACCACAGTCCAAGCAGTAGTCCATGTGTTTTGAGATATGCGAGGCTTGGCGGAGTCATCCAGTCCATCCCAGACATCCCAGACATCCCAGACATCCCAGACGTTCTGGAGCCGAGTCCCTTCCACATTCTGCATAGTGAGTCTTCCGTTGTCGGTACCAACCCCTTACGGAGAAGGTCGCCGAGTATAATTCGGGACTGGAACGCTCGTATGACTCTTCACAAGCCTGAGTCCCTGTATTAGAAACAACTCCGAGTCCGACCTCCGCGAGTTACACTGGTTAGGGATGATTATGGAATAGATACGCTCGTCGTCTAAGAGCTAGAATATTAATAGTAGACTGCAGGAGATATCGGCTGAGCGAACGGGGAGGAGAGGGGCACAAGCATTACCAGGATCACTCATTATACCTGGCATATCAGGTCGGACTACTGACTTGAATGTGCCAAGGTTCATTGTTTGCAGTGGCAGTGACAAAAAAGTCTAGTAATGGGTTTGGGTAGAACTACGGAAGATCGAGTCTGCTGATGGATCCTCATGTTCCATCGCCCCTCCCCAAGGATATTCGAGGACATCAACTACTACATGAACCGGAAGAATCTCGGAAGACCCCTCATTGATTGCTTGGACTTGGATCGTGATGTTGAGGCATGTTCCTAGTAATAAAAGACATCAACTGATATTTATGCAGTACCAGATATACTCGGGATGTAGATTGCCCTTGACTACGTCCTACAACCACAGCTACAGAACGGATTGTAGGGAATACAGTCCACACCTTTGAAGCAGCCCGAACAGACCCAGTGGCATTTAGTTGCTCCGATGCCCCGATGCCCTCGTTAGTTGTCCACTTTGTCAGATTCTCTTAGGCCGCCGGCTACCAGCATTGTCGACTATAACTCAAACCTACAGCTTAGGCTTTCTCTCAAGTTATTACCATAGATTGATGTGAGAGTCCCCCGGAACTTGCAGATATTTGGCATTTCAGTTATGCAGACGGAGTCCCCCCCGTCTATAGATGACTCTATCAACTACGGGTACGGGTCGAGATCCTACACTGTGACAGATCAATTCATTAAGGAGCCGGGAGGAAGCGGGGCCGTCTCGGGACCGGAGAGCTCGGGGACGTGGGGGCGTAAGGGAGCGTAAGGGGGAAGGGATGTCCTACGGTGGACGAGGCAATTTGGTCTTCGTGTTCGTGTTCGTGGCGACTACATACGGTATCACAGGCGCATGGGGGATTGGTTTATATTGTTTATTTTCTCTTAATTAGCGCTGAGGACGGTCGAAGGATCAATTGAGTTGCCGACCGTCGGCTCAGAAGTACGAAGTAGTGTAAGTATGAGTCAATCCGGCGTATGGGTGTCTCGATGACACTTGGTCTCGGCGAAACAGGAGCGGACTTGGAGCGGTGAAAGGATTGATTGATCAATGACAGTTTGTATCAAATTATTAATAAGAACGCCACGGTTGGTTCTATTCGATGTCGTCCGCCCCTCCCCCCGACGACCCACGCGAGATGCGAGAGATGCGAGGATTGCTCCGTTGTTGGCATCGTTATTGTTAGCGGTGGACGCTGGAGCGACATCAATGACTGATGCTACGATGGATCGATCCCTTGCCTCCTTGTCCTGCCCTGTTCCAAAATAGAGATTGATACATCAAATGGCAAACAATTTTTGAGGCCAGCAGTGCAGCAGTGAATTGATACCTTCAAGCACTGCACAAAGTCTACTTGAACAAGTACGTAAGCTGAGCATCGAGTTCTCCCGTCGCGAATCAACTTTCTCAACTGGCGCCCCAAAACATCTTGGAAGGTTGAATTGATCCATCAAATATTACATTCAGCGCTAGGACAACTCGGGAATGGCGGATGAGCTTTCAACACTACCAAGTACAACTTCGCAGCAGGTGACTACGCGCTCTGTTCGCTCCACCTCCCTCCCCAGTCCAGCACCCTGCAAGCCGCAAGCCACAGGGTGCGTCTTGGGTGGTCCTGTCCCATCAGATCCTTTTGCCTGGTGCCCCCGCATCATTTTGAGGCTTCCGGACACGGAGGTGACACCCTCTCAGACTTCAGGTGCCCCTCAATCCTCCGTCGCCTCTTACGTCGTTTCGTTCATTTCGTTCACGGTGAGTCACGAGCCACGGCTGTGAAGTCGTGAATTTTGCAGAGATTAATTGAGAGGGCAGTGAGGGTAAATTAATCCTGTTTCTCACCCCTGGCAGGGAACTTTTTTTTCTCCATGTTCTTGTTCTTGTTCTTGTTCTTATCCTTATCTCCTAGCTGCATTAAGCTGTGGAGATTACTTGCAGAGACGGCGGCGGGGGGGATGAAAATAGGAACCGAGTTTAAGGATAACGATGACTCTTTTCTTGATATTTTTTTTTTCTTTCTTATCCCTGTCTCTTGAAGGTGAATGTTTGGTTTCTCAACCTGTACCTGTAGAGATTGCTTTTGAACACGTAGAAACACGGGATGGATTCTGGTATCAATCTCAGTGAAGCTAATTGACTGCAAATGCGTAATTCCAATCCAGGATGGTCTAGTCTAGGACTCTACTGAGGAGCAGACGTCACTCGTCACTCACCACTCGGATCGGACCGGCGTGCGTGTGAGTGAACGTGAGCAGGTGCGGGTGCGACGGCCAAGATATAAGAACCTCCGCATGTTCGTTGATGCCTTGCAGCCTGTTCAACTCAACTTCACACCACCACCATATAAAGCATTGGTTCTTACTTTTGAAGAGCATTTGCTTCTATCTGCATCTGCCACCCTCCTCCAAGTACCCTCTAATATTTCATTTCATCCTATCCCTTGCCAACACTACCAAGAACACTATCCGCCTCTACTCTGTGAGCATGCACGCCAGCTTCGTACGTTTACTCCTCGCGAACCACCCTCGCCCCCCCCGTCATAGATCATGCACCACCGCACCGGCATGAGCGTTGAAAATGCCCATTGGAATCTCCCTACCTCTACGCATACCAGTATTGCCGATATATACTTCGCTCCCCCGATAAACAGTCGATTTCCAAGTTCGTACTAACCAGCCATGAAGAAATTAAAATAGATCTAAAAGGAATCCCACCGCACACTCTTAACCACTTAACCTCACCCCATCATGGATGTCCACTGCCAATGTCGCTCCGTGAGCTTTCAAACGCCCACGCCGAAGCCTTTGGCATTGTACATATGTCACTGCTCTGCCTGTCGCAGGCAGACCGGCTCGGCGTTTGGGGCGAGCGCCATCTTTCCCAAGTTTACGCTTCCGGCGGATGAGAAGCTTGCTTGTTATGCGTGAGCATCTTTCCTCGTCCCGGTCCTCAATTTTCCAAGTGATGATGGTGTACTCCTACTTTGTGTGGATCTTGGAATCCCGGAGGTGTGAATCGATCCGTTCTACTGACACGGGCATCTAGGAGGCTGACATCCACCGGCGACAAGCTTCACTGGTAAGTTCAACTGAGCTCATTTTTTTCCTTTCTTACGAAAACCAAGCTATGAGAGGGGGTTAAAGAGAACAAAAAGAACACACAGCTGATGCTAGCTCCTACAGCTACTTCTGCAAAACATGTGGAACCCGCCTCATCCACGCGACACCGGTCCGTCTTCACCCGCCCCCAGTCTCACTCACACGAGTCTCCTTCCCTCTCTACCCCGTCAAATTAGTAGGAAAGCTCACCCCCCCTAACACAAACCAAACTCCCCAAAAAGCAGACTAAAAACGTCGTGTCGGTTAAAGCCGGTTGTATCGAAGGCATAGATTGGTCCACCGCCATCCACATCTGGACCAAATCCGCCATGGTGCCCATCCCCGAGGGCTGCGAGACTCACTCGGAAAACTCGTCCGGTAGCTCGTATTACGGCGATACGCAAGAGGTACTGGATCAACCCGGGGAGTTGACTGGGAGTGGTGAAGATCCGTGTGGGGAGTGAGAGTTGAGGAGAAGAGAAAAGAAAGAAAAAAAGCTGAGCTGATTTTTTTCGGGTGCATAGTTGTAGATTGGTTTTCTTTCTTGTTTCCCTTCGGTTAGAGGATACGTACGGTACTGGGGTGAAGAAAGGACTGACTCGAGGGAGTTGGGGATATAAAATTTGGTGGTAGAGGGACTTGTATAGTGGATTTTTTGGGGTACGCTCTATATAGTTGGTTTGTGGTTTTTCTTTCCGAGATCAAAATGCATAGGCACAATATTATCGATAATTTTACCCTTCTATCGTAAAATCTCCATCGTAATGACCGTTCGGGAACCATCTGCTGGGGGTGAGAAAATGTGAGGTGAGAGGTCATCAAAAGGGGGGGAAGAGCAGGTAAGTCATCTGAATATACGAAGCAGCTTGCTACAGTCTCTTTCATTAGACCCCTATGTGCCATGTCCACTACCATGTTATCCAACTTAAATCATATCCAAATGCCGTTAATTAGTCTCTCCCTCACCTCTAGCCGCCTCACCTGGACTCTTCAGTCCCCCTCTCCCCACCTCCGAATCCCTACTCGGATCAAAAACATACATAGGTAACTCCAAAAACACCGTCCTCTTCAGCCCAGCCGGCACATAAACGTACAAGAAAGGCGGAAAGGGGAAAAACGGACTGGTGCGGCGCAGGTAGTCTTCGTACTCGTCCCAGCCATGGTCCAGCTCGTACCGGCGTTTGGCGACGGGCCGCTCCGTGAGGGGCATTCCGGAGACGAAAAAGAGGAGGAAGGTGATGAAGAGGGGGCCTACTATGGAGGCGTAGAGGGCTGCTCGTGGGGAGGAGGGGAGGGTGCGAGAGATCACTGGTGAGACGGAGATTGTGTAGATGCCTGACACGTTGCGTTAGTATCTTATCTTCGTAAAGGCCACGGACAAAGAAGAAGAAAAAAACTTACCAAACTGGGCGAGGATGTCTCCGAAGTAGTTTGGATGCCTCGAATACTTCCATAGCCCCTTGTTGCAGACCTGCGCCGCCCCACCGCCATACTTCTTCCTGAACGCGTACTTCTGCACATCCGCCACGGCTTCCAAGGTGAACCCAATCACAAACATGAACAATCCAGGAATATCGGAAGCCATGCCAAACGATACAGCCCCGCCCGGACTCTTCTGCGGTATCACCACGGCGGGCGAGTTCCCTATGGTCACGGGCAACGAGACGACCCAGACCCAGAGCGCCTGGAAGATCCAGAAGGTGAGGAGGGGGAAGAACTTGCCTCGCATGTTGTCGAAGCGAGTGTCGTGGCCAGTGCGGAGGATGCGGTAGAAGAGGAAGATGGAGAGGCGGAGGGCCCAGATGGTCATGAGGATAGTGACGAGGATTTGGCGCGGGGTGGGGGACTGGGAGAGGGAGACGGTTGTGATGGCGAGGATGGCGAAGTTGGTGCCTCCCGCAAAGTCTGGGATATTGAGTTAGTTTTTGATGTCTCCTCAATCACGACGGGATGTGAGAGTGTATTAGCGCCGCCGGCTTCTACGCTGGGCGGGGACACAGGCAAATCTCAAGGAGAGAAAGGGGAAAAAAATGAGTACCTGTTAACAAGTCGAACTTGCAGGAGTAGGAGATGGTGAAGAAGATGAGCTGGTAGACGACGGTAATGATGGCCGTGAGACCAAGATAGAAATCGTCCAACACATGAACCACCATGATGGGCTATCTAGTGTTTGCAACCGAATATCTTTTTGGGCCGCGAAGAGAAGCTGATGATGAATTGAATGCGGTAGGTTAGATGTCTACTCGATGGATTAGCGTCGCGTCGCTACTGCTCCATCTATTGTCGTAAAACTATACCAGAAGAGGGGCATCACCAGTATCATCCTCTTTTGAATCTACTCTCTGATGCTCCGTATCAACGGTACGGACTGCCTACCAAACCGGGTGACGCCTCACAAAGGTTGTTTCTTCAAGCTACCAAACGGACGAGGCATGATTGTGTCAGGAGCAGGAAAAATTGCTCGAGAGGGGTTGGGTTGGGCCAGCCCGTTCCTTCATCCTTCACAGGGTGACACAAACAATCCAAAGGATTGAGGCGCGTTACAGATGTGGCGGGATCTGACACTTTGACGTTTTGCCGAGAAAAGGATCGACAAATCAATTAACAAACAAGGTCAGCAAAATGAGGGAGTTGTTCTCCTCAGGAAGAGGAATCAAAAAGAACAGTAATAGTTTCATGGAATACCAATGCTTATTTAGTAAACGAGTTACCAGATTCGACAGATGATCGGATGCAGTCGAAACGTGATGACAGATCAATTGGATTTGATGATGATGAATGAGGATGGATGGATGGAGTTGGGATTCGCTGATTGGTACGCGGGTGTAATAAACATTGGCAAAGAAGGCAAAAAAGATGCCCACACCTGGGATCGAACCAGGGACCTCATCATTTCACTAGCTCATACTAGTGATGCGCTCTACCACTGAGCTATACGGGCTTGTTGGCACTCATGTGCTTAGCGCAATATTTGAAGCTAGCGAGAAGGGCAGGGCGAGCAACATCAACGGCTATGGTTGGTATCAGGTAAAGTACGCCACCAATTCGCCAATGGCCGGTGATCCACAATTTGCTTCGCAAGCTCCATATTAGCGATAAGGTCGACGTGTGAGAACAAAGGGTAGAGAAAAAAAAAAAAAAAAAAAGTTCTCTCAATTTCCCTCTCCTATCCTTAATTCATCTTTCTTTCGTTGCGCGTGATGCATGCTCCTGTTAGTGCAGGGACAGGGGTATGAATTCAGTAAAACCTCCCAACCTGTATCCGCTCCCGATCGGCCGCTAAGATTCTGGGTAGCGTGCAACACTAGCAGCCGGAGTGGAACCCGGCCCGGACACCGTCAAGAATTGCTCGAATCAATTCATCAATCCATCTATAAGTGTATTCAAAGATAATCTCAGAGAGCAGACATGAGGATAAATATCGGGTCTATCCTGCCATCCCTAAAAAGGTGCGATGTCCCTTCCGTTCTACTACCATTTTAGACTACCCGCACCGAGGTACCTGTCGCCAGCCTTCATCCAAACCAACTCGTCAGTTGATCTGATAAAATAGTACCGAGCCTCGAGGGGGAACAAGAGAATTACTACATAAATGGCAATTCATGTCAAACGCAGGTGCAAGGATGGCATAAAGGGTCGACTTAGGGAAGTACATCGACTCCCGCCGTTGGAATTTCAAAGCCCAATCAGGCTCCAATCCACCCCCTCCCATTTTTCACTCTCAAGCCACGCAATTTCCTCGCGAGAAATAGGGTGGGAGGACACGACAGTGGTGCGCAGCCTCTCGAGACGATTTCTCACCGCTGCAACGGAGGCGATCTGGGCTTCCCTCGCCAGGAGGAAACCCACAGCAATTGGCGTCGGGATGAGAGGGATGAGGACCTGGAGACTTCGTGGAATGAAGCTCAAAAACCGTGTAACTTCACGTCTGGAAGACGCGACAATGTAGGTGAGGAATGCGGTAACGATCAAGGCGCTATTGAAACGAAGAGGGAAGAAGAAAAAAAGAATTCAAAGTTAGGAGTTGCTCTACGTGTTGAGGAGGTGGGAAGATCGGATCGGGGAAGAGGGAAGATAGACTCACATGGTACCGGTACGCACCCAGACAGTCTGTCGTCTTGAAAGCAGGAACTTTTCCAACCTGGACAGATCCGAATCAAGCTCCGAGAGGCAAGTTTGAATGGAGGACTGCGCTGTGCGCGTCCGCGCTAGAACAAGTTCATCGTCTTCCTCGAGACGACCCAGGGCGAACTCCTCGGGTTGCGGCGGATCGGAAGCTATCAAGATTCAGCGCATGCCAACAAAAATAATCATAATAGAAGGAAACAGGATTTCACCTACCTGTAGGGGCTGTGTTTGGGAAAAGCCCGCGAGAGGCAGCAAGCCATTGGTAACGCCTGTACTGTTGGAGGTAGGTCGCTGCGTGGGATTTCGTCACTCGAACACTATAAAAAGGAACTGATGGAGTCGATCGGAGGTGCTCTTGGAGCGGTGTCCGGTCGGTAGGGCCATCCATTACGTCTCTTTCTTTCCTTATTTATTTTTTTTTTCTTTTCGTTTTCGCTTGCTGAAAGGAAGCTTATAACTGTAAGAATTTCTCTCTGGAATGGGAACTCAATGAGATGTTGATTTTTGGAAAATGACACGAGGGGGCTGTAGGGGATCGTCGCCAGATATATTAGGCGTAAAGGAGCCAGGGTACCTTGGCACCCACTCTCCTTGGTATTGTTATGGGAATTGACCTATGAAGTAATGGAGGTCCCATGTACTTGTACATTTGTATGTACGAACAACACAGCCAGCCTGGTCCATCGCATTTTCATCCATCCGACATCCTCCTGTGAAACCATCCACGCAGCCTCCCTCCAATAGTTGCATGAGGCCGTCGCAGCGTTTTGGACGCCCAGCGCTCACAAGTAACAGCATCGTGTACTTCGTACTGACAAGCTAAAACAAATCCACGAGTTCATGGATGAAGTTGCGAATAATTATGCCACCCGAGGTTTGTCCCTGTGCCTGGTCACCGCATCCACGCAAGACAGGTCGATGACGCTCAGTTTTGACGGCTGGTGGCGTGTGACAAGTCAATTGGGCTGCAGAAGGCCGGTGGCATTGCTAAGCCAACATCTTTGATTGTACAAGTATGCGCTCGCCTTAAGCAACCGGGACCGACTTACTTGTGCTGGACTCAGGCTTCCTCTTGTTTCTTGTCCGGTTCGCGAACCGCGAAAGTAGCTTGTAACTGGAGGGATTTTGGGAGGGATGAGCTGGCAGGTTATGCCGATTGACAATGCAGAGTCACACAGCCCTAGCCTGGTGGCTTGAAGACTTGAAAACGAGGGGCACGAATCATCTTTCGCTGGCCAAGAGCTAGGGGATGTTGCGCCAGGCTCTTCGGCTGATGTGGTATGATGGAGGTAGGTCTGAAAGGGATCCCCCCTCCCCCTCTTCAATGTGCCTCTTACTGTACTTGCAGTCTTTCTGGATGTCTAACCATCGCTCCTCCTCCCATTCTTTTGGTTTCTTGTTCTTGCCTATGTATTTGCAACAACTGCTCTCGGTGGTCTAAGTTCCCCAAGCTTACTACTCTGGACGACTAGAACAACCGACGACATGACAACCGTGACCGAGCTCGATGTCTGGCATATCCAATGTATCAAGCCTCGATTAGAAACCGATGAAGATAGAAAGGAGTATGTCGACGACGTGAAACGCTTCATACGTGCGTTATGGAAATCAAGAAAAGCTAGCTCCGGGACAGACCAGGTTCCTCCACAGTTGGATGTTGCTGAAGCAGAAAACTGTACGATGACCTACCGGAACACATCAACGAACACGGTGCGGGTAAGGTCAAGGAAAGAAAAGAAATAAAATAAATACCTCCCTTTTTTTTTTGCTGCCCTTGAAACTAATCTTCGCACTCAAACCTCGAAATACATATAGTTGAGATTTAAACTGCCGGGAAAACTCCCAGAAAACGACCAGGATCGAGATGACCAAGAAGATACTTTTTGCTCAGCGGTCAGCTACTTCTGCTCAGCAATCTTCGATCTCAAGGCCCATGGCGAAGTTGAAGCCAAATTGGGTCTTATTACCAATCGTTCGCTCCTCGGTATTCGTCCTTTGAGCCCATGGTTCGAGTTCTACTGGACACAAGGCTTCCTCGACACATTCGTTCGGAAGAAAGTCCCCATCTTCAATGATATAGCAGGTGTAGGGTTTTTTACACCATGGTGAGCGAAAAGGACTCGAAAAGGTTTAGGCATGTAGACCAAATGGCTGACTTGGGAAACAGGGTGAGAGCCATATCGCTTCTCGCTGTGGCGGTGGGTGATAAGGGCGGTGCCGTCGAGGTCAGCAAAGCGATCTCCCTCGCAATCCGAAATAGCTTCGTGGGTACCACCGGAAGGATCGCAGGTATTCTCCAGCCTTACTGATGAAAATGGTAGAATTTCGAGACGAGGGAACCGGACGAGGAACTTCGAAGAACGGGCATTGACCGGTCAAAGGAGTACTTCCGCAAGGTGGAACAAATGTTAGGCTTTGTTCGCGCTGCTAGTCAGTGATAATTCCCAGCCCTCTCACTCATAAAACTTGGCAGGGACAACCATTTAAACGTTATCTAGGCCAAGCATGCGGAGTGCAACGCCAACTAAGGAAGTCCCGGTTGCCATCAGACGTTGAAATCAATCTCTTCAAGACTATCCTCGAGGTTCTTGAAATCGGCTTCGACGCGCTTACCGTCAACGGCGAGGTTTTCCAACAGTGGCAGGAGATTATTTCTAGCGCACAAAACAATTTGAAAACCTCTGGCGTCGCTACGGTAGGGAGCCTTGGCTTCGCGGTTTTTGGGATTGGGCAGGCGTGTGTTGGCGCTGCTTATAGTGGTGCTAGTGTTGCTGGTGCTGCTGGTGCCGCCCTGTGTTCGGCAGCAGTCTTGTGCCCCCTTGCATTATTCGTCTTTAGTGCTTGTATTTATACCGGGCACTACTTATTACATCAGGAGGCCAAAAAAAGTGCAGATGAATTTAAGATGAGTGAGTCTTGATCGCCAGCCTTTCCCTTTAACCTCCACCCCTCAGCCCTTATTTCCCCTTTGAAAACTTCCAAGTATTACTTACACTCTTCTTGCCTTCGCAGTGTCGGAAGACCTGGCTGGGCAATATCGCGCCATTCAGAGGCTCGCCCAGTGGCTAGTCATGTACTCCAACAAGCCAGTCTCCTCTGAGGAAGACCTAGCCTCCGAAGCCCAGGAAATGAAGGATTTACGAGCCCATCTTACTTCTCACGGCTTGGGACAGAACAGTTCGCTTGCCGACTACCAGGCTACGCTCGATAAGGAGCTTGAGGTCCTGTGCAAGAGTCTGAAAGAGATGAAGGAGAACCCATCGATGGAGCATCTTTTCACCTAATGTTCATCACATCAATGTCCTCATCGGGTGCATATTTGGGGCGAGATTTAAACAGCTTTACGTGTCTTATATAAATGATGTTGTCTCCTATTTTGCGTTTCACTCTGTTCTTGTCCATGATGCTGTATGAAGTCCAGGTCGTCAATGTGTTGTTGGCGCTATGGGGGTGCAGGACTTCGGCTCTTCGTTCAGATTTGGGGTTTCAAAGATCGAGGCCCCAAGTTAAGACGAGAAAGGCATTTAAAAAGTTGTATCAATGGAGAATTGGGGTGGTAATACTTTGTGCTTGATATCAATCTGTTGGGCGAGGCAGGTTGGTAAGGAGCTTTGGGCCGTGTAGACACGTGACGAATTTTGGGGGAATCAGAAAACGGCGTCTCAAACAAAAAATCCAGGATTGAACATTACATTTGAACTCACTAATTCCGAAGGAATCCACCACTCGGCCGAAGCTCAGTGATGCATCGCACCTTGGCAAAATGTCATCTCCGATCGCAATTGCGGGCGAGACCGAGACGAAGATATCAGTCGATTTCTACGGAAAGAAAACTGACTTCGAATCGAAGCCCTTCGAGTGGCTTGTCGGCAGCGTCTCTTCTTCGGCATGCCGAGCGGAGAATTTACCTTTCGACGGCCCGGGGATTTGCTGCCAAGGGGGATCGCGACTTTTGCTGGAGATTGGGGGGATTCCTTGGCCGCGGCCTCCGGGTCTCCTCTGCACTTCGTCCTGCTTCGGCGCGAAGAATCTATTGGTCCTTCTGTATTACTTTTTGTACAAGTACTCCGTAGTCACATCGCGATCTTGATTCGGAAGGCCCAAAAGTTGACCCTAATATGCAGCAGCATCTCCGAGGATTCTTGCCAGGGGAGAGAGTAACGAAGTGGAGTGCACACACAAGATGATCTTGATTGATACGAAGCAGAGTGGAGTCTGGACCCATCGAAGCAATGGAGCATGGAGCATGGTTATCAGAGGAAAGATGGTCCACCGCATTTGCCGATCAACGAACAATCCACCTCCTTGGCTTTCCCTCTTCTCTTGCAACAGGGAACCCGAGGCGAATCTCGATTCTTCACTGCGCAGTACCGAATTTATTCACCGTCACACTACTGAAGACGACGCGTACGAAGAATGCGTATACAAGTATCATGCATAGCGTTAGCGTAACAAAATCCCTGCTTCATAGAAATCGAAGCTCCAAAAGAAATCCTCCGTTTGGTCAAGCTTGTCTGGCATCTTGCCCTTGCATGATGCCCTCATTAAACGCACATAACTTCGACCACCAGGCCGCGACGATGAACTTTGTGCAGAGAATCCCAGCGTCGGCGCTTTTTATTGGTTGGCGAGCTCGGTTCTCTCGGAGGGGTCTCAAACAAGGTTTGTCTGGAGCACGTCTCAAAAAGCTCAAAACCCCTGTCCCGCTGTCTCGGCGTCGCGCCAAGCCTCCACACACATGAAGAGTCGACCCATGCAAGGTCCCACATCGTCCGTTCGAGCCTCAGCTTTGGCCAGGGGAGGAGTCGAAAAGTGGGAGGTTGTGAAGGTTTGAGTCCGTGGCTATTCTCAAACAAGCATGTCGCTTTTCCTCTTTTTGAATGGTCGAGTGCGAGCTGAGGAACTACGAAGTAAGTTTAGGAGAAGCAAGACATTCTCGCGTGGGTTTCCCTGACTAGTTTCGATTCGCCAATCGGGACTCGTTCTACGGCGAGCGGCCTGAGCTTGGCACGGCGCCTCGCCACATCTTGCCCGGTCCTTTCCATCGTCCGCTCCACGAAGCAAGAGTCCTTGATAATCGATCTACGAAGTCACCATCTGTCTCGTCTCGCATCGTCGGTCCACCCTCGCCTAGCATTGGAGATCTCCTGCCCCGTCGTCAGAACGGCACATACCCTAGACGAAACAATTGTCCAGGAACCCACCATGCCCACCGTTTTACCCTATACGGACTTTGTGCCGTCCCATCGACCTCTTCAAGCTCTCGTCCACCCTCGTAGTGTAGTAGCTCTGACTGCGTGGCATTGTCGCAGGGGATGCCCTTGAACCCACTTCCAATGGCCGGGCCCTTGTTCCCTTGTTCACGAACTTTCCCCCCCATCCCAACTCTCTCTCTTCCCCTTTTCGCTGTAGTACTGTAATGTCCCCCCGGGAATCACCTCCTGGTTCCAATGCATAGCCGTTGACGGCTTCGTTCTTTGAATAGCATCTTTGTTTCTTCTTTTCTTCTCATCTCTTCTTCTGTCATTTTCTTCTTCTAGATTAGCTCGTGGGAAACTCCTTTCCGATCAACCTTGGGATGCCGACCCGCTAACTCTTGTCATTCCTTTTTCTTTCTTTTTCTAACTTCCTTTCGACTCTTCTTCTTCTCCGAATCGATCGGTGTTCGCGATTTTCGATTTCGCCTCGATCATCTCTCTCTTTTTAATCTACCATAGAGAGATCGTTGTCCGATTTCCTTTCCGTCGAGGCCGATTTATTTCGTGACCCGTTCCGCTCATTTTCTAGTTTAATATTTTGTCTTTCGACACGAAGGGTTGATCCCGACTTATCGAACTATTTTTACACCTTAACTCTTATATATCCATACTTGCCATCCGACGGCTGGTTCTGTTGAGATCAGAGTACAACTTTTGTGTTTTTGGAAACCCAGGATCAATCCGCCAAAACGACTTCGTTGAGAGAAACTTCGGGGTTCGCTTGGCAAACTTTAGCTCAGGATGAGGCACAGCATTTGGTTCCTCGTCGTCGCCATTCTTTCGCTTGCGCAGGTAAGGTCGACCGATGTTGTTTCTCCGCATTCATCTGTTGTTGGGCTTAGGGGGAATGAGGAAACGGCATTGCGATGGGACCTGGACTTGGCCCTGGGAGGATCGTGAACTCATCTTGAAGGAGGACCGAGAGAGAAAACCAACCATGGACGACTCAAAGATGGAAAAGACTGACATGGGGAACTATAGGCTGCCGTCTTCGCGCGACCCCATCAAGATGTGGCACTGGCCAGGCGTCAGAATGGGCTCTTCGACTTGTTCAATAACCTCGGCGGCAACCGGGGGAACAACCAGAACAACGACGATAGCAGCAATGACGACGACATTGAAGACAATGAGGATGACGGCAGCAATGACGATAGCAACGACGATAACAACGTCGACGTGAACAATGGCAACAACTTGTTCAACCTTGGCAACTTGGGTAACCTGTTCAACTTCGGTAATAATAGGAACAACAACAACAACGACAACAACAATAACAACGATGATGAAGAGGATGATAGCAGCAGCAACAACCGCGCCGTCACCGAGACCGAAACGGAGACTGAGACCGTTACTGAAACCGAACGAGAAACCGAGACTGTCACCGCCGACGCCGAGGCTGCGTAAGTGATAGAGCATTGTGACACGTTGAGGTTGTAAGGAAGCTAATGAGGGGTCTATTAGAACCGTCACGGAATCCGTCACCGAGACTGAGACCCTCACTGTTACCATGATGATGACTGTCACCGGTCTTCCCGCTGCCGTAAGTTCCTCTACACGATCACATATCTTTTATGAATTTTCATTTTCAGCTAACTCGATTACAGGAGGGAGACGTTGACACTGTTAACAATGCCGCCTCCACCGATGGTGCCTCTTCCGTGGCTGATGCGACATCCGCTGTCGGTGACACTGTCGGTGACGTCTCTAGTGGCGTCGCTAGTGACGCCGCTGGTGCCGTCGAGACCCCCGCCGCAGACCTCGGAAACGCCGCTGGACAGAACAACCAAGGCAGCGTCGACACTCCAGTTGTTATTTCTACTGGAATCGGCATCGTCCTCGTCTCGCTGCCGGATACTCGCGGCCCCACGACTACGCTACCTAGGACCAACGTCGACGCGGCTCCCACGCCTCCACCTGCCGCGGCTGCTCCCGTCGTCAGCGACCCTGCTGCTAACATCGGTGCCGGATCGTCAGGTACGTATTTTTTTCCCCGAAGATTCTTCTCTTCGTTCAAATTTCATTTTGCTAATCAATATTACAGCGATTGATGCCTCTTCCGTCGCCGCCGTGGTTCCTCCCGTCGCTTCAGTAGCCCCGGTTGTTGACCCAGTGGCTTCAGTCGCTCCGGCCCCGGTCGTTGATCCCGCAGCCTCAGCAGTTGCTCCCGCTCCAATTGTCGACCCCGCCGCCTCAGTTGCGCCCGCGCCAATCGCTGATCCCGCCGCTTCAGTCGTCGCGCCTGTCCCTGTTGCGCCCGTTCCTTCGGCAGACCCTATCGCCGCCGTCCCGCCCGTCGCCTCCCCCGCGGTTCCCGATCCCGCCGCCACTGCTCCCGTACCCGTGACAGCCCCGTCTCCCGTCGTAGCACCTCCCGTTGCGGCACCTCCCGTGGCTGAGATCCCCGCGCCCCAGAATAACATCAACCTCGGCGGCCTTGACGGATCGAACAGCGTAGGCGCCGCTGATCCCGCTGCACCCGCTGCTACTCCCGATGCGTCTCCCGTCGCTGCACCCGCCCAGCTCGATCTTAGCGGTCTCGACCTCAATAACGTCGTTGACCTTGGCAATCTTGGCTAGATGACGGGGGGGCGTGTGTGTGAAGGGAAGGGGGAGTGCTTGACGCACTTGACACGTATAATACCAAAAAGGCAAGGGTCCCTGGGGAATGGGAAGGATTTTTCTGTTTTTGGCGATTGGACGTTTGGAAAGGACTTCGGGTGTTGCGTGTATTACCTGTGCAGGAGAAAATAGACAGGTATGCTATTTCAATGGAAGATCTGGTGTCAATGAGATATTCTCTCTTGAGTGCGGTGAAGTATGTTTTGGCCGGGTTTCTCTTCTTTTCCTGGATATTTTCTCTTCTGTTACGCCGGTTCGTTTCTTATTGTTTCTTTTCTTCCGCCCTTTTTCTTGGATACGAATGTAAATCACTTTTTTTCCCCTTTTGATTCTTGTAGACAGAGACCAGTGTGAGAGGGATGATTCCCAGCACCAAATTTCCCAACTTTTCTGTGGCGAGTTGTATAGATTTTTTGAGCATACCACGTCTATCTATTGTATGGGTATCAAGTATATATGTAGTCCCGACCCGAGTGTGAAAAAAAAGAGCCCGAAAACAAGTACTGAAAAAGAAGTACGACCTATTTTGGCTTTTGACCTCCTTTCCACTTCTTCCCCGGCCGGTTTCCCTCACCGCCGGGGCTATCCTGCACATTCTTCCTCTTCTGGCCCTTTTTGTTCTTTCCCGCCGCGTTAGATTGAGAGCCAGTCGCAGCTTGGCCGTTCTTCTTCCCATCGGCACCATCCTTCTCCTTCTCCTTCTCAGGCGGCGCAGGAACAGCCTTCACAATCTCCACAACCCCCCTATACCCAACTCTCTTAATCCCCTCATTCACCACAATCCCCCTCGGCCCTGCCCCCATGGCCTCCACGCCCCTTTCGCACGCCAACCCCCAAACGCTCAACAAATTCACCACATCCATGGGCGCCCTAAGATCCCCGGCCCTCGCGGCCCCGCTCGAAACAACCAACCCTTTGCCCCTCGTAGCACGCACGAGGCTCATGACGTTGCCGATGAAGTTGGCCCTGGCCCTAGAGTCGGGGGCCGCGAGGAGCTGGGCGTAGGAGATTTCGAAGCGGACGCCGCGGGAGACGGCGACGGCGCATGTTTTGGGGCGGAGGTGGAAGGGGAGACGTTGGGAGAGGTCGAGGGATATGAGGGGGATGTCGGTGATGGATTGGCAGGCTGCCGTGAAGGATTTTTCGGTCGTTGGGCGGAGGGCGAGGAGGTGGTAGTGCGGGGTTAGGGAGAGGAGACGGTGGTTTTGGGAGGGTTCGGAGAGGATGATGGTTGCGCGGTGGAGGACGGTGGGGAGGGTTGTCGTCGTTGATGTGGATTTGGAGGATGTTTGGTCGTTTGTGGAGGGTAGTTGTGGGAGGGGGTTTTTGATTTGAGAGGGAATTGGGGTGGAGATTATGTGGTTGAGGGCGACGGTTTTGTAGCCGAGCTGGGAGGAGTGGGAGAGGAGGCGCTCGAGGTCTTGGGAGGTGGTCGAGGGCGACCAGGAGATGTTGAGGTCGAACATGTTTGGTGGAGGGTGTTTTGTTGCTTGAGTCGATTCGAGGGGATCTACCCCTGTCTAATTGCTATGAAAGGACTCGATCGAGGTGTCGAGGGCCTTCTCGAGTTGGGCAACTCGAGGCGCAAGGTGGTGATGAGGGGCGTCGAAGCCGGGGTGGTGGGGGATGATGACCCGACGCGATGATATGGATAACGGGCGTTTTCGAGGACGAATTGGATCGTGGCGAGGATTGGAATCGTTGACAAAGGCAGAGAGGGCGATATAAGTCACAAGCGCGTGGAGACTCCGGTGATTAATGGCATCTAGCGCTGTCTCCCGCAGCTCGAGGTCGACTTTTAAACTTTTGGATATAGATCGAGAATTATTTTGCTACAGGTCCCACCAAGCGAAGCCCTTGGCTCGGCGCAATGTGACATTGCTCGGATTGATAGAGCTTGGGCGCTGAGTCATCAAGCACCGTCAAATGTAGCTAGATGCGAGTTCAATTCGATGCTGGGCGCTCAGCTCTGGCCCGCCTGCTCACAGAGCCTGACCCAGCCAATCCGTTAACACTTTCACAGGTACACAGGTACACAGGTATAGCTAGGAGCGAAATCGGTGTCCTCTGCGTCAACTCCAAAACCATGTTTCAGACGCACAGACCACCTTATACAGTACCTTATCTCAGAACGGCTATTTGTTTCCCCGAATCCCGAAACCTGAAATCTGGGATCGATAGTTCCAATTAGGCAGCAAGGCGGAAACCTGTCCGCGTTTTCCATTTTCGACTTCGCACCATCAGACCACCATCACAATGGTGCCAAACCTCACACTCTCTATTCACGATCTAGTTGACCAATCACTCATGGCGATCCGCCTCCGTACTACGTATTGCTTAGCTGGTGCAGAGACACTAGGTTCAAGGTAGCAGTGATTGTTTTCCAACGACGATGACTGATTCCCCTGTTTTACGTGACTTTACACCTGTCTAATTTATTCCACGTGACTATAAAGGGGCGGAATGATTGGCTCGCTGGCTACACAGGGACCAAGCCGCAAGCGGCTTGCCTAAGGGAGACTTCTAGGAACAAAGGGCGGGGTCGTCAAGGCTGAGTCCACCTTCGATTTCTTATTAAACTTCACTTGTCGTCCTGTTATTTGCAACCTCTTTCCGACTTTCGATCCCTGCTAAGTTAACTGTTTCGTTAATGATGGAACTGGGTACCCTAGAACAAAACAACAGCTCGTTGGGGTCTCTGTTGTCTTCTTTTGAGACGCATCTCCGAATCCACGACCATGGTACCACAAGATGTATTCCTATACATCCAACTTTAGATGCAAAGGGCCCCCAGACTTCTACGTACCGCCAAGGTCACCATATTCCTTGGTACCGCGTTATATCGGAAGACTCACCTGCTCCTAGACCTTGCGGCGATTTATATCCGAGGTATTGGCCGTTCGAGGATTACCCATGCATAAAGCTTATCAAAAGCCTCCTCAAGATTCACTGTGACGGGACATACAGGGACACGCCTTTTATATCCTTCACGCCGGACTTGCTGAGGGCGTTTAACCGGGCGATATATCTGGAGACGAATAAGAAGAAGAAGAACATCCACATTATAGTTATCGACCCCTGCAAATTGCCTGAGGGAAGATGGATCAACTGCAAGCAGTTACGGACCCATGTCTGCCTGGGGACCGATAATAAGGCTGATAATATGTTCAGGAGCGAGTACCTAGTCTTTGGGTGCGTCCCAGCCGCTTCGATAGAAGCGATGTGGTCTTGGGATCACCTTAAGGGGAGTACAATAGTCGATATCTTCCCGTGGATGCAGTCGGGCAGATTCAGGAGGCTTGAACAACTCAGGGATGAGATTAAAAAGGCGACTAAGCACCATAGTGACGACATGGCGTCCCGCGTCACAGACGACATCATTTCGGTACTTTCGGAGCTATGGAATTTCGAAGGCCAGATACCCATCAAGGGCGTTTGGTGGATGGCTGTGGCCATGCTTGGCTGGTGGTACGGGCATGTCGATTCCGACGATGTCACACAACTGCCTGAATTACTTAGAGAAAAAAAACTAGAATTAGTGTATAAGGGGCTTATTGGGGACGGGGACTTTGATAGATGGAAAGCCGATATGGAAGCGGAAGACCAGAGCGCATTTCAAGATTGGAAAGCACCCTTGCCCGGAGACCCTGCCGAATTCTTGCGGAAAATGGGGGCGTGGGGCTGTCTCTTCTTGTGTTGCAATGCTTGCAACGAAAAAAAGAGAACAAACAGTGAAATTGAGGAGGATCGGAAAAGTTGCGAACGTGACAAGTTAGTTTTGCATGATCGAGAATAGTTGGAGCAGAAGCTGGTTGGAATGAAAAGCTATATAGGTCGTTCGAGGTCTGCCTGTAGTATTTCAGGTCATGTCTTGTAGAGAATATGGAAAACCAAAGTCGCACTAGTGAGCCTTGTCGGCATTTTTCTTGGGAGGATAGCGGTTGTGGTGTGGCCGCGTTCCGCTTCCAAGGTTTGGGAAGGGAACTGACGTGAGAGAGGATTCCTCGGGGTCAGCTGCGGTTGACAGATGAAGCGAGACACATAGCGAGTCCGTGAAACCCTTGGCGGGAGGTAAGGGGGACGAGATGTACAGCTCCACGTGACGGGTTTGCAACATCCGCGTAGATGCTAGACCGGCTCCCTCTAGGACTACGGGGCGAGGGCCACCAACATCGACGGCCAGGTCCCAGTGCTTGCGAACCCTACAGCCTATACGTACAGTTATCGCGATGCAAGTCGCTGGATGGTACCGTGCTCCTGTCAAAGGCGCGGCAGCGTGACTTCGTGGGCAAGTGACGTCGCCGCCATTGACACCCCCAAGGTTCAAAGATGATACGTCACGTGTCACAGCGAATTTTCTTCCTAAGCCATGGGTCAAGCACCAACGAGGTACATGGTTTTGTCTCTGTGTAAACCCCATACTGTGTATCAGTAGGCGTATACTTGGAAGTACCTGCGATTCTCGCCATTTTCACCATTTTTACAAGGTAGCTCTAAGTAGTACTGGTCCGTGCTTAGAATTTTTCAAAGAGTGTAAACCGGAAACCGATTTCGCTCCTACCTGTACTTCGTACTGCGACGCATATTTAGCGAGGATCACTCCTTCATCCAAGTATAATCTCGATTCTCTCAACCGTATCTGCGTAGATTATGTCTGCCCGATTAGCTTTATCGTCAATCAATCGACTTCATGGTCGGCTTTCTGGGAGAGAAATCTCTCGGGTCTCTACTAATGCATACACTAGGCACCAATGCGACGTTTTCAAGCTTTCTTCCTTCCAGGCTGGAGCCCAAAATATCGTCTTGGCACTTCTAATCATGCCGCCTCGCCAGCGCTGCGCCACCCCCAGTCAGGTCATTGTGTCATTCTGCTCGTACTCCGTACTTCGTACCAAGTAGTTTCGAATCGAGTCCGGGGATTGATGCTGACGTTGACAATGAGCTAGTCCATTGAATCGCTCCAGTGCTTTAAATGTAGGCAACGTCATCGAACAGATCCTGATAGATCGATCAACATTGATCAATCCCAATCATCTCTGCCATTGTCGACTTGGAGCGCCGCTTGACCTGAACGCCACCCACCTTCGCTCAATATCTTTGGAACGGGGCGTTGATCTCCATAAAACTACTTCCATTCCTCGACACACTTCGTAGATCCCCAACATTCCACATCCAAAGTGTCCAACAGAGAGCGGCTAAGACGAAAGGACAATCACAATCTCCCAAATACCCGCGAATACTGCCAAAAGACTCAAAAAGAGTCAAAGCTCGTTCCTCCCATTCCTCTCGGTGCAACCACACAGAAGCTCCGAGCCCGTTCTCAACGGGAATTTGGAAACTGCCCATTTTTAGCGGAACAGGCACAAATCGCAACGGGACCCTGCCGCACCTTCCGCGTCCAATTGTCCTGTTCCTCGCCACGCACCCCACACCAAATGGACCACAACATGCAACATTGAACTGCTCATTTAACGCCTTGGACCGTCTTCGCCAAGGACTCAAGGCACACAAGAGCCAACACACCCTCGCACACACATCTTCTCTCTTCCATACCCAAACACCTCTTGCGAAGAGGACACGAAATCTCAACGCTACACAAACCGAGAGACCATCGAGCGATTGATACGAATACCCCAGCAAAAGCGATCAATTGAGCGAAACCGAAAATAGAAACAAAACATTTGAGACCGAAAACGTAGACGAGCCAGAACAACCGAAATCGGAAGCGAAACTCCTCCGTCGCCATGTTCTTCTTCTTCGTCTTCGGCGAACACACCTTTCGCAAGCCGGTCCCCGGCTACGAAAACATCGTCTGCCAATGCTACAACTGCGGTAACATGTCTGGTCGCGTGCTCAAGTCCAATCCGTGGTTCACCCTGTGCTGGATCGTGAGTCTTCTCTCTTCTTTTTGCATCTCTCCTTTTCTGCCGCGGCTCGTTCGGGATAGCTTCTTTCTATCTATTTTCTTGGATCGCATCGCTCAGGGCGTTAACATGGAATGCTAACCGTTGTTTTTATATTTTTTTAGCCCATCATTCCTCTCTCCATAAAGGGATACAAAGACGTTTCCTGCCACATTTGCAATTTCCGACAACCCCTCGAGAATAGGCCCGACGTTACGGCCATGGCGAACGGTCATGCTCCCCTTCCTCCTGGTCCCCCGGGTCCTCCGCATCAGGGATGGCATGGGGGTCCGGCCCAGGGGCCCGCGACGTATGCTTAAGGAAGAGTGCGGAGTAGCCGGGATCGTGGCGCGCGTCCCAGGCTAGTTGGCAGGATAGATCGGCGGTTCGGATATAGCAAGGAAGGGGTTGGGGACGGTTACGATATGACGAATACGGTTGGTTCGAGTGTTATTTCAGGGGCGGAATTTACGGGGAGCGAGAGATTGGGAGGAGGGAAGCAAATGAGGACTGGGATGTTTATTAGGGAGAATCGGCGTTCGGATGTGCTTTGGTGTGCGCTTCATATGGTTTGCAATCATACTTTCAAGTTCCGAGAGGATCTATGGTAATTATATCACCTTTTTGGTGATGTGTTCATGTTTTTGTTTGCTCAACCTTGGACCGCGGCCCCTGGAGTGCCAGAAAGGAAACGCGAGATGGCGACCACGGATCGAGACCATATCATCAAACATTCAGCATGGCTTGATGAGGTTCCCCTTTCAGATATCGCCACGACCGGTCAAATACTCTAAAGGGGTGCGTCTGTCCCCTCCGCGGTGCTAGTGCAAAGCTAAGTGGAAACTCACCCAACGCAAGAAGGGCCAAAAAAAAAAAAAAAAAAAAAAAAAAATGATCCACCAAAAAAAGAATTCCCACTTCTCCCTCCCCCAATTCCCAATTTCCCTTTCCCAAATCCCATTTCCCATTTCCCAATTTCCTCCACGCCTCATGGTTTGACCAGACCGGGTTCCACGTCGGCGCCTTGCGGAAGTAGTTTCAGTGCGTTTACCGCTCCACCACTTGAGCTTCCATGAGACGTTGAGAATCCAGACCCAAATTCTCATATATAACACATACACAGACAACCGCCAGCTCTCGGGAGGAAGGTGCGTCCCAAACGAATTTCCACAACTTGGAATTGCGATTTTGAACTTTATTGCCTATGCTGATACTGCGGTATGTTGGTTTAGATGCCTACCTCGTCACACTTCTGATGGCTAAGAACTTATCCATAGCAACATAGAACAACACCGCTCATATCAAAACAAGGCTTAGACCCCCCTCCTTCCTCCTCCTCCTCCTCTCCCAGACACACGCTCAAACACCCTTCTCAACATCATCCGAAATCTTCTTCTCCTCATTCACACCCATCCCCCTCACAGCTTGAATGGCATCCACCCCCGCCACCTCCATCGCCTCATCGTCCGAACCCGCATCGAAAGCCCTACCCATCTTCTCGGGTCCCAAAAACGTAAGGATGAGCAGATAGCCGTACACGCAGCCCATAAAGATACAAATAACCCTTCCGTACTCGTATCGGGTGTCTCCCTCGGGAGTAGGAGGCAGGGGGAATCGCTCGCCTAGACGAGCCTCGATGGTCGAGCTGGCCGAAGAGGCGAGGTTACCTAGTTGGTAGGACGTGCCGACGACGAAGGTTCGGATGGCGCCCGGGGAGAGTTCCATGAGATGGATGGGAATGACGCCCCATGCGCCCTGGACACAGAACTGCTCGAAAAAGGCAGCCGCTATGACGGCGTAGGAACTAACAAAAGTATAAGGATATAACAACGCGCCGCCGACGACGCAGCAAACCATAATAGTAAGTCGACGACCGAAGAACTGGCTCAGATACCCGACGGTCGTACCGCCACAGATGGCACCCAAGTTCGCAACAACCTGCGTAACGGTAACCATATCATGATTAAAACCAAACTGATTGCTCAGCATAACGGGATAAATGTCCTGACTACCATGCGACATGAAATTGAAACCCGCCATGAGGAGCACAAGGTAGATGAGCCCGAGCCAGTGGCGGCGCAGGGCGACTTTCCCCTGGCGGATGAAGGTCTGCGAGACGGAGGCGTTTTGGTTGATTTCGGCCTCGGCGCGCAGGCGCTGCTGGCTGATGTAGGCGTCGTTCTCGGGCAGGTAGTAGCGCGCTATCATGATGAGGACGGGGGGCACGGCGGCGAACCAGAAGAGGGGACGCCAGCCGTGGGGGGTGGTGTTGACGAGGGCGCGGGCGAAGACGACGCAGAGGAGGTAGCCGAGGGCGTACTTTGAGATGGGTCAGATTTTCATTCTTGAAGATGGCACATTTTTTTTAAGGATATATACATATATATATGTGTGTGTGTCATATCCTTGGGAACTTTTGACTTACACCTTGCTGAAGCATACCGCTTATCAGACCGCGAGCTTCGTCGGGACAATCCTCAAGAGCCGTGGCCGCGGCGTTTCCGTACAAACCACCCATGGCAATGCCGAAAATAGCTCGACATGCCAGGAATTGCTCAAAAGTGACGCAGAAACCAGTTCCCTAAAATAAAAAAGCGAATGTCAGTCGAGGTCGATATTATCTCTCATGTGTTGAGACGTCGTCCTTAGTGGGCTTGGCGCGGCGGAGAATTTATGCGCCAAGCCAGATGGCGTCGATGCAACCCCGGCGCGGACCGGGAGCGGAGCGGTCTTGGCTGAAGTTTGGAGACGCCATGTTTGGCGGAAGAGCTCCGATTAAGACGGATTGCCGTTGATTTCAAGGGGATATCAATTATTATAATAGGGATTGAGGAAATGAATGTTACAGAATGTTATGTCGAGATGATGATAAGATATGTGACGATGATGATATCTTATGAGACGTGGATTCTTGAAATGGAAACTAAAACTCGACTTACAAGCTCAATGACGACAAACAAAAAGTTGTTAACGATAAATGGCCACTTGCGACCGTAGCGATCGGAGAGAATACCGAAAATGATAGCGCCGACGGACCGGAACATGAGCACAAGAGTGATGGCCCAGGTGATGTCAGTCTTGGACCGGTGGAGGTCCTTGGCGAGGTCGGTGACGGTCAGAGAGACGGTGAAGAAGTCGAGGGCATCCCAGGTCTAGAGAGTAAAAGGAGTGTAAGACGAGACAGGAGCTATCCGAGAGTAAAAGATGCAAAGAAATTGAAGGAGTGATAACACGAGATGGAACCTACCCAGGCGGAGAGAGCAACGGCGAAAAAGGCCCATTGACGACCAGTCAACATGCGCAAGAGAGGAATAGGATTCGACACCTTGTGCATGGGCGGGCGCAAGGTGGTGACGCGAGTGCGAAGATACTCTCCCGCCGACATGCTGTAGCGCGATGCGGAATAATCGCCAACCTGTTCCCTGTTGCGGGTGCTGTCGGGTGAGGAAGAGCCATGGCGATGATTACTCTGGATTTTGGGGTCTATCGGGGAAGACATGGTGACGCGAGGGTAAAGGAGAGCATAGGAAGGGAAAGGGAAAGGTGGATCACTTTTTGGGGCGGCCCTCTGCACAGAGTTATGAGGGGAGGTGTGTGCGGGATGGGAAAGAGGAGTCAAGGGAGCACAAACATCGAGGGAGGGGAGAAGGGTATCTGGAGCCGGAGTTATATCGTCTTCATTAACCAGGGCGAGACATGCAGCTCCTGCAGCACAACACCAAAAACCTTGTACGAGTCATCCTCGTGAGATGGCAAGCGGCACGGAAGTAAAGCAAGTTTGTGTGTTGTTCTGTGTATAAGTCAGGAGGCTAAGGTAGGATTGGGGTTGGACAGAATACGCCAAATCTAGTGTCTCGAGGCTTCGTCTAGAACCTCTTCTGGAATGTATTCTTCACTGGTATCCACCTCCGTTCCTACCAAGCCCATTTGCCGTCCACGGGCAAAGTACGACGTAAAGTTGGGACACCGAGGAAGTGAGGGGAAGTCATGCGAGTGATGCCGAGTTGAATCCGGGGATCGGCCCTGACCTTTCTACAACTACCAAAAATAAGAGTTAAAATGGAACCTAGCAGCTTAGGCCCACCTTTGGATCTGATGATGCAGGATGACAATTGGATGCACTAAGTTGATGGACATGCCAGTTACGAGGTTCTTCTTTCATTCACGGGTAGAGCAGATGTGGAGATGTGGCAGATGCGGAGAAACCAGCGTGATCGGGGCCGGGGAGGACGGCAGAAAGAGGAAGGAGGGAAAGAAGATGCGCGGGGAGGGGAGTGATCATGGCGGACATGCGCAGATCATCTTGAATGTGGAGAGAGATGGACACAAAGAGGCAAATTGATTGAACGGGAGGATCTGGGTGCTGGGGGCAAGTGGGGTCCCGTCGCAACGCTTCAATGTTCAATGTTGCTTTCGAGAGTCGGAGTTAAACACCAAACCAAATTGCTTGATACATTCTGGCTCGTCGGCAGTACGATTGTCAAGGTTGCGTAGTGTTGCGTAGGGTAGGATTGATTAACACTAGCCACGAGGCTTGTGGGTATGTGGATGATGATGGTGGATCTAACTGCATCCATGAAGCCATCGCCATCTCCATCTCCATCTCCTAACGTGGGGTGTGCCCGATGTTCCTATACGGCCTGTATTTGGTGATTTTTGATCACATATTTGGTCCAGCGCCGGAGGGGACTTTTACCGTGGTTAGTCGCAGTCACAATCACGCACTTCGTCGAGGCTAGACATCCCAAAGGTGGGCTCTGTTGCATTCGTTGCATTCGGCACCTCCGTCACTCACTCACTCCCTCCCTCCTCGAGGATTTGATCAAGTCGATCGATCAACAAACTCCGGACGACCGCAGCCCCAAGAAGGCAAGTCCATTAGCCGCCACCACACCACACTGCGGAATCCAGTGCCGGGGAAGTACCGCCTTTTCTTACCCTTCCTTTGTTTTGCGGTAGGCTAGCTAGACCCTAAACATTTGACATCCGCTACCCTCCTGCACAATGCGAAAGCAATGGAGCCCCGTTGATAGCCATCGAGACTAGAAGCTAGGAACGAGAAGGTTGGGTTGGTAAAGACTGTCGAGTAGGCGCTAAGGTGGAAACGGCGGCGGCTAATGGCTTTAGTCCGCGAGTCTTTATAAAAAGCAGCCGTCGTTTAGTGTAAACAACTTGGTAGAGCCGGCCTGTGCCCTTGAATCTTCCTTGTGCTGTGCTCGTTGCCTCTGGCTATCGCCGGCCTCTGTTTTCTTCTGTTCAAAGTTCAAGGTCAATGTTGCTTTCTCTCGGATCTCGGATCGCCAAAAGTCTTGGTATCTATGAAGTACTTCGTACAGTCGCAAGTCCATCCAGGTACGAAGGACTTTTGGATACATTGACTACTTCGTACACTTCGTACACGGTCTAGACTGATCACATCAATCGATTATGAGGACACTTGATTCCATCTGTCCGAAGTCCAAATGTAATTTTGTATCATTGTATCATTGATGAAGGCCCCGGTTGGTCTGATACGTGACCGTGATTACTCCGTCTCGCTAGGATTAAACCTGTTGCTCCTTGCGACCATCTTCCTTCTGGCAGGAAATCGCTGCCTCTTTTTTTCCTTTTCTTTTTCGACCGTCGTTGTGATGTCACAGATGCCAAGATTTAAATCTGGCGGCTTGTTTTTCTTGGCCTTGAGCTGATTAAAATCAGCTTTTCTCTCGACTATCGAGCCACAGCTGCACTTGTACCATACCGTTTTCAGTTTAGAAAATCAGTGTGAAATAGTAATACATCATTCCGTGTACATTGTCATCGTGCATTTAGCCCTGCCATCTTGTGTACCTTCTCCGTGCGGTCAGTTGGAGCTAGTCCGTCTTGAACCGGGATCGACGTCTGGAAATTCCGTCACCAACGTTGAAGTCACCAGCCCACCACCACCACCCACTTTGATGCTTCCTTCCACCAAAGTCATCGACGCGGCCTCATCTGCTCGCGAATATCAATTGCGAATGGATCGCTAAATTTGCCTCGAGCCACTCTGCCGACTTACTTGTAATTCATCCCTCTGTCCCATACGGATCGATCTAGAGTTCCCAACTTGCATTGAATCTCCAATTCGCATTCGGTCTGGCTATTTTCGGCTTTTGCAACCTTCCTCCTAAACACCCGTCGCGGGGGACCCTGTCTGCTGCTGCTGCTGCTGCTGCTGCTGCTGCTGCTGGAGTTGCACTAGTTGGGTTTCCAAAGCTGTGGTCTTGTGGCCGGCCCTTCTATTGGTCTCCCATCCCGCTACTCCTGTGCGCTGGCGACCTTTTATTCCCATTTTTCATATCCCGCTGTAGCCACCGTAACACCCGTTCACAAGCAATGTCTTCGGGAAACCAGCCCGACTCGTCGGTATGTTTGCTCTTCTCTTACACTTCCAATCTTCGCTCTATTCCCGCTAACAACAACGTAGGCTTCGGCCCAACCGCCGACCCCAATGAAATCGACTCCCACTCCCCAGCGCCCTCCGAACCCTCGACATCACCACACCGTCCCGTCCACCCTTCCCATGCGCAACATCTCCCTCGACCGCATCCTCCAAGGCTCCTCCGACATCCCCTCCGGCCAACCACGCACCCCCCCTCCCCGTCCCCGCCCCCTCGCCAAGCATCAACAACAGCAACCCCAAGCCGCCCGCCGAGCCGCTGGACCCCCGCGCGGCCTACCGCATGCACTCTCCCGCACCGGCCAGCACATCCCCTCGCGTACCACCAAGCTAAGCGAGAAGCTCGTCCTGCTGCCCGAAGCCGAAGAGGATGGTTTGCTCGAGGATGAGGAGCTTTCTGAGGGCGCCATTAATCGGCGCCTGGCCGAGGTCGAGGACGGGCCCTTGAGGGACGAGGAGAGAGATGTGCTGAAGAAGAGGGGTGGTATCCGCGGCAAGAGTTACGCCGAGCGGCTACCCAAGGTTCAGAGGACGGAAAAGGTCTCGCGATTGACGGCGTATTGTACGGCCCAGTCATTCAAGATGAAGCAGACGGCCGAGTTTTTGAAGAACCATCATGAAGCGAGGACGAAGCTCTATGACGACTGTCTTTACGTTATCTACGCTCTGCCTTTGCTAGCCGGCGGCGATGGATATCGAGTCCGGAGCAGAGCCATTCTGAGAACCCCCGGGACCGGAAAGACGGTCGTCGACCTCGAAATCGAACGTAGTGAACAAGTCGCCCACGAGGGCTACTTCGACGAATACGCCTTCCAACAAAGCGAAGCCGGGCTCACACCCAACGGCAACGACGAAGCCTCCACCCTGCCCGACCCTATCAGCCGCCTCGTGACCGACGCCAAGAATTTCGCCGAGATGTTCGTCTTTTCCTACGGCGTCGTGGTGTTCTGGAACTTCACCGAGACCCAGGAGCGCGACATCCTCGCCGACCTCACCTTCGCCGAGAACGACACGGGTGTCGCACTCCTCACCCGCCCGCTCGACCAGGTCGACTACGAGACCGAGGAGTTCCACTTCGAGTACAGCCCGGACGCGAGGAGGCCGCGCATCTTTAACGATATGATTACGCTGCTGCCGCGGTTCGATCATATGATCAAGCTTACGATTAGCCATGCTATTGCGCAGAGTACAAAGTTGTGCTTTTTCGAGGAGAGGATGTCGGAGACGATGTTGGATGCGCAGCATGTCCCCAAGGATTTGGCGCTTACGGGGGAGCTGACGATGGGGAGGACGGAGATTGTGAAGATTTTGGGGCAGCTCTTTAAGAGTCGCGTAGATATTAATCTCTGTAAGTTTAAAAGGGCCCTCTTTACATGTTTCTTCTCCTCAATGCTAACCTCTCTCTGATTTCAGCCTCCAACATGCTCGACGTGCCCAACTTCTTCTGGGACGCCGAACCCACCCTCCACCCCCTCTACGTCGCCATCCGCGAATACCTCGAGATCGACCACCGCATCAAGGTCCTCAACGAGCGCTGCCGCGTCTTCCTCGACCTCGCCGAGATCCTGTCCGACTCCGTCGCCGACTCCAAGATGAGCCACATCACATGGATCATCATCATCCTCATCGCCGTCAGCATCGTCGTTACCGTCACCGAGGTTTTTCTCCGCTTCGCTATTCTGGAGAAGTCGAAGCGGGAGGGCGGGGCGGGGGGCACGAGTGTAAATTTGACGGGTGTCCGGGCGCTGGGTGTCGAGGGGGTAGATTTTGGACAAGGGCGTCCCACGGTGAAGGTCCTTGGGGCTGGGCAAGGTGACGAGAGGGAGAGGGCCATGGATGACGTGAGGAGGTTGTTGGATGGGATGACGGTCGAGGAAGTGAGGAGGTGGAGGGCTGTTTTGAGTGAGGAGCAGATGGAGGGTATTTGTGGCGGTTATCATTCCGAGTTGAAGGAGTTGTGAGAAAAAAGACAGCACAAGAGTCCAGGTTTCTTTTTGTTTCGGTTTTTGTTTTGTTCTTCTTTTCTTGAATAGAATCGGAGTTGTGGGAGAGCTTAGCATTAATAGCAGAAAACAGAATGGAGGGCCTCGCGGCCGAATGAATTTTCACTGAAGCACACCAGTTACTGAATCTGTAGACTTGATTCCTCGCGAGGCGGGTACGTTTGACCTTTTGAATTTTTGACTTCGAAACTCCATATTCACTACAAACAAGTGGACAATAACGATGATATACTTGGGAACTCCATAGATGCCAAACAAACAAACAAACACGAATACGCCCACGCTTTTTACAATAACTCCTCCCATCACCTCCCCTCGTCCGAGTACGCAGGTGATATAGTCCCGACATCTCAAACCTCTCCTTCCCATATAGACCCCATCATAATATACAATCCGCGCCCTTGTCCCGGTACAAAAGAAAAGTAACAAACGAGTATAAACCACCCAGCCTAAACATCGGCCTGCTCAAGAGTCTGAAGCGGCACATATCCCTCCTCCTTCCTCCTCTCCCTCCTCCTCACAACAACATCCTTAATCCACGCACCTACGCCCCACGACCCCCGTCTCCTCAACATCCCCTTGCCCGCAAGCGCATCATCCATAAACGAAGGCCTCTTCCAGAACTTGAGCAGCAGCGACGACACCACGACCGACACGCTACTACACGCCATGGCAGCACCCGAAGCCATCGGGTGCAAATGCAGACCAAGGGGCAAAAACATGCCCATGGCGAAGGGTAGACCGACGAGGTTGTACAGGCACGCCCACGCGAGGTTGAGCTTGATGCGTCGGAAGATATGTCGCGCTAGGTGCAGTGACGCGGGGATGTCCATGAGCTCCGTGGGGCGCATGAGCACGATGTCCGCGGCCTCCATGGCCACGTCCGTACCGCTGGCCATGGCGACGCCGACGTTGGCCGTCGCGAGGGCGGGGGAGTCGTTGATGCCGTCGCCGACCATGGCGACAACTTCGCCACGGTCTTGGATCTCCCTGATGATCTCCTGCTTCTGGTCGGGGGAGACACCGGCCCAGACGTTCTCCTCGGGGATGCCGACGACGCGTGCCACCGCTAGCGCCGTGGAGCGCTGGTCGCCGGTTACCATGGCCGTCTTGATGCCCATCCTATGGAGCACGTCGATGGTCGCCGCCGCGCCCTCCTTGATCGTGTCCGCCAGGCAGATGTAGCCGGCGTATTCGGAATTGATGGCGACGAAGATGTTGGTCGTGCCCGCCGAGGAGCCCTTGCCTTCTGACCCCACGAGCTCAGACGCATCGATGGCGTCCTGGGGAATCGCCACATTGTTCTCTCGCAAGAATTTGGCGTTGCCGACGAGCACCCTGAGCCGTGTCCGCTCGCCGCCACCGCTTATCGCGGGCTCGACCTCGGCGCCGATGCCCCTGCCCACGGCGGCCTTGAAATTGCCGACGCTGCCCTCAATCATACCATCGGACCCAACGCCGAGCTGCTCCTTAGCCGCCACGAGCACAGCTTTTCCGACGGGGTGCTCACTGCCCATCTCGGCAAGGCCTACGACGGCCCACCAGAGGCGCGTGTTGAGCGAACTGGAAGTCCAGGTCGGAGTTAGGCTAGCCTTGGCCACGCTCATTTTTCCGTACGTGATAGTTCCAGTCTTGTCGAGGACGACTTGGGTGATCTTGGTGGCGGTCTCCAGTGCAGCACCGCCCTTGACCAGGATGCCATTCTCGGCTCCGACGCCAGTGCCAACCATGACGGCTGTGGGCGTAGCCAAACCGAGGGCGAAGGGGCAGGCGAATACAATGACGGAAATGCACAGCTTGATGCAGACCATGACCTTGCCTCCACTCTCGTCCTTGAGGAAGATGGCTGGGGGGTTTGGTAGGACGTGGCTGAGAACCATCCACACAAAAAAGGTCAGGAAACCAAGGACAAGGATGCAGGGGACGAAGTAACCAGCAATCAGGTCAGCAAGTCGCTGGATGGGCGCCCGCGTGGTCTGCGCTTCCTGGACGAGCTTGACAATCTGGCTGAGCTGGGTGTCTCGGCCGGCGCGAGTAACTCGGAAATCAACACGGCCGTGGCCGTTGACCGTTCCTCCGATCATGACGCTACCCTTCTTCTTTTCTACTGGCATCGCCTCGCCGGTGACCATGCTCTCGTCGACGTAGGTTTCGCCTCGAACGAGAATGCCGTCCGCGGGAATCTTGTCACCGGGGCGAAGAATAACAATGTCACCGACCTGGATGAGCTCGGTAGGGATGACCTGCTCCTCCGACGCATTTGCCTCGGCGTTCGCGGCGCCCTTCTTCGTCTTCGTGTCTTCCTTGATGTCCACCTGATCCCACTGCTCGGCCGCCTTCTCCGCGGCGATGGGATCGGCGTAGATTGTGGCCATAGACGGTGCCAAAGACATCAACCGGGACAAAGCCTTGGACGTCTGGCCCTTGGCCCTATTCTCCAGGAATCTACCTAGAGTAACAAAAGTAATGAGCATGGTGCTCGTGTCGAAGAGAATGCTAGGCCGCGTGTGAGGCGGACTGCAGATGGACACCATCATGGCCAAGAGACTGAAGAAGAATGCGCATGAGGTGCCGAGAATGATGAGCACATCCATGGTGGGTGACCTGTGCTTAATGGATCTGTATGCAGAAACGTAGAATCGCTTTCCAATGCCAAACTGAACGGGTATCGTAAGAACAAGACAAATCAAATCGCCCAGGTAGAGACCATGGACTATAGCTATGCTGCCGAAATCTAAGGCAGGGATCATGGGTAGGACCATGCTTAAGAGGAAAACGGGAATGGCGAAGAAGAGGGAGGTCCTGAAAGCCATGCGCCATTCGTTAATCTCCCTCGTCTTTGCAAGAGATTCTAGCTGTGCATTGTTGTCCTCGTTATCTGCAACCAGGGCATCCAGCCCTTGCTTCGAAATAACTTCAACAACAGCACGGAGGCCGATCAAAGCGGGTTTGTGCACCACGGTCAGTCGCGAGGACGCAAGATTGACGGATGCCGAATAGACACCGGGTAGAGCGAGGAGGGTGTTTTCAAGAAGTGTTGCCTCGGAACTGTCGAGGTTGCCGTAGAGCTTCAGGTGAGCGGTTGAGTTTCCTCCCACATGGTCGTCGGATTGAGAAACGGTCGACAGGATAGTCGCCCCAAATCCTCGGTCCTCGATAATCTCCGCAATCTTGTCGGCGGGTAGTTTCGAAGTATCGTGGGTAATAACGGCCCGTTCTGCGAGAAGACTGATGTTGAAGCGCAGAACTCCATCGACGTCGGTGAAACCACCTTCCACAGCGGACGTGCAAGCACCACAGGTCATACCCTCGATGGCCACAGTGGTTGTTGCGACGGACTTCTCCTTCTCATTTTCCGCGCTACCCGTTTCATAAGTTGGTGTCATCTTCTCGCTGCTGATTATCGTGGCGTCGAATCCGCGCTCCTCAATCAAATCGACAATCTTCTCGGGGCTTAACAGCGACGAGTCGTGCTCGATGACGGCCCTCTCTGAGAGTAGAGAGATGTTGAAGTTCTTTACTCCAGGAACATCCTTGAAGCCAGCTTCAACGGACGACGTGCAAGCGCCGCAGGTCATGCCCTCAATCCCAACTGTCGTTGTGGTATACTCTCGATCGAACGGTGCGGAGCGGCGGGGAAGGAGGGGACTCGGGAGGTCGGTGGCGAGGACTTCGGCGTCGAACCCGCGATCTTCAACGATTTCTTGGATCTTCTCGGCGGAGATGGTCTGGGGGTCGTGCATGACGACGGCTCGCTCCATGACGAGACTGACGGAGACGCTGCCGACACCGGCGACGCCCTTGAAGCCCGACTCGACAGCAGACGTGCAAGCACCGCACCTACACACCGGAACGGATACCGTGAGCACACATCATGGACGTCGTAATGCGCAGTAGAAGGCAAAAAGGGAAACTCACGTCATGCCGCCTATCCTCAATGTGGTGGTGGCCATGTGCGGTACTGAGAGCGAGGTTCTCCGGATGTCAGTATCCCCGTCGGGGACCTTAATGTATGGAGGCGCCATTGCGATCTAGAAAAGCGCCGGAATTGGGAGTGTCCGGAGGATCGAGATCGAAAGGGAATACAGAAATCGAGGCAGAAAGCCAAATTTCCGGGCCTTTGTAGAAGAGTTGCCTCCCACCAAAGGTGAAACAAGGGGACCTTGGCTTTTAGGTGAAGGTTACCACAGACTACCGCCTCAACATACAAAGCATCTTTTTGCGACTCTCCGGTGGTAAAAAGGGAAAAAAAAAGTAACACGATGACAAGAATATAAACGTGATAATTGAGAGAGACGGCTGCTGCTCCAGGCAGGCCAGATGTGAGGAGGGAGGGTGGGAGGTTTTATGTATATCAATAGAAGCAAGACAAAGAGATACACAAGGGTAGCAATATGGATGAGAAAGTCTAGGAAAGTACTTGGGAAAAAGGGATTAATTGTGACATAAGAATCAGCCGGTTAGAGTAATGCCGAGCTTTATTTTAACTCCCCACGGCAGCAGTTCTAGCGCCGATATGCGACCACAGTCTGGAGGGTTTCTGCTGGTTTGGAACTTTGGAGAGAGAGAGGGAGAGAGTGGGAGACGGGAGGGATGGGAAAAGTCGATCGGGTAAAAGTGGTGGACAAGGTTGCGTCTGTTTTTGACGGGCGGAAAAGTACAAGTGAGGTAGTGAAGTACTGCAGATGGAGATGATAAATAGAGTCTCAATCAGTGTCCGGGATCTTCGGGGGGTGGAGGCGGGTGGCAGACAATTCGACAGGGGGGTCTGGAGAGGGTTTTAAGATCCAGCTCAACTGGCGGCACTTGACCAGGGAAAAACCCACCTTAATCCATGTCCAAGTACTAACAGTTGTGTACAATGCACTGCTCGACAACAAGTATGAGGTACATTAGGAGAAACTCCACCGATGGGTTTGATCAGATATCGTCAACTGCAGATGGCACCCCAAAGCCTTTGTAAAATCACTCCCGGATTCTCCGCTGATAGTAAGCAGCACACCGAACCATATCAATTGATCTCTATATCTCTGGCCTCCGGAAGCCATGACGCCCGACAACTAGGGAAGCGCTGGGTTTGGACAAGCAGTGGAATATCAGGACCCAACGTGATGGGACAATGCACTCGCATCCACTGTGTCCTTTTTCTCAATTGATCAATCGAAATCCCTGTTGCGGTCAAAACCAATGTTCCATGTTCCATCCATCTCCGAGCCCAAAGTTCAAATACCCTTGTCAATGGTGCGTTGGTGAGTAAGGACCCTGGTCACCCTGGCGAGCCCCACATCGACATTCTGGAGAAAATCTCCTGCACTTCAAAAGGTTGAAGCTCGAACTCCGTACACCCCGAAGTACCTTCGTACACGAATTAGTACTTCAAACCTGCTCAGTTAAGCGCCCCCAATGCCGGCCCACTCCGCATTCCACAATGGCTTGCGTGTCTGAATCGATTCACCAGCGCATTGCCAGTTTGTCCTGATGAGGCGTCGCCTTCATGTCTAGTTTAGTAAGCCCATCACCCCTAAACGATGTAACAAAACCCGAAGTCCACTTTGATGCTGGATCGATCTCGGTTCACTGACAAATTTCAGCAATATTGGATGGCAATGCCAGAGCCAGGTTAATATACGATTCGGGGAAAAGGTCTGCTGAAGATATCAAACTCATCTATCCCCAATACTGTTGTGCCGTCTTGACTGGTGGGCTAATATAGAGGTGCAGCGATACACCAATCGCCAAAGACAGCCCGTTTCGGCATCTCACCCGAATTTGCCCACCTACAAAGTAGTTTGTCCTTCGTACACTCCACCTCCTTGTAGTTTATGCATCAGATCGACGGCAATCCGCAAGTCCCATGTACGGAGTACACTCCAGAGATGTGTGCGATGATTATCAATGCTTGTAATTGCAGCTGCGCGTGACCCAATATTATTGTTCCTTCCTTTCTCTTTCTCCGCAACACCCTTCGCCGAAGTACCCTCATTATGTGGCCTCAGGGCTCTCAGGGTTCGAGAGAAATCACCGCACCCCCTGTGCTAGCTAAGATTTCAAGCTCCCAATGTCCGCGATCATACGCATCTTAGCTTGGTTTCCAGAATTTTTGTTTCAAGCTTGGCGCCCCACGGACTCCTCTTTCGAGGAAACCTCGCGAAACACTGCCTGAGAACAAGTCGCACTTGCGCTTCAGACTCAGGGCCAGCAACAGTGCGTGCGAGAGGAAACATGAGGCCGTTGGAAACACTAGGCACAATGTACATACTGTAAACGATCGTGCTCGCTACATACATCATCTTACACAGAAGGTAACGTTCAAGAGGATGAGAAAGGTAACCTCACTGGGGCGTAGTGCTTCATACCTTGACTTCCTTCCATTCACGGCATGGAGGGCGCATGAGTAATGGCCCGTTAAAAATAGCCTTTGCCTGGTGGCCGTGCTCCCTGCCCAGCACCAATCCCGTCGTCGTACTTACACCCCCTATCAGACATTCGGTACTGTACCAAGTTCATCAACTCTTCGAACACGCGCTGCGAGCTTCCTGTTCGCTCGAGCGTCTGCCATGGACATCTTGCCCCTTTCTCCTACCTCAGTCTATTCTAGTCAGGGCGGTGGCGATTTGAAAACAGCCGAGCGCTCGATGATGATCGACCTTGACGAACAAGTGGAAGTAATAGTCGCAAGAAGAACCAACTCTCAGGAAGGTTAGTGACAATGGCGACAGCGTGGGATGCGTCCGAGTCAGCTTCAATACCACCGAATTCCTCCCCTCAGGCATCGTGTCCATGCACCGTAATCCAAAGAACACCGTGGCCAGGCCGTGACAGAGCTCGACGCTTACATCAACCATGTCCCGCAGCCTGTAATCGTGAAGTGTAATCTGAGTAAGAACCAGCGATGAGGATCCTCCATGACGTGATATTCTAATATCATTCGCAAACCCCACGATTTGGGGGGAAATGCCCATCTTTTGCCTTTGCTGGCCCGTACAGGGGTTATTCGGTCGGACATTCCATGCGCTTTCTGCATTCCCGCCGATCTAGATTTCCCTCCTCAGCCTTAAGTCAACGTCCAGCGTCGTGTTAAGGTCCAGCTCGGCCAATTCTGGTGATGCAATCGCACTAGCTTGGGACCTAGCCGAGACCACCTGAAATCCCCTGTCACCAATTGACCAACCCCCACCACTAGCGCCCAGTGCTCTCGACTTACGCTAACCTACCCTCCACTACGAAGTAAGTCTACAGGCGCCCCTCCACTAACCGTCCAGCAAACGAGCCCCGCATCAAGACGACAGGCAACGAAGCCAAAGCCAGGACCAACCAACAGCAAGGAACACCACCACGAATAGCTCACGAACTCACCAAACACCATCATCACTATCACACACACCCACACCACCCACACACACACACAACTCGCATGTAGCGTAGCCTCACCGGCTTTCCGTCTGCCTGGCTTCAGCCTTGCACAGCGCCACTTTCTTCCAACCAGTTGCAACCGAAATCCCAACGCCTCTCACCTCCACAGATCAGCCAGACATCCCATCCCTTCACAATGGAGCAAACCAAAGCTCTTAACGCGCTCGAGGTATCTCATCTTCCCCATATCAGAAACCTAATAAGGCAAGCCCTCAAGCTCAAGGAATAATACTAACTATGACGACAAGCCGTTCTTGGCCCTCCACAAGACTGCCACCTCCCCCATCGCAGCCGCCGACCTCGTAACCCGCGCAACTTCGGCCCCGAACACCTACCTCTTCTCCGAACTCCTCCACACCCCCTCCATCCAATCTCTCGCCTCCTCCCCGACTCACGCCTCCTCCCTCGCCCTCCTCCAGATCTTCAGCTACGGCACCTACGCCGACTACCGCGCCGCCTCCCCGGCCCTCCCCAAGCTAAACGACTCCCAAACCCTCAAGCTCCGCCAGCTCTCCCTGCTCAGCCTCGCCCGCGACAGGCGGAACCTTACCTATGAGAAGCTGTCCGAGGCTCTGGGCCTCGACTCGACCCGCGATTTGGAGAACCTTGTCGTGACGGCCGTGTATGCGGGGCTTCTTGACGCTACGCTCGATCCGAATCGTCAGGTCGTGCAGGTGCATAGCGTCGCTCCCCTCAGGGACCTCGCGCCCGGAGCCGTGCCTCCCATGATGGAGAAGCTGTCCGCCTGGTCCGATAGGTGCACGTCGACCCTTACGGACCTAGAGGCCGAGATCCAGGCTATCAAAGACCAGGCCGCGAGACGCCAGTGGGACCAGGAGCTCAAAGAAAAGGAGACGCAGAGGCTCACGGCTCTGCTGAAGGAACCTACGTCGGAGAGTGCCGGGAAGAAATCTGCTGCTGCTGTGGTTGGGAAGGGGATGCGTTTTGGGAAGAGGGGTGCTGTGGATGATCATACCGAGGAGGCTATGGATGTCGATGTTGATGACGATGCGGGTAGTAAGGTTCGAGTTAGCAGGAGGAAACTCTGAACCTAGGTTTGGCCCGGAGCTCATTCACAGCGGCGAAGTCCGCCTGGGTCTGACCTTTTATGATGTTCCTGCCCCCCTCCCAAGGTGTTCTTCAACATCCCTAGCACACCACGACCCTATTTAATCTCACATCGAGGGAGTATGGAGTTTTCGGAGCCTAGAAGTATGAGATAAACGTCATGCATGATGGCCACAAAGCCCAGCATAGACTCGAAGTATTACGGGGGTTCCCAAATGCAGAGATACAATTTTATGCAGAGCTACCGTCTATCTTGAAAAAGAAAACCTCCAGATCCCTCTCTCTCCCGCCACCAGGCTTACGAAACATGAGATAGAGAGCCAGATATGATGAATGAAAGAAAAGAAAAAAAAGACAATATGCCATAACACCATAGTCGTACATTGCGTAAATTGTTTTGTTCAAAAGCAGAACCCTCTTGCGCCTATTGCTCCCTTTCTGGCCTGCAACAAAATACTGAACCTTCCTTTCCTAAACTTGTTGTCTCGAAATCCATTACCAGCCTCCTTTTCCTCCCCTTGGTATAATTCCATCTCGGGAGAATGGCAAAAAACTTCAGAAATGAAAAGAAACGCGCAAAAACTTGTGTGGTCATTAGCTCGTGAAATCCCGTCGTCGTTAACAAAGTCCAGCGACGCCGAACATGGAGAAGCGCAGACGCGTGATGCTAGGTTGAAAACCAAGCAATATGGCGCATCAATAGGGGTCGGTTCTCCCGTTAAAGTCGTTTGCCAGGGACAAGGATGAACAAAACGCAAAGGGCCGCGTCGATGAGGATAGTCACGGCCAAAACCATAATGGCACGCTTGGCAAGTAGTTTGCGGACGTAAGGCTCGCGGATTCTCGAGAAATTGAAAGGGGTGTACTCGCTGAGGCCAATAAGTGCTAGGATGGGATCCACCGAGTACTGGTAGGAGGCAAGACAGTAAACTCCAACCGTGAATGGAAGAATAAGCTATACAGCCAGGGTTAGTCTTTGCGTTACACGTAAACCGCTTTGATACAGGAGAGGGGTTCGTCCTACCCAGAGCCTAGTCTCCCGAGACCGATCAAGGAATATGAGAATGAAGCTAGTCCAGAAGGCGCCGAACATAGCAACAAGACCGAGAATCAGCCTCAAAATCAAAGTCGGGGGGATGAGGTTGCCAAGAGCCTTCATCCTAAGGAATCCGGGGAATGCATCTCGCTCCATCGCTTGGAAGACGTAGTCCTTAGCCACGTCAAACACTTCGGGGTCATCACGGCCTTGCTCTTCGATCGCAATGGTGATGTCGCGGGTAATAGAGTCGGGAAGCGTAATCTCTCGCTCGGCGCCGGGGAGGAGGAATGTGTAAAGGATCTTCTCGGCCGAGGCCCGAATATCCTGGCGGACGACGGCGTTGGCGGGGGAGTTTGAATCAGAGGTGGGGTCCAGAGGCGTATCGGCGGTTCGAGGGCTGTTTCGGTTGTTGCTGCCGTGCGGGGAGTCCTGAGCGCCTAGTTGATCTTCCCGGAGGAAAGCTGACATCTGGGCGTCCTGAGATCGTTCCTTTTCTGTCGCGTACATAGACGGGCCGGCGACGGGGTGGTTTAATTCACCAAGGGATTCGAGAATCGCCGACGAACGCTTGGAACCCGGCTCGGGAGTTCCGACGAGAACCGATCTTCGAAGTTCACGAACATAATGTCGACACAGAGACATATGTTGAGCGACATCGAGCCTGGTTCATTGTACGCTTAGCAACGCGCAAGTTCCTCACCCCATCCTACGACCCTGCACCGAAATGCCACCTACCAGAAGTCCAGGTAATCTACTGATCGCTGCTGGTCTCGCATATAAATGTAGAAGGAAAACAAGTCAACGGGCGGGAGCGTTCGACCGCTCAAGACTTCGAACAAAGTCGGAAGCCTATTGCGGTCGAGATCGGGCTGAGGTGATGGCGACGCCATTTTTTTTTTCGAATTGTCGGAGTTGCTTGACGAGGTCGGTTCGAGAGGAGAGGAGGGAGAGGCGGGAAATCGCTCGCTTTTCAATTATTGTTCCTGAAGTCGATGCTTTTTCCTTGGGCTGATTTCGACTAGTTCCGGTTGAGATGGGGCGACAATTAACGGTGGAGCGATCGGCTAGCGATGAATTGCCGGGTGAAAAGGCGAGGCCTAATTTTTCCGCGTCGAAACAAAAGAGAGAGAATAGAAATAAAATGAAGGAGGGAACTGGCAGGGACACGAAGGGTCACCTTGGTCGTCGTGGTCGATCACGCAGATGGAGGTCAAAGGTGATCCTGGTTTGGTCGTCGTCGAGGCGGACCCAAAAAGAGATTGGCGTTGCAAACCGAGCATCGAGCCAGGAACGGACACGCCAGTCTGAAATCTAAGTCAGGGGTTGCAGTGGAGGTCGTACAGTTCCATATCTCGTCCCATTCTGGTCTATCCCTACGAGAGTACGAGGGCCCTTTGTCTGTCCATTGCTGCCCATCTGAATGTGCCATCCACGTGATGGATAATGTTAGTCATCAGCTTGGTCTGGATTTTAATGCCAGGACGAAAGCCAGAATTAAGTACCGGGCACGGACCACCCACTTTCCCACCACCAAGCCAAGCACCGAAGTTGACTTCCCTTCTCCAAATCATCCCTTCCACAACCCTCAACACACGTGACGTAAAATTCTCGCCCACACATTTTCCAATCCCGACTCCATCCCACCCACGTTCGCCAATCTAAAAGTTCCTCCCAAGCCGAGACGTTGACGATAATCCAACAACAACCACAACCACCGAAGTCATGTCGTCCTCGAAGGGAAAGAAGACCCAGCAGCGTTCCGCTATTGCGGACGTTGTCGCCCGTGAATACACCATCCACCTACACAAGAGGGTTCGTTCGAATATCCCGGTCCCCTCGCGTCGTTGGCTCAAAGTCAACTGGCCGCCGAACCTCGAGGGAATCTATCCAGAAAAAAAAAAATGTGCTAACTCGACGCCTTCTTACTCTTCAGCTCCACGGCGTCACCTTCAAGAAGCGAGCTCCCCGAGCCATCAAGGAGATCCGAAAGTTTGCGCAGCTTCAGATGGTACGAACGATTTTGATACACCTATTCCTTTTCTTGCGTCGAACTCCAGCGCAGACCTTGGGGGAGGACGAGTTATATCTAACATGGGACGTTTCCAATCTATAGGGTACCGTCGATGTCCGTCTCGATCCTCAGCTCAACAAGAAGGTGTGGGAGTGCGGTGTCAAGGGTGTCCCCTACAGGCTCCGCGTAAGGATTTCCCGGAAACGAAACGACGAGGAGGGCGCGAAGGAGAAGCTCTACAGCTACGTGCAGGCCGTGAACGTCCAGAACCCTAAGGGCCTTCTCACCACCACGGTCGACGAGTAAAGGAAGATAAAATAAAGGAAGGAGGGTACAAGGGCGTGGAAAAGAAGGAGCCGGGGTTTCTCATTTTTGTGTTGTGGTCTTTTCTCTCTTCGGGATGTTTTACAGGCGGCATGGTACACAAATGGAGTTGCATGTTACGTCCAACGGCACTAAAATATGACCACGGAAGTTCAAGTCATGCGTCTTTCTTGTTCCGCGTCCCAATTTTGGTGTCGGTTTTACCCGCATGTTCGACGGATTCAACAACTGGATGTCTCCCCTGGCCACGGATACAACATCACAAACCCACCGATTCATGATGACCGGAATGGCCGAGGAGAGTATCGATCCCACAGCTCGGTACGGTTTATCAAGACGGTGCTGAAGATTGATGTAGAATTGGTATCATTATTCATGAAAAGGTGGTGGCTAATACCAAAGGCAAAGCCTGCTCCTTGTCATATCAACATGTGGGCGGCAAGTGCTAGCTCCTTTACCCTCTTCCCACATTCTGCGAGCCTCCCAATGCCCTGGCTCAAGAGGCAACCCAGAATACCGAACTGTAACAGACCGCAAACCCATAATGACTGTAAAAAACAAGAATGACCAGAGTCGCCAAACCAATGAAGAACCCAAGTACTAGTAATGATGTTACAATGGCCAGACTCCGGTCCCCCTTCGCTTGAACGCTATATGCTTTTTAGAAACTGTAAAGGCAGTTCCACAACCCATTGTTGCCGGTAACGCCAATGGTCGCCGCTCTACTTGCTTACTCGTCCTCAATATCGCGGTGCCGAGCGAGGACCTTTCGCTTGAACTCGGCGGGATCCTTGTCCCAAAGCTCAGCAGCTTCTCCATTGAGTGGGGAAGCACTATTTTTGGCAGAAACGAAAAAAAGTCAGCGAGAGAAGTCCTCCAAGTTCGTGTAAGTGGATCCGGTTAGAGAACTAAGCCTCAGAAGCCTCTGTAACTTACTTGTTGGGTTCTCCGAGCAGACTTTGCAGACTGAGGAGAACGGTCTGAATGTTGTAGGCGGCGGTCCACTTGTCCTTGAGAATATCCAAACAAATACGGCCAGAGAAGTCGAAGTTGGGGTGGTAGATGGGAGTCTTGAACAAGACGGTGGGGGGAGCATAGGGGTAGTTTGAGGGGAAGGCCATGGTGAGTTTAAGGGTGAGGCCGGCGTAGGGAGTGCCGTCGGGGCCCTCGATCGTCGCGGTCCAGGAGAGAAGGTTTCCGTCGGCAGAGGGGAAGGCGGAAATGCCCGGAGCAGGAGAGGTCATGAGGGTCATCAATTCGGTTTGCAGCCTGGCGAAGGGTCAATGGTCAGCGAACGTGGATGAGCCTAGAAGGAGCACAAGACTAAGGCAAATGCAATCTCTCTCTGTTGTGCAAGACCCAGGCGAATGGGAACAAGCATACCTCTTTGTGACACTACCAGAATCAGGCTTGCGAGGGGCGGAGGAAACAGTGTTTGTGTCCTGGCTTGAGAAATCCATGGTGACGAGGAATTGGCGCTTTGGTATTTGATTAAAAGACAATTGGTATTGCTGTCCAGGACGTATTAAGACAAACGGATTGTGGAAAATGGAACAATTGAAGGCAGGCAAGTAAAGTTGGGGAGGGTGGGAAAGAATTAAGGTATTTGAAGAATTATTAGGAGGTTGATGGCGTCGTCACTTTTGGTTTGCAACAATCCCCATTGTCGCCGTTGGAGGGGTGACGCGGGAAACGGTCTGGACCTCGAGAGCCTGGCGCTAGTACGCATGTACTCCGTATACTAGAAACGTCCAACAGCACGATTTCCACGTGACCCTACCAGTAACAGCGCGAGTCACGGAAGCTTGACACGCCAAACTTCACTGGGTCACAGCTCTCCTGCGCTCTGACATTTTGCCCCTCGTTCTGACCCAAGAGCTTGAGCTTCATCGAATCGATGTTAGTGGGGACGAGATTGCAATAAATGTCAACAACCACACTATCATCCACTGTTATGAAGCAATAAAACGACGGTAACAGCCCGAGGAATTCAATACCTTGCTCATCCCAGTAATGTCATCGATTGGTCCTAAGTGCATGCCTAGGAAACCAACTTCGATGACAGGGACTGGACATCAAGAGAGTGGAAACAAGACGGACCCAAGAGTCTGGTCCCCTGAAGATTGCGACCGCCAGTAATAGGGCCACACGGTTCTTCAAACTAGCAATTCCTTTGGCTCACCGGCCAAGCCTGGGATTTACTGGATCGGCACTCCATGTGCACAAGGGGCAGTGGAGAAGTTCTTCAGGCGCCTCGACCGTCGACCGAAAGCCAGATCTGAACCATTTGTTTGGCAGAGACTTAATCCTGGGTCTTTTGAACCATATACTTGCTGAAGCGCTTGCCTGCGGGGCGAGACGGGTAAGCCCGGTCTCATCGGGTACCTACAGTGTGATATCTCTTCCGGTTCTCCAAGTATCTGTGTAAGATGCGGATATCTTTCATGGCGAGGTTGGTTGCACGCGACAGAAATATCGCCAGCTGATGAAAGCTGCCCGCTTGGTCTGTGCTCAGGCTGTTGTCTTTAGGTGGGGTTTTGGTGTTTACTTCGCAGGGCGCGTTGTAATTTGTTGCTGATACAGCGCGAGACCCCCTAAATCGCACAAGCACACGCGCTTCATGAGCCTAGAGAGCCTAGCTACAGCGGCTTGCGAACTGGAAAAGCCCACATCAACATCGACCCCTCATCAGTAGCAACGTGAATTCTAGTCAACACATTCACGATCACTATCTCGACTTTTTCTTTGCCAAGGGTCCATGATGGTGTAGATTTCACTTCATTCTCCACCTTTAGCTCATACTCATAAACAGAAGAGCCCAGCGCGTCTCTCCTCGCGAAGTCTGGTGAATCGATTTTCGTCCCGCCTTGTTATCCCGCTTGGGCTTCGCATGCACACTGCATACATCAAATTTACCCAGGCACCATTGACTATCGACGGATACCAACTTCCGGCGGTACTACACACAACTACCGCTGCTTGAGTCTAGAAAGACTCGGTATTACCCAACATTGTTTAATTGGGCAAGTGGGGGAAAGAAATGGTAAGTAGTCGCATGTTGATTCTCGATCATCGAGTGATCGATATGTTCCTCTTCCATATCTGCATATAATCTTATTCTCGCCCTGGACCTGAACGGATATACACCGCCAGAGAGCTCCGGTCTCCCACTCACCACCCCCCATGGGGAAGAGTCATTCACATTTGATATGAATTCTTGTGCTTGTCATACTTCGATTCATCCATTCCTTACGTCTATTTGTACCTTGGTTCAGTCATCTTACATTCAGTTTATAGCTAACCAAATCTATCATGAATCAACAGTCACAACTTGCACCTCTACCGTCAGATCTCCCCTTCCGGATCGTATCCAAGACGATCGGAAGGGGTGCGTATGCTTCGTGAGTACTTAAATCCTTGTGCCCAGATTCCCGTCCTGGATATAAACCGAGCCAGCCAAGCCGGATCAAGAGAGAGCATGCGTCAAGCTTACACCAACATCTATCAGGATAAAAAAAGCCGTCCCCCTTGATCAACCAACCCCAGTATTTGCTGTCAAGTTAATACACAAGGAATATGCCATCAAGAGAGGCCGAATCTCCGAGAAACAGCTGAAGATGGAGATATCGCTACACTCCTACGTCGGTCAGCACCCAAACGTGATAGAATGGTTCGCCTCGGGCGACGACGCCACTTGGCAATGGATAGCCATGGAATTCGCCGAAGGTGGCGATCTCTTCGACAAGATCGAGGCCGACGTGGGCGTGCCCGAGGACATCGCCCAGGTCTACTTCCTCCAGCTCGTGAGCGGCGTCAGTTTCATCCACTCCAAAGGCGTGGCCCACAGGGACCTTAAACCGGAAAACATCCTTATGTCCGAGAGCGGAAGCTTGAAGATTGCAGACTTCGGCCTCGCCTGCATGTTTGCCCACAAGGGCCAGAGAAAGATGAGCTCCACTCTCTGCGGAAGCCCGCCTTACATTGCCCCCGAGATCCTCCTATGTAGGCGTGACGCACGCTCCACGACCGTGTCCAAGTACGATCCAGAATTGGCCGATATCTGGTCGTGCGGTGTGATTCTGTTCGTCTTGCTTGTGGGCAATACGCCCTGGGACGAACCCTCGGTCAACAGCTGGGAATTCCAGGAGTACAAGCGGACTGCGGGCCACAGCTCCGATCCTTTGTGGGAACGAGTTCCTGCCAATGCCATGTCTCTCTTGCGTGGTATGATGAACGTCGATACTCGAAGTCGATTCACCTTCCAGCGCATTCGCCAGCATCCCTGGTATACCCGCCCTAACCCTCACCTCACCTCCGACGGCCACATACTAGACCCGCTGCAGCTCGCCACACAGATGTTGGAGAATCTCCGCATCAATTTCAGCCAACAGCCCCCCGCCACCCAGTCCAGGTCCCAACAGCAGGACAGCAGCATGGACATCGACACTCCCGCCCAAGTGTCGTCAACGCAGCCCGAAGTACCCATCAGCGACACGGCCTGGGACTGGGAAAGGCCAGCCCTCCGCTCCATGGGCGCCGTCGCCGTATCCTCCACCCAACCCATCTCCCGCAACGACTTCCAGTCCACCACGACTACCGCCCACAACAACGCCTCCCGTGCCCTCCTCCTCGACACCCTGGCCATGGAACCCTCCATGAGCCAATTCTCCCAGCAACCCGGCATCCCCATGACCCTCACCCAGCAAGCCCGCCGCTTCCGGGACATCGTCCCCGCCGAAGCCCTCACCCGCTTCTTCTCCCACATCCCCCCCGCCCTCCTCGTCCAGATGCTCTCCGACGCCCTCCACCAGCTCAACATACCCTTGCCCCCCGTGCGCATGAACCCCGAGGCGTCTTCTTCTTCGTCGTCTGGCGCGATGGACGTTAACGTCGCCACCATCCGCGTCAAGGCGCTAGACAGTCGGCGGCAGAACTTGCATGGGGAGATTCAGATTGATAGGCAGAGGTTCTCGGAGGATTTGGAGCTCTTGGATGTGAGGTTTATCAAGGTTAAGGGAGATCCGTTGGAGTGGAGGAGGTTCTTCAAGAATGTCGTGTTGTTGTGTAAGGATGGCGTATATGTGCCGGAGGAGTAGGGGAGTTGACCCTTTGACCACGCATATAAAGGGTGGTATCTGATGAAACTGAGCAAAGGAAAAAGAAAAGGCGCGATGTTGTTTGGAGTAATGTGAGATTCTAGATCACCATATGTTTATAGACTGCCAAGTATATACGCACAGCTATGACGACGAGAAAAGAGTAACGAATAGATCAAATGAAACACATTCATATATCCTCATATCCCAATCAGTCCCATGAAAGTTATGTAGAAAATGATCATTGATATCTATTGAATCCGATAAAAAATGCATACAGATATTCTCATCCCTAAAGCAAATTACAGAACAGAACAAGCCATTTGTGCAAGATACAACAACATAGAAAAAAAGAACCCAACTCTTCACTCCTGTCCGGCCTCGCCATGATGCATAGATATATATACCGGATGAAACAGAAATTGCCCGTCCTTGGCCCCTGACACGCGGGGATTACTATAATCGGTGACGGTATAACTTTTAAGGTAAATCCTTTTTCGGTGTGGTGGTGTTTGGGAACGGGGTGTGTGATCGTGGTGGTAGGTCGTATCAAGGTCGGAAGGGGGGAGAAACAGGTTTAGGAAATCCGGGGGTGGGAAGTACTCGGGAAGGAAATTGGGTATGGTGTATATAAAAGAGATATGAAGAGAGGGAAAAAAAAAAAAAAAAGAAAAGAAAAAAGGAAAAACGCCAAATGCCATGAAACGGAAATGGACCCAGGAAACAAGTAGAAAGAGAGAAGAAAAAAGGAGATGGTCATCAATGTGCAAGACAGGCATCATATCCACCTCGCAGGCATACTCCCCCAGTCCCAGCATGGCCACAACTTCGAGAGAAAAAAGGAAATGCCCCTGATAAGACCAGATCTAGGCCCCATGCAGTCGATCTCATCCATGCCACCTGTCTTCAATGTATTCTTCCCATACCCCATCACGACGACCATTGTGAGAAAGTTCCTCGCGAACCTGATAGTAATGATACGGGTGGTGATAGAGGTGGTAGTGGTGATGATGGTGGTGGTGGTGATGCTTAACTTGCTCCCTCTGTGCCTGCGGCAGGCGGTGCGGTTGCAGCCTCAGCACGGCACATTGAGGTGTGCCATTATCGTTTCCGTAGCGAACATGTCTAGTCTCTCGCACATCCCCCTGTCGACTTTCGGAATAGTGATCGTTCCGTTGAGACGGATGTTGAGATTGTGGAGGAGGAGCTTGCTGTGGTGCCACACGTTGCGGTGATGGAGCTGGGGATGGCGATGGCTCCGCAGCCCGATAGCTCTCCAAATCAGCTTCCATCTCCTGTAACCGCAGATGCTCCGGCCCAGCCCAATGATCAATCATGGCGGCGATCTGGTGGAATCCCTCCGTATGGCCACCACAATGACGAGCCTTGAACCCGCAGACGATAAATAAGTAGCTATGAATGAGCTCATGCAAGAAAGTAGAAATCAGAAGGCGCCGGCTGAAATTCACACTCATGAGGATAGGCTTAGACAGCACTATGAGAGTCTCGTAGCCACCCAATTTCGACCGCCTAAACGCCGTGGTGCCTATGACCTGGCTCTGATACTGAGACGCCGACTCGTGGGACCAATCCCACGTCACGCGCTGCGAGAGCCGAGAGAAGAAGAATATCTCGTTCGCGGCGGAGAATATGCTCTCGAGGGCGGCGTTGTCGATGGGGAACTCGGCCTCCCTGTTCTTGGGGTTTATGAGGGTGCGCAGGATGCGTTCGTGCTGGGTGTTGCGGGAGCGGCGGCCGAAGCTGTCAAGGTGCTCCCTGACCAGGCGGGCAGCTTCGAGGTCTTCGAAGAGATTGGGGTCGTCTGCGTCGGTGACAGAAACGCAGGTCGCAGCGGGTGAAATGGAAAGTCCGGAGGCGGTTCGCTCCATAGAACAACCCCCAGTTCCTCCGACGACGACTACAGGCTTGGATGGGCCTGAGCCGGGGGCGCAATCAGAGGCATAATCAAAATCGGGTTCTACCTTCCGTACTTTCTCGATCTCGGGCACAGGCAAGGGGATAGATAACAGGACAGGAGCCGGTTCGGGTTCGGGAGTATCAAACTCCCGATCAGAGCTGGGATCGAGGAGTGGAGCAGAATGGCATGCCCGGACGAAGAAGGCGACCTCTCGGAAGGGTAGGGAATCAATTGAAGACGGCGACGGATCAATGAGTTTGTGCGAGACGCCGACAGGCCCGACAATCTTTGGACGCTTGTTGATCGGAGGCCAGTCGGGGTCAAAATCTGATCCATCGCTGTGGCTCACCCGACGTTTGCCGCCGACATAGTAGGGAGTATCGTGAGGGATATAGATCTCATCAGCGGGTGCTGGAGAGAATCCCCCGCCAGCCTCCCACAGAGCCATGGAACATGTCTTCTTCGGGTCGAGCTGGGAGAGAGAGAGAAGACCTGTGGAAAATGGCTAGATTTGGAGTTCTAGCGGGGCGCCCGAGTAGCAGATCGCATAACACTTTGGTTGGTGATTGTCGTGGTTCCCAGAAGGAAGGTGAGAAAAAAAAAAAAGCGTAAAGATCAGTGTCAAGCCCAGGATTAGGATCTCGGCATATTTTAATGTAAGTCAGCCTGGGCTGGAAAGGCTAGTTTTCCAATCCCTGCCCGAAAAGCAAGGGGGGTGTTGTCGCCAACAGAGGAGCGTGAGAAACCAGATTCGACAAAATTTCCGGGGGCGTCTGTCGAGTACGATGGCTTCTTTCTCTTGTAACACTATGTTGTAATAGTACTCCAGCTATGACTCTGCCATGCATGCACGTATTTTAGTAGTGCAGTAAGTAGATCGGTAGCAGCGCTAGGTTCTGTCTGGCCTGGGGGTTGGGGGATATGACGGCGGTGACAACCAAACTTCTTCGTCTTATGAGCCTAGGACGAACCCTGTCTCAGAGTGTTTCTGTCGGATGTCTTGTTCTCGTCTCGTTGTCGATGTGCCTCGATTCTGAACTGAACTTAGGATGAGATTGGCCATCACTCTCCCATCCGATAAATTTCGGCTCGCTTCCTGTGCGATAGAGTGTCGATGGAAGAGAAAGCCCTCACGAAACACGTGCCACCTCGACAAGAAACGGAAATGGAAATTTGGAAATGGATCTGATGCGAATCAAGAACAAGTGCAGGTGTGGTGGCAGCGTGGAGCACAAGGCGGAGAATGAACGGGACACTTGTTGCCCATAGTGTTCAAGTTTGTCGCCTCACTTGGCGAAAGATTCGCCAGCAATCCACGAATGCCGCCAACTGTGCCAATGCCAGCAGCGGAACAGGACGTCTACTTCGTAGTCATGCAGGAGGATGCATTGGCTCGCTGCGACTGGTTCATCCTGGCTCTTGGATCGGTGTCTTTCTTGCAAAATTGCTCCGCTTTCACTCTGCCCAGATAAATAAGAGAGAGAAGGGGAGGAAAATTGGCAACGCAGAGTGACGTGGTAATGGGACGTCGAAACACATCAGACTGGCAGAAGCTCAGACACACAAACAAGGAGGATACGCTGCGATGGACACATGGATGGACAGACTCAACGGACCTGGAAGATGGAAGATGGGATAAGCGACGGGGGGATATTTCGGGTTTAGTCCCTGATGTCTCGATAGAATCCTCTTTTTGGCCAACTTCTTCTACCCGAATGCTTCTCGGGAGTGAGCATTTCCTAGGATATCCGTCATGCCGCGAGCAGCTCGAATCCGTAGATTGGCTGTTGCAGAAGCAGGCAGATGCATGGAAACGCAAGCATGCTGCTAGTGGTCTGCGATGGGCGTCCGTCTGGTTCGTCGACGTGGGATCCAACATACGGCATTACAATCCATCGGTATCCCAAGCACGAGGGACGAGAGTCATTCTTGGCTGGAGCGTGGACTGGACTAGCACGCATTAGTCGTTAGAGTCGTCTGCAGGATTCATTGACCCCAAAGCCAGCACTTAAGCGGCCGAACGGCCAAGATCCATGCAGATTACTTGTGCTGGCAAATCAAGGAATATATTGACAATCAAGGTCTCATCTGGGACAAGCCAGGGATGTGGTGAGTAAATGGTTGTGTTTCGTACGATAAATTCAAGGGGAAAGCGAATATGAGAGCCTCGAAGCACCAAACGAAAATAAACTCAAGATGAAAAAGAGAAAGAAAAATAAGACTAAAAATGTATGCACGTTGTTGGCCAGAAGAGGCGATACCACAACTTCTGATCTGATGTGCGCCTCTCCGGTGTCACGCCTGTTTGGGCGCAAGTAGAACAACCGTTGATCTCCTCCAAAGTTCCTGCACAGGGCGGTTCGGGCACCCATACAATCCATTGGTGCCGACTGCCTCCCACCGCTGCCCTATTGGGTGCCTCGTTCTGTTCCCATTCATCGTGGCTTCTTTCCTGGCGGCCAAGCAAGAGTCCAAAAACAGCGATAGTTGCATATTGTCACCGACAGCTCTCGGCCTACTCTTCGGCCGCCTCGTCTCATGTTTCGGTGACCAAATTCCAAATTCTCCGAATGACCCGGCGTGAGGTCCGGCCCGTGAACAGCTCGGCGGGATCCGTTTTCAGATGCACGGTCAGGCAGGTCATCGCGGAGGACAGAACTACCCTCCTCTTCGAACTCTTCTTCCTTGGGGGAAGCCTGGACGAGTATTGCTGATACAAGATCCATAATTTTGAGATTAGCCAACACTAATAGCTATTTCCTCCAGTCAGTAAGGGAGCCCAACTAGCATCCTGGTGCCGGTAGCCGTTGCTGCGATTCTCCTAGAGTAAGCACGGGAGTCGCTATCCGTCCTCGTAGATCTCCGAATCCTTCTTGCGGAATCGAAGCAACAGGACACAAGAGGCAACCTCTGGATAATCAAGGGAAGGAACTCCCTCCCTCCCCTCTCCCCTCTCCCCTCTCCCCTCTCCCCTCTCCCCTTCCCCTTCCCCTTCCCCAGCTACAAGCCTCGTCGCCAGTCGCCCACGAAAGCTTTATATACCCCCCCAAGCCCCCAGGTTTCCAGCCGAGCAGCATTGCAGGGTGCACTGGGGGATGGCTTTCCCAAACTGCTCAATGGTTGTCAGTAAAAACTGCGGTTTTTCGTAGCCTCGGAATCGTCGAAGTTCGACGCCCGGGGGGAGCTTTTTACTTCCCCCCCCCCCCCTTCTCTTTTTCCACCAACCCATCTTCCTCAATTTCCACGCCAAGGATACGAGTCAAAGCAAATTTAGGGATCCCTCGATTAAGGATCAACGAAAAGGAGGATAGCACGAAAGATTCGTATAAAACTAAGTGTATTAACGGCAGAGGTCTAGGCCTTTGTCGTCACCTTGACTACTCTAAGCATACCATCGGCATACCCTGCCGCTACAAGGTTTGAGTCGTTGGAAAAGGCTGTGGCACAAACCAACCCAACCTCGAGTGTCCGCACCAGGCGCTGCGTTGAGACTTCCCAGATCTTGACGGAGCTGCTCACGGATAGAGCTACAAGCTTCGAGTCGTCCAAGAAGGCGACGAGGTTCGAGGTTTGCATAATCCACCCGTAGTTGGGAATGTGAGGGCCTTCCCCAAACGTGTAGACTAGCTGACCTGTATCAACAGCCCAAATCCTGATAGTCTCGTCGGCTGAGCTGGATGCCACAAGCTTCGAATCGCTCGAGAAGACCACGGATCTAACCCACTCTTCATGCTCGAGCGTGTGGATTACATAGCCTGTAGAAGCATACCAGATCTTGACAGTGCAATCGAAAGACCCCGAAGCCACGAGTTCAGAGTTTCCCGAGAATGCTACTGAAGCAACCGAACTGAGATGGCCCCTCAGAGTGCGGACCTCACGGCCTGCGGCGACATCCCAGATCCTGATAACGCCGTCGGATAACCCCAAAGCCACGAGCTTCGAATGGCCAGAGAAGGCCGCAGAGCCGACGGTGAATCTGCCGCGACCCGTAAGCGAGCTGGCGATACGGCCTCTGACGACATCCCATATCTTAATAGCGCCGTCATCTGATGCCGAAACCACGAGCCGCGAATCATTCGAGAAGGCAACGAAGGTAACTAAAGAGTCATAGGCGATAATCCGTTTGACCTCGCGACCTGTGGCGGCATCCCAGATCTTTAGAGTGCGGCCATAGGACCCAGACACCAGAAGCTCCGAGTCACTCGAGAAGGCAATCGTGTTCACAGAACCGCTATGACCCATAACACTCCAGAAATGGGGGGCCATATTGCGAGGAGCATCTCTAGACTTATCGGGCGAGTCTGGAGAAAAAGGCGGAGGGGGCGGGAACGGAAAGTGGCTTCCTACGTCGACGGCCATTTCATTCTCGGTAGGCGGGACCGGCTGGGTGTCGGGAACAGCAGTGATACTCCTAGCTGAGGGACCGGCTGTTTCCCTCTCATTTGTGCTCCACTGGGCGGACGGTAAAAATGAGAAATCTAGGCTCTGCTCTCCGACGTTGCTGGTGTGTAGGTTCGGGTTAGATTCGGACAGTCGAGTCATGAGCCATTGATGCTCAAGTGCCTGTTGGGAGGTCGGTCGAAGATGCGGGGATGCTGCCATCGTCTTTTGCACAAAGTCCGCGCAGTCAGCAGGTTCCAACCCCATAGCCGGAAAAGAAGAGCATTTAACAACATAGTTGAATAGCTGCCGTGGGTCGGGGAAAGGAAGCCGACCTGTCACCATCCGGAAGGCGATGACACCTACGGACCATATATCCACCGCCAAGGTGAAGGTATCCGTGTCAGCATCGGCCCCGTCGTCCATTGGAAATATCCGCTTTATCTCCGGGGCCATGTAAGGCTCGGTGCCAATATGCGTCCGGAGAGCCGTAGATTCAATTCTCTTGCTGATACCGAAGTCCGAGATCTTAATCCACCAGTCCGGACCTTTCTTCAGCACGAGAATATTCTTTATACGTCGTAGTTATACGCCAATGAAACTACTATAAGCTAGAAACTGTTACTTACTCCCGGTTTGAGATCCCGGTGGGCGAACTGATTTTCGTGCATGAACACTAAGCCTTCGAGCAACTGTCGAGTGATATCGCGCGCCTCGTTCGTAGGCAGCGGAGATTCGAGATAGCGCTGTAAGTCGCCATCTGGGAGATACCCCATAGTGATGAAGACGGCCCTATCAGTCTCGTACCAGCCGTAAGACGTAACGAAGAAGTCTCGATACTATCATGTCTAGTTAGGCGGTTTCGTTATGAACACCTCTAGGGCAAATGCGTATGTCCTACGCGCTTCTGGGAAAACTTGGCGATCGCTTCAAGCTCCCTGTAGTAGTAGTTCGGCGGAAGGGACGAAACCGACGGGCCCTTTCGCAGTTCCTTCACGGCACGGACTTGGCCAGACCCCAACCCGGAAGTGCATTCCTCAAGCCACACAACGCCATACCCTCCCCTTCCGAGCTCAGCTTTCAATTGCCAATGCTGCTCGACCCGAGTGCGCCGCTGTCCCATGCGTGGGTTCGAGACATAGTCGATCTGAATGACATGATCACCAGAGGACTGGATTTCAAGCTTTGAGTCGCGAACGAGATCGGACAGCTGGGTCTGCATTCTCGAACTTGTTCTAACTCAATGAGCCCAATGGATTTTAGCTCGGCGGGGAGAGAACGTTATTCTCCATTGCTGGAAATAAGGCGGCTTCAGAGCCAACAAGCATAGGTTCTCGACGAACCATTTCTCGTCGGGCGGCAGGCTGTGAGGCTGTGCTGATTCCAGGCTGCAAGTTGCAAGTTCCAACGAGACACGATCACAAGTAACTTATGCTGGAGCAAGTCGTGTTTGTGTCGTTCCTTCCCTGTCCCTCAGCTATCACGAGCGTGGCGCAGGGAAGTAGGGACAGGGAAGGAACAACATGAACACCAATTGATAGAGTCGGAAATGCACTTCAAACCTACTCCATTTCTGTCCCTTGAATTGTTTATGAAGGGACTATCTGACTTCGCCCATTTTTTTCCCAAATCGACCGATTTGTTTTTTGAGTCATCGGCATTCAAGTTATTTAAGTTATTCGAGCGCGATAGAGTCATCCGGACAGTGAGGGACGAACTAGGCTACGTCACGAGAGGAGGTTCTCGTCGCCAACCAAACTCGAGGTTTATTTGATAATTTCGTTTTATAAAGCCAGTTGTCCATCACTCCACGCCTCCAAGAGAAACCATCCCAACATTATTCTTCACAAAGAAACTCACGAAGCCTTCCATCGAGCAAACGCCGGAATGGGGAAGAAAACCAAGCTCCCAAGCGGGAAATCGTCCCTCGTGACAGACAGGTCCGTCTTCTTCTGGCGAGAGACCGACGCGGATTACGGGTTCCTTTCGCAGTGGTACTACTGCCCGTTTACCGACCCCGACGATGAATCAATCGTGTATCCCACAGCAGAGCAGTAAGTAACTTCCTCTAGACCGTCCTCTCTACGCAAAGTCTCGGAAGCGCTGATAGGGCCGGTGTAAAGCTATATGATGTACAAAAAAGCCGTACTCTTCAAAGATGTCGAAACGGCGCACGAGATTCTACGAGCCAACACTCCTAGAGCCGCTCGTTCCCTCGGCCGTAAGGTCACGGGTTTTTCGGACGAGGTTTGGAATGCGAACAGGCTACGGATCGTAACGGAGGCGAGCATGGCAAAGTTCACTCACGCCGTCACTGAAGAGGGATTCACGAGAGGAAACGGCGAGGGAACGGAGGATTTGCCATCTCTCTCTGGGGCAGACGTGCCTCTACCCAAGGGGGCAAGGGTTGTGGGAAGATTGAAGGCTGCTCTCTTGGAAACTGGGGACAGAGAGCTTGTTGAAGCGAGCCCGAGAGACAAGATTTGGGGTATTGGTTTCGGCGCTGCGAATGCGTCGTCTGAAAGGTCGAGATGGGGGTTGAATCTCCTAGGCCAGGCACTCATGGAGGCTCGAAAAAGGCTGAGGGACGAAGCAGAGGGAAAACCGGCGCAGAAACCATGAGATCATCATTGTTTTTCCCCTTTACCTACCAGTCGCTTTTTTAAGTTAATTCTTTCCCTTGTCTGGGAAGCGAACTTCTAGTTTGCGGCAGAATTCGAGCTGCTCCCTCACCAGCCCTACCTTTCCTTTTTTATTGTTCGGCGTTCATCAAATATCAGTACCTCCCTTCCCGGGATGTGTGTGTGCAATCCAGAGCAGGCCGTGGTCCAATTCCCGAGTTTGATAATTCTGGCTCCGGACCCGGACCGGATTGATCAGGAGTCCCACTTCGGGCAGCTCAGTCCCTTTGTCGTCTCGCACATCAAGATTTACACATTCTCAAGAAAGAAGGCGCAATTATGGAAGGATATTACCTTTTTTTTCCCCCTCTACCCCATGATATTCGAGAACAGCCTCGCAATAGCTCCCCTAAGACTTGAAAGAAAAAAAAATAAATAAAAAAAGGCTTACAAGTCACCCAGAAATTACGAGTAAATGGATTCCACGTCTCTATGTGAAGGCTCATAATTGAAAATCATGGTACTTGTTGTTTTGGCTTTCCGGATGCACTAACAAGTGAGCGGAACTTAGCTCTTCAGATATATCACCCTTCCAAGTTTTCACCATCTCCAAACATTTCCGCAGACCATTTCCGATGTCTCCAGCCATCCAGTTATCATACACATTTCGCACAAGGTCTCTTTTAGCAGGTCGCGTCACCGCCACCGGGAGCAGTGTATGTAGTAGGAACAGGGTCTGTTAAAGACAAGTAAGTCCGGGATTCACAATCAACAGAGCCTCGGGAGACGCTCATAAGAGAAATCCTCTCAGAGCATTCAGACTTGACTTACAATAAATGTTAATCATGAGACCAGGGTCCGTCGGCACATACGATCCCGGGAACGAAAGCATCTGCGGCGCCTTAATCGACCCAGAACCGCCGGTAACATTAAGCTGCGCACACGAGATATAAAGCTGAGCCCCACCAGCGCTACCCGCGCTGTGCAGGGCAATGTGCTCAATACGGAGTAGGTACTCGCCATCCTCGAGGCACGAGGGAAGCTTAATAGGGACGGATTGAAGACCAGAAGTGGGCCAGGTGAGGCCGGCGGGGGAGATATTGGGACCGTCGTGGGCAATCTTGAACCATACGGCGCCCTTTCCGTCGAAGTCGTTGATGGAGGTTCCGGCCGGGGCTTTGGCCATGTAGACGTTGAGAGCGCCCGGGTGGGAAATGCTGGCGCGGGCGTTGAAGTTGACGGTTGATCCGGCCTTGACGGCCATGGTCTTGGTGGTGGCGGCGTTCATGGTAGTTTGGTAGCACTTGAAGAGTGAAAGACTGTTAGTTAAAAGCAAGACGCACTGACATCCCCAAGATGCCTCCTGCAAGAAGGAATCATAAATTAGAGATCAGAGAGGAAACATACAGTCATCTCAGGGCTCTGAACGTTGGTGACAGGACCATTGCTCTGGCTATATGGAAACGTTAGAACCTGACCCTCGTAGCCTTGATCTGGGCCGTGGTGGCATCACTAAGACTCACAAGTTGTTGGTTTTGCGCACATATTCCCAATCTTGAGTCTTCTGTCCGTCGTAGCTAATAGAAGGGAAGACGTCTGCGGGTGAGACAATCAGTGATCCATAGAGTCTCACGATAAGCCCTTTATATATCTGGGTTCCTAATTTTTACTTACAATGGGCGCTGGCGGCCGTGGCCAGGAGGAAAGAAGCAAGGCAGAACTTCATTTTCAATGACTGCTTTGTCTCGGGACTGGCTATCACCAACTTCGAGAAATGTAATAGATAACTCGACGAACGTAGCCGGCAACAGGAGATAATAGGAAGGATCTCTTCGACGCAGGAAGTCAGTTAGATGGAAGCAGCACAAAATAGAGGATATTCAGCGGTTTAAAAGTCCCGGGAGTGGTCCCCCTCCCAACGTACTAAAAACCATCCCAAGTTAATCTCTCATTCCCCTTTCCCGGAGGGCCAAGGACGACGAGTTCATAACTCGAGAGTCCAAGAGGATCATCAATACCAATAGAAATCTGCATGGCCATGTATTACAGGTGCATTCCTGCTTAAATGAAGTCGTCCTATATAATCGGAAGGCCGTCTGCCGGTAAATAAGCCAACAGCCGGCCGTCCGGATAAAGGCGGACTGTCTGTCTACCCAAGAAACGTCGAAGGCTTGACACCCATAAATGAATTCTAAATGAAAGATCCACTTACATTAGATTTCTCTTCCCGCCCACATGATCTGGCGTCGATATGAAAAAATATGATAAGAGGGTGGGTGCCCACGCCCTGCTCCCCCCCATCGATGCCATCCATCATGTCGCTTCCCGGGGTTGAAGAGCCGGATATGCACACTCTACCAGGCTCATTGCAATTACTCTATCCAACGCCCTCTGTTCATTCTAGAATCTCCCTTTACTTGTTACATGCCCAGCTTCAGGAAGGCACCAGTGCCTGATGCTGATCTGTACCCCAGGACGGGTATTATTCCGGATAGATGTAGTCTGCTTGCGGCTCAGTGCGTGTTCCAAGCACTTCATATAGGCAATATCCAAGTGGGCGCAACGCCTGTCCTGGCTGTCCATGCTTTGTACTTCGTGCTGCACCGGAAAAGACGGCTGGCAGGCATTATGCCCTTGCAAAGCCGCCTCCAAGAAAATCAATATAGCCAGGCACGAGGTTCAGTAGCAACCATTCTTAGTTTGCCGTCATATAATACACCAAGGACCAGCATAGGAAAACCTGGTTTGCGGCATTGAAGGTGCACAGCTTTCCCGTCAACTAGAGATTGAAGCACAACTTGGGCGATATAGCTGTCCATGCAGGGTGGTAGCGTGAGATGAGAACGAGGAAGGGCATGTCTCAGGATTATTGAAGATTGAAGGCTACAAACTTGAACGACGTGCGCGGGCGACGCTGGGATAGGAGTATGATGAGGGATGATAAGTGAATTCATGCCATAGAATGTTGGATTCCTGTTCATCGCCAAATGTAGCGATGAATATACGGCCAAGGCCTTCTATGCGATGCTGGCAGATGGATGAGAGTGGCGTGAAATTTCATCGGTTCCCAGCGCTCATAGGATGCCTTTTATCCCCTGTCCACTATGCAGACTCTAGGGCAAGCGCTTCCGCTTCTGGACTCAAGATCCTGACCATATTGGTATTGCCTGCTCCGGGCCTCCAGCCTTGAACAACGACCACGGAGTCGGTCTCATACAGGATATTCATTTTTTGAGCTTCCGTGATGGCCCACTTAATCCGCAAATCAGCATCGGTCTTCCATTTGTCTTCGATGGGGCTGAGGGACGGATTCGGATAGATGAACGGGAGGATACCCCTGCTGAGGTGGCTATACCGCGACGCGGGAGGGTCTCTGGTGACCATCAGGATGGGACAGTTGGGTCTATACTTGGAAATAAGTCGGGCCGTCTCACCGGTCGCCGACAAGACGATAATGGCCCCGGCATTGACATCCAGTGACGTGCGGACGGCGTTCATTGCGGAAGACTCCTCGGGGCTGACAGGGCGCCTAACCAAGTTGCACATCTCCTCAAAGTGCAACACATACTGGATGGTGTTCTCCGCGATTTGGCAGGTCTCGTGCATCTCTCGGACCGCGTCGACGGGGTAGTCGCCCTTGGCCGTTTCTCCGGAGAGCATCACGCAGTCAGCACCATCAATAATGGCGTTTCCCACGTCCGAGATTTCGGCTCTAGTCGGTCTTGGGTTCTTGATCATTGATTCAAGCATCTGCGTGGCACAGATGACAGGCTTCCCAGCTATATTGCATAGGCTGATGATTTTCTTCTGTGCAACAAAAACCTAAACTCTGGATGTCAGCACCTACGTCAAGACACCCTCTAGCCTTGTAAATAGAGAATAGAATTACCTCTCCATGTGGGATTTCGATTCCCAAGTCTCCACGAGCGACCATGACTCCATCAGCTGCGGCAATGATTTCCTCGCAGGCGTTTAATCCTTGTCGGTTTTCAATCTTGGCGATGATATGAATGTGCTTCCCTTCTTCACCGAGGGCGTCCCTAATCTGGTGGATGTCGTCTGCCCCGCGTATAAACGAGGCGAATATCATGTCGACTTTTTGCTCAACGCCGAAACGCAAATCCTCCTTATCCTTTTCTGATAAGGCTGGTAGGTCGACGACGGTATTCGGAAGGTTGACACCCTTCCGAGAGCTGAGAATGCCCCCATTCCGGGTCCTAACACGAAGGGTCTTCTCGTCCACAATCTCCAGGACTTCGAGCGCAAGGGCACCGTCATCTATGAAGATGATGCGGCCAGGTTCAATGACTTTTGAAATATTTTGATAGTCGACATAACTGGGGGAGAGAGGATTAGAAGGCCAACTCAACTAATGTTCCGAAATTTCCCAGCCTAACCACAGGTTTCACGGGCAGATTCGATCTTGCTGAATACTTACATGTAGTCTGAGGTGCAACGGTGACTGTACTTTTCGTCGGTTGTCACAGTCAAGACCTTGCCGGTAGAGATTGGGATATCTGCATCGCCGATTGTCACGCCCGTCCTAATCTCGGGCCCCTTGGTATCTAAAGCGATTGCCAAGGGTCGTCCTGCCTCTATCCTCTGAAGCTCTCGCACATTGTCGATGACAGACTTGTGAAATTCATGGTGACCGTGAGAGAAGTTGAGACGAACCACGTTGAGGCCCGCAGCCCTGAGAGCCTGAAGCGTCTCTACAGAATTGGTCCGGGGGCCAATGGTACCGACGATGCCGGTCCTGCGAAAGTTCTTGGGGTGGCGGAACGTAGGATCCAGAGAGGCGAGCCATCGAATTTTGCCCACGGTATCTAGTCGAAAGTAGTCGATTGAACTGGGCGTGTAAGCCATGATGGCAAATGGATTTCCTGGTGTGCTGATTTCAATTCTAAGATGACGAGAACTCAAGTGTGGTCACTCGATTTGCGGCAAAGGACGCTCAAGGAACATCGCCTGAAGAAACGTCGACTCAGTAGTACGAGAAAGTAGGCATCGTCAGATAAAACGCGACGTTGGAATCCATCTTGATCAATTGTAGCAATTAATGTCCAGTCATCGTCGCAACTTCCACCACATGCACGAGATTGCCTGATGAGGTCAGGGCCGTCCTTGGCCGTCCTTGGACTTCAGGCAGAACTATTTGACTACTTCGTACACAGCAAAGATCTTGGTATCTATCGTCGCGAAGACGGGGCTCTCTTGAAATGCCATGTCGCACTATTTGGTCTCGCCATGTCGAACAGAAGACACTGTCCAGGCCTGCAGTTGAGCAAACCAGCTTCCACATCTTCCCCAAATCTCAGGTGCCTGCCTAGAATGGAAGTAACCTCGCCATCCAATCGCGGGGTAATAATAATCGATGAGCCATAAAATTCGGCGACACCAGGAAAACCACGGCTCACTGCATCGTGACATCGGAGGACATTGGAGGAGCGAAGTGGGTCCTGTCATGACTAAGCCAAGATCCCCTCCGCATGGTCCAAGTCTCCTGACGCTTTGTCCCAATTGCGCGCGACGACTTACGAAGTACGAGAGCCGAGCCGACGTGAACGTTCGAACAGGCCTCATACTTAGCGCACCCATTGATCTCGTCCTCTTCGCGAACACAACACAACCAACCCCCCGAGACTACGCTTTCCGGCATCTTTCCCTACAAATATCTACCTACGTCCTTCCGTTACCGTCAACATGGTGGTATGTATCTAGCCCTCACCGCCTCTCCCCTTTCCTCGCACCGCGAGCCTCGAGAATTGCGTCACCTCGAGGGCTCCCGGCTTTCTAACTCTCGTCTGCCATGCCTTTACGCATGTGTCCTGGAATCTGGCTTGCTCCGGTTCTAAAATTTATGGCTTTGTCCAGTTTCTGCTCCTCAACATACTGACGTTTGGCTTATTTTCGAAGCTTGGACGCCTTACCCACTATGCCTTTGATGCCGTGCTATGTAAGTCCACTCCCAGGCTAGCCGCCTTATTCCGTTGCCCTTGCTGAACTTGACATCTAACGCTTGGCTCTGCAGTTTCGGCTTTCCTCGCCGGCATGAAGCGCTCGACCGGCTTAACGTGAGTACAACGTGACCCGTCCTGCTTCCCCCTACTGGAGACGGCCTCCCCGAACTCTTCCCTAACACCGTCTCCCGATCCCGGGGATCCCTAGGCCTAGTTTCAAGACGGATAAAGCTTCCGGTGAGAATAAAGAAGTGGCAAAGTGGATCGACAAATACCTCGGTGTTGGCGAGTGGGTCATGGACCAGGGCATCGCCGTCGCAGCCTCGAGCGGCTGGTTCGAGCGGACACGATGATTTTGAAACGAACTTTGGGGTAGTTTATCGCAACATGGGAAAGGCGTTATGAAGATCTCACCACGGACAACGACGACAACCGAGCCGGATCATGCAAGAATACCCCTGGCTATGGACGATGCCATATGGTTGTTTCCGCCTTCACGTAGTATCTGACTATTCATCTTCTAAACTCGGGTCTGGACTGTTTGTTCCGAAAACAACGGCGTTTTGGGAGGGTTTTAGCGGATAATCCCGCCATGCTTGGAGCTGTACATATCCTTATATCGAGCCGCTTTGGAGGCTTCGGCTTCTACCTACCTGAAGCTCGCGACGGCCCCTACTTTCTCCCTCAGTTGAACTGCATGTTGTTTAGACGAGCTGGGAAATCATTTCTTAGAATCAAGTTATCTTCGAACATGCCTTCCTTGTCGTGTTGCTTGCCATGGGTGTTGTTGTTGTTGTTACGAACTAGCCGAATGGGGCGGTTTATTTTGCCAGCGCATATCTATCGCTGCCCTACAAGTAAATTGAAATGCTACCCAAAGCTCCAACTATGCCGCTCTAAATGATGTTTATTGGTTTACGTTTGGTGAAACACGATGACCTCAAGAGTTCCCTCGTCATTCAAGACTAGCCGTCGCTAATATACACTAATATCTTCAAGGCTACACTTCAATCTAACGCCCTTGCACCTTCTAAGTATTCTGGCGGGACGGAATTCTCACTATCGCTCCGGTATAGCGGCGCAGATGGCGGCCGCGTTGGTGACCTGGCCCTCGGGGTATCTTGCTGTCCTTCCACCGGAGATGTAAGGAGGTCTTCTGGGACCTCGTTATCGCTCTCCTCCTCTGCCCGGTGCGTATCGACACGAGCCAAACTAGGTTTGAAGACTGGAGACTCCGTTCCCGTGGAGGAGAGGGCGTCGATGTCTGGCTCGCGCGGCGCTTGAAGGGAGGCACTGATGTCGGCTGCGGTTACGGTCTCGCGGAGAACTCTCTCGGCCTCCTTAAATGCGTCCAGCTCGGCTCCTATGGCAGCGATGAGCAGATTCCACTGCTTCTCCTCCGCCGTCTGGAGCCTGGACTCTAGGCCTGTTATAACGCCTGCCATTTGGGCCAAGAGCTGGGTCGCTATCTCCGCTCCACTGGGCGCATTCTCCTTGCCTTTGCTACCCGCGTTCCCCTTAACTAGAGCCTGGAGGTTTGACTCGTACTTGGTGACCATCTCGATGACATCGTTCCACATGCGCTCACCACTTTCTAGCGCCTTTCGCTCGCGATCCACTTGCTTCCGCCGATCCTCTAATATTTGAATCTCCGTCTCCCACCATGACCTTGCCATGTCTAGTGTGCGGCGCTCAGGTATGAGACGCAAGAACTCCTCGCCACCCGGAGATGATACCTGCTGGTTTCCTGCGCCGGGTGGACCGGGCAGCCTCGGCCAAAGATCTCGATCCAGAGGCGCCACTGGTGGTCGTCTCAGGAGTAACGCAACGTCCGATTCCACTTCGCGCAGCGCACCTTTATAGCCGCTCAATCCGGCCTCGCGGCGGTTCCGAACATCATCAATCCTGCCATCGACCCACCTCCGCCTATTGCGAAGTCCCACTAGTCGTTCTTCGAGCTCCTTGATTTCTATACTTAGTAAGGAACGTTGAGATTCGAGATCCTTTAGCTCCTTGCCCAGTGGTTCTTCCTCGTCATCCTCCAGACCCTGGAGTTCCGTGGTAATTGTCTGCTGCCTCGCCGCTAGTTTGCGCAGGCGTGCAAGCGCCGTCTTCCGGTGCGATACCGCCGCGGTCACGCGGGCATCTTCTTCAACTTTGAGATCTCCTAACGCGATCATGGATCGTAAAAGCGACTGCCGCGCCGTACGTATACCTACACGTCTTGACCTAGGGGGCTGTCTGACGGGGATGACATTACCATCTGGTGTTGATTGTGTGGGGGGGTTGAGTGATCGCGCCATCCTAGACTTGGACGATGCTGTGGAATAAAATGTTCCCGTTGGAGTGCTGCTCCCGCCATCGCTAAACGCATCGATGTCATTAACCCCTGGATTCATGGACCGAGCCCTCGAACTCCTTGAAAGAGCTTCTGCTTGCATATCTAGCGTTTTCTGTAGGTCCTCTTCTACGGCTCGTTCACGGCGACGCAAGTTCTGCCACACAGAATCTGGGACGGAGGTGACGGGCGCCTCGGCATGCCTATCTCGACCATCGAATAATACGCTGCCAATGTTGAGGAGGCTGGTCGCGATGTTCCTGGGAGGTGTCTGTGGGTGTTGACTAGCTGTCGGACCTCCGGGGCGTCCATGCCGTTTTTGATCCTTCGTTAGGAGAACAGATGTCGCGATCGGAGGAGGTGGACCTGCAAACAGGGGGCGAAAGGGCCGTGGAGACTCCTCGGTATCAGCATCGCCTGGAGAGGACGCAGGGATTCTTTCGCCAGAGCTGCGGCGAGGCTTTCGCCTATGGATAAGCTCTGGGGACTCGCTGGCTAGGAGGCCATCCGTTGGTCGAGGTTCAAGTTCATCGAGATCGTATTCGCTATTCGATCGGTCGCTCCGAGAAGCATGGGTGGGTAGTAGAGGGCCTCTTCGCGATAGGGATAATCGGTCTAGGAATGTGGGCGATAAAGGGGCCATGTTGGGATTGCGCTTCAATGTATCCACGCTATCCACCTAATCTGCTTCGAAAATCTTATGGCAGTCGCCGGGAAGTTGTACAAGCTGTGTTGAACCTGATGGTTGAATGGTCTGCTGAATTTCAAGGATCGGCTTGACAACACACTGGAGAGAGCATAATAGAACTTGAAGAACTCATGGCAGGAAGGATGATAGGACTCAAACAGAGAATTGGAAAATGGCGACCAGCATGCTTCTGGAAATGGGAGCTCAGTTGATAGAGCCCGCCATCAATGATGACGGTTCGACGTTCCAGTTTGGATCTGAAGCTCACGAGCTCCTGGCATGTGCTCAATGTACTGTACTAAGTACTTTGTACCTTAACTGGGTGCCTATCATTGTATCGACCGCCGATTTTACAGCCCTATACTTCGTACCTGTGTAGCAATCAACCACCATCTGTACCAGCCCCAGGCCAATTGTCCGTTGATGCTTCTCGATTGTTGGTATCGATTATGTTAAGCCTCCTAATCCGCCGAAAATAAAGAGCAAGGCCGCGATATCTCTTGAAGCGGAAAACGAGGATATAATATATGTATAAACAGTAGTGGGAAGATGAAGTAAACAACCCCATTGATCTAACCTGGCTGTTATGCCTGAGGGAGGTTATGTTCTGCAGTCTAGGGATGGTGCCTATCGCTGGATCCTCGTGATCTTTTCTCCAATCCTCGCTCGGAAGGTTGTACGGGCGCCTTGGCATCTATCAAAGACGTGTCCTAGTAAGTAGGCAAATAGGTTGCATTTGGCCAGGTGTGCTCTTTCATCTCCTGTTTGCCAGTTGATGCTCCCTTTCCATTCTTCCCCGTCGTATTTAGTGGCTCAGTCTGATGAGTTCCACCAACTCAATACGAAGTACAAAGCAACTGTCTAGTATTCTCACAGCGCTCCATCCCACTCTTTCAGAACGCCCTCGTCGGCATCGTCCTTTTGCGTCGGCTTCAGCGCATGTGGTCCAAGCCTATCGACAGTCTCCTCTTAAAGCCCAAAAAAATTGAGAATAAAATCCAGTGCGGCCGGCCGTGAAGCAACAATGGCGGCTTCCCACATCTGCTAGGTGGTGGTTAGGAGCACTGGAGAGAGAGTTCAAACTGGGACTTGTACTTCGCAAGGTCCACTGCTGGCTTGGTGTCTCAACAGCGGTTTGGGACCTATCAAACAAACTACTCACTGTGCTGTGCCCGCAACACGCAACGAACCATTGCATTCATTCATCGCCCCTCGACAGGAACCAAATTCCCCTCCTTGTTTTTGTTCATTGTCTTTTTCTTTGTTCATTCACCCCCCTCGCTCTCTTTGAGCATTTCCATCTCCACAGAGCCGCGCTGCCCTCGGCCCATGCCAGCCCCTAAGCCACAGCAAAGGAGCCTTGGCCAATCCTTCGACTCTCCCGCGTCCGCACGGGGCTGCGACTACACTCGAATCTCCCTTGCATTTTCCCCTCTACGGAGTAGTTTAGTCCCAAGTCTCTTTTCCACTGAATCATGTCCGGCGCCACAATGAACCAATCACAGCAATTCCCCTCAGCACCGCGAAGAACTGGCACATACAGCTCACAACATGACGAACTTCATCTGTCAGGTATGAACGAGCATGGTCAATTATCACCTCGCGACTATTCCAACTCCTCCAACCCGGCCGGACACATCAAGCTTGACCACCCGCCTGGCCCTGCCAGCTCCTCTGCGCATCAATACTCCCCGTCCATTTCGGTGCCCAATATCCTTCAGCCGGGTGGCCTAGGCCAGAGACCTGCAGCCTCCCCCTCCACCTCCGCCGCTCCCAGTCTCAACACCAATTACCAAGGCTCGATGAATCCCCAACTACCCACCTACCAGTCGCAGGCGAAGCCATCTACTCTAGGTGTCGCCACACACGGCTACTCGCGCTCGAGTCCAGCCGCCGCCGCCTACGACAATGCGACGCCCTCATCATACGCACCTTACACGCCGACCTCGCCTGGAGGCGGGGTGCCAGGCTCCTCTCAATACATCTCTCCTACCGACCCAAACAAATACGCTCCGCCTTCGCAGAGGACCTTGTCCAATACTCCGTTAGGCCTCGCTGATATCCGGCCTCGCGCCGACTCGACCATGTCTGATGGAGTGCCCGGGTCGATTGCTTATGAATTTGCAAATGCCCAGCCGACTCCGAGCAACTATCTTGCGCCCTGGGCGCTCTACGCTTTCGACTGGTGCAAATGGCAAACTCACGGAAATTCTGCTGGCAAGGTTGCTATTGCTAGCTATCTCGAAGATGGCCATAACTTCGTACGTTGGTTCTGCGGGGTCATTTGCACCTCGCGCATCCCCCACCTCCCAAAGCAATCCGCTTTTCTTTGAATCACTACCTTTCCTTCCTCTACCTCTGCCTCTACTGCTCGCCTTACTAGGCCTCGGTACTAATCTCCGCATCCATTGATTCTACAGATTCAAATCCTTGATACCCAGATCGTTCCCGCATCGCCGAGCGTCCTCGCTCCTGGTGGCTCGACAAAGTGTTTAGACTTTACAAAAATTGCCGAGGCGACCCATTCATACCCAGTTACCCGACTCTTATGGGAGCCTCCGTCTAGCCAGAAGCAGGCAACCGATCTTCTTGCGACATCCGGGGACCATCTTCGACTCTGGTCATTGCCCTCAGACCCTCTCATCCCCCATGGCAGCAATACCATCACCCAGCCTATGAGAGACACACCGGCTACCAAGCTCACCCCACTTGCTCTCCTTTCCAATTCGAAGACGCCCGACCACACTGCACCACTGACGTCTCTTGACTGGAATACAATCTCCCCAAGTCTGATCATAACGAGCAGCATTGATACGACGTGCACAATCTGGGACATTCCTTCACTTACTGCGAAGACGCAGCTTATCGCCCACGACAAGGAGGTGTACGACGTACGCTTTTGCGCCAACAGTGTCGACATGTTCGTGAGCTGTGGCCAAGATGGTAGCGTTCGCATGTTTGATTTGCGTAGTCTGGAGCACAGCACCATCATCTATGAACCTACCGGCAAGGATGAGCGAGGTATGTCATTCTCAGTCTCCCTTAGCACCCTCCCTTCCCCCCTCTCTTTCTCTTTCTTCCACCTACCTGCCTGAGTTCTGAGGAAAATGATTTGCTAACTCGGGTTTCTCCTTGCTTCAAGACTCCAATGGTGGTAGAATTAGCCCTACCCTTGCACAGCAGACAATGTCAAACCCTCCTCCTCTCCTTCGGCTGGCAACTTCGCCCCATGATCAAAATCTGCTTGCCACCTTCGCTCAGGATTCAAATGTTATCCGCATTCTTGACGTACGGCAGCCTGGCCAGGCCCTCCTCGAACTTCGCGGCCATGGCGGGTCTGTAAACTGTGTGGAGTGGTCCCCTCACCGACGGGGAATGTTGGCTTCCGGAGCGGACGACTGCCAAGTTCTCATCTGGGATCTGATGAACTCGGCTCCTCCGTCCGCAATCAACGGAAGTGGCCAGCAAGAGAACCACCGGAATCCTACAGCCAGTTGGCAATGCGATTATGAGGTTGGGAACCTGGGATGGGTCCCCCGGCTGCCTGGACATGACTCTGGGGAGTGGCTTGGGGTGGGCGCTGGTCGTGGTGTCTGGGGTGTTCGGCTATCGTGATTCTCGACATCATTAGAGAGTATCCAAAAACACGATGAAGAGAAACTCTGTTGTGATGCAAGGATTGAGCCGATAACCTGTGCTTTCCCTATCGTCGGAGTCGTTACTTTGCACACCATCTTATTCTCAGACTCGAGCCGAGAACTCGGGCCACAGAATGGTGAATGGGTTTCTTAGGGGTGAAGGCCCTGGCATTTAGCACATCGAGAGACTGTCGTCAGCGAAATTCCCCTCTAATCAGCCTGTCCGTATCACTTCCGGCGTCATTGTCACCTAGTTTGGTTGTTCATAGAACCCCCCGCCAACAGACTGGGCGAGCAGGGCTCCTCCATATGCCACGCCGCTCCCTCACTCCCGAGGGGCAATCCCCGATTTTGATCCTCGTCAGCGGTTTGATTGCAAGGATGAATATTCCGCCAGCGAATATATAGAAAAGGATGGACTATGGCTTGTCTTCTAGCCTGCCTAAGCGAGGACTAAAAGTAGTAGAAACAGTTACTGTGTATTCGACGATTAGATATATTGATCCCTTAGCAAGCTGCTGCATAGCTCGCTAGTGAGAGATGCTGGGTGAGAGCTAGAGCGCAGGAAATTGTTCATACAAAAACTTGGTAACCTTGCTTGCCCAGCTCCCATTTTTTAAGCTCATTCCATCCATCAAGCCTTCTACATCGTTAGGACTTGCAGGCTCGAAAGAATCGAACATGTATAGGAGCCATACACAAACCTGATGGTTGAGGCACGAACGCAAGCGTCGTCTCAATGTGCCTCAGTACATGAGAGGAATTTGACTAACTCCCAATTAGTAATCGTATTTGGGATACAGTTTTGCATGATTTAAATACACTGTGTGCGTTTGTCGCTTGGCTTAGGGTCCTTGAGATATTCTTAGTTCTTTGTGCCGAGCTTTTTCCAGCATCATCAATAAGCTCTAGTCAACGACTCGACTTAAGGAACTGTCTCCAAAAAGGCGACCCTTCAGGTCTTGTCTTCTCAAGAATCACCAGCAACCATCATCCATTCCCTCTTTATTTGGTTGTAATCACGCGAAGCTATCAGTTTCGGTTTTCTTCGCTGCATTTTGAGACCTCAAGGCAACTTTGGTTCTCCTGCGCCACTATTCCCTTTTTTCGTCCGTTCGTCTCTTCCCGCCACCGTCAACTGAGCACATTCCAGAACAAACCCACCCCCATTGCTCTTGAGGCAAGAAGCCAAAATGGCCCCATCCGAACGACGTCCCTTCGACGATGATTCTGAAGATGAGGAAGATTTCAACCCAGCGCCTGCCGACTTGTCTGACGATGAGGACAACGCCAATGACCAGCTTCAGCGTGAAGCCCGAGACAGCAGCCCTGCGATCGGTCACCAAGGAGATGGTGACGACGATGACGACGAAGGTCGCAGTTTGAATGCGAGGGCTTCTTCAGACCACCAAGGTTCCGACGATGATGATGAATCGCCCCGGCGCAAATCTCGAGGGAACGATGACGAAGAAGATGACGAGCAGGAGGGTCGAGCAGATGACGACGAAGAAGAAGACGAAGACGAAGACGAGGAGGATGAAGACGACGAAGACGTTCATCAGGTAAGTCTACTACATAGTCATCTACGATCAATTTCACACACTTACTGACGCGCTTCCCATCACTAGGGCCATCGTCGGAAGCGCCGCAGAGAGAGGCGCAATGTATTCCTCGATATCGAAGCCGAAGTTGATGATGAGGATGAGGCCGAGGACGAGGAACGAGATGTTGAGGAGATAGAAGATTTCATCGATCATTCCCATCCAGATGATCTTGTCGACACCGAGCGTCTGAACGACACGAAACGCCATCGCGAACTTGATCGCCGCCGAGAAGTCGAGGCGGGCCTGGATGCAGAGAAGCAAGCCGAAATCTTGAGACAACGATACGGGAATCGCCGCCCTACTCGCGGCCCCGGGGACTCGACAGTTATCCCCAAACGTCTCCTCTTGCCGAGTGTAGATGACCCCAAGATCTGGGCAGTGAGGGCCAGGGAGGGCAAAGAGCGCGAGGCTGTTCTGGCCATTACCAAGAGAATCGAGGACAGGCTCGGAACCAAGAATGAATTGCTCATTACCTCGGCTTTTGAGCGCGGCGGACCTCAGTCAGTCATGAAGGGTTACATCTACGTCGAAGCGCAACGCCAGGCAGATGTTCTGACGGCTCTGGATGGTATCCTCAATGTCTACCCTCGCAGCAAGATGGAACTTGTGGAGATCAAGGATATGCCAGACCTGCTTCGGGTCACGAAAACTCCAACTCTAGAGCCCGGTGCTTGGGTCCGTTTGCGCCGCCCCCTAAAGCACGCCGGCGATCTTGCGCAAGTCCTGGACGTCACCGAAAACGGATTAGAGGCTCGCGTTCGATTCATCCCCCGCCTTGACTATGGAGTTCGCGACGAATCCATGTCCAATGTCGGCGCCGACGGCAAGAGAAAGCGTCCGATCGGCCCCGGTCCCCGCCCCCCGCAGCGACTTTTCAGCGAGATGGAGGCGCGAAAGCGCCATCCCCGCAACGTCGCTGGAGACAAGAACATGTTCACATATATGGGTGAGGAGTTCGAGAATGGATTCCAAGTCAAGGATATTAGGATTCAACAACTTGTTGTCACGGATGTCAACCCAACGCTAGAAGAAGTTACGAAGTTCGCGTCGGGTGCCGAGGATGGTACCGAAAACCTTGACCTCAAGGCCCTAGCTGCCAGCCTCAAAGACTCCAATGCCCTCGTTACCTACCTGCCGGGAGATGTCATTGAAGTTTACGAAGGTGAACAGAAAGGAGTCGTGGGTAGGGCAACGAATGTGCAAGGCGACATTGTCACCTTGCAAGTCATGGAAGGAGCATTGAGAGGTCAGACCATCGATGTCCCCGCCAAAGGTCTCAGGAAACGCTTCAAAGTTGGTGATCACGTCAAGGTCATTGGCGGAAGCCGATACCAAGACGAAGTTGGTATGGTCGTCAAGATTTCCGAGGATCGAGTCACGCTGGTTATCGATCAGTCCAGCACCGAGATCACGGTGTTTAGCAGGGACCTCAGGGAAGCAGACGATAGCGGAGGCCAGGGTTCCCTTGGCCAGTACGAGCTCTTGGATCTCGTCCAGCTTGACAACACAACCGTCGGCTGTGTGGTAAAGATTGACCGCGAGTCTTTAGTCGTCCTTGACCAAAACAGCGAACGCCGACAGTTAATGCCATCCCAAATTGCCAATAAGTTCCCACCCAAGAAGAACGCTGTAGCCGCTGACCGAAGCGGATCGGAGATCCGCGTGGGGGATGTTGTCCGCGAGTATGGAAATCAACAGCGCCGTGGAAAGATTCTTCACATTCACCATGGATTTGTGTTCCTCCACAGTCACGAACAGAACGAAAATGCTGGCGTGTTTGTACTACGCGCGGCCAATGTCAACACGGTGGCAGCGAAGGGCGGCAGAGTTAACGCCACTTCGGGCCCAGACTTGAGCGTTATGAATCCGGCCTTGAAACGGAACAACCAGAATGGCGGTCCAGACGGGAAGATGGGACCCCCGCCAGCTCCCAAGGTTCTTGGACGTGACAAGGCTATCGGCCAGACGGTCATCATTCGACGAGGAGGCTACAAGGGTCTGTTGGGCATTGTCAAGGATACCACGGACACAACGGCGCGCGTTGAGCTTCATACAAAGAGCAAGACGGTCACAGTTCCCAAGGATCATCTGAGTTTCAAGGATAAACACACGGGAGACCGAATTGACATCAACACCAGAGGCCGTGGGCCTCCGATGGGCAGCAGTGGTGGTTACGGTGGAGGTGGCGGCAGAAATCCCGATTGGCAAACTGGTTCACGCACTCCAGCAATGTCAAGCGGGTCTGAGAGAACGCCCGCCTGGGGTAGTCGAAGTAAGTTAATGAGTATATTCGCACTATTATGAACGTTTCGGATTACTAACTGAGTACTTTTTTAGCACCACTACATGCCGGCGGACGAACTCCCGCATGGAAGTCGAACAACGACTATTCTGGCAGCCGAACTCCCGCATGGCAAGATGGGTCGCGAACTGTTAACCCCTACGACGGAAGTCGGACCGCGTATGGCTCCGGTTCACGAACACCTGCCTGGCAGTCGGGTGGTAGAACGCCTGCCCCGGATAGCTATGGTCACGGATCGAGAACCCCTGCAGCCTATGCCAATGATAGTTGGTCTGGGTCGAAGACCCCAGGCTATGGTGTTTCTGCGGCCACTCCCGGAGCCAGCGGCGCCGACTCTTGGGGGTATACACCTGGAGCGAGTGGATCATCTAACGCATTTGACGCCCCTACCCCAGGTGCGATGCTAGGAGCCCCGACCCCTGCTGCGATGAATGCGCCTACTCCGGGAGCCTACTCCGCACCAACGCCCGCCGCAATGAGCGCGCCGACCCCTGGTGCTGGCTGGTCGAGTGGTTGGGCCGACTCTGCGCCCACTCCAGCCGCTGGCGCACCGACCCCCGGTGCTAGTGCCTACTACGGTGCGCCCACTCCTGGTGTGTTCGGTGGGGCGGCAGAGACTCCCGCAGCGGGTAGGTATGATGATGATGACTGAGGAGTTGGATGGAAGGGAAGGAAGAGGGAGGAGGGAGGAGGAGCAGGGATGCAGCTACATGGAGTTTCGGACGGACAGGCTTTGGTCATATTTCTTCAAACAGAACGAAATCTATATTAGCCTACTCTTTTCTTTACCCATTTTTCACACGGGCCAGTGGGGAGTTGTACATTAGCTAAAAGGAGGGTTGTAAATTATTTCTCGGAACATTGAGCATAGCTGAACTAATGGCTTGGTACTCCATAGCCCAACTCTGGGGCAAGGTTGACGCCATCAGCCCAGGGTACCTATAGATAGACAGGAGCGGTCATGAAGATAGGAGGCTCTAGTTGCCCGACCAAAAGAAAATAAAAGCATTGAAAATTGTAAACTTATTCCTTCATTGCGTGTCACGGTGGGCCAAGGTCTACGCGGATGTTGACCGCTTCCCTGATTCCATCGAAACTTTCTCTCAATTCTTCTTTCTCCATACACATACCCAGAGCAGGCAGTCAGGGGTTAGTCAGGTAAGCTTAGTCTAATGTTGCCGCCTCCTTTCTGAAACAACTACAAAGGGAAGAGAGAAACTTTGGGCTAGGGTCAGTCTATGAGTTGATCCTCACGCTTGTTCTGAATTTAGGAGCCATATTTCATAGAGGAAACCGCCACTCTTTGAGAGGTACGAGGTACTTCGGCTTTAATGTCCGAAGACCACATTCTTCATCAACGAATCACTCCCTCCACAGGTATCTCCTGGGACAATGACATGTGATTGGACAAGGACACACTGATCACTTGCTGACCCGTGACTAACGCCGCATCTGTCAGCATTTAAATCACATGACCACAACAGAATCTCGGCCTCATATTTGTAACCTGTGGATACTAGTACCCCATAATTGGTGCGAGTACCGATCAAGCTAAGGTGGTACTTCTGGGGCCTCTTTCCATAAGGCTTTGCCCAGCCTTTAAGGCTGTGCTTCTTGGTACCCAAAGTACTTGTGGTTCCTTGCCCCTGCTCTAGTGTAGGCTGGAAACTCTATCCTCCCAACGCGGTAAGTCCCGGTATCAGGAATCTCCCTTGCCATGTATTGGTTCGACTGGACCTGAACTTTTCCGTTGCTGACAACTCAATTCTCTCAACTTGTTCCCCTAATCAAATAGCTCTTCCTCTTTCCTCTTCCATTGTCCCTTTCGCCCATCCAAACCTCATCCATTGCATTTCTCTTCGGTACCACTTTTAACGGCCAACGGACTATTTTTCGCGAACTTCTAGAAACACCAGCCGCGCGTTCTATGATGATTCCGAGCACCGTCGCCCGCAGGGCGATACGGCCAGTCGCGCAGTCTCATCTGTGCGTTGCCCGAACCGTCCGGCCGCTTCCTCGCCGCCTCCCTCGACAGATCCCCGCCATCGCCCTTTTACTTCCAATCCGGCAGATATCCACCGAACCTCACCACCCCGGTGGCCCTCCCGTTGGTCCTCCTCCCGGTTTTAACGCGGAGGAAGCGAAGAAGCCCCTACCCCCGGAGAAGCCGGCGCCGAAGAAGGATGTCGCTGCGAATGATTCCGCGGCCGTTACTAAGGATGTGGGAGCCCAAAAGGCGCAGCCGAGCTCGGTGGTTCCCCACGGAAAGGGGAATGAGCCTGCTGCGGCGGATATTACGGTTGCGAAGACTGAATCTGCCGCGGTGAAGGAAGGGCAGAAAGAGCAGAAGAAGCTCACTCTCATGCAGAAGGTCAAGAAGGAGGCGCAGCATTATTGGGATGGGACCAAGCTTCTAGCTGCCGAAGTTAGGATTAGCTCAAAGCTCGCCGTCAAGATGGCGGCGGGTTACGAGCTCACTCGGCGTGAGAACCGACAACTCCAGCGCACCGTGCAAGACCTTGCTCGTATTGTGCCGTTCTCGGTCTTCATCATTGTGCCCTTCGCGGAGCTCTTACTCCCCGTTGCTCTTAAGCTCTTCCCCAATCTTCTTCCCAGCACCTACGAAGGTCAGAAGTCCAAGGAGGCCAAGGCGACCATGCTCCGGGCTACCCGAAACGACGTCAGCAAGTTCCTGCGGACCACACTTAAGGAGACTGGTTTACCAGTGACTTCTGCTGCGACACAGAGGGAGGAGTTTACCACCTTTTTCAGGAAGGTCAGAACCACGGGCGAGCAGCCGACGCCGGAGGATGTCATTAGGGTGTGCCAGATTTTCAAAGACGACGTGACTCTGGATAACCTTTCTCGACCACAACTTTACTCCATGTGCCGGTACCTCAACCTGAGCACATTCGGCAACGACACAATGTTGCGGTACCAGGTCCGCCACCGCATGCGCCAGATCAAGCGGGATGATCGGATTATTTCTTTCGAGGGCGTTGATAGTCTCAACGTCGCCGAGCTCCAGGCAGCGTGTGCGAGCAGAGGCATCCGAACTTTCAGTGTCTCGCCTGCTCAGATGAGGAAGGATCTTCAGACCTGGCTGGATCTCCGGCTGAGGGATAAGGTACCTTCGACGATTCTAGTCCTGAGCAATGCCTACATGTACTCCGCCGAGGTAACGGACCAGATCGACGCGCTCATCGGGGTCTTGTCGTCGATTCCTGAGGAGCTCTTCCACGAGATCGAACTCGAGGTTCACAATGCCGAGGGCGCGGCCACGAACAAGCAGCGTCTCGAGGTGCTGAAGGAGCAGCAAGAGCTCATCAAAGAGGAGAACGAACAAAACGAAGAGAGTGAGAATGTGGGCTTGGCTACTCCTAGGGATGTGGATAACATCGACGATAAGGACGAGAAGCACTTACACGCCGAGGCTGAGGCGGAGAAGATCGACCCCGAGAAGCCCGAGGCTCCCAAGATGGTTGCGGGAGAGGTCGAGGCGACCAAGGTGTCTAAGGAGTCCCAGGAGTCTGAGAAATAGAGAGTGATTCTCGTTGTTTCTGTTTGGGTTCCCATCTACACTCCTTATTTGGCATTGCCCGAAGCATCATGTAGCTTTACACCAGCGGTGGATTTGGTTTTCCTCCTTGTCTTTTTTTCCGGAACTTTTTTGGCTTGCTTCGGCAGCAATCCCACTTTCCCTCCTCCACCCTTCACTGCCTTTCATCCCATTGGCACTCGCCATTCATTCGCCTTTTTCTTTTTCTTTTGTGTCGGTGAAGTCTTAGAGCAAGCCCGGAACAGGATTGTGTGTTTGCTGGGAGGGTTTACACCCAAAACTTGGGATCCAGTGTCCCTTCTTGTTACAACATGGCTGTTTACAAAAACAACAGAAAAAAATGAGAATTAAAGATAGACGCGGGAATTGTTTTTGAGAGTTAGGGTATAGGATGGCGCTTTCATGTTTTGTTTTACAATCGAATTTGCATAGATTGTGGGACTACACCAAGGAAGGAGGTTTTGGTGAGAAATGGTGGATGGGATTGAAGTATTCCGAACAGTTTTGGGGGATGGGAAGCTCTTTTTTTCACATGAGATGTAAATAGTACCATCAACAAGACTGTGGACATAACACATAAAATCAATTGATATAAACGCTGAAACATGAATATCGTTGATACCCTTATCCAAGTGGCAGGCCCAGAGACCTCACACCTCTTTCCTCTTGCAGGACATATGAAGACGCAGCGTTGAAATGTCATTCGATCGGCTGGTGGATTCTGGAATTCCTCGGAAAGCTCGCATTGGAGCCGGCGAGCCTCGGAACGCTTGCTTGCGTGTCTGCGCTAACCTGAAGAGTGCTGCTGAGCACGCTGTAAGCCGCTGTAGTCTGGGGATTGCGGGCCAGACTGTAGCGACCAAATCGCGCCTCAGCGACTCTTGGTGGGGAAATTTTGGGGTTAGTCTAGGGGGGATTGGCGCCTGTCAAGGAATGAGTGGCATCGACGATCGTTAACATTTGTACTCTATACGCAAATCAGCAGCAAAAAGTACATCAGCGATACTTTGATGGAAGCTCGCTCGGCATGTTGATGGCAATCTTGGAGGGCAATTCCTCCAACTACTATAAGGTGATTCCCCTCCTTCCCCTCATGGAAGCGATCCTGCTCCCCATAAATAGCACTGGTGAAATGCTCATTCTGTCTCACTCTTCACTTCTTGACATGAATCATTCTGGGTGCGGCTTTTCATTCTAGTAGTTTAAAATTCGCCTTGGAGCTGAAGTCGGGAGTTCGCCAATCGTTTCTTGTTTTGGATACGCCACTTTTGTTGAGTTGGAAAGACCACACGGATAATTTCTTATCCTCCCCCCTTTAAAATACTATCTTCTTACACGCCATCAATATTCATCGTCCGTGACCGGCGACAATTCACTCTAACCGACCGACCGGCTTCACGACGGCAAAGGCTGGGCGCGTGTTGTAACCGAAATCAGCTCTTGGGGGATTCTCGACTTCACGCCCGACTTTCTCGCCCCTGTTCTTGCTGTATTTTCTTTTCCAATCCCTCATTTTAGCAGGAAGCCCGCCATATTTTTTTGAATAGGCCCCCGCAGCAGGACAATTCGATCTTTAAAGCTGTTCCGAGTTTGGCCGATATAAGTCGAGGATGAGTCTCAAAAGGGCAGCGAGGGTAATTCTAGTCGGCGCGCCAGGTGTCGGAAAGGGGACGCAGTCAGAACGATTACTCAAACGATACACTCAACTCCAGTCCATAAGTTCGGGTGATTTGCTTCGCCAGAATGTCAAGAACAGGACGCCGCTCGGTAAGAGGCCCCCCCTCTCTCACAATCAACCCACTTCGTTACTCACATGTCTACCCCTAGGCATCAAGGTCGAGAGCACCATGAAGGCCGGCGGCCTTGTCTCGGATGATTTAATTCTGAGGTTAATTTCGAATGAGTTTTTCCAGCGAGGCTGGTTGAAGGGTCAGGGCCCACCGCAGGTAATGACTTTCGCCTCCGCTGCTGGACAGGAGACTCTAGACGAGTCTCCAGCCAAGTCTGTTGTTGATTCTGTTATCAACTCGACGTTACAGTCCGGTGCCACGCCCCAAGTATCCGACAACCCCTCGGCGTCTTTCATCCTCGACGGCTTCCCGCGCACAGCGGCGCAAGCCGAGATGCTCGACAAGATCATCCCCATCAACCTCGTCGTCTCCATAACAACCCCCTTCGACGTCATCCTGGAACGAATTACGGGCCGCTGGGTGCACGAGCCCTCCGGTCGAGTCTACAACACGAGCTTTAACGCGCCTCGCGTGGCCGGCATCGACGATGTCACGGGTGAGCCTCTCACCCAGCGCCCGGATGACTCAGAGGAAGTCTACCGTGCCAGATTCGCCAAGTTTGAGGAGACGAATAGGCCTCTACTAGATCACTATGCCAACAAGGGCTTGCTCTGGGAGGCCAGTGGGCTTAGCAGCGACGAGATTACCCCCAAGATCTTCCAGCACTTTGAGAAGATGTTTGGCAACTAAGGTTTTATACCCGGTACATATATAGTCCGTGTACAATGCATTGTTTCTCGGCCACTATCGAGTCAATAGAAATTCTGCGATGCGTCGGGTTCATTTGACTGCTTGAGAGGCATGTCGCAAAGGTGTCTAACAGTCTCACTTTGCTGATGCCAGCGCCTTATTATTTTATTTTTCTGTTGGATTTTCGCGACCAGAAATATATAGTTCGATTTACGTCTAAAATATATATCACACCAGCCAAAATCAGGATCAATTGATGTCTTTTCCCATATCGGCGGCGAATACTTTTTTGAGTTGGAGTTCGCCCGCTGACTGCTCTTCGGGACTTCTTGCGCGAATGTACAATGTAGTTTCCGGAATTGCCACCCCCGTGTGGCCGCGTGGGAGGAGGCAAACTCCGGTCCCCCGAAGTTTTCGTGTTGTTCTTATTTTGCTTTTATTCAATTTTAGAAGACGTTGACTGTACCGAGGCAGGTACAAACGCCAGTGACCTATGGTTGATGTGCATTGTCCGCTCTTTCCCCACGTGCTTACCTGAGCACCTTAGCATTGTTCCATTGAACCGTCTGATCAAGCACCACTTTGATGGTGGTGCAGGGGCTGGTGGGTAGGTAATGTACTCTGTACAATTGTAGGGAAGGTGGGACGGTGAAGGTGGAAGGTGGGCGGGACCTACGTAATACAGCTCCCACAGTGTATCGCCAGAACCTCAGCACCACCTCCATTCCTCAAGCAAGATAGCCGAAGCCACATTCGCCGCCCATCCCAATAATTCCACATCGCTCCCGAACCAGCGCTTCGAATCGAAACCCCCAAACTGCGCACCCATCACCCGTCTACTCCCAAAATCACTCAGCCAGGCGCATGTGACTACACACGCCATGGCCGTGATTGACCAAGACACCTTCTCGAACGTCTCGTGGCAGAGCGATCATGGAGAGCCCATCCCAGGCTCCAGCTCCAGACCGGATGACGCCGCGGATAATTTGAATAACGGCATGGCGGCGGAGAACAATCTTGACCGAGACGAGCTTGGCGGTAATGCACTGGGTTTGGAGAAGCTCGAATGTACCGTATCATCGCCCATCAAAGAAAACGATGGGACGAAGGATGCATTTGTATCCTACTTGATAACTACGCGAGTGAGTAGTTCCGGGAGTCGATTCACCCTTGCCCATGCCTTTCTCCCTCCATCAAGACGGGTGCTTGCATTGCTTTCCCAAGCAGCGAATGGTTATGGAGCTGACCTATCTACAGTCGACATTCCCCTCATTCCAGAAACCAGTGACGACCGTCCGCCGTCGCTTTACGGATTTCGTTTTCTTGTACAAATCTCTCAGCAAGGATTTCGTCGCCTGCGCTGTGCCTCCGATTCCCGACAAACAGCGAATGGAGTATGTCCGCGGCGATCGCTTCGGTCCCGATTTTACCGCCCGCCGAGCCCATAGCCTTCAGCGCTTCTTGACGAGGCTAGCCTCCCATCCTGTTCTCCGCCGCTCTTCCATTCTCCACAGATTCCTCGAAAGTCCAGAGTGGAATGCAACGATGCGCTCGCGTACCACCCGAGCTTCGACATCATCCGAGCACGGCGCGGGCGGTGTCTTCGACAACTTTGCCGATACCTTCATCAACGCTTTTACCAAAGTGCACAAGCCGGATAAGAGATTCATTGAGGTCAAGGAGAAGAGCGATAAGTTGGACGAGGATCTCTCGCACGTCGAAAAGGTCATGGCCCGGGTGATCCGCCGCGAGGCAGACCTCGAGACAGACCTCAAAGATCTCGCCGAGCAGTTCCAGAAGCTTATCAACCTCGAGCCTGGAGTGGAGGATCCCCTGCGAGCCTTTTCCAACTCGGTAGAGGACACCTCTGCGGGACTCAAAAAGCTCAAGGACCTCACAGATCAAGATTACCTTGGCAGTCTCAGGGACATGCAGGCTTACAGCCAAGCTCTCAAGAACCTCCTTAAGGCGCGCGAGCAGAAGCAGCTCGATTTCGAACAGCTAACGGAATACCTCAATAAGAGCACCGTCGAGAGGGACGCCCTGCAATCTGGCAGTCACTACTACGGCGCGACGGGCGGCATCACCGCCGGAGCCAGCGGCTTCATCCGGTCCAAGATCGAGGACGTGCGCGGCGTCGACCACGAGCAAGCCAGGCGAGAGCGCCAGCGTAAGCTCGAGCTTAGGATCGAGGAACTTACTCAGGAGGTTAAGGAGGCTAAGAATATGAGTGAGATGTTTGATGAGGAGGTTGTGCGAGAGGTGACTGACTTTGAACGCATTAAGAGGTGTGAGCTGAGGAAAGAGTTTGGAGCTCTGGCTGACGCTCATGTGGAGTTTTATGGGGAGTGTATTGATGTATGGGAAAAGTATATCCGTGATATGGAAAAGGAGGGCGGTGTGCTTCCACCCTGAAGTGCCCTGGCCATCGTGAAGAGAAAGGGGGGGAAGGGTTATGGTTGAAGGTTTCTTTCGACTCTTTTTTTCTTATCATTTCACTTCTTTCGTCCCATCCTTTCTACGGCGTTGTTGGTATCAACCTCTGGAGGCAGCTCATTCGTTTCTCGTCTTTTTTCACCCGGTAGTTGGGGTTCTTCTAGGATTCACAGGGAATAAATAAAGTTTGTTCAGAAGTGGACATGGAGTGGTCAATACATTTCATGTTTGTGTCTCTCTTCAGATATTCTCGATGATGGGCAGAGGATTTGGTCCGGAGATATCATTGATACTAGAAGACGGCCCTTCCCAAAGTTCGAAGCAACCCGATACCGCTAAGACTAGACCAGTAATCTTCTCCCCCCCTCCCCCCCCCAAAAAAAAAAGCTTCAGATGCAATAAGAATCGACCTGAAAATAATCAACATCCTGGATATCAACGGTGCTTGGATCGATTCAAGTGTCAGAAACCTCATGTTCTGTAATCCAATAGACCTGCAATTGAACTGATATTTCCCCGATACACGTACAGCGCTCGCTACCCGCTGCCCTTGGAGGTCGTCCCTCTCTCGACACACACACACACACACCACACACCGTAATACCCGCCCTGAAGGTTTCTCGTCCCAATAAATAGTAAAACCAAATCGATGCGGTAGACCTCCTTTCATTAGGCCAAGTGCATTTTATGTTTTATACAGGTGTAAAGGAGTAAACAAGGAGCCAAAGCGAAGGAAGAGAAAAGCAAAGACAAGGAACTTTCTATGCAACTATGCCGGAGCTGAAATGCAGCGTAACATGTACTGGATAATAAACAGAAACCCAAAAAGTTTCAGCGCCATGCAAACCATTAAACACCCCCTTTAACGCCCGGGATCCAGTAGCCGGCTCTGCTGAGCTTGATCTCCCACATCATCGTCATCATCGTCATCCCCAATGACGTGCTGGGCCGCCTCTCCATCTCGTTCGTCTGCATCAAGAGGTAGACGCTCGGCGGAGGAGCCATCCCTGTATCCCACTTCGAAATCGCTATCGTCGTCGCTGCCGCCGGCGAAAGCGTCATAGAGCTCGCCTCCGCGCGTGCGGCGTGTTTGCCCACCGCCATAGGATGCCTTCTCGCCGCCTTCGTAGCCATCGGCATCCTCGGCAAGGGGCTCGAACTCGTATTCATTGCCCTGGTTATTTCGTAGTTGCCTGCGGCGAGCCAACCAAAGATAAATGCCGAGACCGATGCAGAAGGCGATGATGAGGGCGAGTGCGCCGTATATCCAGACTTGCGCGCGAGACGACACGCCGAAACTCGGAAGCCACGATACCCAAGACGACGACGTGGCTGGCGCCGCAGTTCCGGTCTCTGTTGGCTTGCTGCTCTCCGGACGTTGGGGATCAGCATCCGTGGCCCCGGGATCGGCGATGGCCGTCTTAGTAGGAAGGGCAGTCGCCGTGGTAGAAGCGATAGCGCTCGTGGTGGCAACGCTGGCATGGTCACTGTCATCGGACTCTTGCGGCATGGGAAGCTTCACGGCCTTTTCGGGGTCAATCGATTCTCCCCATAGTTTCAGATGCCAGTCGACCCAAACACCTTCATGTTCATTTTGTTTGGTGTCCCTGACCACGACCTTCCACTTTCCAATACCACTTTCACCCCTGCGACAAGCGAAACGTTAGTTTTCGTGATGTGTCAAGCGATATAATACGCTAGCGAAAGAGCGAAACCTCAAAAACATAGGGGGACGGGGAAGGCAAGAACCAGGGCAAAGGGAATGTAAGACCCGGGGGGGGGGGCTTCTTACCAATGGGCTACGCTCATAAATGTCCAATCAACATAACCAGTATCCGCAGTGTCGTATTTCCGGGTGGTTGCAATATGGCTCACGACGTTCTGGGGACTAATCAAGTCAACACTGAGGTCGCCGCGCCGAGTATGGTTAACATTCATCGTGACAGTTATATGCTCGACACGTTCGAGGTTGGCCTCCTTCAGCATATCGGGGGTTATCTCGAATTCGTCGGACAAGCCGTCCTCTCCTTGGGGGATGGGCTTATTGACATGGATCCAGGGAGAGAAGTACCAGGCCTGAGGCTTGACCTTCTCCCAAGTCTTGGCCAGCTCGACGGCACCATAGGTGTCAATCTTGCCGAAGCCAAAGGTGTGGCTGAACTCCTTCCCGCTCGCCGTGGGCTGCCAGTCGTCGGCTTCGCCATAGATAGGTACAGCTGTTTTCATGAAAATATACTGCACATCTCTCCACGAGAGATCAGACCGGGCTTCCAAAACTAGGGCAAGGATGCCAGCGGCAAGGGGGGCTGCTGCGGAAGTGCCTCCATGACCAGTATAACATTTGTTGGCACCAACGTCGGTAGTATGCTAGAGGGCATGTTAATCGAGCCGCATACGGGGCGGAGAAAGGAAAGAGAAAAAGAAAGAAGAGAGAGTGGAAGGGGAGGGGAGGGGTTTGGGTTATCGCACGTACAATCGCATCATTGCTCCCGCTGCTATACGTCACCACAAGCTGCGCGGAGCAGAGTTCGGAATAGTAGGGGTGTTTGCCAGCTCGATCTACTGCGCCGACGGTAATGCTGTAGATGGAATTGGTGTAGCCGTCAAAGTTGCAGTTGTCCTCATTCGCAGCGCCGTTTCCTGAGGCAAATACGTAGATCGATCCCAATCCACCCCTGCCTTCCTGGATTCCCTTGAGCATCGCCTGGCGGATGGCAATGCCAGGGGCTTCCATAGACCGACCGTCATCCGGGGGACCCCACGAGCACGAGTAAATTTGATTATTCTGATAATCGTACGTCATCGCCACGGCCTCGTCCTCGTCGCTGATAAGCTTGCTGAGGATACGAAGGCCGGAAACCCGCGCGTCGTAGGCCACACCCACTCCGCACACATCATTCCGGACAGCAGCGATCTCGCCGGCACAGCGCGTGCCGTGGTGATCGTCGGAAAGCCTGGGTTTAGGCTCAGGGCCGGGATCGTTGAAGTCCCATGAGCCCTCGGCATAATAATTCGCTCTCAAATCCTGACTTGTCATGTCGAGACCATCGTCGACCATAGCAACGATGCTGCCCTTGCCCGTGATGCCCTGCAACCAGACACCGGTGACGTTTATGTCCTGACCCACTTGCACGGTATTGATCAAATGCCACTGATTCTTGAATATGGGGTCGCTGATATCCAGAGTGTCCATAACCTCACGCTGCATCCTAACAGCGCCATCGTCGGGTTTATCGGCGCGAGGGCTGGCGGGACGTGACGTGTATCCAGGGGGGATCCTCTTCGACCAAGGTTTTCGCGGGATGTCCTTTTTCGCCATGCGTACGCCGTCTAGGATATCGGGGCCGCGGTCTCGTTTCAGTTTTCGTGTGCGGAGGGCATCGGAGACGAAATCGACGTTGGATTTGGGCGCGGAGAAGACGTGGAGATGATCCAAGACGCCAACCTGGCCATCATGCTCGAGGCCGAGTCGGCGCGCTATATCTTGGGGAGAGACTCCATCATCGAGGTGGAGTAGGTAGTAGTCGCTCGTCTCGTAGTTGCGAGGGGTCTTCCGGATGGGGTGGGAGGCAAGGGCGGAGGCCAACAAGCCTAGGGCGCCTAATAAACGAGCGAGTCTCATACTGGCAGATTACCTCAAGACCAGGGCCAAGAGAAATGGCACTGGATGCCGTGACCAACAAGGTCGACGGCTGGGAAGAGGATAGAGGGGAGGGCGCGGCGAAGGGGGCCTGGCACGGAGTCTATTGCATTGGGGATGGGCGGGTAGAAGGGTCGCGACGGGCTCGATAAGAACAACTAGGCGTAAAAACTACTGTCGCGAGTTCATGTGAGAAATGGAGCAATAGAAGAGGCAAGAAATAAATGGACGCTAGCCAGTGGAAGAGACGGGGCTAGGAGGAGATGGAGGTCGACTGGAGTATGATGGAATTTAAGGAGAGCCTACAAGGTCGACAGGCTTGAGAGATACGCACCAACTCGGAACTCGAGTGATCCAAAATAAAAAAGAGGAAGATGGAAACGGCGGGACAACTTACTACGTATGAACAAGAGAGTGTGAGAATTGAAGTAATAAAAGAATAATAGAAAGTGAGATATGAGAGTGAAGTCTGCAAATGGGTTGGCGACCTGGAGGGGAGGCCTGGAATTAAGCACGAGTTTGAAGAGCGCTGTAGATTTAGCCTTCAAGTTAGCCGGGCTTGAGTCGTGGCCTCAATGTGGATGTCGTCAATGGATTTTTGACTAGGCTCTCTGGATGGAGAGTGGGCAGTGTACAGCAGCTGGCAGTGGACAGACGGCAGGCGACAAGGCGATCGAGACAGCACAGACTTGAGGAGAGAAGACACAATGTGCTCTGGCTGACCCACAAACGACGATCGTTGGAGGCAAGCACTTCGTACTTGGTATTACTTGGCACAAGTACTGAGGTACACAGGTATTATGGGTAATTATGGACGCCACAGTTGCAAAAAGAATGGTGAGACAGCATAGATCTCGCGCGAGTTCTGTGCGGTACGAAGGTACTTCGATTTTCTTCGAGATTACGTATGCAGGCCGTCCAAGTATTTGTACGAAGTACTTCGTAGTGTAGGTCAAATGATACATGGATGGAGTACGTAAGTCGATGCGTGTTTCGTGAGAAATTCACCAGAGGAATTTGATGAAGAAGTACACAGGTACTTCGTATGCCGAATCGCTTCCAAGTTTGTGACCAAGTCCCGAATTTTATGAAGTAGTGAGTGTACTTGATCGCAAACCACTTTTTAGTGCACATTAATCAAATTAATGAATCAATTCATCAATCAATCGTAATCGCACATCAAATACACAAAGCAGTCAAGTCGAAGTATGCCCAATCAAGGCTGACCGGAAGCGGCAGAATCTTGACCAGGCAAGTACTTCGTGCTTGCTCTAAGAACCATTGGTAGCCTACAATCCTCATCTTGGGTGGACTTGTGGCCGTCCTTTTGATAATAATAGCGCTCGAAGTACCTCAGTGGTGTCAGAGCTTGCATGCTTTTCCATGGTTGGATCATCAATCGAAAAATTCTAGAAGCTTGAGGCTAGACTCAACTTCCTCCCTCAGCATCAACTCCGCTCTCGACACATCAAGATGCTATTCGAGAGCTAGAAGGCTAAGCCATTCCATTCTTGCTTGATTTGCTCAACGCTACTTTCGCTTGGGCGCTTGGTACTCACCAACGCCCCTTCCAAAGAGCCCACCATCTTGGTCTAGGAAGTTGAGTTTGGGAGCCTCCTATGGATTCGTTCTCTTGGTATCTTACCGTGGCTCCCTGCAGTAGGTGTAACACCCGGCTCTCATCACAACACCACAACGGGAGAGTCGGGAACGCCTGTTTCGTAGGAACCATTTTATGGTTGAACCCGCGCCGGGAAGTTGGAAGATGCATCAAATCATTACAAGTAGGATTTCCGCACCGGCGCCTCAAATTGGCCATGGGCGTCCAGCTACTCAAAAGCCCAGAGATGGAGATCCCAGGGCAAAGCCTGGAAACGGACGTAAAAAACAGAATCAGGTCCGCAAGAGGTCCGCAAGAGGTCCGCAAGAGGATTGGAGTAAAGAGTCTTTCGTGCGGTCAATTGTTCTGTCCCCATCTTTCAGGGTGTCCGCGGACCAGCGTTGTTCGAATCAATGATGTGGCTGGGTCTCCGGTCTAAGCCTGCATCGGACATCAGACGGGTACGCGTACGGGTGCCAATCCCACTTCCACCGAGAGGCACTTACACGAATGCGGTGGCAGAGCGAGAAGACGTAATTAATGAACAGTAAATGGTGGGAACTACGACTGGGATTGGTCCGAGTTCAGGTTTTCTCCAGCCACCGCATTTTCCGTCGGGACCAGGAACGAATGAAGATTGAACATTAGACGTTGATGACCCCCCGGCCCATTTCCTTGGCCCAGCTTCCAAGCTGTTGCTTTTCTTCATTGAAATTGATGCAAGTGCGTGATGTGGGATGTGGGATGCCCGGTACGAAGTTGTCCTCAGCCCTCACACAGTAGAGTCGAAATTAAAAACTCGCCTAGAAATGCCAAGTGATACAGAAACACCAACGAACAGTCTCATCAATGTGTAGCCCTGCTGTCAAGGGGAGACAACGTTTTACATCAACCACTGAAGCCGACTCATTCAATATTGTCTCTCTCCCTTGATCTGCCGGCATTCTAGGCCAATATCTACATCGCATCGAAATCTACTACCGCCTACCACCCCTAACTGGCGACTAGTATATTTCTAGACCTCGAAGAGCAACTCCGTCCCTTTGGCGTCTTGTTCCTATTACCTTTGGGAGAATAGACACGAAGGAGAAGGAGAGGAACGAAGGGAGGCCCATATTGTATCAATTGGTAGTAGCAAGCCTCGCGGACTCTCTCAATTGGGACTTACACCCTCCCTGACTCGATCTACTTTGTAGGCGAGCCAAGAAATTACGAGGTCGCTTTTATTCCTCACCCTCACACTCCCTGTTGTAAGTCTCGTCATCATCCCGTCCAGCCATTGAAGCATCCCAAAATATACAGGTACCATGCCGAGAATAATACACAGCACCATGTATGACATGCCCGACCACATCGATTCTCAGCTCGCGTCCTCGCATACGAACTTCATGACGAAGTACTTTATTGTTCGTGCTTGTGCTTGTTCTGGAGTGGAACCTGGATCGGGGCTTGGGCGTTTAATTGATGTATGCAAGGGTGTCATTGTCCGCTAACAAGTTGGAGCAAGGGACCATACGAAGTCGAGACTGGAGCAAGTGAAGTGGTCTGTGGTCTGTGACCAAGCCAATGCCTTCGATTCGTCCTTTAGATTGATCAATCTTGAAAGTTGACGCCCACCCCAGCCTCCAGCCTCGTCCCTTCCCTCAGCTTTTCCCGCTCCCGTCCCAGCTTTGCCGCGTTCCCACAAAGCAACATCAACATCAAAAAATACCAAGCCATCCCCTACGCGTGCCGTGCCGTGCTGTTCTGAAAACCTCTCATCTCTACGTCTCCATTCTCCATTCTCGCTTCTGGTAAAAAGGAACAAACCCCGATTCCTCTCTCTGCGAAACACCGCCCACCAATTTCGCATGTGTCGCCATCGCATTGGCTGCCATGGAAGCTTGCATTCGACCGCTGCAGCCAGCTCGTCCCCACTAGCCCCGATCTCAGCCCAATCGCATCCCACCCACAACCAGCTGCCCGACTACGACCACAACCACTCAGTCCCACTCAAGCGAGCCCACTCGATCCTACTCGATCCCACGCTGAGCAGTTGAACCACCCTCGAAGCACCCTGCTTCCTTCCACCTTCTCCCAACTCTGAGCCTTCCACAAACGTCGCGAACTGAGGAGGGGGGCCGCCCCTCGCGCTCCAATCACCATGTCAACAGCTCCTTATTGGGGCAAGCTTCCCGCCCCCGCTGCCGCCACCATGCCTCCCTCGAGGCCAAACCGACACTCTGACGACTACGGCAGCCCTATGGACCAAACCCCAGCCGATGACAAGCCGCCTCAACGACCGCAACGCTTCTCCGTCCAAACTACAAACACCACAAACACCGAGGCTCCCACCGAATCTACCTTCAGCCCTTTCGCCTCGCCAACTGCCTCGAGCTTCCTTGGTCAAGGCCTAGCTCCCCGACCCCCATCCTATCCCTACCGTAACACCCCGGACTACCCGCCTGATATCGCCGACAAGCGCAGCCATCGTAGAACCCGGACTCGCGAAGACATCGAACCCCCGGATCTAGCCTCTCCCACTCCACCTGCAGCACCCGACGTCCCCAGAGCTCCTCCCTTGAGCTATCGCCATCCCTACAGCAACGGCGGCACTCCGGATCCATACGCTGCAGCGGCAGCAATGGTTGCTGCCGCCTCGAAAGCAGCGAGAGAGTCTGCGTCGCCCGTGGTGCCTGTGTCCCCCCTGAGCGCCAATATGGAAAGTCGGGAAGGATACTACCCTAGGACCCCTCGCTCTAGCCAACCCGACCACCTTCCCATGGAAAATAACCGACGGCCTATGGATAGCCCCCAGACTCGCGTCGCCGGCGAGGTACCCATGCAGCACGTAAGGAAAGGAAGCGTCAAAGAAGTAACCACCGGACGAAGCTTCCCTCTGGATGCCTCGAGCCAGCCGAGGAGGGCATCCGCGACCTCGCAGCCCGACCGCCGTAGAAAGTTCGCAAACGACCGATCACCGCTCCAGAGACTTGAGCTGACCCTAGACAGTATCTCGAAAGAAGAAAAGCGAGCCAAAGTCGAAGCTGCCGAGCAACGCGCGCGCGAGAGAGCCCGACGCGCTGCCGAGGCCACCAAGCAATCACCATCCACCCCACAACAACAGGTGCGATTCCGAGAAAGAGCTCCCTCTGCTAGCGGGAGCCCACGGGAGAAGCCTGCGGCAAGGCCGACACAGCATCAGACACCTCGCTCAGTAGAGCCACCCGTCGCCGTTCATAGGGGTCCTCTTACGCAAAACCCGCCAGGCGATGCTCGGCCTCATCAAGGCCCCGACCCTGACCGATCAGTTCCAGTTCCTGTCTCGATGGAACCTGCTCCGCCGGTGGTTGATGCAGCCAGCCCGCCAGCAGCAGCAGCCCCTGTGCCACAAATACTGGAGACTGGCAATATGGGCACGCCGAAGCGCAATTTAAGCTTCCGGGAGCGTGCCGCTCAGCAAGATCTCAAGCCTCTCAATGGCCTCCCCCACGACTCACCAGTCACACCGTCTACCGCTCCTCCGCCCTCGAATGGAGGCTTCTCTCTCACCCGAAGTGGCAGTAACAAACTAAAGAAAGATCCTCCTGGCGATCGGTGGTATCGCCTTCGCGTAGAAGCCCAGAACGCACTACCACAGAGCTATGCTCAGTCCCCGGCCCACCTGACTGTGACTGCCGCACCTGAGAATGGGTATTTCCAAGGCCACAGTCAGGAAGTGGTTCATACACCGCAGCAGACGCGAGACATTGATTCATATCCCAGCTTCGCCGCGTCTAGGCAAATAGCCCCCCCAACAAGGGCCTTTACTGAACCCCCAACCCAGCCGCAGCTGCATTCGCAATTGCAACCGCAACCACAGCCGCAACATCAGCCGCAACCTCAACAACCACAACCGCACCTGCAACCGGGTATTCGGCGGCATGATACGGAGCCTATCCCGAGGACAACCCAAACAACCGTCACCTTTGAAGATGATCCCAGGGTCTCTAAGGGCTACCTAAGCGACGGTGACTCTCGTGCAACTGGCACGGATCTCCGCCGGGCGGAGTATACCCCTGGAGATGGGCTGTATTTGCCCCCCAATTTCCTCGATGAGTGGAAGCAAGCTACTGTCGGGTCCCTCAGCGGCACACTTCTCCATCTTGCCGAGGACCTGCCCCAGGGCGTTGGTAAAGACAAGACTTGGTGGGAATCCGAGGGAAGCAAGAGAGGCATTTCGGCTCGTCCCCGGAAGGCAGAGGCGTTTGATGGTGAATATGCAGAGACCAATGGTAACACGTCCCCCCCTTTCCCAAACTTTCCTAACAAACCACAGGTCTTCGCGACGAGACCTTCTCTCGAGTTATTTTACTTTGCTAAGCCTAAACCTTGTCTCAGGTCCCACCAGATTCAAGCCCCAATTATACCTTCAATGTGGCCCTTTGCTTCGATACTGCGGTATTCGCCGTGAGCTAGTAGCAAAATCGACTCGAAATCCCACCATCGTGGAACGGGAGATTTGGAGAGGCACGATCATGATCGTTACTCGAGATTCGGATTCGTCATACGATATTACTCCGACCTTGAGGTTGTTCCTTCAACCCATTGAACTGCTGCCACCTCCGCCAGTACAAGTAAACGGCGACCTCTCACCAGAGTACGTTGATCCGATCGCTGGCCACCCCAAGCTGGGACGCCGCGGAGAGACTCTCTATGTACGCCCCGTAGAGCACCTTGAGGAAGCCAAAGACCTATCTTTCAATGAGACCGAGGAAGGGCTCTATGAAGCTACGAGAAGCCCACCGGATGTTCCCCTTCCAAAGGGGGTAACTGACCTTCCCGGCTCCTACGCCAGCCGTCACAAGCGCATTAAAGTTGATGGCGAGAAAGTTGCAAAGTACAAGGATGTTCGAGGCTTCCGCTTACACGCCGAGAGAGGCCATACCTTCTGGCGTTTTAACGTTGAAGTCGAACTCGCGGAACAACAGCAGCGAGTGGCTTATCGCATCAACCGCGGACCAGCCATGGCATTCTGGGTACCCGCAAAGGGCCAGCCTATGAATATCATGTTCCACAGCTGCAACGGGTTTGGTCTCAATGTTGAAAGGACGGATGATTTCAGTGGCCCTGATCCTCTATGGCGCGATGTGCTTAATACTCACCAGGCACGACCTTTTCACGTCATGATTGGAGGAGGCGGCCAGATCTATAACGACTCGGTCATCGACAACTGTAGGGGATTCCGGCAATGGTACGAGATGAGAAATCCGCTACAAAAGTATAGCGCCCCGTTCTTGCCCGAGCTTCAAAACGAACTCGAAGAGTTCTATCTCGGTCAATACTGCAAGTGGTTTTCCCAGGGCCTGTTTGCGCTCGCTAACTCTCAGATCCCCATGGTCAACATGTTTGATGACCATGAGATCTTCGACGGTTACGGCTCCTACCCTCGTCGTGCCATGAACTGTCCAGTATTCGCTGGTCTTGGAGCCGTAGCGTTCAAATATTATATGCTGTTCCAGCATCAGAGTGTCATGGACGAGACAGATGCCTCAGAACCCTCTTGGATCTTGGGGACCGCTCCCGGGCCGTATATCAAGGAATTGAGCCGCAGTCTGTTTATGGAGCTCGGTTCTGAGATCTCGCTGCTCGCCGTCGACTGTCGGACAGAACGGACAGAGCTTGATGTTATTACAGAGGAAACATTGAAACAAATCATGAATCGGTGCTTCGCGGATGTTAAATCCGGCTCCACCAAACACCTCCTCGTCGTCCTACCCATTCCCATCGCTTACCCGAGGCTTGACTGGCTTGAAAACATGTAAGTCCATGATGTATACCCTACATTCCCAATTTCGCCAATGATGGGTACTAATCATATGCTCCTTGCTTTTTTAGCTTGACCTCGCGTTTGATGCGCCCAGTCAAGGCTGTGGGCAAGACAGGTGTGCTTGGATCGAAGCTTAACCAGCTGGATGCAGGCAGCGAGGTTCTAGACGACCTAAATGACCACTGGACTGCTAAAAACCACAAGGGCGAACGAAGAGACGTTATCGAGGAGTTGCAGGACCTGGCCGCAATCAAGTCTACGCGCATCACGATTCTGAGGTAAGTAGAACTCTTCGATATTACTCGATTAGCGGAGCGTTTAACTAAATACTCTGAACAGCGGCGACGTCAATCTAGCAGCGGTCGGACAGTTTTATTCGCACCCAAGATTCCGGCTTCCCAAGCATAAGGACTACCGCTACATGCCCAACATTATCTCATCGCCGATAGCGAACAGTCCGCCTTCGAATCTGATCGTCGACATGGTCAACAAGAGAAACAAAGTACATCACTTTGACAAGTACACCGAAGAAGACATGATCCCGATGTTCCCTACGGGAGTTGAAGGGAAGCCACGCAATAATAAGCGCCTTCTTCCACATCGCAACTGGTGCTCAATTAGAGTATGGGCACCAGGTAATACCCCGCCGCCATCAGTCGCCCCTTCGGTGCGCGAGAGAAGCATCACGCCTCCCCCCAGCAGCGGTAGTGGTGGGATCTTCCGGCGCCTCTCTAGGCGCAAAAATTCGACACGCAGAGCCGAGGGACCCCACGATTCGCGGCCTCCGGTCTCTGGCTCAGGCGGGCTCTTCCGCTCCTTCTCTCGGCGGAAATCGGTTGACACCGGTCGGCCAGCCCCTTCGTCAGGGAAGCTAGTCCGATCCCTATCGGTGAACAGAGCAGAGTTCAGCGCGAGAAAATTGGTGGGCCTGAGCAAACCCCAGGGCTCGTATCATGGCAGTAACCATCAAGTTCACGAATCTGACGACAGGGCCGGCGACTATGAGCCGTACGGTGATGTCTACGATCCACGGCCCGCACCAGAGGCCGGCCCAGGCTGGACGAGCAGGCTCCGTGGGGGTGGCGAACCAGAGTATGAGCAAGGCGACGAAGCGGCCTTCACAGCACGACCTGTGCGGCCCGCTCAACCACTCCCACTGGACAGCAGTGCCGATGATTTCGTTCCTAAGCCGTTCCACCGCACACCTACTGGCCTATCGACGAAGCAGCGCAAGCACGCAGATGACCTTGCCGTCGACCTTGAGGGCGGGCTCGATATCAGCCTCAACGTCGAGGTCAATCCCAAAGACCCTGCGGGAATTACCGTGCCGTACCGCATTCTTGTGCCGCGGCTCTTCCACGATGAGGAGGATGAGAAGAAGCACGACGCCATGTTGGCGTCGGAACAGCCCACCGGGTTTAAGAGATTCTTGAGTCTTAAGGGCAAGAAGCCTGCTCCTGAAGTTGTCGAGCAAGTGACTATGGAGCAACAATCGCCATCGTTGGCGCACACACAGTCGCTCCATAAGAGGACTCCCCCGAATGGTAGTTATGGTTATGATACCGTCTCCAGTGTTGACCGCTATGATAGTCAGGGCGATATAAGGATGGGCGGCAGATAGACGCCATATCCGAAGACTGTTTTTGCAGGGTAAAAAGCAGAAAAAAAGAACCAAAAATATTGATTAGTTTATCGTTTTCGAGGAAGGATACACGGATGCATAAGACAAAAACGTTATACCTGGTTGTTTGTGTATTATATTTGGGTCTTATCTTTTTTTCTTTTGGAGCTTCCTGGGGTATCGGATTCCCTTGGAAGTCGAATGGGTTTTAGAGATTAGGAAAGGGAATGGGCATAAATTAGAAGAGTTTTCGAGCAAGACTTCAAAAATACAGCTGGGATTTTACCTCTTGCTCTCATTTTCTTCCATAAACGGATCTACATCTCGCATGCCCAACAAACCTGTACAGGAAAGGAGCTATGGAAGTCATCTCACATCTCACACATTGGTCCATGATAACGAACTACCAATGAAGGATGACCTGCGAATTGTCTTTCAGTGACATGTATAATATCTGATTTACTTGTTATTTGTCGATATATTGTTGGTTTTATCTTTCTTTTAGAGTCTTAGCTTGAGATGCACCCAAGACGATTCTTAGAAGAGGAGAACATACCTGAGTGTATAGAGTTATTGCCGCCGAAGCTCACAACGGACCCGAATATATCGGCGATCCGGCTGCTTCGACGTGAGTATTGGCCATGGGGTAAAATACTCCAGCACCCCGGTCATCTCACCCCTTGGTAGTTATCCTAGCCCGGAGACACATACAAGGACGCGGGAAGCATTCTTGGCTAGACGGTGGCCCCAAGACAGGAAATTGGAATAAGAGGGCATGAATCCACCAGATGGATAAGAACTAACAGTCCTCTTTTTTAGACATTTTCTTCCGTTCCCAGCATCACTGGCCATCAGCATCCCGAGAGCCTCCTTCCGGAGTTCTGCTCCTGCTCCTGCCCCGGCGCCGCCCTCCACGAGCTCCACGGCCCCCTTTGCCCGGCGGGGGCCGGACGAAAGCAAAGTCCACATTGATCGTTTGATCTAGAAATTTGGTGTTGTTGGCGCCGTTTATGGCGGCCCTTGCTTCCTGGAGCGTAGCATACTCCAGGAGCGCGTATCCCTACAATTCAAATCAGCCATTTTTCTTCTCTCTAATCGTGCCGACAACATTTCCAATCGAGTCTTCTTCGGAGCTTGTCTCATCCTCCCATAAAAGACGGGGGGCGGGTGGTTCCAGCAAGCGGGTAGGTGACACAAACCTTGACGTAACCGCTTCTCCGGTCAAGATTCAGGTGCAAATTCTTAATCTCGCCGTACTCGCCAAACCGATCCTGCACTGCTTCCTCATCCGCCTCCTCGTGGACGTTCGTCACGATGAGAATCCAGCCTTCCACGCTGCGCACCGCCTTTGCGCCCGCTTGAGTCTGCAGGTCGTCGTCCCGCACCCCACTAGGCGTGGGGCCGGAATCGACATCCATTTCTGTGTCCGACATCTGGGAAACGGTGGAACTGGTCGGGAAAAGTTAAAGTCGAGAAGAGAGGAATTGAGATGAAAACAACGTATCGATTGGGCAGAGATGATGTACTATTGGGTCTGAAAACGCCAGAGAGGCACGCTTGGATGAGATTCAATGCGATGAGGTCAAAACGATTTTGGTGGTCACCCGATTATGTAATACAACTTCCCCTTCAAACTGTTCACTTGAACCATCACACTCATCCCGCCGTTCTTTCGAACGTCGAGCACTTGCTATTACAACGGACTGTTCCAGTTCAAGACTTATTAAAATGGTAATAATTCCTTAACGATACGACCAATTTTATGAAATACATTGTAAAATCCCGTAATTTCCTATATTGACCGCCCACCCCTACTTATTTATACTCGTCGCAAACTCCCAACGCTTCCTGAGAATAACTTGGATAAGAACTGCCGGGTCAATTATCCCGCCATTCCTCGCCATTCGTCACGCCGCTTGGCTCACCGTTACCAGTTGTATGCACAGAAGGGAGTGCCGAGTCCTCGTCATCGTCGTCAAGGGCTTTGGCGAGGTCATCTGGATCGTGCATCCTGGCGTCGGGGTCAACTGCATCATCGAAGTCCACGTCGTTTTGGTGACCAGTCAGCCTCTCCGTCTCATGAATACCATCATCAGCGGAGACAGAAATTCCCCGAGATCCCCACTTCGGGCGAGCCGAGCTCCGAGGTTGGTTGCGACCGCCAGTCGCCGGGCTGGACTCTTCATCATCATCATGCTCCACGTGTACATTTGGACCGATGATCCGTCCGATAAGCCAACCCCGTTGATAGTCTTGGGCATCGACAATGCCACCGTTTCGTAGCCTGACACGGGGGCGTGTGTAGTAGCACTGTTGGAAGAGAGATGTTAGTAACAGTCAAACATAAAAGGGCGGGAAGATTGGTGCTATCGAACCCAGAAGAAGTCAATGAACAGAGCGGTTTGGATGACACCAAAGATGACCGAAACGGCGTTGGGTGGTCTACTGGAGGGATCAACCCCTCGATAGATCCAGTTCAGGACATAGAGAAAACGATAGGTGCCGAGGGCAAGCAGATAGAACGAATTTATAACCGTCGGGACCGTGGTTTGGCGCAAGAGAAGAAGCTGAGGGAGAACGCAGACCGATTCGAGTATTACAGAGAAGTCCCAGAGCCACTGAGAGAAGCTCCAATAGCTCTCAAATATAAGCATGGCAAAAGGCGAGACGATAAATGAGCCGCCGAGAATGGCTGCACCAATCTTCCATGATATCTCGCGCTCTCTAGTTCTGGGGAAGACCCATTGCATGATAGCAATGATGTAAAGCGAAGAAGTGATGTAGAAGATTTTGAAGAAAAGATTATACGGCGACGGCTCGGTGAAGATATCGAGGTATCGAGTACAGAAAACGATCGCGTAGAGGATCTGTGTAATCATCGACACTCCTGGTGAGACGGCGCGGGACATGGGTGATCAGTAAAAACACAACCTCCTGAAAGGCCTAGAAACTTGTTTCAGGTGGTGGACATACCTTCAGCACTGCGGTTGCGATGTATCGCATACATGAGGATTCCTTTCGAGGATATGTGAAAGATATCCCCCGCAACGCGGAAGACCTAATACGTCCTGTTAGCTGGAGAAACTAAAACTACAATGGCAATTAAGACGGACGCACATTGAAGGCTCCTGACGACATGACGGCGAATTCAAACCAGACACCTAAAATAGACGCGCAGTATAGAGTTGGGAAAGGATGGACGGAGCTGAGGCCGGCACGATCGTAAGGGTGGCCAAGCCAGGAGCCGGATGGTAGGCGAATGAGACTGGGCGCGTGAGTTGGGAAGCTGGAAAGGCCTGGGGAAGATTAGATGGCGTTCTCCTGAAACTGTCGTGATAGAGTCATGGAGCACTCGCCGTCCAGAAGCGATAGTGCTTCGGCACAACGGCGCAAAAATTGGCGACGCAAAATGAGCTAGGCCGGAAGTTGAATATTCATCTAGATGATGAATGACGGAGAGAGTGGCCTAAGAATGATGAAGCATTGGCAGAACACCATTCTTTGGTGGCAGCCTGGGTAGGATTACGACAATGGAAGGACGTGACTTCGTGACTTGGTGACTTCACATTGGCTCGAACTCAGCTGCTGAAATGAGCTTCGGTTAGTCAGCCTCATGAGCTAATACAGTGCAATATACAGTGCCAGACACAACTCATGACTGCATCGACGAATAAAGTTCTCGACGGTCGCAGCTCATTGAAACGCGACTTGGTCGTACTTGACGCGTCTCGAACATCACGTGGCGGGGCCTGTAGGGCTGATGTGAACGACCCTTCAACTTCATTCAAGGAACTCAGGGTGCTCTGGCCAGCACCTTCAATCGACGCAAAAATGGCCAGTGAGTAGCATTTCAGTTACCCATTTTGGTTCCTACTCATGTCTCATCATATTGTATTAACCGTAAATACTCTTAGCTCGTGAGGATCGCATGCGGCAGCGCCTTCGCGGCGCAGTGTAAGTAACAGGCCGCCCTAGGTCTGGGAATTAGTGTCGGTTCTAACCAGTTCGTCTTTCAGCCGCCATCAAGTCGAAGATATATCCTTTGGCTTCCAACTCCCTGAATCGGAAGATAGCAGCCACGTGGAAGGGTCTCCAGACAACGCGGCTTCTTCAACCCATGCGACTACTCGTGCGACCCCTCGCACGTCGGAAAAAGCCCAACTAACTCCTACTAGACAACCCTCGGGTGCTTCAAGTAGAGGGCGCAGCTCTGCCCAGAAGGTTGAAGAAAATCCTGATCCGTTAGCCTCTGGGGAGGGTGATGAAGATGGCCCTCGAGTTAGTGAGGGGGAGGATGATGTTCTCGCCCTACTTCCGCCCGCTCCATCCGGTCGGTCGTTTACTACCCGACGCTCACTAGCTACGTCTGATGTTGTGGAAGAGAGTCCTATCCACGCACCTGGTAGTGGCCATCGACGAAGTGTTCGTGATGAAGACATCCGAAGTTCATCCCGGAGACTGCAAAGCATGCTTCGGTCAATGGGTTCCGAGGCGCATGAAAACATGAGTTCATCTCCACTCACGCGAAAGTCAGCCCAGCGAGCCCGAAACCAACCACGGCCCTTGGCGCATAATAGCCCCCGTCAAGCTCGATCTTCGAACTCTTCTCTCATTGACGATATTGATGAATTGTCACCCCAGGCTAGTCGGAGCTTCATTGGAGAGGGCGAAATCGCCGAGGAGGTGGGCGATGCAGAGGCCGCAAGAGTTCTACTTAGGAAGCGACCTAGAAATAGTGTCGCTCGGAAGAGCTCTCCTCTGCTGGACTCCATCGTGGAAGACCACGATTCTGGGGCTGGTTCGGGACAAGATTCTCCCACCGCAGCCAAGTCTAAATCCTTGGTCGAGGTACGGCCGCCCCTGAAGCGCAGAAAGAGACCTCAACTTAGTCCTGCGAAACAAAAACAGCCTATACATAAAAACAAGTCGGTACGGAAACGGAAACTGCGGAAACCCGAGCCTTCACAGAATGATGAAACCTCGGCGGATGAGATAGGTGCCATCGATGATGCAGCTATTGTTCCCGTCACTGTGCAGCGTTTCGCACGGCCACGAAAGTTGGCTCGAGGAGAAGATACTGATCTGGACATTCTTGCCATGGACATCCCATTTGTCAATCAGAAGGGCGTGAATGTTATTGACGTTCTCGCCCAATCCTGTGAAGAAGTGATCGGCGCCTGCATTGAGCAGCTCAGTGATGCTGTTCAGAGAGAGGATAGCGCATCTACGCGCAAAGACCTTCGCGTGAAGGCGAGAGCACTCGAGGCATTTGCCGAAGAGCTGCGGACCAAGTTTCTTACTCAAGTAAGGCTCCTGATACAACCCCCCTTCCATCTTCCCTTCCAACCCTTTCCCTTTCTTTCTTTCTTTCTTTCTCTTTCTTTTTTGTTTTCCCGTTGCCAGTCAGTTCGGCTCGACTCTAACCCGAAGAGTAGACTATTATGTTGGACAACCTTTACTCGTTAAGACAGCGAGTTAAAGATGCCGAAGCGACACGAAACAAGCTTCGCGATAGCATACTAGAGCGTCGTAAAGAGCAGGAGGAGATTCAGATCCGAATAGATGTCGAAAGAGAGGCACATGAAGCAAATCGAAAACTCCTAGCCGTAAGTGGTCCTCTCGAACGACAAAAAGCTAAAGTTGGAATTTGCACTGACGAATTTGTTCTGCAGAATCGATTAGACATGTCTTCGGCCTTCCACGCCGTGCGATTGTCTGTGGAGAAAGGCAGAGGAGAACCTGCCGCTCTCAATTCGCAGCAATTACAAAAGGCAGGTCTAATTTCTCTAGAGTTATCACTGCCTCATATTGCAGACCAAATCTGTAGAACTGGAGACGGGGGCGGTTTGATGCGAAAAGTATCTCAGTTCAATACCTTTCTTGAACGAGCGGCAACAGAGCTTGAACGTCGTGTGTAGCAAATCCTGCATATTAGTAAATCCACGATCTCTTGAGGAATGAATTATGAATTAACAAGACAGCCGCCGAGATGCTAGGCCTAGGTAATAATATTACAAGGGTATTTATGATCCTGCGTCCTTGAATCGCATCTAATATACACTGCCTTCGCAGACTCTTTCCTGTTATTGTAGCGCCGTATTCCTGGCCAGGTGTAAGAGAATGGACGATGCGGAGAAGTAGGCGACTTACGAATTGTAGAGGAATAGTGGAGAGTACTCGCCCTGGGGTGGTGGTGTTGCCATGGTGGGTGTGCTGCAAGGGCGCAGTCGAGCGATTGGCTTGTTGGAGCAGAGGACCAGAACATCCAAGCCTACGTCCGTTTCTCATCGTTGTCGGATTCTGATCGCGGCCCCATGAGGCCCCAAAAGTAATCGCCCATCGTAGACTTTCCTTCCGCTTTCCTTTTCCTCCGCTCCGCAGCTTCACTAGCCCTCAGTTCCTTAACCCTCTCCGCCGTATTCAGTCTTGCATAATAGTCGGCTTTCAGTGCCGCCTCTTCAGCCGCTCTCTCGTCCTCGGGGAGCTTATCCAACTGATCTTTCCAGACCTTCGTGGTAGCCTCGTCGGGAGGGGTGGTTGCCTTCGACAGCAAGGGCGGCGGGATGATTTCGAATGTGGGTACAGGTAGACCCTGCTCTCGCGCCTTTGCCACTGCTTCTTCATGCTCGAGCATCCTTTGGTAAAGGGAATCCGCATGAAGTTGGATGTCTTCTTCGAGTATCGCGGATCGACCCGGCTCCGCCTGATAGCCTAGGACACGAAGAAACCTCTGTCCCATATGTAAGCAGATGATAAAATATTTGCGCATGGATAGCCTAGTAGCTGGTGACGACATCATACCGACTGCATTGAATAGCAACGCTCGAACTTCTTAACCTTATCCCTGCACATCTGTAACGTGTCGACCCAGCTTCCCTCCACCATGCACCTTCTCCATTCCTCTTGTTGAAAAGAACAGTTCTCCAGCGCTGCCTTCGCAATCACCATCTTGCGCTCTTTATACCCGTCCAACACATCCATCAGCTTCTCATGACTGCTTTTCGTGTCGGCCTCCACACTCTCTAGTGGCTTGTATGTCTTCCAGAGGTCGGCATATCGGCCATCTTGGTAGAGGCTAGCGGATGGCACACCAGATTGCGCATCCTGTCGCGGCTTTTCAGGAGCCGGGCCTCGTTGGCTCGTCTCGACATCAGCTGGGGTTCGGTTGGGTTGGAATTTAACAGGCGACTCTTTCTCCAGAAAATCTCGTAGCTTGGGGTCAAGCTTCTGAATGGGATCGTCGGCGGATTTCGATCCAAAGACGCTATCGAGCCATCCCATCGTGTTTAATTGTTTCTGCGTGCGTTTTCGGCCAAGAACAATATTTCTGAAGACAAAGGGTGCGGCACACGCGGGGATAGAGATCTCAAGCATTGAGCATTTTTGGGCAATGTACACGGACACAGACAGGTACTGGTCTCGAATTCTCATCATTGGCACACTGTGTTAGGTAATTTTAAATACTGTGGGACCATCGAATCCTGCATTCTAAGTTTTCATTTTGCGGTCCTGCCCCATTGAACCAAGAGGCTGGGTCGCATGGCCTGGGCCTTGCTTCCTATCGCTCAGTTACGAAGTACTCAAAAACGAAAGGCACTTGGTCTCGGGAACTTCCAACAAAATAGGTCAAGGACTCTGGGAGAAGCATGATTTCGACATTGCCGAAGCACAACGAAGGAAACGAGTGTGGCCAAGAGACCCGCGAGACTAGAACCAGACAACCCTTTTTTTCATGCCAAATCAAATTCATGAGCTGCATCTATACACATTGGGCTAAGTGCAGCGTCAACTAGTAGAACCGACCGTCCGGGTGTGAAAACCATTTTCCTTTTGCTCCAAAGAAATGCCGTCAATGGGATCCTTTTTTTAGAACTTGCTGAACTTCTTCACCGCCTTGCCAGTTCGGGGGAGCACACGAAGAACGTTGAATCGAACCTATAAAAAGAGCATGGGATTAGCATGAACTGTGTGTCGCAAATGGCACCGAACCAAGCAGAGGGAAGACAAGCACGGGAGCGATCGAAACGAACAGTCTTGCTGAGGGGTCGGCATTGGCCAACGGTGACCTGGTCACCCTCCTCGACACGGAAACAGGGGGAAACGTGGACGGCGAGGTTCTTGTGCCTCTTCTCATATCGGGAGTACTTCTTGATGAAGTGGAGGTATTCGCGCCTGACAATGACGGTTCGGTGCATCTTGGTCGAGACAACGGTTCCGGTAAGGATACGGCCGCGGATGGAGACGAGACCGGTGAAGGGGCACTTCTTGTCTGGAAGAAAGGGCCATATATTAGCAATTCGGATCTGGGTATGAGTCGTTTTCGGTGGTAGCCTGCCCGCTCCAAGTCGACGCCCAGCTCCTCCATCCAAATCCGGCGAAGATTTCATGTCGGCGAGACATACCGATATAGTTGCCCTCAATGGCGGTCTTGGGGGTCCTGAAGCCCAATCCAACGTCCTTGTACCATCTCCTGCCACCCTTTCCAGGCCTGGTGGACTTGACCTTGACCTTGGCGTTCTGGAAGATGTGAGGCTGCTTGAGGTAAGCCCTCTCGGATTGCACGGTCAGTTCGGTCGCCATGGTGAACGATAAGTTGCGCCGGGAGATGTAAATTGAGTGATGCGGCGACGAAGGGAAGTGAACTCTCTGTCGACAATCCGGTCGAGTTATCGAGGTTCGTGGGCGCGGATTGGAGGTTGCTGTGTCGTGGTTGGTTAGTAGTAAAAGGATGGTGTTTGACCCCCCCCTCTACCAAAAAAAGAGAAAAATCGTGATTAGGGCAAATTTCAGGGCAGTTGTGTGTGTCCGCGCCACATAAGGCTTGCGCAAGTGGCTTTCAAAGTGGGTACATGTGGCTTGCCCCAACTTAAAATGGCTGTCTAGCCTGATTGGCTGAAAAGACGTTGTCGGGGTAACATGCGCTAGACAAATTACCAGCGGTCGTATATTGACATCGCGGGTGGACAAATCCATGCGCTTATTGGTCGCGACAACATAACATATCCCGGAGACGCGTTGGGTATGATATCTCCCCAAGAATCGTCATCGTCCCCCCCCTCATTTTGCACCAACGTCACCATCGTGTTGCGTTTAATATTGCGCAAGGCAACTCAATATGTCTACACAACCAGAGATACGGCGCAAGCGCAAATCTCTCGGCGCACCACTGACTGCTACTAAACGAACCGAGGAGAAGGAAAATGGTCGACGCAAGGGTTCGCGGAGCAAGAGCATCGGGCCTGGTGGGCTCGACGCATTGCAACAATCATCGGGGAATCGACGGGCGGTGAGTTTCTCCCAGAATGGAGATTGTTAAGACAGTTTGTTAACATACTTTAGTCCCTGGCTGCGTTGCCCAAGTTTCAACCACGCTCGATTCTCAAGCCAACAGCCCCATTAATCGCCGATATACCAGCTTATAAAAACCAAACGGAAACCTTGATCGATCTCGATTTCCGGGAGAACTTCACTGTGACAGGCGCCGAATCACTCCACAACCCCTTCCCGGACGAGTCAGCAGGCTCAAAGATCGCCTTACGCACTGAAGAAGAGCAGCAAGCCGCGGCGAAAGAGCGGGAAGAGCGCGAAAGGAGAGAAGCTCGCCGGAAGTCGCTCGCCAATAGGCGCGTATCTTTCGCAGCAGAAGCTACGCTGCACACATTCCATGAGATAGAATACCTGCAAGATTCAACAACGTCTACAGATTCAACACGTCGCGCTTCATCAGTCGCTGCTCAGTCTACGCCGCAAGCCGGCTCAAGCCACACATCCAACACCAGCGAGGAAGAATCCTCTGATCGCCAGAGGACCGGGCGACGCCGCAGCTCAGGCGTCCAACCTGCATGGGACAGCACGGCTGATGAGACTGTGGGGTCGAGCATCTGCGACTCTGATTCAGAAATCGGCGATTCTGTCGAGGAGGTAGAGGATCAGGAAGATATAGACAGCTCCAGCGATTCGGATGATTCAGACGATGGAACCCTGATGACGATAGATGGCGAAGAGATGACCTCAGCCTCCGTTGCATCAGCTGAAGACTCAACGCTAGATGAAGCTCTTCGACTAGCGGCGCAGCATGCTGGCACCCAAAGGCTAGGTTCTGATGATGTGGCCGAGGCAGAAGAGGTCATTCCTTCATTTGGATGGATTAAGAAAGACGCTAAGAAGGAGATTCCCGAAAATAAGAACAGCGAAGCGGAGATTCCGGCAGCAGCCGGCGAAGCCACGACGGAAATGGAAATGGATATGGATATGACGCATGCTGGTGGAGAAATTATTAGGCCAATCAATCGGGGAATACCAGACGACATCGTAGACATGTCGATGGATGTCACCAGTGCATTTGGGATGATCATCAGCCGTGGCGTGTCGGCTCCAGGCATTCCGTCACAGGATTCCCCTCCTGTCGAGTCCGAAAATCTACCCGCGAACGGAAACGCCCTGGGTTCTACCACTAGCAAAAGCTGGATCACGACCTCTGGAGAAGAGGATGACAGCTTCCAGGATGATGAAGAGATGTCAATGGAGCTAACTACCGTTGTGGGTGGTGTGCTTGTTAGCAAGAAGGCAGAATCGCAAAGACGTCGGACCCTATCTCGTCTCGACCGCACAACCAACATCGATGAAGCAATGGACTTGACAACCGGAGTTGGTCGCATCTTGTCTCAACAGCTTCCGGACAATGCTTACGACGTTGAGGAGACCATGGATATGGATATGGATATGACGATGGCCGTTGGCAAAATCCTACCGCCGAAACACCGCGAAACTCCCGTCGAGGACGAGTTCACCACCGACATGGAAATGACGACTGCGATAGGCAATATTTTACGGCCTCAGCCGGATGTGACAGCATCCCCAAAGCAACTGATGAAGCAGAGGGAAAATGCCAAAATAGTTTCTCCTGGGAAATTACCCGCTTCTGAGTCACACAAGAAACAACAAGGTACCTCTCTGTCTGCCAGTACAATGGAAGGAGGAAGCCCAGGTCTTTCTGTGTTCCGTGGAAAACAGATCCGACGTAGCCTGCCCTCAATAGTGGGAGATGGCCCTACGCCATCTCCGTTGACAAAGCCAACAACATCAGACACGCCTAAGACACCTTCAAAACAAACGGTTTCCCGCACCAAGAGACCTTCTCCATCAAAAACAAGTGCATCGCCCAAGAAGACACCAAGGGCCGTATCACCTCGTCGCCGGACTCCCGAGAAACAGACCACTGGACCGACTCCCAAACCAGATAATATTCCTCTATCCTCTGGGACTAAAGCAGGACCTCTTACACCTACGATCGCTCTGACCCCTCAAACAAGGAGGTTGTCTGGGGTTGGTGCAGATAGGACAGGCCTTGGATCACCTCGTGTATCCGCTCTTCTCGATCGCAGAGCTTCCATTGGAGAATCATGCGACGATTTCGCACCTCTCGAGATCACAGCCAAACGCAAGGTGGTCTTTGAGGATCCCCGAATGCTGAAGCAGGAGCTCGACAGGGAGTACGAGGAAGATGTGAAAAATAAGGATGGTGATAAGACAAAAGACGACAAGGAGGTTACACTCAACCTTAAGGAAATGATTGCAAGCTTATCACCAAAAAAGAATCCTTTACGTGGTCGCAAGAGCCTACACGTGGGCAGTGCCCGGGGTCTACTTGGCAAGCGCCCGGCGGAGCTCGATGATTCCGACGACGAGAAGGACGGTATCAAGAGATTGAAAGGTCACCAGAGTAGCCCCGTGAAAAACGTTCGATTACAGCAGCCTCCACCCAAAGAAGAAACCACAACAGGCAGGATGACCAGGTCCACCTCGCTGGGTCTAGAGACGGCAAAGGATGCGTTTGCTGCCTCGCTCTCGGAGTCGATTTGTTCCAAACCGAAGCAGAATGGCCATCTAAAGGGTTCGCATGCTGACGATGCTTCCCAAGTTTTGGGCCAGGACGACAGCGCCGCTCCAGAGAGCAAACTTGGTGGAGACGATGCCGGTGACCGTATCCATCTGCAGGAGTTTCTAAACATGATTTCCGTGAGCTTCATGGAACTTACTACATCAAAGAGGAGGCAAACGCAGGCACCAGCCGCGCTTAGAGACAATGACGACGACTTGTCTCTGGAGCGATGCGTGGTAGCGGGCGCTTGCACCGTTCCTATGCTCGAACTCTATCAGCATGTGAGTCTCTTGAACTAACCTCGGTGCGAATATAGATAGATCTTCCGCTAACTATGGTTTACCTGCAGTCTTGTCGGGAGCTCAAGAAGTATATCTCCGAGGGACGTCGAATTGTCAAGGAGATCGAAACGGAAACATTGCAGGATAATCCGCCCCTCTTTAGAGAATACATGTCGGCTTCTCCGGACTTCAAGCTACTTATGGACAATCAGTTCAAGAATGGCAAGACGCACGCACGACTCCTGAGCAAAGCCATGTGGTACGAATGGCGCATGAAACTTCAGCACGGATTGAGAGAAGGCCTTATAAGGATTGACCAAGGCATGGAAGAAGATTCCGTATCTTTAAAGAAACAACAACGACTTCTTAGCTCCGTCCTTCCTGGCATGGCATCGCACTACGAAGCCTTAGCGAAGGAGCACAATAACTTGGAAACCTACGCCAAGGAACTTGCCGATTGCGATCCCGAAGAGCTCCAGTCAGCAAGGAACGAATTTTTGCAAGTGGAAAGCGATATTGAAGCGAAGAAGAGGGAAATTTTCGAGCTCCGTAGTCAACTCCAAGCAGCGGAGTCGGAGATAGAGGAGGTTACGAGACAGAAAAATCAAGGCTTGGAGGACATCAAGGAGGCAGAGAGAGTGCGCGAGGAGTGCAGAGGCTGGACCGTGAAGGAGATCAATGTTTATAAAGGTATGAGAGTACATTCGGCCCCAGAGCATCCTGCACGAGGGCTGACGAAAGATGCATCCTCCCCTTTGACGCGATTGACTAACCCTGGTTCCATCTTCAGATCGGGTTGACGCTCTCGAAAAAGATCATGGTTGGGCGGTCACAGGCATTTCCAGCACGCAGGTCTCGATGGCGTATAAGCGCGAGATTGAACTCGTCTTCGACGTCTCATCTTTCAGAAGGGGGCAGGCCAACTCAAGGGTGGATCTGTGGTACATTGCGACGACAAAGAACTCTGAAACCCCACTCAGAACGACCGCCGATCGGGAATTTTTTCTCCAGCTCATTCGAGACCGTGTGCGGGCGCTCCCGCAGAGCCGCACCAAAATTAGCAACATGCTCTCCATGGTCCGTGCGGCGTGGGACATGGCAACAACCATCATGGACAACATCAACTTGATCAACGTCACTTTCCCCACGAAAATTAACAAGACCTCGGACACATCCATCGAGGTCGTATCCTCGCTTCTTATAACAGAAGTGGAGACGAAAGTAGAGGTTATACTTGGTCTCACAGGTGCTGTTGCCCCTGATGGCGTTCACCTTACCATCGAGCCCAGCGCGAGACTTGTCTACGGGCAGAATTTCAATGTCGGGAAGATCAGGGATTATTTGGCATCGAGGATAAACCAGCCTCCTAAAGTGCAGGAGCGGGCAAGCACAGAGCTATGGAGTGATGTTTTTATCGCTTTACATGGGAGGCTGTTGACGCGAGGGCGCAAGTAAGAATAGCTAGTGGGTATTGGCGTTTGGGCAATGAAATGATGGCAAAGCGGTTATTTTGACGGTAATAAGTACTACAACCTATATTTATGATAAAAGGAAAGCATTCAATCTCCATTTACCATTGCCATGTTTGTCACACGATGAATGTCGACCCCTTATCCCTAGCCTGCTAGCGGCTTTCCACGCAAGAAACACCATCTTCCACGGGGATTCATTCTCGCAAAGCGTCCAGAGTTCGATGTAATACTTCCACGAAAGTCGACAGCAGGATCCTTTGAGAGGTTGGCCATGCCATAGTAGCCGGTCCTAAGCGTAGAGGCTCTGCGTATAGAAGAAGCTACATCGTATTATCCCCCTCTGCATTTCGTCAAAGATCGACCTGCCCGGCTTAGCTCGGGCCCTTGAACTCGTTCCAATCTAGGGTCTCCATCTCAACAACGCAAGTCACTATCTCAGTATTATACGGGCCGACTACCTTAGATGGGAGGACCCGTGGGCTTAGTATCAAGAGCGTTCGCTCCTTCTCATTTTATTCGCCCCGCCGGGGGCATATCGTCCAGTTTTTGCGTAGTAGATGGAAAAACCTCTCGTGGGTGTGCCCAACTCCAGCTTCGTCCCGACTGAGGTATTGGAAGGAACCTCCGGAGTCCCACCACAAGCAAACCGAGGGCTCCTGTAGAGATAGAAGAGACCTTTTTCAACAATCTCGCCTCCCTTCACCCTAACCAGTATCTTCTATTTTTCCAATTCCTCTCATTCTTCCGACAACATCGCAATCTTCACTACCATTTCCGACTTTCCAGTCCTATCAGGTTCTCTCTTCAGTCCTCTTCTCAACTTCATCGATCCCAAACACCCGCTTCTATCGTGAGTTTCCTCTATGTCATTCATCCAAGCATCCACACTTCCATCATTTCGTCCCCGTCCTATCCTCTACCAACTCTTCTCTATTTCATCTTATCAAGCGTCCACACAGTTGTTCTCTAGATCTTCCACTTTTCTGCTGCCCAAAGCATTGCACACTCTCGTCTACTTTCCTCAACCAATTCCCCTCTTGCATTACCCATATCATCTATTCTATTTCCCATCCATCTTAATCCAAGCATCCACAATCCCTTTCCATTTATCTCCTCGTCGTTCAAAGGTTGGGACCTCCCTGCCCCTTTCACCTTTCTCAAATTCCCACATCTCGAGACATTGATTTTCCTTTTTGGTCAACCATCCCTCTGACATCAAGCTCTCTTTAAGCAGAAACCAAGCTCAATTACCCTTGAAACCAACAACAAATGACTCCTACAACAATGGAGAATTTCAACGCGTACCTCTGGTGGCTCCAGCTGCTCGCAATGGTGGCCTTGGCGCTATTTGGTGTGGAGCGTCTACTGCGAGGAAAAGAGGAGTCGCTTGCACTGCGACTGATGTTTGGAGCAATGCTCCTTCTCATCAACGCGGTGTGGGTGTCGAACCTCTTGGTCAATGGCGTATGCAACCTCTTCTTTCGGAGCCCGGCTGATGGCAGCGCGGAGGTGCCGATTCCGACGTGCCCAGGGGCTTGGCGGGAAGGCAACGACCCGATTCCGATCGGTGAGCTAACTCTCCCAGTCCCGAGCATTAGGATGATCACCGACCGGCTCCCACCCGTCAAGCTCTCCCTCTGGATTTGGCGCGTAATTTGCGACGAATGCCGCATTTTACGCAACAAATTCAGATGCTGGCTGGTAATCCAAGCCTGGAGAGTGGGTCGTAAGTTGATGGTCCCCTCCTGTCTCATCGGAAGAGAAGACGAGATGTGGCAATACATCGATCGCATCTCTCTGGTGAAACGGACGGACTCGGCAAAGGAGGAAGAGGAGCGCCTCCCCAGGGAGAAGGAGATGGAAGAAGTCCGAGCATGGCAACAGAGACATGCCGGATATGTGTACGTGACTACCCCTCCCTATAAGCTACTTACTGAGCTGACATCTTTCCCTTCTGGAATGTATAGGCCGCCATTAAGGCCGCTTCTAAACTTCTCCCTGCCGAACCGAGCTACCAAGTCCCAGGCGTAAGTTTATTTCCATTCTAATTGCCTCAAGTCTCCCAGTCTACGGCCAGGCTTGCTAACCAGAACAATGCCCACAGCCGAAAACCCGCCACATCTCGTCCGCTTCTCCCAACGCGTAATGCGAAGGCGGCTCGGGGTCACTCTGACTTCCAGTTGGTTTGGCCAGACCGCCGGGTGGAAATGCGGATGCGGCGGAGGCGACCTGGAGGAAACGCAAGTCTGAGGCTTACGGACATGTGTCGAAAGACTGCGGTGACCTCCATCCACCATCAAGAGATCGAGATTCAGAGGTGTCCGACTCAAGGATCTTCAGACATGGGAGACGTACAGCACTCCCCGATGGTGGAGCCTCAAGACGCAGGGTTGGCGGCAAAGGTCGTCCAAACCCCAACTCTTGAGGCGGTTCGAGCCGAGGTCTTCGAGCCGATGGATATTTGTCCTCCGGCCAATACAGGCGATTATGGCGGTCTCATTTCCATGGGAATTGAGACCCCGCCTGTGGCGACCTTCGGCGGGCCCGAATTCAAGGACGAGGATTCTCAGGACGGTGGCGATCTCGTTCCCATGGAAATCGATATCACACCTGTACCGAGCTCTGAAGTCCCTGAGTTCGAGGACGAGGAAATTGACCAGCTCGCAGATGTCCTGGAAAAGTTGCATCTTGACAGCCGGTACTGGGATCCGAGATAGGAAACTTCGGCATCTCAGCGCTGGGTTGTTCAAGACAACATGGACATCTCTCCACGCCCGACACCGCCAGCCAGTCCTTTCATCCAATCCCCCGAGAGCTCTCCCCTCCTCGCGCCCGTCCAACGACTTGAGGCTATATCAGTAGACATAAGCCTCGTCTACTATGGCGGAGGGTGCTCGGGTGAGGAGATGGAAGGAGTGAGGCCCGAGCCTACCCAGGTGGTCCTCCCGCCTCCCACGCCGACGGCGCCGGAATTCAAACCCGAAGCGGGGGCGGTGGCTCAAGTGGATAGAGCGTTAACCAACCCCGCCAAGTTCCAGGCAAGTCTGGCTGAGGAGCTAGTGGCAGCGCTAGAGGAAGATGAGCCCGCCGAGACGCGCACGTTCCCGTTCACGTTCCAAGCTCCACTGAAGCAGGAACTGAAGCAAGAATCGCTGCCGCCTCAACCCCCAAAAGGTGGGTCTCTCTCCTCTAAGCGTCCCACGGGTAGTGGCCCTCCCCCATATCATCCGAAGGGTGGCTCTATCCCCTCTCAACGCCCAATCGTTGGTCCTGTCCCCTCGGTGCCTTCAAGCAACACCACCTCCCGACAAGTGGGTGAATCGACCAACGCCGCACTCCAGACCCCAGCGGTTTCGGATCATGCGGCCGAGGCCGATTCCCCAGCCATCCTACTGTTGAAGGACGGACTCGTCCCGACCAAGGATGAAGTACACCTTGTTCGGAAGAGGTGCGTGGCGGCGGTTAAGTACACCCTGTTTAACCAGCCCATTTGTTTGAAAGGGGCCGTGGGGGCCATCCAGATCCCCGTGGAAGTTCTTCGCGAGATGGAGGCCAACCTGGAACGGCGTTTAGAGGAGGAGAAGAGCCGGCTGAAAGAACCGGCCATAAGTGCCAATGTATTTAACTCAGTTCTTTCGCCGTGGACGAGCTTCGTCCACACCCATTTGATGAGTGGTGATGATCCAGTCATCAAAAAGGGGGGCCAGATGGAGGACCTGGAAAAGTTCGTTGCAAAATGGACTTTCCAGGTGAGGAGGTTAATGATCCAAAAGAAAGAGACTTCGCGTCTCGTCGCGCCTCGGAAGGATAAGAGGGCGGCTTAGGCCAACAAAGACAGGGAACAACCACGGAATCCTCACTTCTTTCGCTGCCAAAGGGGGGTCGATCCTCTCACGGAATTCTTGATGGATTTGTACTATTAAACACTACATGGCACCATCAGGCTCCCAATCACCATTTTCTACGACTTCCCACTCCGGTACGGTCAACTCGCTCATCAGCTTCTTCTTGAGTTTGTCCGCCAACTTTATCGGTGTCGGCAACTTGAACGATCGGATAAACTCCGTACCGCTGGCACTACCAAGAAAGGTGTGAGTCGTGCCATGAGAAAATCGACCCATCACGGGAGGAGGAAGCCCTGTCTTTGTCTGGTCTGGATCATCACCATCGGAGGTACCGCTAGGAGCCGAAAGGGGAGGGTAGAGCTTCGGCGTTTGCGTGTTGTGCAACTGCTGGCCGATCAAGAGGTTATAGAGATTGCGGCCCATATTGCAGAGGTCCTCGAACGACCCGCGATCACCAATCGGAACATTCTGAGTCATGCAGGCCCACGCAATGTCATACGCGAGGAGGGTGACACCCTCGAGGAAGAAGGAATGGGCGGAAGGATCCTCCTTTGCGAGGACGGGGAGAGGTTTGTCGACGAACAGCGGTCGTGGACGGGATGTATTGCCGAGATCGCGATTTCGACCCCCACCAAAATCCGACGGACCCCGATTGTTGCCACTGGTATCATCGCCGTTGGACTGTTTAATCTTGACGTTACCAAGAGACTGCTCCTCGCCATCTGCGTGACGATACGACGACGCTAAGTTGTAAATGGTCGGCCGGGGATGGTCACTACGCGGCATATTTATCTCAGCCGGTAACCGAAGAGCGAGATAATGCGACGCCAATATCAGAATGTGAGCAATGTGGGAAAGGGAAGTTGAGATGACTTCCGGCGGCAGAGCTGAGAAGCAGGTTAGAGCACTTGATCTCATAATTCCTCGCGGCATGGCGAAAATGAGAAACGGTGGCTGGAGGTGGATGGAAGCTGCACAAAAACAAACAACAAACAGGGGGTTTTGGCTCGATTCCTTACCATTCATCGACGTGAGGTCTATGACGTCTATCCCTCCGAGTTTGTACTCATATTTCGAGGATCCTTTCTTGATTCTCTTCAGCCCGTACAGCTTGGCGGCCTCCTTACAAAGAAAGGCACGAGTACCGGCCATTTGGTCGGAATTGCGGTTCCATCGACCCCGAAGCGAGAGAGTCGCATTCTCGGTTTCGTCCAGAGCCTTGATTCTTCGGGCATCAATACCATTTGAAACCGACGCTAAATCGGATCTCCGCCTCGTGTTGGTCTCGCGCCTGGCATTGATTTCGGCTCGAGCAGACTCAACATCGGCGCGCAGTTTCTCGGCACGTGCCAAGATCTGGGCAGTTCTATCTTCAGCGGCGGACTGGCGAGATACCAGGGATTCCATCGCCAGTTTCTTGGCGGGCAACGAAGAAGGCGATGCACTTTCACCTAGTTCCCCATCGGCCTGGGAAACCAAGCCATCGATGCGGCCCCGGAGCTCTTCATTCTCAAGCAACGCCTGCAACATGCGGACGCGACCCTCATAACAGCTGTTCCTCGCATCGACAGCACAGAGAAATGGGAGGCGAGTTGGGTGATGCGGCCGACTACAGATGTCGCAATTCAATGTCCCTGAAGGGTGAGCCATGAGATGAAATCCTCGGCCTACAGGAGACCGGTAGGAATAAGCGTGAAGTATGGTGGTGTGGATGAGAAAGACACTTTTAATAACGAGAGGGGATGCAGGCAATGTCCTGTCCGAGGGGTGGAGAAGTAAGATGGATGAAGAGAGTTGCGACGGAATGTTGCAGGTCGGCGTCCTCTTTGACGCCTCAGTTATCCACACTGAAAAAGATCACAAGCCGCTGTTGAGTCTCGTTCAAATATTTTCGGTGACCTGGTCACGGGGCCAAGCGTCAATCGCCAACTGCCATCGACGAGACTGGGTTCAGCTTGAAGTTTTGTCACAATACACTGGCGTGGGCGCTATTTATAACTGAACGACCACTTGATCGCGATTCCGATTGAATTGGACGAGAACAGCCTGGAGGTAGAGGCAGAGAGACCAATGACGCACCAAGACAAAGGAGTGTGCTAACAATTAGAAGCTTCAATTGTTTGGGGGCGTTGAAGCTTATTTGACTCAGCAGTTGAGGAGCACTTACGAAGTACGAAGTACGGTGGGGTGCATTGATCAATCATCACTTCGATGTTCCAGGCAGATTCTAGCACCCACTGAAGAAGCACTGAACGGGTCAATCAACAACCAACAATTATCGACCACAAGCGACAAATCAAATCAACACAGCAACTTCGATGCTCAAGATCGGCGGTACCAGGCAGCCGCCATCAACCCACCACCCTGACCGACCGGGGACAACCGGCGATTTGTCCAATCTTAATCACTCTTTCGACCTCGACTCCCAAGCTCGTTTTACAGCCATGAACCCAAACTGGACTATCCTTGTCTCAGTGGGAGCCTAGCTAGTGGACGTTTCCAGCTCTGCTCTGACCGCATCAAGCTCTACAGAAGTCTAGAAACAAGGACCTGTTTCCCGAATTTGCATTCTCACGTCTCGGCCATTGCCGTCATTATTTCCGAACACCTGAGCTGGCATTCTCGTGAGCCAAGAAAGGCAAACCAATTAATAGCACGAGAAGTCTTCTCTATGCCTAACTAGACACACCCATCCCTCAGGCATCAATACCTGGCAAAACCAGAGCCCACGCACACACAAACAGCACACTTCTTCTTCCCGCCTTTGATCCATCGCGGCCTTAATACCTGTTGTCAACTTTTACTCTTCCGGCTGCTTCCTAGATTTGATCGGCAGTTTCCGAGAACACAAGACCTTGGCCATGGCATCCAATTTAGAAGCCAGCGCCGCACCCGTGTTAGATGGCCTAGAGAGTAACGCCTCAACACTTAATGGGCCAACACATGACGATGCTGCCTCAGCAGCGATCGCGCTCCGAAGTGCAGGCGGTGATGGAAGACAGGAGTCCTTAAATTCTCAGGGTGCGATGGCCATCACACCAGAACCCCGACCCGACCAAATCTTAGCAAACACAACCCAAACCACACCCAGCACACCCGGCCTCCTTCCTCCATTTGATTGGGACGATTTTCAATCCCGGTATGAGAAGGCATTGGCAGAAGCAGACACGCATGAGCGTGCGGTCCTCGACGAATTTGAGCGCTTATCCAAGGTAAAAGGCTCTCTGTATCCCCTCACAGTCAGCTCATCACAATTGATTGCTGATCATCTCTTTTTCAGTATTTTAATATATGGGCATCAGCCTCTGCGGCTCACGACAATGAGCGAGCCACGAAGCGGCTACAGACACGACAGCGATACGTGACACTGTCGGAAGAGAGCATGGCTCAAAAACAAAAACATTGTAAGTTGCCTTATCTTTGCGCTCTAGCAGAGTGCTGTGTCCGCCAAGGTGGTTAACAATTTCTCCGATGATCAGATGATGAAGTCCTCCGAGCGTTCCAAAGTGCTCTTGCTCTTCTTAGTTCGAAATGAGCTACCCGTCCTTCTCTTTTCTCCATTGGTCATTCCTATGAACTGCCTTGCGAGTTTCCATGATCCGAAGCAATTGGGGACGGGCCGTCCCTAGCCACCCAGGTTACTCACTTTTCATCAAATATCATATCATGTAGAGATGGAACTCTCTCTCTAACATTTCCTGTCGTTCACGAAGCCTTCGCTGGAAAATATGCTCGCTCAACTCGAAATGAAAACTTCGCGGAGCACTTACTGGAGTGGTTCGAGACGAGCTATCTCATAAGGAGCCCGGCTCATCCTTCTTACGGAGCACCAAGAATTCATATCAGTCCCGGCCTTTATGGGCACAGCCTTCTTCATCCTCGTTTCGACCTCATCGCCGATGGAGAGTTCTATCTTACCACCACCGAGTCATGATCCACCAAATTTCCTCCGGGCTCACTCCTCCGTTTAGCTGATCGCCGCCTTTCCGGTTGTTCGTTTCCGGGATGCCTCAAGAATCCATCACAGTTCGAGATTTTGAGAATTTCTTTAACGCTGCCTAACTCGGACAGGGTAACTCCTAGTGTCTCAATCTCACCCACTTCACCCATTTCACTTAAATTCACCAAGTCCGTGTCCGCCTTTGAGAGGGTTTTATCTTCGTTGGCATATTATACGCTGCGGCGTGTTGTTGGCCACGAAGATGAGCGATTGAATGGCAGAGACTTCTTCCCTACCGGTGGCAGGCCCGTATCAAACTTTCACCTTGTCCACCTACTCGCCCCCGAATATCTCTTCCCCATTCTTCCTTGGCTTTTCACGAGCCAATCTCACAATCCTCCATCGCTACTAAACATCGGGACTGTCAAGGAGGAGTTGGCGTTGAGTTGGGGGGTTGGCACCACATGATGTACTGCGGACGAGACTGTGTATCCTTTCAATTGGCCATAACGACCGATCCGCGTGACTTGGCTCTGGATTTATATACTTATTATGTTGTTGGTACATGACTGATGTGGTTATTTATGGTTTCCGAGGCCTGTTCTTGTTGGTGGTATTTCAGGCGTTGATAGCTGGCTTATTTAGGGCGATCGCCGAGAAAATGCGAGAAGTAGGGATTTCAAAACTACGCAATCAACTTTTTATCTAAGAGACAAGGAAAAGAAGAGGCCCCAAGCTTTCCACGAGCAGGTGTGGATTTGTTCCCGTCAACTTGCGCTGCGATTTGATTTGTCGCCAGGGAGTGCTTGAATGGATCAATTGATCAATTGAATTAATCCCTTGTCAATGACCAAGGTAGCACACGTGATACAATATTCTAGTGCTTGGGTGCCTGGTATTACGAAGTACTTCATACATTTCGTATCTTTCCGCGAGTTGATGAATCCAAACATTGATCTTTAAGATTATGAAGGCCGGAGAGACAACATCTTTCCACCTTCAACCATCCGCGAAGCGTCAAATCCAGCCCACTGACGAGGCAGGAGGACATGTCAGGTACTGCACAGACAAGGCTTCAGATACCACTGGTCTCAAGTGTGAGTTTCTCCAAGCTAAATTCTTGTTGTTGTGGTCGTTTTGTTAGCACGCGACGGTTGACATGTTTTTCCATGAAAAGAATGACATCTCCGACTTCTTCGTGGCGCACTTCTCGGATAAGGCGGTCAAAGCATTCAGTACCCAATTTCTTCGCCCGAATGAGCATATCGAGCTACCTTCGAGCCACGCCCAAGATGGCCCCCTGCAATTTGACGACAGACCTTCATCCCTAGATTGGGAATGGCAGGAAGATGGCGACGACGCGCTGGGATACTACCCCGATGGTGTTAAGCGCACCTTGACAGACGAACAAATAGAGATATTCAGGCACTCAGAGCTCCACGCATTACGCCGTACGACCAAGAAACACAGCAAGGATATCGTTGCGCTATCGCGTCCGCGTCCGTGCAAATCCGCATCCCTGGCCGAGGATAGCCCTTCCGCGGTGAATAAAATCCGTGTTGCCCATGACCTTCCGAAAAATGAAGTCCAGCCCGCGAAAACGGGAGCAAAGAAGCGCAAGCGCAGGGGTAAACAGATCCAACAGACGAACCACGAGCCAAAGGTTGATTTAAGGAAGCGTACCTGGGATGTTGTTGAGCCTGGATTAGACAGCCTTGATTACGATTAGCTGTCGCGGCGGGTCATGGTAGTCTGGGATTGCTAGCTAAAAGCCGAAGAGGTCCTAGACCACCGTCGGAGAAAGGATTTCGTCGCCCTGGTATGTCTGGCTTTCTTTCATTCTCCCCATCCTCGATACCTCATGATGACCCATGTTGTCATCCTTATACGGACTGGTGCTATCAGCTTCTCAATATAGCACCGTCATGGCGACCCCTAATCTTCTCTCTGAAGGTTTCATCACCCCAGCCGTTCTCCTCTGCATCTATATCCGTCATCTGAGGAAGCTAACACGAATCCTACATTCCGTAGCCTTTACACCGAAAATTTCAACGGCCACACGAAATCTTCGCGGACAGGAACACTCGACTTGGTTGAGACCTATGTTGTTGCCCAGACACCTTTTAACACCAGCCCATCCCTTCGGCACGGGTATTGTTCACATGTCTCGCCTATGCTAGGTTATGTCTAGCCTTTTAAGGTCCACGTCCCCTATGCAACTGACTAGCTGGGATATTCTTCAACTCTCTTGTCGATCGTCACCGCGTTTACAGATCCTTTGTGTGTGATATAGCACTGAACTCACTCACCTAGGTTCGCCGTGGACAGGACACGGACAAGTAAGGCGACTAACTGACTGTGTTTGGGTGGGCCCGAGTTTATCCGCACAAGTTGCCTGTTCGTCCAAATCTCCGAGGTCGTTCTGATTCCGCCCACATTCCGTATGAGCTCCAGAAGCAAGCATGAAATAGTTGTATGGCCCGGGATGACCTCGTAGTAACCACAGCAGTCGATCGATGTGTATGATGGCCGATTCTCTCCCTCCAGTCCTTGGTAAAAGGAATAAATTTATCAAATCAATGGATCTTTAATTATTTGATCAAGCCTGTGCTGTACTTCGTACTGATGCGCTTAGACACCTCAACGATCAATTGATGTGCCCACTAAATCGTGACTGTGGCTTGGGATTGTGGGCTTCTCCACTGTGCGATTTTCCTGCCATGTGCAGCCGCCAACCAAAAACCGAGAACAGTCTTTGCCCCGCCCCTTCTCCCATTTGCACCCCTCAATCATCGCGAACAAGCTGATCGCATGTCAAATCTCGAATGCATCGATACTACCCAGTTACAGCCCCGCGACTAACTCCCCCAACTGCACATCGATCCCACCCGTCTCCGTATTAACTCTCTTCAAAGCACGTCGGCTGCAATAGACCGACCCTCTCCGTCCACGATGGCTCGGGTCTACGCCGACGTTAATCAGAACATGCCCAGGTCGTATTGGGATTACGACAGTGTCAACATCAGTAAGTCGCAACGCCGCTGAACTATCTCCCCAGTCGATTACTCGCCGTTTGCCGCGCTTCTGTCCATTGGATCGTACTCTACTCCGAGGCGCGGTCGAACCAGCAGAACAGTAGCTAACGGTACGATAGGCTGGGGTGTCCTCGAGAACTACGAAGTTGTTCGCAAGATTGGTATGCCCCTCCTCAAGCCCCCCCTAACAGCAGGCGATGCCTTTCGGTTGCGTCGTCTAGTCCCGCTGCCGCGCGACAGAATCGACCCGATACGATTGCGGGCGTGTTGTGCTAACCGAGCCCCGCTGTGGTGGGAATAGGTCGTGGCAAATATTCAGAAGTGTTCGAAGGCATCAATGTGGTGAACTACCAGAAATGCGTCATCAAGGTCCTCAAGCCAGTGAAGAAGAAGAAGATTAAGCGAGAGATCAAGATTCTTCAGAATCTTGCCGGTGGTCCGAATGTAGTTGCCCTGCTGGATGTCGTGAGGGATTCACAGGTCAGTCATCCTCCCTCCCCTGCGTTGCCTCAAGAGAATACTCCCTCATCTGCCATTCCTATTCGCAATCCGCAGAGACTGACTCACCGATGTTGCTTTGGAACCCGTAGAGCAAAACACCCTCTCTCATCTTTGAGCATGTCAACAATACCGACTTCAAGAACCTCTATCCGAAGTTCACGGATCTAGATGTTAGGTATTACATCTTTGAGCTCCTCAAGGCCCTCGACTTTTGCCATAGCAAAGGCATCATGCATCGAGATGTGAAACCTCATAACGTTATGATCGACCATGAGAACAGAAAAGTGCGTACCTCAACGACAAAGTCTGGCGCTGTAACGCTCGTCTCCCAGTTTCAGGTCTCCGATGTGCTCGCATCGAAGCCTCTTATCATTTGCTGGCTGCTAACATAGCTGTTCACCTACCTCTAGTTGCGCCTCATCGACTGGGGATTGGCCGAGTTCTACCACCCCGGAACCGAATATAACGTGCGCGTGGCATCTCGCTATTTCAAGGGACCCGAGCTGCTTGTTGATTTCCAGGAATACGACTACAGCTTGGATATGTGGAGCTTGGGGGCTATGTTCGCGTCGATGATCTTCAGAAAGGAGCCGTTCTTCCATGGCCAGAGCAATTCGGACCAGCTTGTCAAAATTGCCAAGGTTCTCGGCACCAGCGACCTCTTCGACTACCTAGATAAATACGAAATCGAACTGGACACCCAGTATGACGACATTATTGGCAGGTTCCCCAGAAAGCCTTGGCACAGTTTTATTACGACCGAAAATCAAAGATTCGTGAGTAACGAAGCCATCGACTTCCTGGACAAGCTGTTGCGATACGACCATCAGGTATGAGACCTTTCTCATTCTCCTTCTGTCCATCTCACTCACCTAACCCTGTTTTAGGAGCGTCTGACTGCCAAGGAGGCTCAAGCTCATCCTTACTTCAATCCTGTTCGAGATGAGGCCGTTTTCAAGCAGCACTTGGCTGCGAATGCTGCTGCCGCGGCTAGTGCAGCTGCCAACAACTAGACTAGCAGAAGCGGTTCGACATTGCGAATATGCGACTGAAGGCAGCATAGGTGCACCCTGCAGTACCCACGTATCTGTTGCGGAAGTTGAGCTTTGGCATAGATCATGTATACGCGAATAGAGTAAGAACACAGCATCGATTCTCCAAGCTCCGTGCAGTGGTGGTTATTCCCTATCGTTATCAAAAACAGCAAGGCCGCCAACCTCTAATAACGGGTCGCACTTCGCTTGGGAGCAGGCTGGCATGGACATCGATAGATCGCCGTACCATCCCACTCTACTCACCTCGCCCAGACGGCTCTCTCCTACGGATTGAAGCGCAGCAGGTCGTTCTATGTCTTTTCTGCTCCAGCTTGCCTCACTCTCACCAGTTTTGCTTCTCCTCTCACCGCAACTCTCATATCCCTCTTCTCTCTAAGAGCCGGGCATTGCACCATACATCATCCGGCACATGAGCTAGGCGGGCAGAATGTCTGCTTTTGATACCCTCAAGGTGTATCGCCACCCGCCCGCCTCCACCTTTGTTTTCAATAGCCTCAGTCCCCCTTCCGTCTCTCTCTTCATGTCAACCCTCCCGAGCTTTCTGTATTGATCGTTTGCCATGGTCATTTATGAGGAAGGTTTGGCGTCAGTTCGTTTGTTTCTTTGTCTTCTTGGTCAATAGCGGAATCTAAGAAAACATGGCGTCGGTGTTCGGTATTCCGCATGCCATTCATAGCTTTACTCCATTTAATTTCTGAGAAACATGAAGTTGACACTTAGTTACTGTGCGTTTTCTTTTCCGTTGAAAGAGGAAGGAGTATGTCAAGTTTCTTCCTTCCTGCCTCTACCTCTTTGCCAAATTACCATTCAAATCTAGGAAGCGCCATGACACCCGCATATTTCCCTTTCCAACGCCGTATCGAGTCCGCAATGCTTTGCATGATTTAATGCCTCCAAATGAAAACAAGAATGCGTATAGAATACAAGAGGTCGAGTGTTGTTCTTCGTGAAAGTAACGCGCAGCAAAGAGAAAAGAAAAGAAGAAGAAAAAAAAAAAAAAAAAAAAAAAAAAAAGAACAAGAAAGCCAAAGGAACCTTAGTTTGTCTGGCTGCGTCACTCACTGCGAGCTCGAGTGCTGATGTTACTAGCATGAGCGAGCAAAAACTTGCAGCATGTGAGTGTAAGTTTGCATGCCTTCGTCCATGACTCGTCCTGTGCAATGCCAAGCTTTATGCTGACATCGCCTATTCGTTCACCCTCAATCTTGTAGGGCAGCTTGAGCGAGGATCGGCCGCTGACATTCGTTTCTCGCTCGACAAAAGCCCCCAACTGGCGGACAAGCTCGAGGAAAGCCACCATGGCAGTGTTGAGCTTACGATGCATGAATGTTAAGCCTAAAGGAGTGTCTCCCGATGAGTAAAGCTCCAAAGCTGTACGCTTCGGGGCCGGGGGAGGTGCTTGGGCGCCTCGGTCCCCTGTCAGTCGACTTGATGAGGGTGAAGGGTAATCAAGTCGGGTGATTTTGGAGGTGCTTCCCATGGGCTGAGGTTCGAAGCCGGTAAACTTGAAGTTAAGCTTTTCGGCAACGGTGACCAGGAGGAGCAGCGCATGGCCCCAGGCGGCGTTGATCTCTGGCCAATCCACAGGCTTGCTCGATAACCGGCCTAGACGAAGGCCGTTGATGGTCGCAAAAGTCCCGTCGTGGCTGATGCAGAAGGTGTCATTGTAGACATTTGAACGCTGTAATTTCTCCAGGAGCTGGGAGTCATGGTCGAATTTTGAGTTGATGCTGTCACGTTCATTCTGAAATTCGGTGAGCTTGGTGGTGAACTCATTCCTCTCGCGCCAGAACGTTTCCTCCTCAAAGTCTAGTTGCGCTGCCTCCTCCTCCAAAGCGAGGATTTCCTCATCTGCTGCTTCCTTTTCCTTTTCGAGTCGTAATAACAGCGCCATGGCATCTGCTTCTTCGCTCTCGACCGTCTTTAGAGCTTCTTCCTGGGTCCTGAGATCATCGTCGGTGGGCTCATCCGCCTGGAGCTGTTTCAAATAGGAGATGTAGGCGTCTCTCTCCTTGGTGGCGGTCTCAAGCCTCCTCTGCAACTCATCGATGAGGATATCGGTACACTCGACGCATACCGGATGGTCGATATCGGACCGAGCCGACAAAATCTGGAAAAGCTTATTCATGCGCTCCATCTCGTACGTCTGGATCGTATCCTGCTCACCATTTGCGTCTGCATCCCTGTCGTCAATGTTCGGCGGTGGTCTGGCGGCATGAGGAGCATCTTGGCGAGGCGACGGCAAAGGTGCTGCAACTTGGGACTGGGTAAGATATATGAAGGACATGGACGAGTCTCGCGCGGCGAGGTAGGGCGCGCCAGCAAGGCGTTTGAAGGTCGGCGCCATGGCATCGTTGGAGACTTTCCCGTACAGAGCTTTTCTTTGTTTCTCCTGCGGGCGGGCGACTCTCGGATAGGTTTCTGTTGCCTTCTTCACAGTGTTTTGCGAGGAAGAAGCTGAGGTTCGGAGTCAACAAAGCAGGCTCTTGGGACGGCGACCAAGGATTTATAGGTATAATGGGAGAGGAAGATTTCAGGGAAAGTTGTAAAATACGAACCCACCAAAAGGTCATAAGCAGCAGGATTCAAGTTCTGCAAGGAACTGTCGAGCTTCAGCGGCAGGCGACATTTTTGACAATAAATCGCCATGGCTGGAGGGCTTGGTGGGATGATAGCTTGGTGGCTCGCAGTGTCTCAACGTCATCCAGGGGTCGACCGAGACAATATTGAGGGGGGAAATGCTGGTTGAAGGCCAAAGAGAGAAGCAGGAGTAGATAGATCAATCTGGAAGATGCCGATGTGATGTTGGATATATTGCAATGCATTACTCCCAGGGAGAGCAAGATCAAATGTGGTATCAACCTTGAATTAATCGTCGGTGCTGCTCACCTCCTCCGTTCGGGGAATGATAGGCGCTGACGTATGAAGTCAGGTGCACACCAATCAATGCTGACAGCTCAAGAGGGAACATTGGTGGAGCTTTTGAGGGATGCTGGTAAATTGTCACAAGCAAATATTAGATTACAGTAAGTAAAATATGGAGGACTATACATGTGTAAGCGCATATTTGATAAGCAGAGAGTATCCTTTCAACATTTGTATCTAATAGGTACATTTAGTCTACTTTCAGTGTCTCTTTACACCACAAGAGCTACATTAGCGTCCACCTTTCTCCTTCCTCTGACAATATCACCACAGCCAAGCAGCACAGTCGTGCCGAGCTCGGAAAATTCCCAAGTCAGTGCTCCATAGCAACCAAGCATCACCCTGGTGCCCCTCATCTAAAGCGAAAGCGCACCAAGCCAACCACCGCCCCAATTGTCATTTGCTATTCGCCGACAAGCCAACAACACCAATAACACAAGTATCACCTTGTTCGTGATAGTTGATAATTGAATACCTTTTGTCCCTCCTGGCACAGCTCCATGGCGCAATTAGCATGGAGCCTCGAAGAAAGAGACCAAGACTTGAGCTTGACCTTCACAATCAATCCGAGGATGACGATGACGAACTTAACTACGATCCTGAGGAAATATCCCGGAAACGAGACCCAGGTTTTCGCCTCGCCCAATCTCGCGCAACTGCAGCTTTTCGCTTGAAGTCAACCTTCGAAAGTATCTTTGAGAAGTATGAGCGCGACTTCTCGGGTGTCGGCGATGAGATCGACCTTCGCACTGGGGAAATCGTCGTGGACAATGGCCATCTGCAGAAAATGCGGAATGAGAAAGATGTAGGTTTAGACCTGACCGAAGCTGGAATAGAAATGTCTGGGAGCTCCGCCTCCACCACTGCCGGCGGAGCCGTTGACGGTGCCACCGTCCGTTCAGCGCAAGGACAAAACAACCGTCAAAGTCCTCGATACGAAACGAGCGAGGATGAAGATCGCATACTTGGGGGAGACAAGACTACGGGGACCCATGAAGGAATAATCAATGGCCCAATGGCCCTTGTGCCATACGCTTCAAACCACCGGCCAGCACACCTCCACACTCCGTCAAATGCCTCCCTCTACCCATCCCCCGTCCGCCTCGGCTCGCAACCATATTTCGGTGCCTCCCCGCTTTTCTTCAATTCCTGGTCTCCCTCCGGCGCAGGAGATCCCATATGGAATGCTCCACAGATTGAAGTCCCAAGATTTAGGAGCTCCTTCGCCACGAGCTTATATGCCAACCGTTATCAGCTTCCCGCCCGTGAAGGCTCACGTTCTATTTGGGCACCCCGGTCTAAAAAGGATGATGACGAGGAGGAATTGGATCCGTTACCGAAGCTACGGGTGAGGCCATCACCTCCCACGAGGAGAGTTCCAGCCAGACCTGTGATGGCCAAGCTGATCCGCGCCCATCCGGAATCTGGTGGAGACTCCGGTGATGAGGAGTGTATTTTGATGGGCTCAAAAATAGATCCAACTCCAGCCCCCGAGGATGGGCCAAAAAGGGGCGTTAACCGTGGCGATATTGTGTCTTTGAGCAACGGTAGGCAAACCAGCGTGGAACACAATGAGATGATCGGTACCACTGCGCAGCCAGTTACTCAGACCCAGAGCGATAAAATAGCTGAAAGGGGAGGGGGCGAATTAACTCCGCGAACGAAACTGCCCCCGCCCGGGAAAGACCGTACCAGACGAGCGAAGATTCACCAATTAATGCCCGCCCGTGAATCCGGGCTTAAATCCAGAAGGTCAAGCAGGGAGACCGTTTCGCCCGGCAAGGAGGCAGCGTCGACAGCTACGGCGACAACCATGCGATCTGCCGCGGTGGCCCAAGGAGCTATCTTGGCTCCTCCCGATAATGAGAAACGTCGCTGGTCGAACAGCGTCGTCGTCGAGCTTTCTTCTAGCCATCTGTTTGATGACAGTTATTACCTTGACCTTTCAAACATGTCGGACGACTCCCGCAACCCCCCTCCATCCTCTCGACTCTCAGTTGAGTGCGATACTGGAGATTCTCAAAACGACGCCCTTTCCGCACCTAAGAAGGTTATTCCGGATTCACAGACGTCAGACAGCTCTATTACGGAACCCCTTGAGCACATTCCCGATACCGTAGTCGCGTCTTTGCCCATGTGCTCGAGCGCAAATGACACTCACCAGCAGCTTGCTCGCAATGCCTATGACTTGTCTGATGAGGAGCAGGGGTTTGTTTCCAACTCTGCAGCATCTGGGAGACATTTGCCCAGCGCAAAGGAATGTTCCAGTTCGCTCCCGTCTAGTTCGCATAAGCCAGTCGACCGCGGCCGACTCGACGAGGTCCGTATTGCAGGAAAATGGCAGGGTGAGACCGCAGTACCTTCTATGAAGAACGTACCAACAGATTCATCACCCGCAGCGTTGTTCTCCCCAATCAAGACGAGGTTTGCACGAGCAAGAGCACGTTCAGTCACCAAATCCTCGAAGAAAATGGGTCCTTCAGCCCTCGATGTCGATGTATCAGCCGCCTCCACTACGAGCCTCAAACGCGCCCCCAAACCCTTGCCTTTGACGAACATAACGCCGTCCTCGGGTGAGAGGCCTTCGTCTTCGCATGCGCTGCCGCTGCAATTTGCCCCACCTCAAAGTGAGGCTCCGCGGTCATCCACCCATGGGCTCGGCATAGAATCGCAGCCCTCGGATGGGACGGAGAATACAGTCGAGTCTACGGATATAGTACCGTCGCATTCAGACCACGGTAGCCCTAGCCCGCAGTCGTCGCGAGAACCACCATGTTTGGGGGGAAATCGCCAGCACGCATCCGACGATGGCGTTTCAGAGCCCTCCACTGAGGTTGACACGAGCAGGTCCGCTCAGATGATGCCAAAAGACAGCGACAGGACCGCCTCAGTCGGTCCCGAATCTAAGGACGCGGCCAAATTAGACTCTTCCAAACCCATCAGAAGCGGAATTCAGGCAATTCGCCAGGACACCAGGCTAAAATGCGTCACTGCACACAGGAGCACCAAGAAGCTGGGCAGAAAACCCTCCACTCACCAGAGGAATGGGGCCGTGGATCATATCAGCCAGGCCGAATCCTCTCTTTCCCTCCAAACCGGGAAACCCATGGCTGGGTCCTGCGACGAAAAGCCCATCCGGCAACAACCGCCGCGCCATCTAAGCCCGACAGCTACGCCGAAGTCAAAAATGCTTTTGAACGATACTACACCCAAATCACATCCGTCAACCGGCCACCGGTCTCTTACTTCTCTCATACCCGAAGCTGGTAATGCTTTCTCGCCCAATGACTCTGAAGACGAACTCACCCTTAGTTCGAGCGCTTTCCGGACCATCTTCGGCCGGCCCATTTCCTCGAAAAGCTCGATCAGTAAACAGGCATCCTATCGGCCCAATCACCCTAACTCTACACCTACAAAATCTAGCAGATACAGCTCGAGTTCGGTAATGTCTTCAAATCTAGGAAATACCCGAAGACTTTCCAGGACACCGTTTGTGCTTTTTAACGCGGAGCGGCCATCCGCCCCAGACGAATCTGTCATGAGAACTCCGGGAGGAACAATTCGAAAATGTGGGGAGGGTGGGCTGAAATGCGGCAAAGACTTTTGCTTTACATGCTGCTGAGGGAGTCGACGGCGGAATCTGTCAACAATATGTGGAAGCGACTCCAGTGAGAACCTACTTGGCCCTAGTGGGATATGGCCCAGGGACCGCAGTCTCCAATTACTACCCGAGGCGCCAGCCTCGCCCATTCTCTCATCTAAACTTATGAAACTATGAAGGGATTTGAGCAGATTGCTGATCTGAGGCCATGACACTGTCCTTTGCGGCACCTTCCAGCTCCCAATGGTCTATAATGCCGAGCTGCTTGAGCTTGTTGTGATCCATCCTTTCATCTTAAGACCCTGTTTAACAAACAGTCTCTCATCCTTGCAGGTTCAGAAAGAGAATCTTCCCATTCCTTCACATGTAGATTTCTAACCTTCTCCCTCAGCTGGATTGCCAACACTGGAAACCTGAGCATTATCCACATCGTTGAATGACACCTTGATCTCTTCAAAGGTCTAGCTCTAGGTGTATTGTTCCCTACAAACAAGTCTCACACTAAGGTTGTCGCCAATCATAACAAGAGATCATTGATGTCCATCCCAGTGGGTCAATGCATACCCCGTCTACAAGGAAAGGGGTGGCACCTATTTTCCACTGGCACCGGATATCGAAGCAAAAGGAGGGACTGCTTTTTAGGACAATGTTGTTTAAATAATAAGAATCGGAAGAGCTCTCGCAGGTGGTTGGACCGGACCTGGAGATGCTACCCCCTCTTGTTTACTAGAAGAAAGAGTGGGCTGAACCACATCGGAAGGATCTGATCAACTATCCTCGAAGATGTTAGATCAATGGCCTGGTGATTGCATACCCTACTACTAGGTGAACACTAGTGATGCTATATATGGAGGAGATATATGAAAGAAGGAAGGCCTCGCATGCATTGAATGGGAAACACTGGCACCGGTACCAGTAAACAGATCAATGATAGCATTGTGATCAGATTGAGGCATGAGCTGGCGGGCCACAACGGGGAGGCGGAGGCAGAGGTTATCGGTCCTAAAGTATCCCAATCTATTTCCATGTCATTCATGCAATCTATCAACCCGGAACTGAGGACAATGGCTTTAATCTATAACCAGTATTCATCTCACTAAATGCAATGTCGGACGAGTCTCGTCGAGATTTTGAATCTAAATGCATGCAACGAAATCAGCCGGAATCCCGCAGGCGCAAAAGGTCCTGTCCCTAAAAAAATGTACTTTCCGACACCAAGATTAATTTACACCGCGTTGCACGAAATCCTACTCGAGATTTCCATCTGACCCCGTCAGGTCTCGCAAAGCGTCTCGTCCTCGGAGCAGAGAGGCGAAAAAGGTGTGGCACCGGCTCCCTTCCGAAACCACCCTCCCATACTCCTTCACCTCCCCAGGTGAAATGAGCTCTACGGTGCTGGTTGTCTGGTGGATCAGTTGTTATTAGAGTGCGGTCCTTCCCGTCTGGTTGGTCGAGACTCCTGCCATTCCCTAGATTCTTTGAAAATAGCCGGAAGAGAGGGACATTGTGGAGGATGGCTCTGACGGCTGCTAAACGTACGAGGGCAACCCTTGGATGCGTCGGTTAGTTGATTGCACGAAGCAGCCTCTTGGCTAGAATATATAAAGTAGTTCGCCCATCGCATTATTTCGCATTTGGCTGAAAAGAGCAGCGGCGCAGCAGTTAACACATCGGCTCTCATCCACTGCCTCCAACCCCCGTGAATCGCTGATCTTTCTCGACACTTTCCATTCCTCGAGCCCAACTCGGGCCTGCGACAAGCAAAGAAGAGGAAAAGAGGGGGATCAAAAAAGTATCGCCACTTAGGTGTTCCTAAGCGTCGACCATTCTCTGGCCTACCTCTTCGCCCTCAACATGAAGCTGGCATCTGTGGCAGCAGTTTTCGCTGCGGTTTTGCCGCTGGTTGACCTGGCCAGCGCCGTCCCAGTTCTCACCTACCGCCATGAGCTGGCGCTCCTTCAAGGCCGCCAGTCCGTCCCACCGGAGTACATCGATCTCCTGAAGGAACTACTGAATAGCAACCGAATCAATTCCGAAGCTAGGGGTCCCAGAGGCGGATTCAACGGACGGCCCGGCCGACCATCCCAACGCATCGACCCGAGCAATCGCCGTCCCGCTAGACCCGGTCGGCCTAGTCCGCCATCCGACCCCAACAATGGCAGGCCAAGGAGACCCGGAAGGCCATTTCAAGCATCGTAGCCCAATGCACAGTCTCATGGGGCCTGCGGTGGGGTTTTAGTAGACGAGGATATTGTACTTTCCGACTCTGCTGTCAGAGAATACGGCACAGCCCTCTGTGATACTCGGGCTTTTCTTCCTGCTTTCCATGAAATTCCTTTCCTTTCCCACTTGTCCATAATATCTACTCATGTTTCCTTCCCATTTCTTTCTTTCTCTTCTTCTTCCTTCCCGGCAGGTGTTTTGGGGAAGGGCGGGGAGGGCATGGCCTCTTGTCAGTTGCGTGGTTGAGTTTGCATTTACATCAAGATGAGAAGACACAGATCAATGATTATTTTCAAGCTTTCTTTTACACACAGTGATATTTTTGAAGAAGTTGTGACCTTTCATTCAATTGTCCATTTGATTGTCCATTCAAACTGATGCTTGAAATTGAAAAATTCCAATTACGTAATCAACAATCTGCCATCACATTTCTTCCATCCAGAGCAAATGGAATGAGCACCAAGGAATATTAGCTGCCAAACCTCCAGGTAACTGCTCTCTCAACTTTCATCTTCCTAGCACACTGCATCCAACTCCAGGCTTATTGTGACTTCAAAAGCCAACATTGAGCATTTCATAGTTCCTCATCAGCACACTATTTGTCTTCCAGAACTTAGCCACCATATCAACCCTCCAAAGTCAGAATATCAACACATCCACCATGGCCTCACCAGAGGTTCGCGACTTCGCATCCATCATCCTCAATCACTCACCTCAGCCTTACACCTTCAATTTCTCTCCTTTTCTCCGCCAAGTCCATCACCATGGCCTCCCTGCAGATCGACCCATATGCAAGGCCTATGCGACCGGTCACTGTCCCAACGGAACAAAGTGCCTCGACCGACACGTTAGCGACCCCACGGCGGCCAAGTCTGGAGGCGGACCTCCCCCCTCCGGCTTGAATTCACTCGTCTGCAAGCACTGGCTTCGAGGTCTGTGCAAAAAGGGCGAGCAGTGCGAGTTCCTCCACGAGTACAACTTGCGCAAAATGCCCGAGTGTAATTTCTTTGCAAGAAACGGATACTGCTCCAACGGCGAGGAGTGCCTCTACCTACATATCGATCCGCAAAGTCGCCTGCCTCCCTGTCCGCATTATGACCGAGGCTTCTGCCCTTTGGGTCCTACATGTTCCAAACGACACGTCCGAAGACTTCTATGTCCATTTTACCTTGCTGGCTTTTGCCCGGACGGTAAGGAATGCAAGGAGGGAGTCCACGCGAAGTGGATTACAGACCTTGGAAAGCCTACCCCGAAGCCCGAGAAGACAGAAGAAGACGACCTCGTTGCTACAAGGCGGATGGATCTCGCTCCTACAGATGACGACAAAGATCGTGGAAGAGATCGAGACAGGGATCGAGACAGGGATGATGGAAGATATCGCCACGGCCGTGGCGGAAAGTGGCGAGGCAGAGGAGATCGGCGGTTCAGAGGACGAGGCTATTGATGCTAGTATGAGCTTGGTCGTGGCCTGCCGAGCTGGCCAAATTGTAGTATTGTTCTTTTCCTTTTTTTCTTGTTTCCCTACCAGGATTGGACCTCGGAACGCGCCTACACCGATCACGGATTTTGCTACGGGTTTCGACGGCTCTTTCAACAGTAGACGAGTGGATATTGATTTAGGACTGGACCGGAGTGTGTGCAGATCCTTCTTTCCACCACATACAGCCTCTTCCTGATACCTACCGAGGGCCGGCCTTGTACATATATATAGTCCGAGCTCGTTATCGACGAGAGCCTCCTGTACAAAGCACCTCTCTGACCCTTCGAATGCGTCTATCCGCTATGACTTGCCATGTCCAGGATTGGCTAGGGTTCCGTCCAAACGTTGGACACTATCCGGCTATCGGCGGGAATAACCACGGCATCATTTGAAAATCTCTCGTCGTCATCGGTCCCTGCTTGGGACCCTTCTGGGGAGCTATTTTGCCACGTCGATAGCTCATCTACTTTTCGAATCCCCATCATCCAGGTTACCAGGTTCCGAGGCACCCACTTCCCAACGAACCCATACACGCTGGCCCCCAAACCAACCCGGATGGTCTGGGACGTAAGTGACCCATCGATGACATCAAAGACGGTGTTGTGCAAATGCCGAAGAGAACTTCCTTTCATGCCTCTTATCCTGCCCCCCGAGATGACTAGTTCGCTCTGCAGAATGAAATTGCGGCCGTAAGCCATACGGGCACCGTCATCCCACTGGGATGCGAGGTCGCATGGGTTGTCGGGCTGTGCTCTCACTGACGTAAACCCGCTGAAGTCGAAAGTGCCTAGTTGAATATGGGTTACCGGGATAGATAATGGCCGGAGTTCTGCCGTTAAAACCTCCGTGAATGCCGTCAAAGCGGAGCAGACGGTAGCCTCCGGTGCGTGGAAGGGAGGGTTGATGGAGGAAATGATGGACGGCGTAAAAACTAGCACCTTGGGTTGCGACGATTTCTCTCCAGCCGGGCCCAGGCGTGCTGTAAGAAGGGGAAGGAGAGCCTGGACTGTAACGATAGGATGAAGGAGGTGCGTGTTGAACACGTCGGCGAAGTTGCTCGGGGGTATCGTCGCAATGGGTGATGTTTGGTAGTTGAGGGCCGGGATTAGGATGACAGCCTTTAAACTAAGGTGATCGGGGCGCGCCCTGGGGACGGGAACGTAGGGGGATTTTAGGAATGCAGCAAATCGTTCAATCGCAAGGGAGGCACTAGGAGGCTACGAAGAGGTTAGTGAGCCGAATCACAACGGATCAAAAGTGGTCGAGGGGCGGGTGCGTACATTTGTGACGTCAATATGCAGTGGTCGTATGTCAGGCCGGGAAAGCTTGTGGACCAGGGCCTCGTCGTCGGTTGTGCTGCAAACGACGTAGACGATAAAGCCTTTTCGTTCCATGTCCAGAGCCAGGGATCTTGTCAAGGGTAAATCCGGTGACCCCCCAGCGATCAGCACGACCTCGACGCGGCCGCCATTTCTTCTAGACCGCTTAGCCTTCCGCGTTTTGCGATAGTAGCAGGTGCTCCTGTAGACTTGATAGGATAAAGCCCCCGTCAACAGGACCGCTGCACCGACAGCAAACTTATTCTTCACTATCCACTCTCGAAGTGTGTCGATCCTCGAAACCGCGACGACAGCAATTGGTGTCGGAGCCGGTGGTGTCGGTCTAATGGTATCCGGCAGCCAGGTCGCTGAAGACAGAGTCGTCCGGACGGCTACAGCGGCGTTTTCAACATGGGCGTCGATAAAGTCAGCGACATCGGTAGAATACCGCCATATCTGGTTCGGTAGGGAGGAGAGCTAAACGACCACATAGGTGTTAGAAAGCAACTTTCGGCTCTAGAATCTCTTATTAAGGTTGAGGAAAAAGCTGCCATACAACATCTAGAAAGGCCTGGTCGTCCGCGGACATTATCACGGCCGGTAGTTGAAGGATATCGATGCAGTCAGAATCTTCGATCGGACGTAAGACCGTTTATAATATATAGGCACCAATCTGGGGCAGGTGAATTCGGGTGGATCGTTTCGAGAGGTTGCTGAGAAATTCAAAGATAAGATTTCCCCTCAATATCGCACGACTTTCTTCAGAACATGAAAACACCTGTCTGCATCATCCATTACTCTCCAATGTCTGCTCTCAAGAAGTTAGCTTATAAACTATTTCTGGTGGACGCGATTTTCAGATGACGTGACGCACTGACCAGTGCTGCCCAAGGACACAATGTTGAACGCATCAAGTGTGCTGGTGTCTGAGCTTGGATTTGGCACTGGGTGCCAGGCGTACAATTAATTGTACACATAATTGTATAATTGTACCTTGCACCTCTGTAGAATTACTTCGCGCTCGCATGATGGGGTCGGTGACTAACCACGTTTGTGCCGAGGTCAATCATATTATTACTTCATTGTTCGTACCTGCTGTCGTATTATGATTATGCGCGGTTACAATTCAAGTTGCATCTTCCAAATATTGCCTAAACGAATTTGATTTCTTATGTACTTCGCGCGACAGCATCACAGTTTCCTCGCTACGCACCGAAGTCTAACATAGCTGAGCATCTCTCCGCCGCTCGGGTTTGCGCATACGGCCCGAGCTGTTTCAACCGCCTCTTGGATGCACTCCTCTCTCTGATTCTCCGGGACGGCGTCGAAGAAGCACCGACCCATCAGCCGCAACCACCCGTCTACCCCGCCCTGATCAGCAGGTGTCGGGCGCCATTCCCTTTCTATCTTTTCGATTTCCCAGGCGCCGTTGCTTTCCATAGTGTCCACTATCCATTTCTCATCTGGAAAGAACCACGGGTCTACTCTCCGCGCCTCCTCTAGCCCCACTCGTCTTGATGTGGCCATCAACAATGCCATCCTCATCTCGGAAACATTTCCTAAGCCGCCCATTTCAAAGACGAAGAGGCCGTTCGGTTCAAGTGCGTCGTGGACGGCCCGGAAAAACTCGGCTCTCTTTGACTCGGGTCTTAAGATCCAGTGCATCGCCGCATTCGAAAATGCCTTCGTGAAGCGAATTTGCTGCAGAGATGAGCAGCTCCCCAGTTCCGTCGCATCAAGCACTGCGGCCTTTCAGTATTCCTTTCTGTTGGCAACGGAGATAAAAGGGTGTCTGGTGCCTACCTTGAAACTTGCATTCCCCCCGGTTATCAGTCGCCTTTTTGGCTGCTTCGATCATCTTTGGAGAACTATCGATCCCATAGAGGAGACCATTACCCTGGGCAAGTATACCGGCGAACTGCACATCCAGGACGCCATCTTCCCCGACGTTCTTGTTAGTGGTTCTGGACTGAGTCGACTAGGAGTTAATACTCACCACCACATCCTATATCAAGGAGAACGTCATCCTTTTGCAGATCCAGCCATTCAACGATCTTGCCTGCGAGCCTTGGGACAAATGAGGCAGAGTGTTGGTAGGCCTGCATTATTCAATAAGCCTGCAGGTCTTCGAGCCATTGTAACCCGAACAAACATACCTGTGCATTCCAATTGTCTTTAGTCTCTTCCGCCATGGTGCCGACAGAACTTCGCCTACAACAAGGCCTGGCGATATAATTAAGAGCAGAATAGTAGACGGGCAAAGTGGGAGCCGTGCTGTCTTTGTTCCAGAGGCATGAAGTCAAAGACATCCAATTCCAAGTGGATGGCTCTCCCACTCAATGGCCGATGTCGGACTTAGCTCGGAACAAGTGGGCACTTATATATACATACATACATAGATGGATATATGTATAAATGTAAGACAGCCTCATAAATTCGTACATAGGCAGTAGAATTGATGTTGCGAGGGTCGCCTGGAGAGCTCACAGCGAGTCACAGGTGAGTCGTGAGTCGTGACTCCTGGCAGCAGCCGTTGGCGAATCCCCGCAAAGTTCCGGTGCGATGGCAGCCGGCCGGCGAACCCCAAGACGGGCAAGACCCAACACCCCCGCACTAAATGCTCCAATGTTCGGGTGCAGTTGATCAAATGGGTCCAAGCGATCTGCGGGTGCCAGCGGAAATCCGGGGTAGTCCGGTTAGCAGCGGACTATTACTCCACCTGCCGCCTACGGTATTGTCCCTGAATCTAGACCGCCGTACGGACCTTATCAAGAAGATAATAAATAGGACCCCCGGCTCCATGTGATTTATCTGCGTCCCGCTCCGTATCCTATTCTGTTTTATACCCCATAATACGTCGCGTTTAGAACGTTCCAGTTCCACTTCTTACATTTTCCGCTTCTGACATTCCACTTCTTACATTTCCTTCCATTTCCTGACAGAACCACATATAGCAGCCTCCTGTTCCCACATTCTCTGTCTGTCTTGCGATGTGGTTCCTATTTCCAGGTTATTACAGACATTTACGTGCCTGTCGGCAGAAACAGGCTGAGAGGGAAGAGCGGCTGCGCCAGTTAAAGAAACGGGGCTGCGAAGGGTCGCTGGCTCCGGCCGAGGCGAAGTTGGTCGATGAAGATATAACCCGACTCGTCAATGGCGTACAAACTGGCACTATTGATCCACATTCTGTGTTGGATGCCTACGCCAAGGTCGCCGTGAGAGCTCAAGAAAAGACAAACTGTGTTACGGAGATCATGGTTGACTCTGCTCATGAATGGCTACGCAGCGGCGATATCAACCTGAAGGGCCCACTGGCCGGGGTTCCCATTAGCTTGAAGGATAATATCGCAGTCGGCGGGTTCGACACAACCGTCGGATACAGTAGCTTCGTCGGCAACAAGAACCCGCAGGATGGTGCCATGGTCAGGCTCTTGAAGGATGCTGGAGCAGTACCCTACGTTAAAACCAATGTGCCAATCACCCTTCTCAGTTTCGAATCGACAAATGATGTCTGGGGGAGGTGCACAAACCCCCACAATAGCAAGTTCTCCCCTGGCGGATCGACTGGGGGGGAAGCGGCCTTGCTGGCTCTGGGGGGGCGAATCGGCATTGGTAGCGATGTTGCCGGGAGCGTACGTGTTCCTGCCCACTTCTCGGGTATTTACACTCTTCGCTGCTCGACAGGGAGGTGGCCGAAGCACGGGATGTGCACGAGCATGCCGGGTCAGGAAGGAGTTCCCAGCGTATTTAGTCCCATGGCGAGGACTGTCAACGACCTCCGCTACTTCACCAAGTCATTGATAGATATGGAGCCGTGGAAATACGACTGCACAGTCCACCCACTCCCATGGCGGCAGGATATCTGGGAGGAGTATCGCGGGAAGAAGACACTCCGCGTGGGGATCATGCGGACTGACAATGTCGTTGATCCAAGCCCAGCCTGTAGGCGAGCTTTGGAAACCACAGAGGCCGCTCTTCGGAAAGCGGGCCACATTATCATCGAAATCAACCCTCCCTCTCCCTACGAGGCTCTTTATCTGGGAGCTCACCTTCTCAATGCGGATGGATGTCAGACTTTCAAGAGATTCTTCAGTCCTGGGGAATGGGAGGATACTGGTGCCCGTCAGATGAGCTTTTTGATGGAGCTGCCGAGGCCATTGAAGTATCTCTATTATCTGTGGGTCAAGTATGTTCGGAGGGATGCTATCTGGGCCGACCTGGTAAGGGATTGGCGGCCCAAGAGTGCCGTAGAAAGCTGGCAGCTCGTCTCGAAGCGCGAAGCTTACCGAATGAAATGGTTTGAGTGGTGGAATGATGCGAACATCGACATCCTCCTTACTCCCCCAAACGCAACCCCGTCAGTTCCGCACGATGGTATGAAACAAGCCGTGAGCAGCTGCGGCTATACGTTCCTGTTTAATGTGGTATGTAGTAGGCCCCCGGCTTTCTACTTTTTACGGAACGTTTGAGTTAACAGAAAATGCAGCTCGACTACACATCCTCTGTGTTGCCCGTTTTGAAGGTCGACAAGGATCTAGACAAGCTCCCTGCCAATTTCAGTCTGAAGGGTCTAAATGGAGTGGCTCAGGGTGCGTACAGATTGTATGATGCAAACGCGATGGACGGACTGCCTGTCGGGGTACAGATAGTAGGCAGGAGGCTTGAGGAGGAGAAGATTTTGGCCATCACGGAGGTTGTAGAGGACGCTCTCCACCAGCACGGCACACACTACCGGCAGCTAAGCCCGTCGGACTGAGGTTGTAATGGTTGCCCGCCATGACGCGGTAGCACTCTTATATTTTACATCGCAGACAGTGTCCGCTGAGATTAATTGAAGTGATACAATTACGAGGCGAGAACACTATTTGGGCTGAGGAGGGAAAGCTGCCATGTTGCCCGACATCCCATCAGATTTTCCTCATCCGCAGCATTTTCTCGGAGCCTAGCCCTTCCTCTCCGCGATACGGGCGCTCTGTCGCTAAACCACTGCATGATGGAAGGAGTTGAAAAATAGAGTAGGAAACCGGAGAAGCATGGTATTCTGCCTGAACCGCGAACCCGTCCCATGATCTGGGTCCAGGGCTTCAATTTAAGATTTAAGACTGGTTTGCTTATATAAGTCATCAGAATTATGACGCAAATACCTTATTCAAATATATCTTTAAAGATTTATCTAGAATTGTATATTTTAAATTGATATTATAAATTAAATATTTTTAAATTTTAATCTACAGGAATTTTTTTTGCAAAAAATTTTTTTCTTCTTTTTTTTTTGGTTATAAAACAAATAACACGTAGTTGTAGCATTTTATAACGGCTGAATAAATAATAGTATTCCCGGCAAGGTACGAAGTAATTAGTGGCTAGTTCAGGCGGAGATGCATTGGTCCACTTCAACTTACGTGTATGTCTTGGCCCTTGTCATGGCCTCCATCCATGAAATTCACTTCCACATTCCGGCATCGTGAGCTTCTCTGAAATGACTTCGCCCAGTCTTTTACCATCGGAGAAAGGTATGTCATGGTTTGATTGAGTAGAGCCTATTTGACGAAGAGGAGAGACTGACCTCCGAGGCTTAGTCCACTATGATCCGATTGAGGACTTGAATTTGATTTTCGGTCATCCCTCGACTGTTTCCTCTATTTCTCGAGTTCTCCACACCGTCCAGCGACACAATGATACTCTCTCCGCCGATATCTCCACGTTGGAGCTTGTCCAAGCCTACGGATCGGATTCGAGCCTTGAGAGGATGCAAACGGCCCAACAGGACCTTGCAAAGCTCTTCGCCAAGATCGAAGATGTTCGGATTCGGGCGACCGAAACCGAGAAAAGCATCACCTCGATGACTGCAGACATAAAACGCCTTGATGGAACGAAACGAAACCTTACGAGAAGCATGACTGCCCTCAAACGGCTCCAAATGCTGACCACGGCATATGAGCAGCTGAGGGTGCTGGCAAAGAGCCGACAGTATCGGGAATGTGCCGGACTTCTCCAAGCCGTCATACAGCTTATGAAACACTTCAATAGCTACCGCAGCATCGAACAGATAGCAACCCTTAGCCGGGGAGTATCTGATCTTCAGCGTGAGCTACTGGAGCAAGTGTGTGAGGACTTTGAACTCGCCTTTGCGAAGGGAGAAACCTCTGCTCAAAAAACTACTCTTATAGAGGCTTGCCTTGTTATGGATGCCCTCGGTGAAACGGCACGCTCCCGGCTATTGGCTTGGTATGTCAATACTGAGCTTCGGGAATATCGCCAGGTGTTTAGGGGTAATGATGAGGCTGGTAGCCTCGACAATATTGGGCGTCGCTACGCATGGTTCAAGCGCATGATGAAAACACATGAGGATGACCATGCGGCTATATTTCCACCTCATTGGCGCGCCAATGAACTACTGGCCACGGCCTTTTGTGACGGGACCAGAGACGATTTCCGGGGAATTCTGGAGAAGAGGATGCGGCGAGCCGATGGTAGCAATATCGATGTTAATCTGTTACTAAATTGCCTCCAGGAAACACTGGACTTCGAGCAGACCCTCGATCGGCGGTTCGCGACCGGTCCACGAGCCAGCATTGATACCCTAAGTTCCATTGAAGATCGGGCGCAAAGCTATAGCGGCTCAATCTCGGTAGCCTTCGAGCCCTACCTGAACCTATGGGTAGAGTCTCAGGATAAGCAGCTTGCAGCGATGATACCAAAGTATAGGAATCAGCCTTTAACGCCCCCGGACGAGGACTTTTCTCCCCAGGCCGTCATAACGTCAGCCATTGAGCTTTTCCACTTCTACAAAGTGACGTTGTCACAATGCGCAAAACTATCAACCAGCGACCGGCTATTGGATCTTTCAAAAATCTTGGCAAAGTATCTCGACGAATACGCTGAGCAAGTCCTCCTCCATTTGCTCCAAGCGCCAGGGCAACAAGGTCCCTCACTGCAAGATGTCATTCTCGTTCTGAACACGGCCGATTTCTGGCACATCAACACAAATCAACTCGAGGAAAATATCAAGAAGCGGATTGATCCAGAGTTGGCCTCCAAGGTAGATCTCTCATCCCAGTCGGATGCCTTTCTGGGTGTGGCAAGCGCCGCTGTCCTGGCTTTAGTCCGGGACGTTACCAGAGACTGTGATCCGGCCTGGCGGGAAATGAGGAATACCAATTGGAGCACCATGGAGAGCGTAGGAGACCAAAGTTCCTACGTCGGCGAGCTCCTAAAACACGTGAACGCCAAGGTCAAGCAGATTCTTTCTGTTATTCATAAGTCTCAGTATGCTCGCGCGTTCTGTGACAATCTCGTTGAACATATTGCGATGTCTTATATAAACAACATAGTCCAGTGCCGGCCGATATCTGAAGTCGGTGCCGAGCAGGTAGGCGCTCCCCCCTTTCCCGATACGGTCCACTTGGTCACAACTTGATTGACCCTTGGCTAGATGCTTTTGGACAAATATGTACTTACCAAAGCCTTCGAAAATTTTCTCGCTCATCACAACCCGTCATCCGAACCGCATCCTACCACAGGCGGGTTTGTAAAACGAGTAAACCAGGTCATGGGCCGTATGGACCCGCTCCTCAAGACGTTGCAAGTCCGGCCCACACCGCCAGAGGGTTTAGTCCAAGCGTATCTCATTCACATTGGCGACCGATCGGAGACGAATTTTAGAAAGATATTAGACATGAAAGGGGTAAGGAAACACGAGCAACCGCATCTACTGGAGCTCTACGCGGTCCACAGGGATAGCACATCCAGCGCGAAGCTCGTGTCAAGCTCACCACTCTTGGCTTCACTCGTGCCGGCAGCTGGAGCTGCGGGTACTGGCATTGGGTCGATCAATACTACCGCCATCCTTACGGGACCTAGCCTCCAGGCGAAATTCGACGCAGGCTCCTTGGGTGAAAAACTACTTAACGCTGCAAGGGAAATGGGTACCAGCGCTTCGGACAAATCGGGCCAAGGTGTCCCCGAAAAGGCAACTATCAACGAGAACCTAAGAAGTTTCGGTAACTTTTTCAAGCGAGATATTGGTGGATTAGGGGCCAGATTTGGGAAGCGGGACGGCAGTGTCGGCGCAAGCAGCGAAGACAGGCGATAGATAACAATAGCTCAAGTCGTCAATTCTTGGGGAGAGACGGAGAAGAATGCCCGCCCCATCCCTAGATAGGTGTGGCATCCCGAAGGAGACGAACGAATGGTCGGGAGGGGCAAGGCAGGAGTGGACTTGTTGTTAGGATATCGCCAGGATATCGCCAGTTGCTAGCGAGGCCGACCTCGGAGGAGTACTTCTCGTTCTTAGTCACCCCTCTTCGTACCCCTGACGCTATTTACTTTGTATTTTCAGGGACCAGGCCCCCCATTAGCACATAGAGATATACACTACAAAATAATACCTTCATGCTGAGACATTCAGACACACTCAAGCTTTGTTGCAAGTTGGTCAGGAGTCAGGACATTGACTTTTCTCCACCTACAAAGCAAAGTATGCAGTAGAATCCCAGCATTGCCTAGTCTTTCGTCTTGAGCAATTTATAATACTCGATTTGATTAGAAATCGACAAGATAGCCCAAGGCTCCAAAGCATTACTTGCCCGTTATTGATGGTAGTCTGCGTCAACGATCAATCAAGATCAATATTTTAAGGGAAAAAAAAACCCGAGACACAGCGCTTGACCCCACCTCCATTTCTTCGCATCTTCAAACAACTTCTCGCGACGAGCCATTCCCATCAAGCCGCCAAACTGTTTTCCTTCGCCTTCCCTCGCGCCTTCCGTTTGAGCGCGACTGGGCTCTCCATCGCCGCTACTACAGTTTCTTTCAAGACTGCTAGAAATTCTAAGCCCGCGCTGGGTACACGAACCATGCACAGTAGGATCATCGGTATGTCGTCGCCTCCAATCGTCTCTATTCCACGCGTAGAGGAGGGCAGTTTAAGAACTTGCAAACTCCTCCCCCGAGAGTACAATGGCGTGCAGTTGTATCTAATTAGGACTTAAAGTCATTGGGTCGGGACCGGCCGCCCATACCGCGGCCATCTATCTTGCGAGGGCCGAGTTGAAACGTACGTGGTCCCCTTTGTCTGCAAGGCCGTTCAAGCCGGGAAGGCTTTCGTCCTTCTTGTTGTCTAGTCTGCATGTTTGCAATGCTAACCCTCTCCAAGCCGTCCTCTATGAGGGATTCATGGCCAATAACGTAGCGGCCGGTGGACAGCTGACCACGACGACCGATGTCGAGAACTTCCCCGGATTCCCCCAGGGTATTCTCGGCCAGGAGCTTATGGTTTGCTGCGCCTACCCCAATTTTCTTTTTCCTTCTTTCTCCTTTTTCTTTTTTGTCACCATGCTGCTCGTCATGGGATCTCTAACGGTAATTTGAGACTTAGGATAAAATGAAAGAGCAATCCGTTCGTTGTGGAACCGAAGTCATCACGGATACGGTTTCCACTCTCGACCTATCCTCACGCCCTTTTAAGTACACCACCGAATTTGGCTCCGAATCTAACGTCCATACCACCGACGCTGTTGTCATTGCCACGGGCGCATCGGCGCGCCGCCTCCACCTCCCTGGCGAGGAACAGTACTGGCAAAAGGGTGTTTCTGCATGTGCTGTTTGTGACGGTGCCGTACCCATATTTCGCAACAAACCTCTTGTGGTTATTGGTGGAGGTGATTCAGCTGCTGAAGAAGCCTTATTCTTGACAAAGTATGGCAGCCATGTTACGGTACTTGTGCGCCGTGACAAGCTAAGAGCCAGCAAGACCATGGCCAACCGCTTGCTCTCCAACCCCAAAGTTACCGTAAAGTTTACAACTCGACCAGTTGAGATTAGGGGAGATGATACCGGCTTCATGAATGCTCTCCTCGTCAAGAGCACGGCTACGGGCGCTGAGGAGGTTATCGACGCGAATGGCCTGTTCTACGCCATCGGACACGATCCTGCTACGAGTCTTGTCAAAGGCCAACTGGAAACGGATGCCGATGGCTATATAGTGACGAAGCCGGGCACAAGCTTAACCAATGTCGAAGGTGTGTTCGCTGCCGGCGACGTTCAAGACAAAAAATATAGGCAGGCTATCACAAGTGCTGGTGAGTTCAGCGCCGGTCATCTCCTTCCACGTACTTGAACTAATCGCTGTTAAACTGTAGGATCCGGCTGCATGGCTGCGCTCGATGCTGAGAAGTATCTCGCCGAGAAATTTGGAGAATAGCGAGTGATTCCATGTTGCGCATAGAAAACATCTGGGCTCTGCATAGGCCCAGTTGGTTGCCTCGTGGCTTAGTTCATGTCATCACAAGTTACAATTACCGCATATATCCCAATAGAGTTGCTGATTCTTCTCTCTCTCTCTCCCCCCCCCCCTTCTCTCTCTCCCTTTTTTAGTTATTTCTTAACTTAGAGCGAGGCTTAACAATGTCTTCCTGGCGGGCACTCCGTTCATGGCGAAAGAATCTTATTACCTGCTGTTATGGAAATATTACATTATGCCTTGGCTGCGTCGATCTGCTAGCTGGCAAAGCTCTTGCGAATTCAGCAACACTTCTAACATCTCTCGAATTGAATTAGATTTATCTTGAATTAAATATCAGCCAGCAATCCTTTCTTATCAAATGTTCTCCCCCTCTCTCTTCCCTCATGTTTGCCCATACACAGAGTTCTGGGAAACTAACGTCTGCTCTCTCCTCCCCCGCACCCCCCTCGCTTGCCGCCATTTCTGGAAGAGGTGAACTATACACTATGCTCTTATATATCTGATATATCTGCGGCCGGAGAATAATGTGGTAGTAAATAAATTCGATGGTCAAGCCCGGAACCCGCTTCATCACACCCCACGCTTGGGATCCTTGACTTAGATTGAACCCCGCCAGTTTGTGAAAATCCCCACGCCGTGAGCAAAAGGAAAACTCCAATAGCTCTGTCTCGGACTTCACAGGCATAGCACATCAATTTTGGGAATTTGCAACTTACCATTCGTCGGGTATTTATCAACTCTGTTCACACGACCATATATGGGGGCGGGAGTAATAACATTTATATATATATATATCTAGGCATATCCCATGCTATCGAAGCCTCGCGCCATGCATAGTCAGGCTGACTATTTCAGCAGGAAGATGAGCGAGCTGTTGGGCGACATTTGCGTGTACTTAGTAGACGCCATCAAAACTGGCCGTAGAAGGAGCAGCTCTGTACAATGCACGTGTACTTGTTTGTGTACACGTCTTTCGACCGAACCTTGTTGCACTCAACATCTCCACAGGAATCAAGCAGCTCCGTGATACGGTGGCCACATTTGTGGTGGAGGAAGATCCTGTGTAGACACATTTCCGCTCTTCGGCACCAGATATCGGGTTAGGTATACGCAGCGAGTCCGGTTTATGCTGATATCCCTCCAACACAAGGCTGCTCGAGGGGTCTATTCGCACCAAGGCGCACGTTTCGTCAGCGTAGCTCGACATATGGTTCCAGATTGCATCGTTCAAGGTGCCATTACCGGGGGATGCGATAAGCAGAGTGATGGGGATATCTCGGAAGTCTGGATATTCCGTGTAACCTAGCTTTGACGCCTGCGAGCCTGAGGTTAGGAGAGAGTGCAGAAGGAGCTTTCAGACACGGTATGATGGGGATGAGCAATCGTGAGATGTGTTCTTCGCTGGTGCTTTTCTGTGGCCAAGGTCCTCTGAGCCATCGATTCAAGGACCGGGCAACGGATATATATAGTCATCCACCTTGGGCCACACTCAGAGTCTTTCCCCTAATAAAGGTCGCGAAGCGTTATATTATATCACGTCTACCTCCCCCTTTAGACCCCAAGCCGTCACCGCTCACCCGTCGTAGACCTTCTCTTCACGTCAACACATTTTATCCCACTCGTGTGTCCGGCTGTTAATGGCTGTAATAATAAGGAGAAGAACCCCAAGGCAGCATGCGCAACAAAATAGACTGACATTAATGCTCATCCCCGTTGAATAGTTCTCTTGTCAAAAAAGAGATAACCGTCGCACATCTGGATCCCGAGTTCCCATGACAAATCTGCGGCCGCTGACACAGGTGGACAGAGGGACGACACGTCCACGCACACTTGACAGAGCACATCAGGCCCGAGAATGGACGAGATTCGGTTTAGAGACCATATCCGAAGCCCGCCATTGGTTCTGGCATTGGCAGACGCTGAGGATATGGAATCAAATCTCCTCGCGAGGCGTCACCTCCGCCTTCACCCCCACTGTGAGCTTCCCCTCTTGCCCCGCCCTTCTGTCTCTGTCTTTAATATTGACGTAGCATACCAGCTGCAAGCTCACATTGTTTCCACACTAACCCCGCTCGTCTTGTGGGCATCGTGACTCCTAGAACAGCGGCGGCAGACCTAGCTTGGATTAGCCCCCGCCCTAAATGTTTCGTTTGCAAGGTTTCGTTTCACTTGAAAGTTGCCATAAGCCTGGGTGTCCCGAGAAATGATCGGCTCGTCCTAATCGGGACCCCCTTGCCGGGATGGAACAAGGGCGATCGACCCGGCCAGTATATCCGTGCCATTTCTGTCCCCGTGCCGCACACAGCCGGACTCTTCGGATTCCTCGTTATAGTAATTCATAACTTCCCTTCCCGCCTACCGCCCATGCTGCTGGACCAACGTGATAACAACTGGGTGTGGGAGGCATAATATATACCAAGAACGCTTGTTCTGTGCTCTGAAGTGGCTCCACCCATGGTTCTGGTCTCCGAGTCTTCATGCTAAACATGTTGAATTCTATGCCAGATCTCAGGCGACCCCCCACCACCATCGCTCTTGCTTATTGTAAAAGATAGACTGGGTTATGCAGTCGATTCTGTCATCAAGTATTCCATATATCCGGTTGAGTGCTGGGGCACAATATGCCAATTTGAGCGAAGGCCCAGACCAGAAGAATATGCACCGCGAATAATGCAAGGCTTGTTGTATGGCCCCATATCCAATGTCCCCTGGCGTAGGTTTGGCCCCTCTCAGCTTGCAAGCTCGGAAGGTTAGGGCTCCTTACCGGTGCCGCAGCAAGGCCGAGATCTAGACCTGCGAGTAAAACTAAGGGAAGACCTAGAGTAAAGTTGAACATAAAGGGTAAACAGGGGCGAGCGAGAATAAGCATCTTTAAGAGGAACAATACTAGACGGGAAAAGAGCGGCTGCCATATCATGTCACTAATAGATTCGTATATGCGGCTGAGGAGGATGGGATATAGGCTGCCCCCTGGCGGGGAGTTCACAGAAAGCGGAGGGCCCATGAGGAGTGGTGTGTCGGGCATTGCATTGCGCGTTCCAGGCACCTGGTCACTAGGCGGCGTTGTTGTCGTCATCATGCCGGGATCCCCGTCCTGACCGCGGGGGGGCTGCCCTCGATGCCTAGGGCTAGAAGGGCTTGCTTGAGCCCGTGCAAACCCGGATGCCACCGGGCCTTTAGATAAGCCCACGAGGGGACTCAGCAAAGGGCGGTCAGTGCTGATGGCGGAAGGTCGAGTTGAGCTCTTCTCACATTCTAGCGAAGAGTCAGATCTAGGAAGCACAGACATCTATCTACGCCCTGTGGCAACTGGAGCGGATGTGCTGACTCTCCAGGTACATCTAAAAGGCAGGGAAAAAGAGAGCGCTGAAGCGAGTATGGAGGGGGGGGAGAAATATACCTACCTGAGTGGGGTGTACCTGGAGCCAATGGGGAGTCTAGATTTTGAACCCGACCGCTCGAGGGAGACAGCGGATGATTGGGGCTCTGGGGTAACCAGGAAGCCCCTTCGAAGGGAGTCTCGTTCTTCATCGCAGCGAGCACTTCAGCAGCACTCGGTCGATTGAGCGGCTCAGTATCGAGCAGTCTCTTCAGCAGCCCGTAGAGTTCGGGGGGGAGATCTGGGCGTTCCCTCTTTTCATCCGTGAAGCCCTTCCAGTCCGTGATTTCGGCCCTAAGCAAGTCAATATCCTCAAGTTCTTCATGAACGGCATCCGCATTAGCGTAAGGCAGGCGGCCAAAACACATAAAGTAAAGTATCATGCCAAGAGAGAATATGTCAGACTTTGTGGTGAAGTTGCCGTATCTGCCCGTTGCGTCGGCTCGCAGAACTTCGGGAGCACACCATGAGATAGTTCCCGTAGCACCCGTTGACTTACGAATGCCGCCTTCGGATTGCACCTCGCCAAAATCGCTTATGAGACAGGTTATTTTAGCTCCTTCACGATGCAATAGGCAGTTGCTTGGCTTCAGATCACGATGGATGTAGCTAGCACCATGTAGATATGCTAGTCCCGATGTGATGTCCCTGAATAAGGAGTATATCTCCTCAAAGGAAAGCCAACGGCGAAGATTCTTCGGGCGCTCTGTCTGTCCCCGAGATCTTCTTCGCATCTGCGCCTTGAGCTCCTCCTTGGTAGTTTCTTTTTGCAGGTCTCCGAGAATGTACTGTAATAAATCTCCTCCGTTGCAGTACTGTTGTAAAATAAAGGCACACGCAACCGGGGGACCGAAGCGATTAAGTGTTACGTTTTCCAACCAGACATGCCGATAGGAAACGAGGTTTGGATGTGACAACTTCGCAAGTAGTTCAACCTCAACGAGGACTTCAGAACTGGTTAGATCTAGGAGCTATTCGTGATGGAAGAAAACCCACCCTTCTCAAGCCAGGTGTGGTCATCACCAACAGGCACCCGCTTGCACGCAAAGTGGCCTAGAAGACATGGTAGTCAGGCAGCTGTCCTCTGTTCTATCTTACGGCACTGATAGTCGCCCGTGTACGCCTTTAGGCCCAAGGTAACAGGTAGCATACCAAGATGACAGCCATCAATCTCGTGGCGGACGAGGAGAACGACACCCTTTCCTCCCCTGCCGAGTTCCCTCTCCTCAACGAAAAAAGTGTTGAAATAATTGGGACTGAAGGCATCTCGGCGGATTCGGCTGCGTTCCTGATACGGTGTACGCGTTCCACCAAAGTCTCCGTTGGCGGGTGAGGAATCAATGTCAACCTCGCGAGACTGAGGATGCTGGACAAGTCGGCGAATTGGGCTAGGAGGGTTGCGCGAGCTCTGGTTCTGCTCCCCAATGGCATGAGTGTCCCTCAACATTCGAAAATAATTCGGGCTGACATAGGACTGTTCGGGGACAGGGAGATCGTAATGGCGTTCAGGAGATGGGGAACGAAGCGGCCGATGGCACGTTGGACATTCTGCCAGGCCACGAATCTCGAGCCGACGAGAGGATGGGTCCCTCACGACTAAGGCATTCCGATGCTGTCTTCATCCAGTTTCACCGAGTCAGCAATGGGCAACGAGAGGTAATGGCAAAACCTTCTGGAAAAGGAGCCGCCAAGGAGATCATTTCCATAGGGTACTTGCAGAATGATTTCACGCCCTTCCCTCGAACTATATGGCACAAGAGACATTATGAGGGCAGGGCAATACAATCGGGCCAAGTCTGTTTTAGAGACGGCCTTCTTAGGACAGGAGAGAGCCGTTCGCCATGGCGAAACAAGTATCTAAAGAGGAGAGAGATGGGGCTCTGGGGGGTCGAAGATCGTAGTGATGGTTGGCGCCACTTCACAAAGCTCGAGGGACGTTGGAATCAGAGGATCAGGCGAGGATCATTGTGCTCAAAGGAAACTTGATCAAGCTCCCTGACAATTAATCAGAATTAATGAAGATAGCACCAAATGATACTATGATAGTCTGATATTCGTTTAAACAGTGTTTTATGGCCTAACTTAATATTGCATTACAGAATCTACTGCCCCACCAAATTCCAATTCGAATATTGATTAACTATTTACCTTTGCAATCATACTCGGTTAAGATGCAACAGCGACCCTTCTCTTCACACGTCGAGCCTTAACTTGTTGCGCCTTCACTCCGGGCCCGAAATCGGGAACTCCGCCGAGCGTCCCGAAAATGTCGCCGATATAATTGGCCGCCGCGACACCCTTTCCAAATTTGCAGTTCCATCCATGGATAATACCTTTGACAATCTCAATGCCGGTATTAAACAAGTTATCGATAGCAATGTGGAAGCCGTTTTGGTCCAACAGAACGAGGTGTTCATAGGTGCTGACACCCACTGGTGGTCTATCGAAATTCGAGCCTAACAGAGAGCGAGTGGTGAGCTCGATACTTCAAGTTCCTTTCATGGCGCTCGCCACATAGCTTGTGACCCACCTGCTCTCATGACAATGACCCTACCGAAGTCCACAAGCCCTTCAACGGCAGAACGGACTAAAACCCCGAGAGTCGCATTGTCCTCCTGCGCTGTCATGCAATATGAGGCAGAGCCATTCGTCCACACGGCGGCCGTCTTTTCAAACGCATTGCTGAGCAACGTGCCAGTGTAATATACGTCACTAGTGGCGACATCACATTTGATCACTCGAGGCGGTTCCGTTGCAGGGAGGTAGTCAACGCCCATGGGTACGTATTTCAGTCGGTACATATTTGTATCCTCCGAATCCGTTAGATCAGAGGCCGCTGCCAGCCTGAAGACGTCGTCCCTCAGCGATTCATTAAGCTCGAATACCTCGGTCCCGTAGAGGATTGACGGGTACTCGAACGGCTGCTTGGTTCCAAAAGCCATGTACCCAGTCTCCCAATGCTCGGGCATCGATCTTGCGTCTATTTCGTACTGCAACGCAACTTGAATGGCATACTTGACGATGGCAACGCTTCCCAGTGTTCCATGTTTGGGATTCACCCCGGCTATTCCACTGATTAGGAAGTAAGTCTTGCGGAGGTCGAATGCGTTTGACAGAATGAGCGACATCATTGTTGCTGCGCCGTTGATTTCGCCTTCTCCAATGACCACCTGGCATATGGTATAGTCTCCAACACAGTAGATGTACGGAAAGAGCATTGACAGTCCGCGAAGATGAAATTTCCTCTCCGTCAGGTCTCCCATTCCACTGGCTGGCAGCCTCCTCTGCCATATTTCCGCCTCTGGTTCGAACTGGTTTTGTTTAGCTCCGTCTAGAGAAGACAGAAGACCCGCTCGGTATTGCACTTACCATACTAATGATGAAAACCTTAGGGGCGATCTTGCGATGCGGGAGGGCGTTGGCATTTGTGAGACACAGGAGATCTGCGACAACTCCGGCCAATATGGCCAGTGTAAGCGGGAGACGCATGGTGATGAGAGTACCGAACCTGACATGATGAACCTTTCGACTTCTGTACCATGTGGAGGTCGGTGTCTCCCTTTTATACAGTCTACACTCATCCCACTCTCTTCGATCGCGAGGCGTAAGTGAGTATAGGGTTCTCTGATTCTACCAAAAGTAATGGAAGAACCCCCCCCCCCGAAAAGAAAAGAAAAAAAAGCTAGCAAGCCGTGGCACTCTCTAGTCTATTTTCGAGCTGCACTGTCTCGGAATCATAATCTCATTGACCTCAGCCCGAGCTTTGTCTTGTCGTCTTGATTTGATGGCGTCGTCTTATGGGCAGAAGACATATCGTGCCATTCACTTTATACGAAGTAGGAGTAGTAGAACAGCATTCAGTTGTGACTTGTGAGGAGCCTTGGCTTGCTTTTCCATGAGGACCCTAAGACACCACCACATCTAGAGTACAGCTGGCAAGACCAAGGTGCGATTCGTGATGATCCCGAGGTGACTTAGGCCCCTGGCGGTCTTCGTCGCTTTTGCCAGGTATTATGTATTAGCTGAAAAGAGAGGAAATCCCGGAAGAGAGAAAATAAGCAACGGAGGAAAAAAAAATATTAAGTAAGTGTTTACGGTACCACCCAGCAAAGAAGCAAAGATTCAACCAAAAAATTATAGCTTTCAGAATCCCTTTGAAGAGGTAATCTAAGGACCTAGTGACCTATTTACTTGGAGTCTGACAGAATCGCCTCGATGTTGTTAGGTGTTGCCTTCACATCGATTCATTCTATATATTTACTTGAGTTTTATCACCTTCACAGATTGTATGCAACACTTACCTCGTGGACTAACTTGTAAACCTCGTTCCTGAAGACGCGGCCTCGGCGTGGTTGACCATTATTAGCATCCCAATACCTCCCATCCAATTGATTCTCAAACTCTAAACAAAGCATTGAAATAATAATGCACCAAGCAATATTGATGAGCTTAGAAAGCTAACGCAGCTCCTCAAAGAATTTGTAAAACCTGTGCTCGTTTTCAATTGTTCTGGAGGATCGCAAACCGTCTCCAGAACTTGTGTTACCAAGAGCTATTTCACTTTCTTGAGGACTTGGGAATAATATGTAGGAATAATATATAGCTCCCTCCCACGTGCATCAATGATGGACACGTTCCCGCTAGAAAATAGCGCCAGGTACAATCAACGATGGGTTCGGTTTTAATAGACAAAGTTTTGAATGTTGACTTCAATGTTCAATGTCATTTGGTTTTGATGGAACGATGAAATGATTAATGGATTGAATTGGTGTACACAGACTACCTTCGTCATAACTTTGTACTTTGAAGAGTAATTTTTTTGACGTCGTTCAGTTGTTCCGCCGATATGTTGCCCCACCCACCGAGTCAGGCTAGATTTCGTTTCTATTTTGAAAAGTAAAGTATTGTTGATGTTGGCGTGGAATACGATTTCCATCCTTTGAGCAAGTCAACATCAATTGATCCACCTGTTGAAGACGCCAAGGTCGTATTTACGAGTGCTGCGCACAGTAAGTCGATAAGTCATCCCGAGACGGAATAATCAGGATTTCCACGATCAATTGAGCCCTGATTCTCCGACGCTTGGGTGCCAGCCACTCGCGCCTCGCCGGCTGTTCCGTTAACGGCTCTTTGCAGTCTTCACTCGGTCGAAGCAAATGATAGTATCCCCGCTGAACAAAGGGGTTGTGGCCCCTGGCTTTCGCCCAGCGGCCCAAGATGGAGTCAATTGCCTGTCTCGCACTCTACATCTATATTCTCGGCGTATCGAAACGAGGCAGAAGCTAACCCCGAAGCTGTCACGACTATGTTCTGGGACGACAAACTGCCAAACGCTTGTGCAAAGCACGACAGGTCACACTCTTAATTGCGTGTCGGGGCCACGTAGACCCACGGGGCGGTCACATTTCTCTGTCTCGGGCTTATTACGAGCCAAAAGCACCAAGTCTGCTGCACCTACTCCCTCTCGCAAGGCGAAAGTGCCGATCTCCAAGCTCCCTCCCATGAATCGTGCTCCAGGAAACCGAATCCAATCTCCCCCATCGCCGGTCCACCCTAGTGCCCGGACCTCAGCTCCCACGCGCTCTATGCGGAAGCCGCAAATTTCGCCCGGCCCGGGCGCCACGAGAACGCCCGAATATAAAGCTGCCGCTCGGAAGTGGACAATGTCTCTCATTGCGCTTCCCGTCTTTCTCGTTACTTCGTACTATCTCTTTGACCGCCGTAAGTTCAATGGACCCTCAACAACTCCGTTGGAAGCTTTATTCTCACACTCGCCAGTAATACTGGGCACACCTCAGAGATCCGTACCGTCGACCGATGGAGAACCAAACACCCCCTCACCGACCAACCGGGCCGTGTAGAAGACGTCGGAATTTCAACAACCAAAGAGTCGACACTTCCATAAGGAGGCCATTGTTTCATAGCAAGCTCTCTAGCACCAGCTCGGTGGATTGGCTAGGGAGCGAGCGGGTGAAGCCTGCCAACAACCCTAAGTGATTTATTTCAGCTTGGGTCTTTCTCTCCCAACCCTCCCCATTTACAAGAGTTGATATTCCGAGCGACCACGCCTTCGCGGCAGTCGACCTGTCTAAAATACAAGCCGAGTGTCATTCAGACTCACACACGTGGCCGTCGCTCATCTTGTGCCATTGCTGCTACTGGTTATCAAATCCGACGCGTCTTTGCCTCGGTTGGGTCTGGCAGCAGCTTCTATGCCAATCATTTGGGTTGCCCTCCTTTCCTTGGTGGTTAATCTTGGCGAGGCACAATAAGCAGGGATTGTTTTTCTGTGGCAGGAAAATTCAAGGTTCTTAGGTGGATTCAGACCCTTTAAGACAGTAAGATAATGTCGAAGACGCACAATTGACGGTTTACCGCCGTTATGATGAAATATAGGTTGTGAAATTTTTTGGATATATTGGCCGAGGGAGTTTTCTGTGATACAGAACGAGCCCCGAATTTGGATAACAAATGGCATTGAGTCCTGTTACCAGCAGTTGGATGCTCTAAGGTAGATACGTCCCTGCGGCCAGATGATCAGATACCCTATCGAACTGTGAGGACTGTACTGAAACATTGTTAATGACATTCCTCTCCGATTTGTCCACGGCATATCCTGTGAGTGCACTGTAGCGTATTGGTTTCCCCCCTCTTTTCTCTCCGAAACACATCCACCACCTTGATCTATTGCTTAGAGAACCTCCGAATTCCGCGCCTGATGCCACTGTCAACGCCAACGGCAACCCTTTCCAAAGGCAGGCGGTTCTCAATCTTTCGAACAGTCCTTGATACGGGTGGCTCAACACGTTTAATGCTGCGCTGAACCGACGGTGTAATGAAGGAGATGTTCCGTTCCCAGCGAGGCGCCCAGCGAGCCGTTTGCGTGGCAAGACGTTCCTCTGCGCCGGGGATGAAATAGAAGAACGGTGCTAGAGCCCCGACCCCGGCCACACCATAGCACAGGGACTCAGGCGAGCGGACCAACGGAATTCGAACCATCATGTTTCCTTTTTGACAATATGTCAAAGGTAGGGGGAAAGGTAAGATAATAAACTCTGTGGGTAACCGTGGGAGCTGCTTGGGTTTTGTTAGCCTTGCGAGAGTGAGATCTCATTGACGAGGCGGCCCACTGACGACGGTTACCTACTGATTTATCTGATCTTCTTATTGAACTCCGAGTAAAATGGGAGGAGAATCAGCTTTGCCTAGTCAAATGTTGGGAGGGGATCCGAGAAGTAGAAAAGGATGGGGAAGAGGGTGTGGAGGTGAGGAAACGGACTGGAGGCGGAAGTTGGGTGCCTTAAAGGACATGAACTGGCCAACGATTCACAGTAGCAACTTTACTCATGTTGTCCTTCTTCCGTCACGAGAGACGCCATCTGATACTCTGCTAGGTGATCGGGCACCTCAGAAGAAGCGGGGTAACCCTGGGCCGTTGATTTACGGAGTATGTCGAAGAACGCCACTGATCCGACACACTGACATTCAAATGTTTACTTGAATGGCAATACGATGCGTGTACCAGAGTACTTGTTGTTCTTGGGCGGCATGGACAGTAAGACGAGGGAGCACGGTTGTAATGTTTGGCGACCTGTACTTCAGACTTGGATGGGCGGAAGTACTCAATGCTCTGGTATTATTGAAGTACTCTGGTCCGGTCGAAAGTACAAAGTATCCTGATACAATTAATTGGTCGTCGGGGGTCTAGGCCATGGAGGAATTACGAATACTGTGCTCTGAAGCGTCCAAGGTAGAAGCCATTTGATATCAAATCCCATATTTGCCCCAGGGGTGAGGGAAATCTGTCTGTGTCCTGGGGCTTCCTCGTAGAAATCAAAGCGAGTTCGATAGCAAAGAAAGACGAGTGGCTCTCAAATGTGCTGTTTACCAAATGAACGCATCCAGCCAATATAATCTCATTTGATCTCGACCGTCCACAGTTCCCTTTTTTGTCATATCTTCTCACGCAAACTACACTGCTAATGATTTTCACTCGTTATATCTAACCATACGATTTTACGCATTTTACGCTACCAGACAGTAGTAACACAAGCGGTGGTACATTTGAAGAGGAATTCTACCTTAGACACGCAAGAGGGAGACTGTGCGGTGAACTCATATGAAGTACAAGATTGATCTGAGGAGGAATATGCCCGAGAATCCTGTCCTTGTAGATTCTGCGCCCTCCTTTCTCTCTCTCCCCCCCCCCCCTTCCCAAAAAAAAAAAAAAACGAGCATTGCCTTCTCTTCGTTTGTCTTCGAGCCGATCAGTCGACGGATCAATTTAGAGTTCCTTGCTATGCATCATTGGACATTGATACGTCGAAAAACCATCCATGGATCATTGATGAATTGATGCCGGAGGACGTTCAATCGTTACCGACCATGGATCCACTTCCCCGCAAATCTGACATGGTCTCGTCTCCACAGAGTCTGTGCACTAGGCAAAATCGAGGCCCCGTTTCTTGTCCAGAGACTTCTGGGCTTTCGCTGCTGAGAGGAATAAGCTTTCGTAATCCTACCACGCTGTCTAGTGCCCACTAGTACCTCGCAGCAAAGCGGCACTAATGTTACTGTGGAGTACTATTAGTTTAGAGCTAAGACAAGACAGAACGCGCTTTCTGGGGAGTCGCTGCACAGTGCAGTCTTGGATGGATAGTAGATCAATTGGGGGCTGTCGCGTGCTTCTCAATTCGAAGGTTTTTGGAGCACCGGACAGATAAAAAGTTACTTGACAATAAAATAAAGTAAAATACAGAATTACCGTAGCACATCTCATTCGTAAAAACGCAAAAGGCGGCATCAATTGATCGATGACATATCCCCTCCAATTACCTTTATCCATCAAAGGAGGAAGACGACCTAAGTACGGGATTTGCCCTCCCTTTGCTTCAACGCGGTCATCCTCGGCTCGTGGCGGTTGCTTTGTCTGTTACTCCGCTCTACTTCTAGCTATCATAATCTCCGCCTGTTTTTGAATGATTTAGAACATAAACCATCAACGACAATCCCCAGCGAGGAAGTCTAGCAAATGGCAATTGCGCTCTGGGAAACCGTCAATGGATCAATTTGACCAAGATAATGCCGGCGCCGCAAACACTTCGTCGAGAGTTGGGTGGAATGGGAAAATCGCCAAGGCAGACCTACGGCCAGCCACTACCCCAAATCTCTGCCCCTCTCAACTTTGTTGGGTCAAGGCTAGAAGCCCCACTAACGGCGCTACCTCTACTTGGGAGTACGGAGTACACTACCCGAATTAGATTTCAGGGCTACAACCTCGATCCTCTCCTCGTAATTCGGTGGGTCCTCACGCTTTCTGGTTGACGGCGAGTTTAGCGGTTTCGACATCGCGGACGAGAAGGGGCTACTTCAAAAGCCACTCAAATGGACCAGTCACTGGGTTTTTAGAAAAACCCCCCCCCCCCCCCCCCGGTTCATTAACCAGCGTGAAACTGACAAAAGTACTCTGCTCTGGTCAGTCAATTACTCAGGATGTGGCAAGATGACCACCTCACTCTCGCTGGCTCATTATTTCGAATCAGCAAAAACACCGCAAGGACTATGCGCTCTAGTTTTTCGAAGACAAGATTCGGAACCGGAAGGATGGAAAAGGGGTTCTAGTGGACTTGATTTACTTATTCGCCCCCATTGATCCAATCCGAAAGGTTTTGAGGGATTGCAGACCTAGTCCTGCCTGAATTATTATTAGCAGACCCTGAACAGTCCGCCCGCCGGGAGCTACCTAGCTCCATCTCTGATCCAGTCAAATCCGCAATATCCTCGTGGGGATTGAAGCAACAGTAACACGAGGAGAGATCGAAGGCCAAGTCGCCACATGCTAGGTCATCATCTCCTCGGCAATGGCTACTGGTTTTGTGACCGATGTAGGGACCAACCCACTTGTCGAGGTGAGTCTCGAGGATGTCGGATCCATATGGTCCTGTGAGAGCATATTTGGGGTGAAGTAGTATGGGGAAGGCCATCTCACAGTGGGAAGTGGACGTATACGTATCAAGTAAACGCTTCCAGCCACAATCAAGTTCTGCAACGGAGACTGATTAATTATCAACGTAGGAGCCAACTCTCTCAAAACAATAGAAAAACTACACTACAAATCAAGACACAGGCCAACAGCTTGTCCTCTTGGGACACAGTTGCGAATATCTCGCCACTGGACCGAACTTCGCCTTAACCAAACGCATCCCTGCCCAGCGCCGACTTGGAAATGCCGTGATAACCCCTGCTAATCCAGCCGTTTCCACCAAATATGGCTCTTGTGAGTACCGTTCTGCTGTGAAATCCACAAAAAGCGCCCTTCGTCGGGCGTGTCGATTATAGTGTAGTTCCGTCTTTGTCTCGTACCTATGAGCGCCGGTATGTGCGCAACCGTCAGCGGACCGTGGAGGATCTGGCCCGACTCCTCCGTCGCGGGGACACCAGGCACGGCTTCCTGGACAGACCACGGTCCAGCATATGACAGAGTATGCTTGCCCGCCTTTGCCCAGTCAGCATCGGACTGGCCTTCCTGGGACGGGTACGTCAAATTCAAGTCCGGAGGGAGAAGGCCGGAGTCGGCCGATGCGACGGTTGTTGACATGTAGCCCGACTGAGTATAAGTCATGATGCCGATAGATCCGCTTCCCCAGGCAACACTATTCACCGGTTTGCCATCTCTAATCCTAGAGCGCCATCCGTTATATATTACACGTGGAGAGTTAATGGCGGGTCTAGGGGAGACTCACTCAGTCCGATTATAAAGCGCGTAGGTTCCTGCGAGAAATGCGACGAGATCTGGTTTCATGATGTTGCTCATTTGAATATGTGGAAGGTGAAGGAATGTCAATTGAGATGTGACTGGGAATGTGAAGCAGGAAGTATGTGGTATTCTATACCAATATATCTAGATAGATATACGAGTGAGCCCGGACCTTCTCGTGGAAACATGAAATAAGATTTTATTTATTTTATTTTTGAGTAAAGAACTTCACTCTGTCCCCCGGGACCGTTCGAACTTTATAGCCATTATGCCTCCCGGAAGGGGTTACATTCAAGATCCCGAGTCATTCTAGTAGTTTAATCGGATCGATCGTATGGTTCCGGCGGACGCATGTGAAAGGAGGATGTAGTACTATATCCAAACACCATCTCTAGGAGCATGTTACCTTATTAAGATGGGAAGATGTATACTCCAGGTTAGCATAACCCACTGCATTCAGGTAACAACCAAATCCGACATTGGAAATGCAAAGTACTAGATAATTAATTATACGTAGCTTCGTTTAAGGCGCGAGCTGTACACTCCACCGTCTACCCTATCAACAATTAGCATCTATTACTCTTTTCCACCACAATTCCGTCGCCCAGAATGCCTCCCGCGACTTCGAGCTTTCTTACTCTTACTAGGAGTATTGTTTACTCTATATAGTCTATTCCCCTCGCGTCTTTAAAATAGCACTTCGTAGACTAATTTATTATTAGGGAGGAGTATTATATAGTAATTCCTTTAAGCCTATATACTAAAAATAGATTGTAGAGCCTATTAGCCTAATTACTAAAAACCCCTCCCTTAATTATATAATTATTAATATTATCTAAGGAGGAAGTAGAAAATAGAATTCTTAAACTTTATAATATTATAGAATATATAAGTAATTAAGTTTAGATTTAATTTTATTTAAAAAACTAATTATATTATCTAATTCTATTAAATTTTAACTATTTTTTCTTTAAATCTTCTAAGTTAAATCTATTTCTTCTTTCTTTTTTATTCTATTTTATATTCTTAAGCTCTAATTAAAAAAATAAATTAGTATTTCTATATAGATTAAATAATATATTATCTATCTACTTAATTTTATTATTATTATTATTAAATCTTATCTCTTTTTATTAGTTCTACTTAATTATAATAAACTATATTATATAAAAGCTTTAGTAAGTACTTAAGCTAATTAGTAGCTATTATCTAAAAGAAAATTATAATTATTAGCTATTATTATAAAAGCTATAATTTAGATTATAAAAAAAAAAATTTTTTTTCTTATTTTTTTTTCTTTTCTAATTTAATATTTTTATTTAATAATATTATATTTAATTAATAACTATTTAATTTTTTATATTATATTAAATTTATTTTCTTTTTAAATAAAAAAAATCTTTTATAATATAAAATTAATAATTATAAAAAATATACTAGTTTTTTTAAGATATTATAATAAAAAATCTAATAAACTATTATAATTAATTAATATAAAGCTTAGCTTTTAAATATAATTAAAATTTTATAAATATAAATTATTAAATTAAAATAATAAATCTTTTAATTATATTAAATTCTTTTTAAAATTAAATAATTTAATAATTATATTTAAAACTAAAATATATAATCTATATTAATATATATAAAATTCTAAATAAATATTTTAATAATTAAAAATTTAGATATATAATTATAATAAGTTAAACTCTAAAATATAAGTACTAGTAATACTAGTACTTAACAAACCCTATTCTAACTATATTCTAACTAGGCTTTAAACTATATTATTAATATATTATATAGCCCCTATAAAATTTCTACTTATTATTACTATAGTAATACCTTAGTATCTCTATTATAATATAACCTAGCTAACTATTTCTTTTTTTTTTTTTTTTTTTTTTTTTTTTTTTTTTTCTAATTATTTTATAATAGATATTTTTTAATTTTATATTATAACTAATATAATATAGTAAGCTTATAATATATTATAAAATAACTTTTCTTTTTTAAAAAAAGCTTTTAAAAATAATAGCTAATTACTATAATATCTTTAAATATACTTTATAAAGTAAATATTTTATTATTAATAAAATATTATTTAAAAAACTTAAAATAAGTTAACTATATTATTAAAAAAACTATAAATTAAATAATATAATTAATATATAAATAACTTACTTAACTTATAATTTTCTTTTAAAATTTATAATTAGCTATAAACCTAATACTATTAGTTAAAACTATATTAGAAGATTATATTCCCTTCTCTAAAATATCTATAATAATATCTTCTTTTTTTAATATAATTATAATTAAATTAAAGCTTTTTTTAGATTTCCTAAAGTTTATTAAAAAATATAAAAAATATATAATTTAAATATAATAAATATAAAATAAAATTAAAAATAATAATTTAATATATAATAATAACTAAAAAGTCTAATATATAATTAATTTTTATTTTAAATTAGTTTTCTAAATAATAATATTTATTTTCTATTTTATAAAAAAGCTAGATAATATTTAAGATTTTTTTTTATAGATTATTTAAATTAAATATATACTAATTAAAATTAAAAAGCTTAAGCTTATAATAATCTCTATAATTTTAAATAAGGTAATTATAAACTATATATAAATTATTTCTTTTAATATAAATAATTAATAGTAGAGATTAGTAAATTAATATAGAAAGATCTAATTAAAATATCTTTTTTAAAAAAAGAGTTTTAATAAGATCTCTATAAAAAGCTTATTAATAATAAACTTTTTTTAAATTATTTTATATAAATTAAATATATAAGTAAAATAATTAAAAAAATTAAATAATTAAAATAAAATATTTATTATATTTAATTAAAAAACTTTATATTAAGTAAAATTAAAAAGAAAAATAAAAAGATTAAGAAATAAAATAAAGACTTTAATATCTTTTTAAATATTTATTTTTTAATTAACTATAATAAAGATATTAAAATAATAGGCTTTAATTATATATATTATAATAACTTTTTAAAAAATTATAATTATTTTATTAAAAAGAAAAAAGATAATTACTATTATTATTATAGAAAATATAATTATTATTATTATAATTATAAATAATTATTATTATTATTATTTATATACTTTATTAAAAAAGTATAAATAAAAAAACTAAATAATAATTTTAAAAAATTTATATTAAATAATAATTTAAAAAAAAAAAAGCTTTAATATAAAAATAAATATTAAAGTAAAAAGTAATTAATTAATAAAAATAGAAAGCTTTTAAATTAAAAATAAATAAAAAACTTATTTTAATTATTATTTAAATTAATAAAAAGATTATATAAGCTTTAATAAATATAAATTATAATTTTTATATAATTATAAATATTATTTTTACTAAATTATTTTATATTTTTTTTATAAACTAAAGATCTTAAATAATAAAAAGCTTTTTTAATAATTTTTTATAAGTTTATATAAAAGGAATTATAACTTTTAATATAAAAATTAGAGATTTTATTAAATAGCTATATATTTATATTATCTTAAATCTAAATTAAAATTTATTTTTAAATAAATTATAATTAGAAATTAATAATATAATATATTATATTAAAAAATAATAGCTTTATTATAAAAAAATTAAGATTATTATATAATTTATTAATTAGAAAAAGCTAATTTATATTTATAAAATCTATTTTATAGCTTTTTTCTTTATTATCTTTTTTACTATTTTTTATTAATAATTATATTATAAAAGCCTCCTTATTATTTTTTAGCTAAAAGTAATTAATATTACTAATATTAATAAAGTTTTTAAAAAAAAGCTATCTATTAAATTAAAAGACTATATATTTAAATATTTATTAAAGAAATTTTTAAAATTCTTTTTTAAAGATTTTATAAATAAATTATTATTTTACTAATTTAATATTAACTATAAAGTTAATCTAATTTTAGGAAAAGATAGTATAAAGCTATTACTCCCCTAAGGCCTATTATATTATATATTTTATAAGAAACTATTAATCCTATATTAGATTTTTATAAACTTAATTAATAAAAAATTTATTTAAGTTAATAGCTTTTTAATAATAGTTTTAATATTATTTATATAGAAACTAAGTAGAAGTTTATATTTCTATATAGATTACTAGATATTTAATATAATTATAAAGAAAAACTATTATTTTTTATTTTTAATTATAAAGACTTTTTATAATTTAATTAAAATTAAATAGTTTATAAAACTAGATATATAAATTATTTTTTATAAATTTTAAATAGCTTCTAGTTATAAAAAAAAGATTATTTTCTATATTTAATATAGCTTCTTTAAATAATTAATATATCTTTTTAATTTAATAAATACTTTTATAACTTTCTAATAGTTAATTAATATTATTTTTTATAAATTTAATAATTTTATTATTATTTATATAGATAATATATTAATTTATATTAATAAATTAAAAAAAGATTATAATATAAAAGTAAAAAAAGTCCTTTAAATACTTTCTAATATAAAACTATATTTAAATCTAAAAAACTATAAATTTAAAATTAAGATAATTAAATATCTAAGTTTTATAATTATAATAAGAAAAGATATCTTTTATAACCTAGATAAATTATAAGCTATCTATAAATAATTAATATTTATCTTTATAAAAAAGATTTATAATTTTCTAGAGTTTATTAATTATTATTAAGTATTTATTTATAACTTTATTAAAATTATATTCCCTTTTATTTAATTAATTAAAAAAAATATCTCCTTTATATAAAAAGAAAAATAGTAAATAGCTTTTAATATTTTAAAAGCTATTTTTATAAAAAAACTAATACTTTACTAATAAGATTTTAAAAAGTTAATATAGATAAAGATAAATTATTTTAATTAAATTTTAAAAGAAATCCTTATTTAAAAAGATAAATATAATTAATAATATATAATAGTTTATTATTTATAATAACTTAGTTTTATTAAATATAATTATTTAATCTATAATAAAAAGATATTAATTATTATCTAATATTTTTCTAAGTAATTAATA